TTTTTGTTTAAGGTTTCATGGCGTGGGCCGATGGTGTACTCCGCATAGGGACTATATATACTGGTGGGTTTTCGTTTGACACAGTGTCTAATGTTAACTTTCGCCATTTGAATCTTCTTGTTGGTTTTGGTGGCAAGAAGAATCATTTGCCTTGTTAGTGTTTTCGGAACCATCGTAGCTGGCTATTGACTCTTTGTCAAATAACGCGCCGTACAAGGCCGGTAGGGAGAGAGAACACCAGCATAGTATACAGACTATTCGCCAGCGGTATCTACCAAGATGATATTTTCGACTGTCCTGAAGGAGTCCCAACAGTAGAAGGTGATACTCTGATACAGAGAAAGATAACTCCAACATTCGTTGGCTATCTAGGTGGGTAGCCGGTCTATAAAACCAGAAAGAAAACAAATGGATTCTTCTCCTCTTCTCTACATGGTCTGACCTTGATATCTATAGAAGAATCTACCCTATTCCGGACAATTACAGACTTTTATTCCCATTTTGCCCCTCTCTCACTCATGTTGATCTTTTCATTCTCGCCGTTTTCGTCATACTTTTTCCCGGCGTGCGACAGACTCAATTATCGAACCTTGGAAGTACATGATTGTGTGATTCCAATAAAAAAGACTTGAATACCCCATGGAAATTTTCAAGTCATAGTTTTCAATTCGCCGCGCAAGCATCTGGGGAGGCATGCGAGCGCCAGCAAAAATATTCTGATTGGTGGCCACGTCGAGGGGGGAACAAAACCAAGAGTATTGCCGTTGTCTTGTGTTTAGCCATACATCTTCCGTGATAATATTACGGTTTAGTAAGGTACGTCAAAACTAATATGTTTGCCAATGTTGATGCCCCTTATCGATTTAACAAATGAAGTGTCTTCTCGTACAGAAAGAGCCAGGAATTAGATATTACCAAGTCAGATTTTCGTGTTTTGACAAAACGACTCAATTATAGATTCTTTTGAGATGCTGGCTCGCCATCAGATGGAGTGGTCACGATACTCCGAAGCGCGCGGGGTTGGCGCCGCGCAACTCCGATAAAACAACAGGCCACCCTATATGTATCCATCCGTCTGCAACCTCGTGTACCATTCACAGCAAATACTCTTTTAAAAAAATTCTTTATATTTCCATTGGCCTATGAATATCCACAGAAGAAAACGACAAGCGGATTAGACAACGTCCAAAGGGGATTTTCCTTGTCCAACGTGTGGTCTCGCCGAATCCCCCCAATGCAGTGCATTCGGGGCCTCCGTGTCTTGGCGTTATCGCTGCTATGGGGCACCACTGCTCTCGCGCAAACAGAGACGCAGAAAGTGCTGACGAGTGCTGGAAAACGCGATCCCCTTGATGCGGGTTTTGAGAAATTGGCACTCGAGTTGCTGGATGAATGGCATGTTCCGGGATTGTCGATTGCCGTTGTGGATGGGGATGAGACTTGGGCAGCGGTGAGTTTGCATCTTGAGTCGAGAGAGAAAGCATGATACTGGAATTGTGATGGCTGGGTCACTTTCAATCGGTCATCAGGAGACTCGATGAAGAATAGGATACTTGCTGTCGTTTATGATGAGACTCTGGAGTTTTTGGGGTCAAGACTATAACTTGCAATATTCAAGTAGTCCAAATCCTGAATTGAGATTTTGGCTATTCGGATGATACAAAAAACTAATACGACTATAGGGCTACGGCAATGCAACTTTCCCTTCCACGCCCGCCACACCGTCAACTCTTTACTACGCCGGAAGCACCACCAAGGCCTTCACCGCAGCCATCATCTCCCTGCTCATCGACTCGGGCAACTACTCGGGCTTGGGCTGGCGGACGCCCCTCTCGTCGCTGATTAGGGACGACTTTGTCCTGATGCCCGAATATGAATGGGCCCAGGAGCACCTTACGCTCGAGGACGCCATGTCACACCGGACCGGCTTTCCCCGGCACGACAAGTCCCTCGGCACACGATACGGACCCGACGGGCACCCGGCCACCGTGGCCGACCTGACCCGGTCGCTGCGCCATCTGCCCATGGTGACCGAGCCCCGGACCGACTACCGCTACTGCAACCTCATGTGGATAGTCGTGTCTCATGTCGTGGAGGTGCTGACGGGCTCATGGCTCGGCAATCTCATGCGCGATCTGATCTGGCGCCCACTCGGCATGAATTCGACCTACCTCTCACTCGAAGACGCCCTGGCCAGCCCCGAGCACCTCGCCATGGGCTACTACTGGGACTACCAAAGTGGCGGCGGCGGCGGCTACAGCGAAGTTCCCTTTGCCGGGCTGCGCGAGGGCAGCGGCGCCGGCGGCATCGTCAGCAACGTGCTCGACTACACGCGCTGGCTGCGCTGCCTGCTGGACGAGGCAGGCCCCTTGTCCAAAGCGGGCCACGCGGCGGTCAAGACGCCGCACATCACGGGCGCCGGCGGCGCCTTTGGCTGGGACGCGGCGCCGAGCTACGCCCTGGGCTGGGTGGCGGCAACGTACCGGGGCCATCGCGTGTTTCGCCACAGCGGCGGCATGCTGGCGTACGGCGCCGACGTCTGGTTCCTGCCGCAGCTGCGCTTTGCTGTCGTGACCATGGGTAACACGGCCATTACGAGCAACACGGCCGGCCAGCTTCTTGGGTGGAAGCTGATTGACGATAAGCTGGGCGTACCAGAGGGGGAGAGGTATGATAGGCACTCCCAGTAAGTTATTGCAACTAGAGCACGACCCCAGCTAAACCTCCCCGTTTGCTTTGTGTATCTTGGTAGGTTTACTGACCTGTACTCTCACCAGTGCCAAGGAGTCCTTGAATGGTCTGCTGCATCAGTTCGACAAGGCAGTGGATCACCTCTATCCGGACCGGGCTGACCCGCCAGTGTCCCGAGCTCTGCCCCTGGAAGAGTACACTGGCACATACTTCCATCCAGGATATCTCAACATGACCATTGAACTCGGTCTCGAGAAGGATCAGCTCCGGTCTGTGCGAAACGACTTTGTCTGGCAAATGACCTTTGATTATGTCCACGTCTCTGGCGAGTACTGGATCATCTTTATTGATATGAAGGAAACGCCGAATCAACTCAACGCACAGGTTGCAAAGGCCGAGTTCCGTCTGGGACCGGACGGCAAGGTGAGTGCGCTGATTGCCGAGTTTATGGAAGAGGGAAGCGAGGGCATCGTTACTTTCGAAAAGGTTGCATAGCGACGGCCCGTAGTACAAGACAGACGAGAGTGAACACAAAATATAAAATCGACGAAATAATTTTGGGCTGTATTCATGCAACTATATAGTAGTAAAGATATCAAGACCATGATAGAGAAGGGCTTGAATCCTGCGCAGCAGGACACCAGTCTCGGGCTTAATTTCAAGTGCCTTGATAGACCGTGTCCGAACGTTGTAGGAAACAACTCCTTCCATGGCTGGTGGTATTGTTGCAAAAGACACATGACTGTAGCCAGATGACTGAAACAAGGGCCTACAACTTTCGAGCAATGTTAGCAATGATGCGTGACAAGGTCGAGCAAAGGAATCAGAGTGATTGAAGTGCAAGTCAGACTGTTGAGCTTGATAAATTAAGAAGTCCACACAGAAGATTCGGTTGGCCGTTCTTAAGAAGTGATTGTCATCATGAAATAGAGAAGCCACGAGAAGCCGTGGCAGGTATGTTGAAAAGGTGGTGAAATGAGCTTACCAAAAGGAAAAACTGCTGTGAGCAGAAGTGAGTAAATTGTCTAGACGACTGCTCATAATACGGTGTCTCTAGCTTGCTTCGTGACAAGACATTATTTTTATTGTCGTTGCAATATGGAAAAGTGCAAAACAAAAGATGGCGGCTGCTGGCCCGAATTTTGTAGTGAGGGTTTGAAAACGGAAAAAATCAACGGCGCCAAAACTTTTGGGACTTTGACTGGTCACCCGCCTTCCGCCACGTGATCTCACAAAAAAGACCCGCTTTCGCTCAAGGCCCAAAGGGAATCCGACCGCCCATTCGCCCGCATCCCAATTCGCTGGAATTGATTGGACCGGGCCCAAAGCTCTCCTCAATTGCTCAACGACAAGTCGTCCGTCCCGTCCCTCTCAGAGTTGCGCCAGTTTCTCTGTTTCGTCGCAGCTCGACCTCCACGTCAATTCGACCTCGACACCAGAATCGTCACACGTCGCCCTCTTCCGGAATTCGCGCAACCCGCCTGATCCGGTAGTAACCCATTTTGCCAAACGAATCCGTTTCGTGGGCCGTCGACTACAGAAAATCGAGCATCCAAAACTCGAACATTATACCAAACAAATACCCAGACACAAAAAACATCATGCCCGCCGTTCGCCCACAAGCCGCCGTCCGGGCGACCCGCGCCCTGGCGAGCACCTCGTCGCAGCAGTCGGCCCGCTCCTTCTCGGCCACCAGCGCCCAAAAGGCCAGCCACGGTCCCCAGTACGACCCTCCAACCGGCTGGCTGTTTGGCGTCAAGCCCGGCGAGAAGTACCAGAACGAGGGTTGGGAGAAACCCTTCATCTACGGCTTCTGCGGCTCCATTGTCCTCGCTGCCATTGCGTACGGCTTCAAGCCCGACACCTCGTGAGTTTTCCCTCCGGGCAAACCCGTCTTCTTTGCTCTCTCGTTATTATTACGTCAGACGTTCGCGCCGGGTCAGTCAGGTCGGCATGGGTTGGGAAGGGGAGGGGATGATGAACTCCCTAGGTGATGCGTGCATAGCTACTTGGGAAAAATAACGACCGATGCGGGAGTCTTTCAAGCGAGAGCCCCAAGCTTTTCATATGAAACCTCACCAGCTACCAAACCAGATGCTAACTATCATCAACAGGATACAGACTTGGGCACTCGAGGAGGCTCGCAGGAGGTTAGAAGCCGAGGGCATCTTGGAGGACCCCGAGAAGAAATAAAGAGACACCTCCAACGCCCGAATCCATCAGAGCAAGGACGGGTGCTTTCTTTACCAGCATCAACATTGTCATGAACAGTCAAACAAGATGAGCTGAGAGAGAGAAAAGCCCCAGACCTCCGCATGGAGGGAAAGCGAACATTTCTCCACCAAAAGATACGAGAAGAAATGACCGCGGACCTCCCATCTGTACATGAAACCTCTGCCAAACCAAACCCCCAAGAAAAAAACAAACTACAAACACTTGTTTTTATTTATTTTATCGTAAACTCTCCTTTGTTGCCCCGGGACTTGAGCCTGTATTTTGATGAGTCGAAGGGAGGAGGTGGGAGAAGAGGGTTTTCTTTGAAAGAAAGGAGACTTAGAAGGGATAGGCAGCATCACATCATAGACGTGGGAGCCCTCTCCCGACTTAGATCTGGGACGAGGCTGACCTCACTTTGCTGGTCCGAAAATTTGATTTTTATTCACATGCTATCAATACTCTCGAGCCCGGTTTTGATTGACGATCAAGATGTGGATGAGACTCGACTGAGTGTGCTTGATGCAAATCTTGCGAGCTGTGCCTACAACCTGCCTCACCGTTCTTGTGATGACTCGGCCTCTTCTTACCGCTTGGCGAGATAGAGCATGAATGAGGCACGTATCTAGGATGAGTCACGAGGAACTCCCTCGTTACACTCTACCCTCGGTCAGCGAGATCGGCAAGATCGCGATGCCATCTCATGACGGCATTTCACAAGTGAGCTAAGAGCAGTCCTACAGTTGGTTGACATGCACTCATTTACCAGCTATTTTTCACGGCCGCTTCTAAAGTCATGGAGTGACAAAAGAAAGAAAATAAAAAATTGGGTGGAAACCAGTGGTTCTCTTCATAAATGAAATATTCTGATATTCAGGTAAATTAAGCAAAAATCGCCGCTTGTTTCTACATAATCTCGTTCTAGTCCGGGTATAGTAGATTGAACCAATGAGCTCACAACATATCTTGCTCACTTTTCGCTGTCTAAGCACGCCATTTTATATGACTGTCTTTCTTTTTCTTTCTGTTTGCATTGAGAAAACTCGAAGATGGTGTCCTCTAGCAAGGGTGGCTCCACTGGTGGTCGGGCTCGTCACCGTACTGGATAGCCTCCATCCAGCCCTTCATTCTCAGGGCAATCTCGCCAGACTCCTCGAGGTCGCTGAGGCCGCAGTCCACGAGTTGGCCCTTCCAGCTAATCTTGCGGACGGGGCTCACAATGGCAGCGGTACCTGCGCCAAAGGCCTCAATCATGCGGCCCTCGGCCGAGGCCTCGGCAAGCTCCTTCATCGTGTACTTGCGCTCAATGATATTCCAGCCCTCGGGGGCCAGCTTCTCGCGGGCCAGAGCCAGGATCGAGTCACGGGTGACACCCTCGAGAATGGTGCCGTCCAGCGGGGCGGTGAGGAGCTCCTTCTGGCCCGTCTCCTTGTTCTTGATGGCGACAAACATGTTCATGGTGCCGACCTCGGTGACGTATTCCTCCTCGCCAAAGAGCCACAAGTTCTGCTGGAAGCCACGGCTGGCGGCCTCGAGCTGGGGCAGGATGCAGGGAGCGTAGTTGGCGCCGAGCTTCTTGTCGCCGACACCGCCGGGCCAGGCACGCACGGCGTAGTCGGTGGCCTCTAGGGAGACGGCCTTGAAGCCGGTGGGGTAGTACGGGCCGACGGGACTGGCGATCACGTACAGCAGGGCGCTGCCGGGCGGGCCAACGCCGAGAGTCTTTTGGGTACCAATCATGGTCGGGCGCAGGTAGAGAGAGTAGCCGCGCTCATTGGGGATAAAGCGCTCCTCGAGCTTGGCAAATTTGGCAATCAGCTCGATGAGCGCGGTGGGCTCAAAGGTGGGCAGGGCGATGCGGGCTGAGGACTTGTTGAATCGCTCCATGTTCTTGTCTGGGCGGAAGAGGCGCACGTTGCCCGACTTGTCCTTGTAGGCCTTCATGCCCTCGAAGCACTCAAAGGCATAGTGGAACACACAGGTGGCCGGGTCGAGCGAGAGGTTCTGGTAAGGTGCGATCTTGGGCTCCAGCCAACCGTCTTGTTGTGTCCATTCTATCGTGAGCATGTGATCTGTTTGGCAAGACTGTTAGTCGAATGACGCTATTTTACAGAAGCAGGTCTGAACTCTTTTACCTGTGAACTCTCTGCCAAATACGAGCGTCTTGGGATCGCTCGGGGTCCTAGGCGAGGACGTTTCTGTGATACTAAGCTTTGTAGGGTCGATGCCAACGGGCTTCGAAGTGGAAGCGGCCTTTGGCTGGATGCTGTAGCATCTCGAAGCCTGTGCCGAGGCCAAAGGAAGCAATTGGCGAGCTGCAGGAGCTCTGAAAGCCCTCCCGGCTCTTGGGAGTACCTGTCGCAACATAGTTTCGTGGCTTTTTGGCTTTGTATGATAATGCAGACTTGGGTTTCAAGCAGACAGCAGTCTCAGGAACGAATTGTAAGTGTTCTAGAGTGGGACGCAGTTGCCAAACTGTACACGAGAGAATTGAGAGAAGACAATAAAAGGCAACACAAGTCAATTGAGTCACGCAAACCGAGATGTAATAGTAAGCTGATGGGAAAAGGTGCCGGTATCGTGATGGGAAAATAATTAGATGGAGCGCCGCTAAAGCGAGCCCAACAGCGGTGTCGGAGGACGTCGGCTGCTACCGACATGGGCTAGAATGGACCCCTTTTGGGGATATCGGGGTACATCGCACCATCTTCCAGCCAATAAGCTTAACCAGAGACGTCAGCTATGGATGTGTCGCGACTCCAGTGCCCGTGCCTGGCTTTGCTCGGGTTCCGAGTATTGTTATGCTGCTAGAAAGTCAATGCCCTTTCTACCCGTTGTTAACCATTGTTCGCATGCAGCGGGCCTCGAGTCAGCGACAAAAGAATACGGCCAGGCGCGTTATGACCGATACCTACCTTCTCTTTCTCTTTCTCGGTGATCCATAACATACAGGGTCCTATGGAATGCATGGAGGAATGGTATAGATAATTCGGGGTAATTATACGCATTTGCGCATCCAGCAATTCGGATGTTTGATAGGTAGCATCAGTTACAGGACGGTCCCCCCAAACCCCCCACTCAGTCAGCAACTCCAATTCCATTTGTATCACTTTTCGCGCCAACTTGTTGTAATATTGGAACAAAAGTAAAAAAGTAAAGCTTGGCTGCAATTCGGACGAAAAAGCAAAGCCACACCTGTCATCTTTTTCTTATACGATCCCGTCTGAGTTGTTGCACACCTGTGCTTTTGGGGGGAGAAAAAACCTTGGTCTGGCTTATTCAAGTTCAATTGTGATTACTTTGATTGAGGTCGATTGTTTCGGAGCTGGGCAACGCTGAACTCCCACGGGCCGTACCCGCGAACGATAACGATAGCGCGACATCAAGCCATCAATCGCGATTTCAGGGGCGCGACCTGACAGCGAAACAACGCCTCAACGTGCGAGGCCTGCCGTTAGGCAATCATTCAAAAAGACAGCTTGACTGAGGCCTGAGTATCGGAGGCACGAGCCATTTTCACTTGCTGATCCAGCCTGGCCTGCAGTGTCCGATAGACTCACAAGAGCTTTAGGTACTTTGCGATTGGGCTACGTATCTTATTGTGGCCCAAAGCTCAAGCTACCCAGAGTCGCAAAACAACCAGCACAAGACCCATCGCTGCTCACTTGTCCTCCAGGCAATGATCTCGAAGCTGGTCGGAAGGTGCTAGAGCAGCCTGCACGAACCTGTCGACAGCATTACGCACTCTACTATACGATATAGAAATAATACGAACCAAGACCCGCCGAGAGCTCAGAGTGCGCGCGCCGCCACCGCCGAGACAACATGTTTTCCTCTCTGAAAAGCAGCTTTACCTCGAACATATCGAGCAATTACTCAATCTCGACAAGTGTAACTTCAACGGCCGGCCCGTGGAAGATATACGATGCCACATCAAAGAAGACCAAGAAGTCTTATTCTGTCTTTGTCTTCGATAGGAAATCACTCGATTCCCATGGCAACTCCTTGGGCCGATCGAGCGCGAGTGCTTTCAAGAGAGCCACAGAAGAAGTCGTCGAGCGGCTGAAAAAGGAAGTTTCGTGTCTTGCGAGGCTGCGGCATCCCAGCGTACTGGAATTGGTTGAACCGGTTGAAGAGACAAGAGGTGGCGGCTTGCAATTCGTGACTGAAGCTGTGACCGCATCTTTAAGCGCTCTACTTGCAGAAAAGGATGACCAAGAAAGAGCCGGAGGCATCAACGGGCGCCCCAGCCGCTATGTTACAGAGTCCCCCGATGGAACCAGGCGCAGAAGAGAGCTCGAAATTGATGAATTGGAGATACAAAAGGGACTGCTGCAAGTTAGCAAGGCCCTCGAGTTCCTCCATGAAAATGCTGGTCTGGCACATGGAAACTTGACGCCTGATGCCATTTTGGTCAACGCCAAGTCAGACTGGAAGATCAGTGGTCTCGCGTTTTGCAGTCCACCAGAAGGCTCGACCAAGCCCACTTCAGTACAGGCCATCAGCCTGTCCGAAGCCCTTAACCTGGATCCTCGCCTTCCCAAATATGTGCAACTTAATCTCGACTATACTTCACCAGACTTTGTTCTAGACAATAACCTCACCACGTCTGCCGACATGTTCTCACTTGGTCTCTTGTGCGTTGCTTTATATAATTCGCCACACCAGTCCCCAATCGAGTGTCACTCGAGCGTATCGACGTACAAACGGGCTTTCAGCTCGTCTTCGACAGTGCCATCAGCTTCAAATAACTTTTTGTCGAAAAGACCCCTTCCAAGAGAGCTTGCAAACTATGTTTTGCCACGGCTTATCACGCGGAGGCCTGCTCAACGCATGACTGCCAAGGAGTTCCAGGACAGCGAATATTTTGACAATATTCTAGTTTCAACGATCAGGTTCTTGGATACGTTTCCGGCAAAAACACCAGGTGAAAAACAGTCATTTATGAAAGGACTGAACAAAGTCTTGCCTTCTTTTCCCAAATCAGTCATGGAGAGGAAGCTTTTGCCTGCCTTGATAGAAGAACTCAAGGACAGGGATCTCCTGTCACTTATCCTGCAAAATATCTTCAAGATCGTTGAACTACTCCCATCTGGTAAAAGGCCCTTTAGCGACTTGGTAAGGCCAAAGCTCAAAGAGATATTTGTGACGAATGTCAAAAAGGAGCAAGCCCAGGAAAAAGACCCGGCTCGCGATGCAGGTCTCATGATGGTGCTTGAAAATACTGACATTATTGCTGCCAACTGCTCTGGCAAAGAGTTCAAAGACGGTAAGCTCCCTTGTGGTTTCCCAAATATGCTATAATGACTGACAGTTGTAGACATTCTGCCAATCCTCATGACGGCCGTTGAGTCCCCAACACCAGCTCTGGTTGACGTGGCCATGCGCGGGCTGCCTGCAATTTTACCAATCCTGGATTTTAGCACCATCAAGAACGAGCTCTTCCCAGTCATCGCAACAGTTTTTAGTAGGACAAACAGTCTTGCTATCAAAGTGCGGGGACTGCAGGCTTTTGTCATCCTGTGTGGTGGCTCAGCCCATCCAGAGAATGAAAGCGACGGCCTGGATGGTTTCAGCGGCGAAAGAAAGAAGAAAACCTCGTCTTCTAGCGCCCTTGACAAGTACACAATGCAAGAGAAGATTGTACCACTGATCAAAGCAATCAAGACGAAAGAGCCTGCCGTGATGGTGGCAGCTCTCAATGTTTTGAGAGTGATAGGCGATGTTGCCGATGCAGAGTTTGTGGCAATGGATATTCTGCCAATCCTCTGGAACATGAGCTTAGGACCGTTGCTCGACTTGAAGCAATTCCAGACTTTTATGGAATTAATCAAGTCTCTCTCCAAGAGAGTTGAGGATGAGCAGACCAAGAAACTTCAAGAACTTTCTGCAGGCAGCACAAGTACCAAACCTTTGGAGAGTGAGGATTTCATGGCATTCGGAGGCATCACAGGGACGCAGTTCGACTCGAGCACCAACGGCGCTTCTGCCGACGATTTTGAGCGTTTGGTAAAGGGAAGAGTTACTGTTGGCCAAGACTCGAGCAATCCCATGGACTCTAGTGGCTGGGAGTCCGGGCCATCGCGGGCAACATCACCGCCGGCCAAGTCCACAACTCCTGCCTTTTCGTGGTCGACGCCAAGTCCTACGGCAACGGCAGCAGCAGCCCCAACAAGCGGCTTTGCTCCGCCAAAGCCTCAGTCTTCGTTCAGAACCGTCACTCCTGATCTGGCCAATATCCAGCCCCTCTCACCCTCTTCGACTCAATTTTCCCAACCGCTTCAGCCTTCTAGTACCATGAGCCCAGCTTCAGCAGCACCCGCCAATCCATGGGCCTCAACGACACCGGCAGCTACTGCAGCATCCAACCCATGGGCTTCATCTTCAACAATGACGGCAAACGCAATGTCACCGCCGTCCATGTCCATGGCTGGCATGGGCCTGAACCAGCAGCGTCCCGCCTTGCAATCCAGTCTCTCATCCTTTTCGTTGGCACCGCCACCAAGCGCGGGCACGCCATCCTCATCGTCCAGCTTTAGTCTGCCGAAACCCCCAGGGGCTTCGCCAATGGGCGGCCAGACCCCATCGTTTGGTCAATCCGCAAGCTTTGGCGGCATGAGCAGCAACACAATGGCTGGCATGAACAGCATGAACAATAGCATGGGCGGCGGCGGCATGATGAATAGCATGAACAGTATGAACAGCATGAACAACATGATGGCGCCAATCAAGCCCATGGGCACGGGTGGTAGCATGGGAGGTATGAGCATGAACTCCATGAACAGCATGAATAAGATGGGCGGCATGGGCATGGGCATGAACATGGGTGGTCTACAACAACCAGCGCAGCAGCAACAACAGCAGAAGCCACCCGGTGCCACTTTGGACAAATACGAAAGTCTCTTGTAGAAGTAATCAGCGGCCTCGAGAGAGGAGTAGGGGATCAAAAGAAGGCCGAGAGCGATACCATGTTGAGATACCAATTTCATTAAAAAAAAAAAAAAGCATGATGCTCAGAAGTTATCACGATTGGCTTAAATATGTTTTGAAGACTTGAAAACCTATCACGAATTGTTGCAGTGCATGTTGACATACAAAATGACAGTCATCAACGTAGTTGTTTCTCTGACAAAACTGACTAACTATGCAGGCATCCATTTCCCTAGCCATGTTCAAATCTTCCTGACAAGTGACCTGGGTACTCGCAATACTGAGGTGGCCACACGCGGATCAAGAAGCTTTTTTTTTGGGGGCCAACAAAACAATACCCTAAGCCGAATACAATCTGCAAGGTGGCTCGCAATACAAGATGGGGTTATTGAAACACACTTCCTCATGGGGGTTTCCTAGCTTTCCTTAAAACGCCTTGCCACAACTCAGTTCCATAATAACGCCTCTTCCCCTGACCAACAAGCTTAAGCCGCGTGGGAAGACAAAAGAAAATACAAAGATGCCAGAAGAGTAATTATTCAAGGCGTAATCAACTGCCGCCAAGACATGGCAGTCAAGAAGCTTGGTGGTTTGGTGTATGGTGACTAACCACGTAAACGCTTGGAAGTAGCCTCGCGCGGCGGACTGCTCTCGGCCTCCCGCTTCTGACCATGCGATGCGGTGCCTGTCTTAGATCGGCGCCAGCTGTCGAAGGGGCTGCGTCTTCCAGTACGCTTGGCTGGAGTCTCTTCAGCAAGTAATCTCTTGCTGACACGAGTAGCCCGGGCGCTAGCCGGAGGGGAGGCAGGTGCAAAGCGAGGAGCTGCGGGTGTATCGGGTACAATCTTTTCCTGAGGCTCCTGGGGTGTTTGTGATTGCTCCTCCTCGGGTTCGATGATGGTGGGGTTGGGGTTGGCGTGATCCTCGATATCTGTAGCTGCTTCCTCCTCATCCGTGTCATGGCTGGCCTTCTTCTTCTCTTGGGCCGGGAAAAGAAGGCGAGGCTTGATAGATGAGCGAGTGATTCTTCGAGGCGGAGAGCCAAGGCGATCAAGTCGGTCAATCAGTGGCGATGAAGCCTGGGCGTCCACATTTACTGTTGAGCCATCAAGCTCATTTTCGTCCTCATTATGAGGAATACCATCTTCGCGAGGCTTCCAGAAAGTCTTTCCGCGGCTATAGACAATTATCAGCTGATGTGCTTGGGATGAAAGGGGTCAAAAATCAAAGTGACTTACAATACGTAGACTATGCCGTCGCCACGCTGAACAGCTTCCTCCACAGGAACTCTGCCAACACCAGGTATCGAGACCTTCTTAACTCTGGTGCTCCGGCGTGTGCTGGTAGGTTGGGGGTCCTCAGTGTTGCCATAGAATGGGTTTTCAGCGCTACCGTCAACCTCGGGTAATCTGTCGCGCGAGTCGGTGAAGATGGTGATATCCTCCTCAACTTCTTCGGCTCTGAAGCTCTCCAATGACAGACCTGTGTAGGTCTTGGTCTTTCTCTTGCGTGGAGAAGCGACAGAGTTGCTCGACGAAGACTCTGAAGCGAAAAGGTTGCGTGCAACCGCGCGGACACCAGCTTCGAGATTGTCGTCGGGCTGCTTACGGGGTGTTTTGGAGGGGGTTGGCAACATGGTCGCCACGCTCAGATTGTTTGTTGACTTGGATTGGGGGGCAGAGGTGGGAGCGCTTCGTGCGCTGCTAGGAGCCAGGTGAGTTGCGCGAGGTGCGCGAGTAACAGAGTCCATTGCGGGCGCACGCTTCTTCTGGGGAGAAGTGCCGGGAGTAGAAATGGTGGTTTTCTTCAGTGTTGCGTTGCTGCGAGATGCGACGGCGGCAGATTGGGGTGAAGGAGTGCGGTTTGCGATTCTTGTTGATTTGCGTGGGGAATAAGGTTCCCAGTTGTCCCCGAACGCGCCAAACTTGGGTGTTTGAGGTGTTCGCACGCGCGGGGGTGGTGAAGGCGTATTCGAGAGAACCTCAGCCATGGTGAAGAAAGTGGGTCGATTGACTGGCAAGTTGAGCGAATGAGTGCAAAGACCACTCAGGAATCTGTCCTGCAAAAAGGTTGCGGGTTTCTGGGTAGAAAAGACGTTTCGGTTGACCTGGAGATCCAATCGGCTCGTCTACTGAAATGTTTCGACTCCTCCCAAAGCCAAATTCGATCAATATTCAAAAAATCGGTCGTCGGTTCTGTAGTACCGGCACAACAGGATGCGTCGCGTACTTGGAAATTAATCACAATATGAAGCACTCGAGCACAGAGGTCGCGGTGTTATCTCTCCCTTTGGCTTGCGAGATTGTTCTTCAGGTTCGTGGAGGCGAAAGCAACAGTGTGAATCTGGATACTCGGTTGGGGCCGATTGATCGTTAGGGATCTTGTGGGAATGAGCCAGTCGAAAGGGCACAATCTTCAAGCGGTGAGTTGGTTATTGCTGCGGGCGTGTCTGCGGCTCGTGGAGTTGCAAACGGTCCTTTCTTTCATCGAATGTAAACAATGTGCATACGTTATACTCGAACATTAAATGCATCTGAGAGCGCGGCACAGCGGTCGGCGACAAACGAGTCGAATATATTTGCACAGGGTCAAAAGGGAAGAGGTTGACTGTCAACACGACGCTGGCTGTTGTAGGACAAATGGCGTGGGAAAGTGGCTGGGCTGGCATGGCTGGGGGGACCGGCTTTGGCTACAGGAATTTCAAGGAACGTGCATCATTCGTTCCCGTCATTGGGACACCCGACCTTTGGCAAGTACATTGCATGATGTGGGCATCCAGGTGCATTGAAGGTCATGTATCGTGGCTTCGTTGTTTGCAAACTGCAAGCGAATCTATGCACTAAAGACGATAAGAGATTCTGGATGAGCATAGAAATATGTTCCTTTCTAGAATCTCTGCATATTGTGTGTTTGTAACCATGCCACATTGAATGGTGTTGACTATTATCCATTGTATCTGGAGTTGATCGTAGGAAATCACGACAGTACATGTCCCACGTCATTTGTGCTGCAGAGAAAAGGATTGTCCCAAATTTTCCACGGAAAATGCGTTGGCATGCATTGGCATGACGGATCTCCACACCTGGTTGGACCCCCCCTTGTCAACAATGATGTCTGTCCAATTTACGCCCAAGACGCGTCCTGGCCTTTGTCTCCTGAGCTTTGATTCACGTCTTAAACGCGTCGCGATCTGCCCGCCCTACCTACCTGATCTTTAGCGTAAATGCTCGCTCACCAATTGGCTCCACTCCAGCCTGCAGAACGCAAACTTGCCCCGCCTGTAACCCAACATCTGCCGTTCTAGTCCATCTGAGCCCTACCGTTTCCCCAAGCGAGGGGGAATAAGCACATCGTCATTTGTTTTGTTGCGACACCAAAGTAAACACGTCGCTTCCAATCTTGCGACTTTTGACGCTGTATCTTTTGCGTCATTGAGGCTGTGTGTGACCACGTCATTACTGCAGTACTTCATACCCGCCAAGCCACCCTGCCGTCCGTTGCTTCAAACAGTCGGCTGTAGTCGACAGTTTATACCGAGAAACCTCACCGTCGCCTCTTTAGACATAATACTAGTCCGACATCATGTCCGACTTTGACTCTTCTGAACTGGACTTCTCTCCAGTGAAACCGACCGCGCACCATGAGCGACCCAAGACTCCCAAGACCCCCAAGACACCGACCGGCCCACCGCCGCGGACCGACCCTCTGGCCACTTCATCAGATCCAGCGACACGGGAAGAAGCCCTCGAGCGCGAGCTCCATGGCGTAAGGAACATCAATGAGCTTCTCGAAGGCGTAATCGGGACTCTCGAGCGCGCCAAGGGCAACATGGGCACCGTATCGCAGACTGTAAATACAGCCTCGACTTTGCTAAACACTTGGACGCGGATCTTGAGCCAGACCGAGCACAACCAGCGACTGATTCTGAACCCCAATTGGCAGGGTGCCAGCGAGGATCTGAGGGAGATTGAGAATGAGGAACGCTTGAAGCAGGCTGCTCTCGAGAGACGTGCGCTCGAAGAGGAACGACGAAAAGCCGAGGCAGAGCGCAAACGCGCAGAAGAAGAGCGGAGAAGGGAGGCTGCTGCAGCTGTCGGGCCGGGCGCCAGAGGCACCGCTCGTACAAGAAGTACAAGAGGTGTAAGAGGAACTAGAGCGTCAACAGCGAGAGCGCCGACGACAAGAGCAGCAGCTGCTCGAGCGTCCGCTACGACTACAAGAGGGAGTGGCGTCACCGGCGTGAGAGGCACTAGAGGCGGCGTCAGCGCGTACGGTACCAGAAGATTAGAAGCCACAGAGGAGAGCTCGACCAGTTTTGCAAGTGCTAGAAGCGCGAGTGGTATTGGTCGAGGCCTAGGCAGCACGAGGAGCAGAGCAAGAGGCACGAGGTGATTCCGATTTCACGGCCACCAGTCGTATTAATCTAGTCCTCATATTTCGGATTCGTTCCAGTTGGGAGCTTGATTGGCATGCATGAATTCATAGCAGCGTCAATGGAGTTATACCGACACTATGGTAAGATGGGGTCATGGTTGACAATCATGGTATCTGCTGTACATTAATAGATACGGAACCAAAAAGTTCATGACTAGCAAGTAGCCGCCAAATGGTTACTACTACATATTCTGACATAACCAGAGCCATGATCATACCCAACGCCAGGACTCCAGGCCGGCGGCATGTGGCCAACTATTGTCTTTTAGCCATTGCATAACCAAAGGCACACTTTATTTCTTCTTGAAGAAGTCGCTCATCTTCTTCATCCCACTTGTGTTGACTTTACTCAAGTTCTTGACGCCTCTGCTTGTTCCGGCCTTTTGCCGCTTCTCCTCCTCTTCCTTCTTGCGCTTCTTTTCTTCTCTCGCAGCCTGCTCGTCGTCATCGAGCATACGTTTCCTGGAATAGTCCGCCATCGATCTCGACACGGAAGCCTCTTGTTTCAGCTTGGCAACCTGGGCGAGGTAGTCATCGAGGGCTGTGAAATCAGCAAGACTCTTCTTTTCTGACAAAAGAGCTTGAAGGGACGATGCTTGTGATTGGGCAATATAGCCGGAGAGGATAAAGCTGAAGGCAACGCGCATTCGCTGTAACGAGATGACTTCGGGCGAGGGTGTAATAGCTGGCTTGAGCTCGAATGCTTCTTCGGCGGCAGCCTTGCTCTCCTCACCGGCCACGGAAGTAGCAGCCGTGGATGCTTCTGATGCACCAGTCAAATTCATCCCCGTCGACGATGCGGAAGACTGGCTCTCCGTAGACTCGACCTTAGGCGTGGAAGCACCCGACTCTGGCGCAGAGCTGGCATTTTCTGGTTCTGCGGGCGCCCCATTGGCCGTTTCCCTCTTCACGCTGAGGACAGGAGCTTCGAGAGCTTTGGCCACAAACTTCTCCTCCATACTTGCGGGCAATCCTTTGCTCATGCGCGTTGCCTTGCCCAGCAGCTCCTTCAGCAGCTTTTCTTCATTGAGTCGGTACATGGACTCGACATCAACATTGATCATGTCGCAGACGGCGGCCATGCGCGATTCCAGTGTCTGTCGAACATTCCCCCACCGTAATATCTCTGAGAAGTGCGGCGATGATTCCTTGGGTATCGTGTCAAAATGGTCGTCACTGGTAATTAATCGCTTCTTCTCGGATTCGAGTGCCGGCAGCACCAAGAAGAGCGGGTCGATGGGCGTAGCAATGTACAGATCCGCGCCCTTGGTTACGTAGGCGCCGAACTCTTCGGCGTCCTGTTGATTGTCTGACTTTGGGGCCGCATCATTTTCCTCCCGTGTGCCACTGGCCTCGATCAGCCAGCTCCGCGGTGTGCTTTTCGGTGCTGCAATTCGTGTGAACTCATATATGCCCGTTTCGGGGCATACCAGGTACCGCGTCGGCTTCTTGTAGCGAGGATTTAGGAGCGAGACAACGCGAGCTTCTGATGTGGCTTTCTTCGGTAATATGAATATCTTGGGCGGGTTTGTTGACTCTGGTGCCAGAGTGTGCTTCGACTCGGTTGAAGATGTCTGTGACTTGGTGCTGGATTTGGAAGTCGTCGAGGTCGCAGCGCCCTTGGCGCGGGTGCGTGCCATGATCGAGGCGCACCGGTCGCAAAGAAATGTATTCCAAAAAGAACAAAAACGATATCATATACTAGTTGGCAACTTATGAAGCGTATCAATGACCGAGTCTTGTCAATATGCAACAGTAATTTGCAACGTAGATTTCTCTCGAATACAAGGTACCTGCAGCATTCTAGGTGTGGATTGTCTAGCCAATGGACCCCAGTAAACGCGTGTGGGGAGACGCGATTTCTCTTTAGCCCCCCGTGTCCCGGCATGCGCGACACGCGTTAACGTGTGATCATCATTGACACCACCAGGAAAACCACTCCAACGGCTTCTTATCGTGGTATTTCGGATTACTGATAAGGAAATGCGCTGAATTTCCCCTCGGAACTCCATGCAGTTTTGGACCCTTCCATTTTCACAAGTGGTGGCATCCATCTGGTTTAGTTCCCATACGATATCCTACCCGCCTAGCGATTGGCTGGTAAAGCAACGGGAACTACCCCCCTGCAATTTCCAGGCTCGAACAAGCAAGCAATCACAAGTATCGGTGCAAAGAGCGCACGCGGCAATCGCTGTGACAAACAACCATCAAATTGTGAGATACCCATCACAGGACGGGCTAGGAGATGGTCGGCAGCTAGGAGCGCGCAAGGAAAGAGGGCACAATGCCTCAACGTGAGTTTGTCTTCAATTGCCAACGCTTCTCACACCCCAAAGTCCAGCATACTGAATCCGTGATTTGCAGATCTCAGCCCAGGAAAACAGGCTCAATGGCCCCCGCGATCACCCCACGAGGTTTTGGCTGGTACACCCGGCGGCCGAGAACGATTGCGTCGCCTGGCCGCACGAACATCGCCTTCACCATCGCCGCTCAAGAAATCGAGATCAATGTCGGCGCTGAACGGGCGCATGGGTGGCCATGATGACGAGGATGACGAAGACGAAGAGGATGAGGATGACGAAGAGACGCTACAACTTCAGTTGCAGGCAATCGAAGCCAAATTGAAGCTGAAAGCCCTCCAGAAGAAACAGAGAAAGGGGCCCGGTGGCTCTTCGGACACGGAGAGCGGATCAGCTCTGAGCAGGCCCGTCTCGACGGTACCCGATGTCTTGGCGGCGAGTAGAGCGCAGTCACGAGCGGCCATGCTGGCGGAAGGCCCAAAGATCCGACCCCAGTCGCAGACTGAAGTTCAGGTTCCTGCGTCGCCAGTCAGAAAGTCGCAAGCACCCGTGGAACAGAAATCACCTAGTCGGGTGCTCCTAGGCATTGACAAAGGTCTCAGAGCCAAGGATGTTTCGCTGAAGCGCGCGTCTAGTTTGCGCAAACCCAACGAGCCTCGCGATGGACAGACTGGAAGCTACCTACGCCGGGCGCATACACCTGGGTCGTCTAGCCAAGGGGCCTCCTCATCTTTTGAGCAAGACCGGCCCAAGACCTTCAGCGAGCGACTAGCCGCTGCCAGGACAGAGGAGGTCACCCGAAGAGACAGACAGGAAAGGATTCAGAAAGTCAGAAGCAAAGCTTTCGAGGTTGGTCAAGCTGAGGTCGAGAGATACAAGGAAAAGGCATCAGAGCTCCCCGATCTACCACCACAAGAAGAGACATTCGCACGTGAAGACGTTCTCTCCGGTCAAGGCATTCGGCGAAGGCGTGATGGAGTAGCACAGGACTCTGATACGAACTCATCAGCGGAATTCAATTCAAAAGCAAAGAAGGTGGCTCCATCTGAAGTTCCAGACGACGAGGCAGTATCGTTCGAGCCGTATTCTGGGACACATCTTTCGAAACGGATTCTTCCGCACAATCTTCTTACGCGAACATTCAGCTCTCGGAAACTTCTCCTGATCAAGGATCTTCTGGCCCAGGTCAAAGCTCCCGATTTCCAGTTACCAGAGATAGAGCAGGACATTGTGGTTCTTGGCATTGTGGCCTCGAAATCAGAACCGAAAACGCACAAGGCTCCGCCTGGCGGTGAACTTCGAGAGGTCAAGTCTCGCTTTGCAGAGGAAGAGCATCGCGCCAAGTACATGGTGTTGACGTTGGTAGATCTGAAATGGGAGATTGAGCTATTTCTATTCAACACGGCCTTTCAACGATATTGGAAGTTAACACCAGGCACTCTGGTGGCCATTCTCAATCCCAACATCATGCCGCCTCCAAAGGGCCGAGAGGCCACCAACAAGTTCAGCTTAGTCATCAACAGCGATGGCGATGCCGTGCTGGAAATTGGCAACGCGCGTGATCTAGGCTTCTGCAAATCCGTAAAGAAAGACGGAGACCTGTGCAATTCATGGGTCAATAAGAAGAGGACCGAGTTTTGTGAATTTCACATGAATATGGCGATGGACAAGCACCGTCTTGCCCGCCAAGATGTCAATGCTTATGGCGGTGGCATCGGCGCGAATAATAGGAAACAATTGAGAGAGAAGTTCTCCCGCGGCAGAAAGGACGAGGAAGAGCGCAAGAGAGGCCAATATGATCGCTACACAAACAGCCATTTCTTCGTGAGCCAAGCGAGCTCAGCGACGTTGCTTGACAAAGACCAAATGCTACCTGGACAAGTGGCAGACAGAGCGGAGCGGAGCGAAGCCTTGCGCCGAAAACTTGCAAGTCAGGAGAAAGAAAGAGAAATCATGAAGCAACTCGGCAGCACCGGGCGAGGTGCAGGGAGGGAATACATGAATCTATCTCGTGCCAAGTCAGTGTCTGGCACACTGGCCAGTGCAGCAGAAGTCAACAAGGACACTCTCAACGACGAGCTGAATAAACCAATGGATGCCAAGAGCCTCGGAATAGGCAAGGCTCCAGGCACAAAGATGCACCTCAGCCCGATCAAACGGAAAAGAGAAAATTCAGCCACAAGCATGCTTGGTAGATCAACATCAGCCGGGGCATCGCTTGGGTGGGGCGGCAACTTGAAGGACAAGCTGTCAAGAATGAAGGATGGGGAGAGGCTCGACGGCAAAACCGTCAAACCAGAGACAACTACTAATCTTGCAAGCAAAGTGGACAGCCCAGCAGCAGAACCACCGATGCGCAAGAAGACGCGCTTCGTCACAGAGAAGGGCATCCGCGAAGCCGGCCGAGATAGCCTCGGCACTGAGCTTGGAAAGGGACAGCCAATGGTCAGCCTGGATAGCGATGATGAATTAGAGATCTTGATGTAAGATGGTCGCTCCCGAGAGAAGGCCTGGTTTTGCTTGGTTGTGCGTGGCGTTGGGGGAAATTGACAGCAACTGTCAAACGATGCGAATTACGAGTGAGAGAATAACTCGGTATATTTTAGTATGTGATGATCACGGCACAATATTATGTTTTCCCTCTTCCATATTCACCTTGAGAGCAAGCACGCGATCCGGAACAAGCGTCATTTCCCATCACAGCTTATGAAACTACGATCATAGGGCAATGCAATGCAATTGTCCGTCCGTGATACCGGCATCTTGCATTCTCGCGTGAAGAAGAAAACATCTCAATAAATATGACAAAAATAAGGGCGGATATTGTGATTAGCTCCTCCGCTTATTGCCGAGCAATCTCGCATTGTCTATAAGGCTGGGCTTGGCGACCTTCCTGACCGGGTTCGTATGGGCGATGCCGAGCCACGAATACTACTACTCAATTGCCTGATCGGGGATTGCATCTCGTGCATGCGCCTTTTGCAGCAAACGGTGCTACCTTGCAGATGGAACCCCCAGAACAGATCATTTGTATGGTTCGTCTAATAATCTGACTCTTACTTGCAGCTGCACCTTCCGCCTAGCTTTGTTGATCTTGACCAAGCTATTGCCAAGATTGCAGTAATTGTATAAATAATAATTTGCCCCAGGTCACGATTGTTCGCACTTTCTTTTCACACCCCGCGCGCAAACCGTCGATTTCATCATCGTCATCACTCCTCCTTCTTACCCTTGTTACACCACCTTGTCGAGGGCCCAATTCAGCATTCCGTGACCCAGATTGCGATTGCCCTCAACTGCCCAGCATGAGGGTGTCTATGGCAGTCATGGGCCTGGTGGCTTCAATGCTGCCTGTCTTTGTCGGCGCCAGGCATGTCAAGAACATGCCGCTTGCTCCTCAGATTGCGGCACGACAGGCTGCAGCCAGTCGCCCGGCCTCTTACGATGCCTATTACTTCGACCAGAAGATTGACCACTTTCCCACCAGCGACAGGTATCTGCCTCATACCAACGACACGTTTAAGCAGACGTACTATTTCGACAATTCGTACTACAAGCCAGGTAAAACTTTCTTTTTCTCCCCTCTCCTCAATACAACTCCATCTTGGATGACGCAATTGAGTGCTGATATGAGCACAAAAAGGTGGCCCCGTCTTCCTGTACATTGGAGGTGAGACTAGTGGTCGCAGCCGATGGTCCAACATGCAGACTGGCATCATTCAGATTCTCATGGAGGCTTTTGGAGGACTGGGTGTCATCATCGAGAACCGTTACTATGGAACAAGCTACCCGTACAACACATCGACTACCGACGAGCTGGCCTATCTGTCTAACGAGCAGACTGTCGCCGACTTTGCCTACTTTGCTCAAAACGCCAAGTTTGCCGGCATTGATGATGATCTGACTGCTCCCAACACCCCATGGATTCTCTATGGTGGTAGTCTAGCCGGCGCCGAGACTGCCTTTTCCATCAAGCTGCACGGTGACATTCTCTACGGAGGCATTGCCTCGAGTGCTCCCGTCTACCTGACAGTTGGCTACCCGGACTGGTATGACCCGATTCAGAAATTCGCACCTCAAGACTGCGTGACTCGCATCAGTCGCATCGTCGACAACTTTGACGCCCTTGTCGATGCCGGTAACAGGCCCGCTGTGGACGCGTTCAAGTCGCTCTTTGGTCTCGAGTCACTGACTGACGATCGTGATTTTGCCACGGCGATTGCCAACCCGATTGGCAATCCTGGGTTCTACTTGGCCAACACTTGGCAAGAACTCAACTGGAACTCCACCTACGGTTCCAATGACTTTTTCGACTTCTGCGGTAACGTGACCGATGTCAATGCTCCAGAAGAAATCACTCAGGTTGACTACACGTTTGCCAACTACACCAATGGTCAAGCCTGGGATGGCCTTGGTGGTTACGCTGACTACATCAAGAAGTATCTGCTCCCAAATTGCTTCAACGGAGATTACAACAGCAACGACTGCTGGGGCACGCAGAACGCCAGCTGGTGGGCCGACGTGTCCAATTCCGGCACTCGCTCATATGTCTACACAAGCTGCACCGAGCAGGGTGCATATATCGACGCTCCAAAGACGGGATCGACGCTCCTCTCGCGCGTCATTGATACTTCGTACGAGCAGCAGTGGTGCACCTGGGCCTTCCCGGATGGCGAGTACAACAAGATCCCGGCTTCACCCGCTCTAGACATTCTCAACTCCCTTGGCGGCTTCAACCTCCAGGCTGACCGTCTGGCCTTCATTGACGGCGATCAGGACGTTTGGAAGGACCTGTGCTTCCACTCGGACTTTGCTCCCCAACCACGGCCAGAGAGTACTGATCTCCATCCACACTACCTCATTACTGGCGCCGGCCACCACTGGGACAGCTACGGCATTCTCAATGTCGAGGCTGAGCCCCAGTTTATACGCGAGGCGCACAAGTGGGAAATTCGAACCGTCAAGAAGTGGCTGGACGGCTTTGCCGATTGGAGAGCTGCGTTTGTCTAATATGCCATAGGTATGGGGCTGGCATACAAGGTTGTCCATCCCCTGCCTTTAGATAATGAAATCCCCACACAAGACAAAATCATAAGTAGATAGAAACGAATGTCTACAGATACTGTCCATGTCCCCAGTCTCGAACACTAAGAAAGAAATAAAAGAGTGGCTTTGTCCGACGTGTAATCCTCTGACTGGCTTCATTCTAACCCTAACCCCCAGGCTTGTGCAGGGTCGCGTAACCCAGTTGCCAGGGTTAAGTCCCATCTGCAATCTCGAATCCCTTTACATAATCCTCGTAATACGATAGGCGGATATCTCGTAACCGTACTCGCTTATCCAGCGGTCGTCATCGAGTAGCTCGGAGGCCGGGTCCAGTTGCCTGACCCCGGGATCCGCTGGATGAGCCGATCGCCGAGCGCGGCGATACTCTCATGGAAATTAGTCCAAGTATTGGCTCTCCATGCGGCGCCGTCTCTACCAGGAACGGCGTCGGCTCCAGGAAACGCAATGTAGAGAACATCCTTGGCATCATGTCCTTCTTCGTTAGACATGCCGCGACCAAAGCAGGCCGTTGCGAGCGAGATAGAGGCCGCGCCTACAAGGGGAGGGTCGGCTGCTGCAGTGTCGCCCCAGACGCCGTAGAACTAATTCCCACTTTTGTGTAAGCAGAATGGTATCAAAGATTGAAGAAGGCATTATTCTCAAGAAAAGACAACAAGTAGAGAGGGACCAAGCAACATACCAGCTTGTTATCACAGACGACTGCCATGACGCTCAAGGGCTGGATGCCGTAGTTCTTGGGGTCGAAAGAAATGGCAGCCACTTCCTGTACGCCGTGGCCTCCCCGACCGCCTCCCCAGCCACCTCCGCCATGGCCTCCGCCGCCGTGACCGCCTCCACTACCACCTCCAGGTCCTCCATGACCACCACCTGGTGGACCGCCATGTCCTGGAGGACCGCCACCTCCTCCGTGTCCGGGAGGACCTCCACCGCCACCATGACCGGGAGGACCTCCACCGCCACCATGACCTGGAGGACCGCCGCCGCCGCCATGGCCAGGGGGGCCACCACTTCCGGGGCCACCAGGCCCTCCGTTTCCAGGCCCACCAACATCGCCTCTGTTGAAATCATTACCAAACACAATGAACGAATGAATATTAGGGTCCAGATCTTGTATCCCTTTGCCGTAGCTCTGGACAGTGTCACGGAAAGCCGTCTGGCTGGACCGGTACGGGCTACTTGAGGGACAGCGGCCGTCGTTTTCGGCGCTGCCGCTTTGGATCGCGCCGTCGCAGTCTACGTCCATGTCGGCCAGCTGGGCATTGGTTCCCTGGATGTAGACGACATTATAGTCGGCGAGATGGTCGCCACAGTAGGAGAAGGCTGAAAAGCAGAGGTGAGAGCATCTGGGTTAGCTTTGATAGAATTCTCTTTTGCAGTTTTGAATGAGATCTTACAATTGGTTCCTGGAATAGTGCTGTAAAAGCCCGTGGCCAGTTTGTTGGTGCATGTGCGGTTGCGAAGGAGGCCATTGTAAAACTCCCTGATGTTGCTCGGCACCATGTTTGAGCGCGCCATGGCTCTGGGCCATGATGCCGAGGAAATGAGGACTACAATATTTCGCGCGCGCATCTTGAAATGATATGCACTGATTCTTTGGCGGATGATTTCGGGCTGTTGCTCACCAAGTATGAAGAAACTTGAAGTGCGAATGTTGACTTTGTTATATGTTTGATCATTTACATAAAGTAGCAGTCACTATAAACAATTCTCTATGTGGTCGGAGCCGCCGACCACTTTGTGAACCTTTGGCCTCCTCCAGTCGTTACATTCATGACGAAATATGTGTCAACACGAGCAAAGTGACAAGTTTGAAGCTGAACCCTTGCTGTGATGCTCGCTGCCTGTCAGGAAACATTGAGTCCGTGTTATTTCTACTTGTTGCACGTTCCATGTGGCAGCAACGTGTGTACACGTGCACAGCAAGTCTCAAGGCCGCTGATTTTGGTGCAACGCAGAATCAGGAACCCAGTTGCCCCTTTGGGAAGTCCTGAGTATCCAAATGGAGTTGCGTTCACGGCTAAAACTCCTCGTTTTTATGTTTGGCTTCATTCCACGAGTTCTGATATGGCTAGATCTGTTCCACTTCGAGGTTGTGTTGTAGTGCCTGTCGGACGTGGCAATAGCTACCGCGAGGTCGTCAGTGAGAAGAATATTGTCGTCGATGAATACCGTAAAGGTCGGGGAGTGCCCTGATAAGATCACTTCGAAGATTATTGATTCCATTGGCTGGGAACTCTAGTGACCTTAGAGGTACGAGCTCGCTGCTATCTATGCAGTCCATCGGGGAGCCAAGGCCAGGATATCCCATCTAACAGTGACTGCCCATTGAATCAATGAATTCGAGGCGGAAGATCCTTTACTATAGCAGAATCTACATTCTCTAGCATTCCCGAAGCCGAAGGGGAAACAAATTGCAGCTAACGGTTCTGGACACCAAAAGAGCAACTCCGAAGACACCGAGACTGCATAGCAGATGATGCTGGTAGTGACCTGATACCCCCAATAAGCGGATACTGCACTCACAGCTGCTAATGCCTCTACGGTCCAATGGTCTCTCTTTGCTCATCACCATACTGTCCTTGAGCAATGAGGACCATCCCAGCCAGCCTATAAAACGTGATGCACCTCTGCTGTGGGTGGTTCAGTGATGATCACGCTTGCATAAATAGGGCGGCTTATCTTTTGGGCAATATGCATGAATGGGGTTCTTGCTATAAATATTATGCAGCTGATGCAGGCAATACCACTGGGGGTTTTCATGTTCAAAATGGGGGCTGATACAGCTTGGGGTGTGGAGAGTGAGTGCATGACTATTTTTACCAGCATTCATTTTTGTAGAGCAAAAAGTATGTGGAACGATTTGAACGACTCCAAGATGTATTATGAACTGAATAGCGACGAAGAATCTGGCCAAGCCTGACGAGAGATATTCCTGTACAGCCGTCGTAGGACTATTTGCACTTTCATCAATGCTTTCTTGTTCCAGTCTCGATTTGCGGGGTTGATGGACCATTACGGGTTTACAATAGTGAGGAGGAACTCGTCTTATTAGACGCTGCGTAGAAAACTCCCAATATTTAGGCTCAATACATATCAACGACCGGAGTTGGGTTTTTGACTGCCAACACTAAGCAAGTATAAAGAAGCCATGCGAAGCAAACACTTAATGAATGACTCGCAATGCATAAAGAAGAATGTACGTTGCCAAAAGTCGTCTTGGCATGCAAAGCGGCAATAAGGCTGCCCGCTGAACTGTGATGCAGGGGGCATAATTCAGACAGGCAGGAATCATAATATGCATAACCCCCAAGCTGGGGCTTAGATGGAATTTGGCCCGAAAACACCTACATTGCTGTTTTATTATAGTAAAATCTTGTCTCGTGGGGGTTTGGTTATCCCAAAATCCGGCGAGAGTTCAGCTTTCGTGGAAGCACCTACATTGTAAACCCCAGCAGCTCTCGAATGCCATCAAATATGATAGTAGTCATGGAGTACATATAGACCCAGCTTCGGTGAACCAAGAATCTCCTGATGCAAGAGAAAGAATTTTGAAAATCCAGTGTCGGCATAATTATGAGATGCTTCTTGTCCCTGGGCCTATCCTTGACTGAACCTTATTCTTCAAATTTCTCCTCTTGTACCCCTTGTTCGGCGACGCTATGAAGATTTTCGACCATCGCAAGATCCAAAACTAGTCAATATGAATAATATGCAAGTCTATCTCGGTGTGTGGACCAACTGGTCCCGAGGAGCCGTGATGGGAGCTACTCTTACCACAACTCGAGAATACGGGAATCTCCTGATTGCGTTTACCGCCTTTTTCATTCCCTTTGTTGCCACACGTTTCTGGAGAATCTGTTGTTTCTTTCTGCACCGAATTCATTCTACGCCAGAGCCCAAGGGCGCGATTCATCATCAGCGACAAGTGCTCTTGCGCAATGCCGCCTCCATGGAATCAGCCTTGGTTACGCTGTTCTCCCTCGTCAAGAGCTGGCATGCTCGAAAGCATGCCAAACTGAGCACACTTCTGCCATTATTCGGTTTCACCATATTCATCGTCGCTGCATTTACTGTGGCCGGTGGATTTTCTTCTCGAATCTCGAGTGGCATAAGTGATGAGGTCTTGATTGATGGCAATAATTGTGGCATAGTCAGCATGTCTGTGGGATCAGGCTTGGACAGCTTTGAGGCCTTCGTCCAATACGTTTCGAGGGCATATACAGACGCCGCAAACTACGTCCAGCAGTGTTACTCAGAAGAGAGCAGTGGTGTACTCGATTGCGACAGGTTTGTTGTCAAACAGTTGAAAACGGAAACCATACAAACCAACAGGAGCTGCCCGTTCCGCGGAGATATTTGTCGAAGCAACAACACAAATATTCGACTTGATACTGGCTATATAGATAGCCATGATCATTTAGGGCTCAACACACCACCGAATGAAAGAATAGCATACCGTTATGTACTCGAGTGTGCTCCACTCAAGACAGAAGGATACGTTAGTCATGTCGTCCTAGTCAACGTTACCTGGGCTCAGTATCATTATGGAACCAAAAACTATGGAGGCACGGATAACCGAACGTCCTTGAATTACACTCATCAAGTCCAAGATCTGAGCTACCAATATCCCAAGGACTATATAGGTCAGATTACGGGGGATTTGCTCCTCAGGTACGTCAAAATTGGCGCGATATATACGTGCTCTATTTCCCTGAGATTAGAAAATTGAAGCTGTCTTTGTCAATACTGATGATTATCGATAGTAGTGTATATTCCACAGTCGAAAATGGGAAGGTCAGCTCAGAGCGATCAGCATTTCTGCCGATTCCCGCACTTGTTCGAACCGATGGTGACGTATCAATCATCTTTCTATCAGGGAATGGAGTATACTTTTTAGATCCCTTGGATGATGACTGGTACAGAGCGACGGTCCAAGAAAGGAGCATGACTTCAAGCGCAAACAGTGGATCGCGCCCCTTATATCGTCCCGTGGACGCCGCATCACCGCTAGGGTGTGTTGAGCAGTGGCAGTGGTGCAATTCAAACTACAAGGACGGGGGTGGTTGCGGACCTTTGACCTCAGCACTGGATGCGTTGAATGGTGCTTCTCACTTATTCAAGGTACCAGATGTATGGCAAGGTGCTGAGCGACCGTTTTCGAATACCTCGACTGGATCCCACTTCATTTGGACAGCTTTGATCGGATGGTTCGGAGATGAGGCTCTGGATTGGGCTGTCAAAGAGCTAAAATCTGCTGCTTTGGCATCTCGTTCATCATCTTTCAGCGGCGTCCAATATGGTTTACCCAACAACCAATGGCACCTGGATGTCCAAGGGTGGTGGAATACGATCCTGGCAAAGACGCAAGGAAACATGATCAACGCTGCTATTGGACATATTGATCCAATTCTGAGAAATTCATCATATGTTCCCACCAATCAGTATGAAAAAAACCTCTGTTACAACCAGGTACGTTGGCTATTCATACCAAGGGCGCTGCTTTGTTGCACAAAACTATCCTGAGAAGTAGTTATCCATTCTCACAAAACTTCTAGAAGGTTCGAAGCACCGGCTATACATCATTCAGCCTATTTGGCCTTTACTTCACATATATCACCGGCGGTCTCATTGTTCTTGTATCACTCATCCTGGAGCCTATCTTCGATTGTCTCCATAGTAGGTCCAAGTACAAGCAATACAAACACCTTGAATGGACGACAAATGAGACTTTACAGCTTCACCGTCTGGCTCATGAAGGAGCAGGATCACAGCAGTGGTCAGGATGTACGGAATCCGCCCCCACGACCGCGCCCGAAGCGAGCTTGGCCAGTTTGAACATAGAAGATCTCGCCCATCCAGTCCTCGCCCGGACGACCAAAGTCGAGCAGGAAGTGGTTCAAGTAACTATAGGCAGTTTAGACATTGATCTGGGGGCCAAATTCCAACTAGATATGTCCGATGGAAAGACCGCGGTCTATGTCAAAGAAGGAAGCGAAGAATCGGCAGACGACGATCTGACCGATAACTTTGGCCAATACTCTTCAACCGACACCATTGGATATTACGATTCACAAGACTCTTTGCATCCGATCCTCCCGACAGCACACAGCGTTCTCAGTGATCATGCCGCAAATTACGGGACCCGAGTCAGTCCCAATCTGCCCTGGATCTCACCGACTGGGTATAGAGAGGAGCGCTTCAGGCAATAGGGTGCCCTGATGGTATTAGCAAGTCGAGACAAATTGGTTGCTCCATAGGCAGGAAGAGAGTGTAATTGTGCTTCTGAAAGTAGCTCATCATACAAAATATTTCACATCTCGTGCGTTCAAACATTCATGGGCTCTTGCCATCTGGTTCCTCTAGCTTCCATTGTTTCGTATTGCACGCGAAAAGTTGCAATAGTCCACAGCGCCCGACATATCGCAACAAACTTTCTCTCGTCCCTCCTAATCTGGAAGATCATAGGGCGCACATTGCCCTGTCCGAGGCTTCCACAGAACGCAACTTTGTCTTAACGGCGGCACAACACCAAAGCTTGTGATCGAGTCAGTTCGTATCCGTTACAAATTGCCATGTTTTGCCCTTTTATCATTCGTATTCGAGAATATATCACTAGTTTCAAAGCGTACAGTTGCACATCGCTTGTAGTTGTGTCGATGTAACGAGACTATCGCGATTTAGCTTCCTTGCTCGTAATCTGGTTTGTTGGGAGGGACCGTCAATGAGAAATGGCAAAAGAACTACAGCTGAAACGATGAGATGTTCCATCATAAAGGAAGAAATAGCTTGTCACGTTCATGAAGCTAAGTTAGAAAATAACAGCAGACGACGAGATTCGTAGGACAAACACTGCCCTACAGTCGGCACCGAAATGTGTTTACGAAGTGCTTTCAGATTTGACTACGGAGTACTCGAATTTCAGGTTTGCTCTTTTGAATTTTTCTGACTTCAATGCTGCCTATTGTCCCCAGTTCCCCAGTACCAATGAGCATTTGATCCCATTAAGATCTCGATGCTCTCTAGGTGTTTTATTCATCTAAGAAAATGGCACGTCATTGGTTTCCTTTCCACCATAAAGCTTGCTCGAACCAATTTTGGCCCACGGTGTAAACGCATTATCAATACCATTGAGAGCCGGACGGAGCTCGGGAAAGTGTCGGGTCAGCACGTCCACCATGGTGTTGTTCTGCACCCAGTTCAACCCCTCCTGGGTATAGGTCTCGGTATTCCACTGTCCGGCGATGAACCTGTCACTCTTCAATCTCCGACTGGCCATGAGAATAAAGACGCGGAACGCCGTATCGCTGAATCCAAAGCCCTTTGGCAGCGGCTCACACAGCGAACCGACGAGTAGGTCGACTAGCTCAACCTTGCCACCGTACACCTCACTGACCTGGTCGGCGAGTTTCTTGTCACCACCCGTCAGCTCGAGAAATGTCTTGACCTGTGGCATGTGGAAGAGCTTTCGGAACTCATTGTATCTTGGGACACCTCTCTCGCGGTCTCTAAGAATGTCCACGGTGCCCATGTCTAGGTGTCTGCCATCTGGGAGGTAGAGGTCGCGGAGAAACTCTGGAGTGTTGTGGTGGGTAATGGCGCCAGGGTAGTTGATGCCAAAGGAGTAAAAGACGTCGGCAAAACTCAAGTCATTCTTCTCAAAAGGGGAACGTGCTTCCTCAAAGGCCACGCTCTTGATGGTCTTTGTGGTGTCGTGGGCGCCACTACGGACCTTGAAAAAGGCAATGTCATCTGGTATCAAGGGGTGAAGCCTGTAGACTGAGACAAACTCCTCAGTCAAGGAGTATGGGGCGGCGTACTGCTCAGGACCCGACCCGGGAATGCCACTGATGGCTTCACTTGTCTTGGAGATGCGGCCGGCAATCTTCCACAGCTTCTCACCAGCCAAACCCCACCAGTTTGCATTCATGGCAATCTTGAGGGTGGGGTGTTGGAGAATGGCTGGCGTCCACTCAACAGTATGAATTTTGGCCATGAGAGCACAGTTGATTAGCCGTGCCGTATCAAATAGCTGATCGCTTGTCCAGGTTGGGTGTGTTACTTGGAGTTGGCTGCAGATGGAATTGTGCTCCAGGGCAAAGAGCGTGTGAAGAAGCTCGAGACCAAGCCACCAATTCTCATTGAAGCCAGTCTTTGGGATGCCATCAGCGCCACGAGGAAGAAAAGTCGCGCCGCCCTTGAGATCAACCTCTAGTTTGCCATCTTGGGCCTTGGATCGTAACTCGCGCGTTGCTTGCTCGGACGAGCCGTAAATTTGGGATCCGTCCCACCAGTGAGTGTTTTCGTTCTTGTAAGCAGGAGTCTCCAAATCCTGCTTACTCTGTGGCTCATCAACCAGGGTCTTGTGAATCTTCATACCGTCCCCGTCTGACCACTTGTCCCCATCGGGTAATGGCACATTCCACGTCTTTTCGCTCCGAAAGTGTTGTGCCCAGTCGTGCACTTGAAACTGGATCCAAGCAGCGGCTAGCAGATTGACAATGGTGGCAGGTTTGAAGACGCCATTCTCGCGGGCCAAAAGCTTCTCGCTAATGACACGTGGGCTCGGAGTTAGCAGCATCTCCTCAGAGGGCGGCGCGGTGAACTGGCGAGGGACATTGCGACCGAAGCGCATGCATCGGCCGCCCATCTTTGGTCTCTCTAGGTCATTGAACTGTCCATCCGAGTTGCGGACCGATAGGTATTTCGTTTCTGGCATCGCGGGTGCCGAGGCTGTGCCCTGCTCGTTCTCATCCTCATAAGTGTCGTGCAAGTTCTGGTCGCGAAGCTCATAACGGAGGGCGAGCAGGTTGACCACACTCAGCCATGTCGGTAGTCTGTGCCACGGCACGACTGCATTGACAATTTTGAAGGCCCATACTAGGAGTCTTTGTCCAAAGCTGAGAGCCATGTTGTGTGATATCTTGGTATTTAGTAGATTGAGACAACTGTTGTAAGATCGGGTTTGATTGGAGTACAAGAGCAGTTTCTGCAACCCGGGAACTCTTCAGATTATATTTGAGATATCACAGGGCAGCTGAATCAGATTTCATGACTGTAAGACATTTGGGTGTCTGCTGTGTCACGTCAGCTTTTACAGCCCCTGGCGAAAAGATCCTCGGCGGGCTGTACCGTTGTACGCAAGCCAGTCACAGGCGCAATCACATCATGTACTCTGTAATCACGGTTGACCCGGTGGCTGTTGTGTCAGTTGAGAAATCCGGTCAGCAACAAAGTGTCCAATCAGTGGCCATAAGGCTGAGCACGGAAAACGGCTCGAGGAATGCCAGTCATCCATAGTGCAAGTCAAATCCCTGGCTGCCTGGCAATTGCACAAATGAATCAACACGTTTGCATGTGATCAGTGTGGTGCCAAGACACAACGTGGGATGTAAATGCAACCTCGATATGAAATGCGAGTTGTCAGGTGGCAAGCAGCAAGCGAGCATTTTCCCACCCCCCGCGATATGAGCTGTGCATCTGCATAGGTAGTGCAGTAGGCTATTGATGCAAGATAGGCCGACTTGTGTCTCATACACAAAATATGCCTTGCTCCAATATGGCTGAGCTGTGTTGCCGCAATCAAACTTTTCGGTTTTCTGACCGAGCCAGACTGAAGAATCCGTCATACTTGATACTTTCGTGGATGCAGGCGTAAAACGGACCGTTGTTGCTGGCTCGAGAGCTGATTCGTCAAATACCGTGTCAACCTGGGATATTTATAGTCCTTAGCTTCAAGCCATCATGAACTAACTCGAGAGCTTGGCGATCATAAATATTTACATTCGTCTCATACAACTTCGATGCTCCAAAAATTTGGGGGGAAATAGATTTGTTGTTTATCAACTGGTCAAATTTTTGGCTTCTGCTACGGGCTCGCGCTGTCCGGATGTCCGCTGAGGTAACGATCACCTCCCGAGAGCAACCAACGCATTCATCCGGTACGACGTTACTTAGCATGGACTCGGCTCGACGTTATCTGCAACACCTCAGCCGAATGCAATAACCTTTTTCAAAGAATGTCCAACTCAGCGGGCGCAAATTCAGGTTGAATCCGGTACATATTTTAACCATAACGTACAGAGTTATGCCGCTCGCAAGTCCGCCAAGGTAAGCAAGCAGTGAGCATTGTCAAACCCCCCGCACTCGACCGCTTCGTGCAGGGCAGGTCAGGGCTTCCACCACGACGATCTGGTCAGCTTGCAGGTTGTACAAAGTCGCACGTTGAGCAGTATCAAACATGGGGCAGCATCTGGATCCAGGCCGGCGTCCAATAGACACCAATAGGTGCACTGCGGAGGCTTATAAAGGACTCGACAATGACGAAACATCTCGCTGAGATGAGCAGGAGCATCGCTGCCGCCGCGATGCAGACAACGACAATTGCCATCGGGAAGTAAATGTCCAATCCATGTCTTCTTTCGTCTGGCTGCCTCCTTTCGAGTATAGAAGGAATCACCATCACCAGGTAAAAGACAGCGCACAACACCAGCAAGACTGGTAGGCCAGTCATGATGACAATGCATGCAGTTCTCCACATTATGTGTTCCACCACGGTTGGATATGCCGCTCTCCAAACCGCCAGGTGAACGCCTCCGTAGATTGCCGGCAACAAGACTGTGAGGAGCAAGTTGTAATTTTGAAATGGCCTTCCCTCATTGCCGCCGAATGTGGATAACAAAATTATAAGTCTATTCAAGTAGTCCACGACGCGAGATTCTTTTTTTCGTCGCTGGAGTTTCCCATTGGAGTCCTCTTCCGTCGCCATGAGGTTGTTATGAGAACCCAAATTCAATGGTGCGCTATTGAAGTTGTCCCCGCGTAGTTCCTTGATTATTGTTTTGATAGATTGGTTTTGATGTTGTGATCCAATCCATTCCGTGTGGTGCTGGGTTATGTAGTCCACAATGTAGTTGAGATGGTGTCTGTCCAATTTAGTCATCACTTTTGCCGCTTCAAACGTCATGTTGAAGTTATGTGAATTATTCGAGCCGTTGGGCAATGTTGGGCTTGCGGACCAGTTGAGTATCTTGATTCCAGGGGCATTCCGCTTGTCCTCGCTGATGGGCCCGCCTTCATTATTGATGAATACGGAATCAAGTCGAGATCGCATACTGGGAGAGAGCAGCCAGATGTGCGTGTTGAATTCCAGGGCACCGCGAGTCGTGTCGTCCAAGACTTCAGGCTCTCCAATGTCCAGTGGTTTCTACAAACGCTTTGATAAGTATAATACCAGAGCGAGGATGATGTAGTCTTTTCATTGATCCACTTACCATCCACCAGAAACCATACATGGTTGCTGCAGTCACGACATGGACTACTGTATGTACCTCGAGCAAGGATAGTGGTAGGCCATATGCCTTTCTCACGATGCATTGCAAACCAAACCAGCCAACTTGAACCAGGACCAAAGCTTTCTGGGAAACATTTGCCTTGCTTTTGTCAGGGATCGATTCAACGGTAATGGGTAACCAGTGTCCCATACACAAGAGTTGATACACGCCGTCAGCTGTCAATCTATATTCAGGTTGCTGCTCTTCCGACGTTGTGCTAGAAGTCTGTTGGTCATCCTCGTCCCATTCAATATCAGTGAAGTTTGGCATAATCTGGATGCCTCCCATATCGATGAAGAAGCATAGACGTAAATCGATCAATGACTGAGGTTACTAGTGTCAGTAAGGAAAGCGTTTACTAGAATGAAGATGCCATGGGCTTCTCACTTCGTGTGGCAATCGGCGGCTTTCATTCTCGTCGATACTTCCCTTCTCACGTAACCTTCGTAAAACTTTGATCAAATGTCCCTGTAGTCTTTGGGCACGGAGGAATTGAATTATCGACATGTAGATCATGACTTCGGGTGCTAGCAGTGCCGTTATGACCCATCTGATCTTTATGGCCAATACCCGCCACATGTTTCCTTTGGGTGGAATATTTAAATGCAGAGCAGTATAGACGCAGGCAAGAATCGTCAGCAAACATGAGAGCAGTATAGCTGAAGTCCCCCGAATCTGGGGACTATCGACCCATGCCGGGGCCTGAATCGTGCCTAGAGCTGCTGGATCATTGCGATCCCTGAAGTATTGATTATAGAATTCAAAGGCGTTGGATTCCGTGCCACCACGTCTCACAATTGAAGCTTCGGGTAGAATATGGCTATACATCATGAGGAATTCTCACGATTCGTTTGAGGAAAGTTTCGTGAACGAGGTTTCCCGTGGCTATGTTTGTGTATGTGTGAGAGAGAGAGAGAGATATACAGTCGGAGAGAAAATAAAACTACAAAAGTTCATGATAGCAATTGGTGATTGATATCTCTGTGGAACAGGCTCGATTTCTTTGTTCCGCTTCCATTCCCACAGCTGTGTCACATTCAGCCGCAACGAAACCCCTTGTCCTTGGCATGGCGACTATTGGTGTACCCAGAATGTACGAGTTAAGGGCAGTCTAATTGCATCTGCAAAATGATAAACGAAGCTGGCCTAGCACACGGAGAAACTTGAAGCACTTTGTATAGGACTACAAATACACAGAGCTCGCAATCAGTGGGATTCTCCGATGCCGATATGATGTGCGTTGCATTCCCATATGTTCCTCTCTGTCTAAGCCGCCCCAAAGTCGTGGGGCATAAATTCAAGCCTGGACGCGACTAATTGACTCACAATTGAATACAACTAATCGTCCCAAAAATTCCCAACAAAGTTACCTATCGTTAGCATCTTGATTGCACAAGGCAATATGATATGTAGATTATAGCCACCGGCGGAAGAGACTAACGGCCCGCTGCCAGGTGCAAATCCCGACCATGTTTTCCACCGCCTGCTAATAGTCTAAACCACCACCAATGAGAGAAATTGAAAGATTAGGCATGCAAGAAATATCAAGCCACTATTCTCGATAAGAAAGTTCCCCGTTCGATTTCATTCAGGGCGATCACTCCTCTCCTCTCCTCTATTTAAGACGAATCACGTCTAGACCTCATTCTGCACACTGAGATAGAAAGCAAAAGCTACAATTCCGAAACCGGAGCCACCGATAACATGGCGGCTCCTCGACAAATCAGTCTAATCACTGGCAACGCCAACAAGCTCGCAGATGTCAAGGAAATCTTGGAACCGAGAGGTTTCGTGGTCAGGAACCAATCGTTGGACATTCCCGAGTTACAAGGCACCATTGAAGAAATCACCATTGCGAAATGCAGAAGAGCGGCAGAGCTGGTTCGTGTCTTACTAGTGATCAAAGTCTTTTTGAATGCTTTGCTGATGGGGTTTTTCGACTGTGTACAAAGGTAGGAGGACCAGTCTTGGTAGATGACACGGCATTGTGCTTTGAGGCCATGAACGGAATGCCGGGCCCGTACATCAAGTACTTTCTCGAAGCTCTGGGGCCGGAAAAGCTGCATCTCATGCTGGCCGGCTTCGAAGACAAGAGAGCGCAGGCGGTAGCCACGCTCGGCTACTCGCAAGGACCAGGCCACGAGCCCGTCTTGTTCCAGGGGCGCGTCGATGGCCGGATCGTGGCGGCGCGCGGCACTCTGAGGTATGGGTGGCATGCTTGTTTCGAGTTTGAAAAGACGGGCCAAACCTTTGCCGAGATGGAGGATGCTGAGAAACACAAGATATCGCATTTGGGAAAGGCATTGGATAAGCTGGCTCAATATTTGGAACAAGGTGCGCAGTCATGAAAGGAGCGCAACAGTTAGGCGACTGGTCCGTTACTAGATGATAGAGCATAGATTTTGAAATTCAGCAGGTACTTGATACTCTAGATCACAGTTTATACAAGGCAAATGCACTGGAATTTTTTTTACTTTGATTTTTTCTTTGTAATACAATGTTAAGCCTCTTTCTATTAAATCAAATGGTGAACTTATAGTTTGATCGGATCTTTCGTCCATAGTTTATATTTCTATACCTCGTTCATAACCCGTGACATGTTTCTCTCTGTTGCATTTACTACGTTACTCGTCAGCAGTCTGTTCTAAAGAATTATAAAAAGTAGTCGAAGAAAACTCACCAAGACTCAGCATTAAAAACCCCAGCTCATCCGCGTCTTCCAACCAAATTTCAGCGCGGCGATTCATGACAACCTCGGGATCGATGCCAACAAAATCAGCAAACATAAAATCGCGGCCCTCGTCCCACTGGGCGAGCCAGCGCCCGTACAGAGTCGCCCACGCACGTTCGTCGGCCGCGTTCCAGAGAAACTTGGCCCCCGGGCCCGGCATCCGCGCGAGCTCCCGTCCGCCGTCGTACCGCGCGCCCCGGGGCCCGTGATACACCGAGTAGGCCCAATGCGCCAGGTGCAGCGCGCACATGGACCGTCGTTTGGCTTCGACGTGGGCCCAAACTGTCCAGACGGGGACCGCCCGCGCCGTCTCCTCGTGTAGGATCAGGCCCGTTGCGGCCACGTGGTGCCCGAGGGCCTGGATTTGATTTAGGAGCGAGGGCGGGATGAGAGACTGTGACGTCTGGGACGGCGTGGGAAAGATCAAGAGGAGGAGGTATATGACGACAGACTGCAGGGCGGCGAGGAGGGTAGGTTGGTCGTACGTTCGATGCTGTGTCACCTGTCAGTAAATCGCAGAGGAACGGAGTGCAGAAACCAGGACCAGGACAAATAGATACCTTGTTAAATATAACTTCGAGTTCTTCACGAACGGCACCACCGATTCCGGGTCCAACACTGGCATCACATTGGCCCGACCATATCTTGCACAACGCGATACAATTTGCCAGCGGCCTTGGCGTCCCTTCTTTGAACTGCAAAGGATGGATAATGGGGGGTAACTGAAATTCCTTGGCCAACATGCGTGGCCAGGAGCGAAGGACTCTAAATATCGTGCGCACTGATAATGGTCGGGGTCAGCGTTGACCCCTCCTCTTGGGAGTAAAAACGCGATGGGCAGAATCAAAAGGGGGAGGCGCCATTCACAACTCCGTGTTCCAGAGAGCACAAGAGGGGGGTATTGACTTACTACTATGCTTCAACACGGCATCCCCGCCATGTGGTCCGGGTCTCCCCACCGATTGTGATGACCACTCGTCGAGACCGTCACCACTCGGCGAGGGATGCGGCACCGCGCTGGGCGTTGTGTGAAGCAGATCCAAGCCCATACCCGCGTCCAGAAACGAAGACATTTCCAGACCATCCTCGGACGACGAGAAGAAGCCGGGCGTCAGGGCGCCATGGTGTGAGGTATCGAGGCTGGCAAAGTCATAACCCAGGGATGCTGCCGCCGCAGCCGCCACCGTTGTCGACGAGGAGGACATGGCCTGCTGCTGCTGCTGCTGTTGCTGCGGGGCGGCGGCGTAGGGTGAGAGCCCATGAGCCGACGATGCCGACGAGGATACCGCCGACGATGGCGCTACAGTCGGCAGCGGGACGTCGGAACAGGAGCCCGGGCTTGGGCCCGGGGTTGGCGGAGGTCGGACGTAGATGCATGCGGCGCCTCGACCGGCACAACGAGAACACGCGGGCCGGGCGAGGTCACATCGGGCCTTGGCTGTTGTGCAAGCCTTACAGGCCTTTTGGCGTACAGACGTCTTAGGCTCCAGAGTACATTTCTTAGCGTGTCTAATGAGTGATGATTCTGGCAGAATGGGTGGTCAGCTCTCGGAGGATTTGTTTGTGATGTGTGTCTGTGTTTTGCTATCGAAAGGGTAGGCTTTGAACTAGGCGAGAGTATCTAGTGGTGGCTATAGTGCTTCAATCGAGGAAATCCTATACTGGCCTGCACCAGTGGCGTATAAGTGGACACTAATATCTGAGACGTGAAAAATGAAAAAAAGGGGGAGAGTTTCTGGTAAGTATACTCACTCTGCCGAAAGGTCTTATTACAGAGTCCGCACCGATTTTGGTGCTCCAAAGTGGTGTTCATCCTGCTGGCGTCATTATCATCACTCTTTATCATTATTATTTAGTATGAAAATCGGCTGGATTGAGTTGAGTCTTTGGAACACGGAGATCCGGGTCCCGTTTACACAAGGATTTGCTTTCTTAATCCAGTCGTCAAATACCAATTGCCAGTTGAGTTGTTGGATGCTTGAATAAAGTTCCACATGAGAGTTGTACCCGGAATTCCGAGGAGCGCCCGTTGCTGCGCTTCTCTTGCTCATAAATAGGAGAGAAACATGAACAAGCTAAGCCTTTTTGCGGACTAGCGGCTCTTGTCAATATGTGCTATGTTATTGCATACCACTTTGTCTAGGGGAGGTAACTTACCTACTAGTACCTGGTAAGCCCCGGGTAGGGATATCCTCAGTAAAAAAAAAAGGACCCAGTCCTGTGGCTGACGACAAGCTAATTGATGTCATGTTTGTCTAAAGAAATGCTGAAGTCGTATTCTGATCATGACCAAGTGAGGCTTAGATGGGCGGTGTATAGAAGAAGCTCCTTTATCCTATGCCATAGGCCCATAGCACAATCATCAGCTTGTCCGACAGGGTGGGCCAAAACATGTCGTATACTGTCAGAAATTCTGTTGGGATGTTCAAGTTGTTAGATATTTACAGTCCATACTCATCCATCCAAACATCGTCTACCATGACGGAGAAGGATGTGACGCCCAATCTGGAATATCCCGCCTCTTAAATAACACCGGCATTTCCCTACAAGGATCCTTGGTATACCCGATGAAACGCCGTGATATAACGCCCCAGCCGTGCAATCAGGAGCTTCGCCGATATGCGAAACCAACATGTATATAACCAGCCATGGAGCAGTCAATTTCTTTTTCTTTTTTTTCTTTCCCCCTTTATGTCATGTAATACTTTGGTCCCTCGCCTCCTTGAGGTACTGACCAGTTGATGTCTTGCTTTGGTGCTTTGATGTCGCAGGTCTTGCAGTGGATGCAGCTAGGTCAACCGAGTTAGTTTGTAGTTCATCATCAGGCTTATAAATATGGACTCACTTTTGTGCGTTGATCTGAAACCTCACTCCATGTGGCTTGGACTCATCCTCGACATACTCATAGACACCAGCAGGGCAGAATCGGTTCTCGACACCCTTGAAATCTGGGTATGTGGAGTCGGTGTGAGCGTCCCAGTCCTTGACTTGCAGGTGGACCGGTTGGTCTTCCTCGTGATTCGTGCCTGTTCGCGATACGCTGGTGAGGATGTCGAAAGAGATCTTTCCGTCGGGCTTGGGGTATTCAATCTTCTTGCACTGATCCGCCGGCTTTGTCGAGTCGTGATCCGTTGTCTTGTGCTTCAGAGTCCACGGCACTCGGCCCTTGAGAACGAATGCCTCAAGACCAGAGTACATCACACCGCCGTACAGTCCCAGGGGGCTGTGGAAGGAAGGGCGCATGTTTCGCACCTCCTTGAGTTCTTTCCAGATGCTAGATTTGCGCAGCGACTCCTCGTAGTCATACAAAAAGACCGAACCAGCATCACCGTCCTTCAATGCACCCCATGCAGCTTCAGCCGCAAGCATTCCAGACTTCATGGCGTTATGGGTACCCTTGACCTTGGGAACATTGACGAAACCAGCGGAATCTCCAATCAAGGCACCACCTGGGAAGGCAACCTTGGGTATCGACTGGAAACCGCCCTCGACCAGTGCTCGAGCACCATAAGAGATGCATTTGCCACCCTCAAGTACGCTCTTATACATGGGGTGCTGCTTCATCTTCTGGAACTCGCCATATGGTGACAGCCAGGGGTTCGAGTAGTCCAGAGCAACCACCAACCCAATACTGACCAAGTTGTCTCCAAAGTGGTACATCCAGCCACCACCGTAGGTATCTGCAGGAAGCGGGTAACCCATAGAGTGGCTGATCTCGCCCTTGTTGAACTTTTCCGGCTCAATCTCCCACACCTCCTTAATACCTAGAGCGTAGGTCTGGTTCTGGCTGTCCCGCCGGAGATCAAATTTCTTGATTACCTGCTTTGTCAGACTGCCGTGGCAACCCTCGGCAAACATGGTCACCCTGGCGTGGAACTCCATTCCCCTTTCGAAGCCATCCTTGGGCTTTCCATCTCTTCCAAGGCCCAGGTCGTTGGTAGCGACACCCTGCACCGAGCCGTCTGGCTTGTAGAGCACCTCGGATGCCGCAAAACCAGGGTAGACTTCTACGCCAACTTCTTCAGCTCGCTCACCCAGCCATGATGTGAATTGGTTCAGACTGAGAATGTAGTTGCCATGGTTGTTCATTTGCGGCGGTGTAGGCAACGGAATAGCACTACCCTTGGTAAGGAAGCGCATCTTGTCATTTCCGGCAGGCGTAGCATGCTCGAATCGATTTGGGTTCTCCTCGTCCAGCCAGTCCGGGAACAGCTCTTCGATTCCACTGGGCTGAATTACAGCACCAGACAGGATATGTGCGCCAATTTCACCAGCCTTTTCCAACAACAATACCCTAAAGTCCTCGTTGCCGGCCTCGTTCGCTAGTTGCTTGAGCCGAATAGCGGCGCTCAGTCCGGCGGGACCTGTGCATAAGAAGACCAGTAATTAGCACGAGTCCAGATGTGTAGAGAGGGCTTGCGTTGTATCTAAGCCATGTACATACCGCCACCGACAATACAAACATCAACTTCATCGCTCTCCCGATCCACTGACTTGGGATCGAAGCTCTCGTCGACATCAGCGAAGCGGAGTGTTCTGGTTGTGCTAAAGGGTCGAGCTGACAGCCCGCGACGAAGGCTAGAAACCGTCGTGGCGGCAGGGGCTCTATGCCTGCTCCATTCCTGTGGTGCTGCAATGGATGCCCTTGCGGACTTGTACAGTCTGCCGCTCAATCCTGAGCGTGTTGGTACTGCGCCGCGGCGCATACACCTCTGGAGGGGAGCACAGGTCGACATGGTGTGTGTGTCGGGGGGCGATTGTCGCAATTGAGGTGTTGTGCTCAATCAACGAAGAACAAGACTTGTTTTCTGTTGTCTGAAAGGGAAAAGCTTCGATATTGATCACCGTGCACTCAGCGCCATGAGGCAAGATCACACAAGTCAATTGGGGATATGGTGTGTGTGCTGTATGTGACTGATGCGCCAAATAGCAACTTGTGCGCAAATGCTACAAATGCCCTGCGTTGACCTAGGCGAGAAAAGGCAGCAGAAGAAGAAGAACGAGCGATGACATCAAAAGCTGCAGTCAGTGTGTGTCTTCTCTGTGCTGCTGCGACCTCGGTAGAACCCGAGGTTCTTTTTCCATTGGATTTTACCGGGAGCTGCTTTTTTAGCTCTTGAACAAAAAGGCATTTCGCCGGGGGTACCCGCATAGCAGCGGATCCCGGCAGAACCCAACTGGCCTATGAGACGCCCTCCATTACTGAGGTGCTGCACTGAGCCGAAGCGCCCGCGGGTCTATATTCCGTACGACCAGACCACTAAACCCCAGGATTCTACCAAGTACATACAGTAATTCCGAGTTAATGCTTTACCCACTTTTGCACCACTCTCGCCCACTTATGGTCTTGATACTTGATCAGACTCAAGAATAAGGCTAGTAGTGCACTTGCTGTCGTCTGTACATTCGTGGTATGCATGGTCAAGAGACTGGATGGTTATCTCGTCAGACAGTTCAACCAAGGTACCCAATGTTTCATTCATGGGGCAAACGTTGATATGGCACTGTAGTTCTATCTGGAGACACGTGCCATGCCATTGATTCCAACACATCGTACGTAGTGATAAGAACTATTAATTATTTCCGGCATCATATTAACCCTGGAGAAATAATACGGATACCTACGTACCTATTCAAGATCTGGGGTTCTTGTGCTGTAAAACGATTGGGTAATCCATGCACTATAGCACGTGCAAATCCAAGGTAATGTTTTCACTTCACTCTAAACTTTCCAAAGAATCATGTTTATTCATAAAGCGTCAAACAGTAATCTCAATAATTTTTTTTCTTCATTTTCATTATACTCGCTGCTATGGGTAACCACAAAATGTCCCTCTAAAAAGAAGGCACGCAAGACCATACCCGTATTGCCTTGGCTAAAGAATACACAGTAAACATTTCATCTAGTCTAGCTAGACGGCCAATCCCTTTTTGCTGCCCGAGAAAACATGCCGAAAAGGGTTTTTTCTCTTCCAGTAATAAATCGTGTCTAGAGCTATTACAAACGCCTCGACGCCGCCTGGGGGGTCGTTTGGCCTCCCAGGTAAGGATGGCGACGGTTCGCTTCGTACAGCTCATTCCTGACAATAGAGCGAATGTGGGTATACATGTCATGATCTGGAATTTTCCCTGTCATGATACAGCAGTTTGAGAGGTTCAACCAACCTTTTCAAACAATTATTACTACGACATCACGAGAAGCTTTTCACTCCTCCTTCTCCCTGCGCTCCTTGAGGTTGATGCCCAGGCCGGAAAGAATGTCAGTTAGGCCCGAAGCGCCTCCACCAGCGCCTCCGAGGAGCGACGTGAGAGCATCAGTGCTTGCACCTGAGTTTGCGGCACCAGCGTCGGCTGTGGCTCCGCCAGTCAGTTGGCCGATGAGAGACGAGAGCGCATCCGTGCCAGTGGCGTCGCTCGCAGCAGCATCCGCGTTGTTGGCATTGTCGGCACCGGCGGCGGCATCGGTAGCGTTGCTAGCAGCAGCATTGTTGTCGTTGTTCTTGTTCTTCTTACCGCTCTTGGCGTTTCCAGTATCAGTGGCTGTTCCATTGGCGGCGGCAGCGTCTTGAGCGGCCTTTGCGGCGGCCTTGGCTGCCTTCTTCGCCGCCTTGGAATCAGCAGTTGCGTCTCCGGTCGAGTTCGAGGCCGTCGCAGCAGCAGTAGCCTGGGCAGCCTTTGCAGCAGCCTTGGATGCTTTGGCGGCAGCTTTGGCGGCCTTCTTCGAAGCTTTGGCATCTCCTGCATTGGCTGTGCCGTTGTTCGCAGCGGCATCAGTAGCAGTAGCAGCGGCATCTGTAGCCGTCGCCGTGGCATCAGTAGCAGCAGCGTCGGTAGCTGTGGCTGTGGCATCCGTAGCAGCGGCATCCGTGGCAGCAGCGTCGGTAGCACTGGCGACGGCAGTGTCAGTAGCAGTTGCGTCGTCGGCGTTGTCATCATTGTTGTTGTTGTTGTTGTTGTTGTTGTCGTCAGCGTTATCGTCGGCATTGTCATCAACGTTTTCAACGTTATCGTCGACATTGTCATCAACGTTGTCATCGGCATTGTCAGCATTGTCGTTCTTCTTCCTGGGGTAAAGCGGCTGGTTAAAGGCACGAGCCATCAAGCGGCGTCTAGTGCTGGCATCAGCAGCATCGGTTGCGGCGGCAGCCGATGACGCGGCAACAGCAGTATCAACGCTTGCTGTAGCTACGCTGGCGGTAGCAGTATCGACGCTTGCCGTCGCAGCAGCGGCAGAGGCGGCAGAAGCTGAGGCGGCAGAAGCAGCTGCAGCACTGGAGCTTGCAGCGGCGGCAGCGGCGGCGGCAGCTTTCTGAACAGGAGTTAGTATAAGAGTAGTTATACATCGTGTTGGGTTGTATATTCTCACCTTGCCCTTCTTTCCATTTCCGGTAGCTGCGGTTGCTGCGTTCGCATTTGCAGCATTCGCGTTGGCGTTGGCGTTGGCATTTGCAGCATTGGCATTTGCATTGGCTGCGTTGTTGTTATTGTTGTTGGCATTCGCATTCGCGGCGTTCGCATTAGCATTTGCTGCGTTGTTGTTGTTGTTGTTATTATTGGCATTAGCATTGCCGTTCTATAGTAATAATTAGTGCTTAATACTTTTGTACAGAAGAGTTTTACATAATAAGCTTAGAACATCCTTCTAGGTAAGGAATACTGAATACATAACAGATATGAACTTACAGCATTGGCGGCATTAGCAGCGGCGTTGGCAGCACCACCGTTTCCCTATGTTATTGTTAATAAGATCTCTTGATATCCAAGCACCGTGGATCAAAATTTACATTTCCTTTGCCACCCTTGCCCTTGCCCTTGCCTTGACGGGGCAGAAGCTCTGCGCCATGGTAGGGAACGGCTCTGGCAGCAGAGTCTGATTATGGAAATGATTATTAGCGTGACTGAGTGCTTCGATAATATGGGTTCGATGAGGAATGCTTACGAGGCTCATAGACCATGCGTGGCGCCACACCTTCCTCACGGACAGCTGGAAGAGATACCACAAAGTTGGCAGAAGCTGCCAGCAGCAACAAGGCAGTACCGAAATTCTTCATTTTGGCGATCGAAGCTAGAATAATTTATTGGGAGAAAAGACCGGCTTGGATAGGCAATCTAAAGTGAATGAGAGTTGCCGAAGAAGAAGAAGAAAACACGAGCCCAGCTGTGTTTGTGTCAGCCTTGTCACGATCGTATGTCTTGTGCAAAGATTATGTGATATAACTTACCTCTGTATGCAAGAACCAAAAAGAAATACTGGATGACAGAGAAGGTGGATGTCGAGTGTGCAAGAAAGAGATCGGGTAGGACGGCAGCTGGGAGAGTATAGTATTTATGGCCGTCCAAGAACTCAAGAGCCTCAGATCGTTCGGGAAACACTTGATGTTGATCACAGGGATGGTCAACATCGCTACCACACACACATATTCCATCTTTCTTTCCAGACCATGATTAGAGTTTGTGATGAACCAGCATCCCAGGATCCCAGTATTGGCAAGCACCGGCGGTAAACCATGTCCCAATCCAGAAACCGAGGAATATGCTTGCTTGAGCGGTGATATCGGAGGTTGCGATCGCTCGCCATTCTTTCAAACGTGCGGCTCTGTGCCATTCTGGCCAATAAGAGACTGCGGTAGTCAATTCTCGAAACGCGGAAGGTGTGTTATAAGATGCTTTCTGAAGGAGATCATACAAGTGGAGTCGTGAAGGTGGAACAGCTGGGGTCGAATAATCCTCTGGGAAGTGACCGGGGGCTCTAGGTTGTGACGAGAAAACAAGAAGAGAACAATGAATGGTCTGGGCGTCTCCTCTTGGATGTGTATTGGTTTCGATTTCCGCCAGACGGGAATTGCCAAGAAATCTTTATTTAGATATTGGAGTTTTGTCGATCCCAAGCAAGAAGAAGCCAAAAGAGAGAGAGAGGCTCCAGTGATACACCATCATGGTATGGGGGAATGGCCAGGCCTTTCAAACCGGAGATCAAACGCGGACCACTTCGAGATCAAACGTGGGCCCCAGCAAGCGAAGCGAGCCAAAACCCGACCCCCGGTCCCCCGCGCTGTGTTGGGTGCGTGCGCCAAGGTTCCAACTGCCGCTCGCTGGGTGATCATCAGCAACATCGCGTTGTAACATCAGGAGAGAAAGGGAAAACATGGCCTTTACACACGTGCGAGAGACGGACCAAGACCAGTGTTTTCAGATGGCAGCAGCGAAGATCCCCGACCTTGAAGGCGCAGCGCCAAAGAGCCCGTCACATCATCATCAGGTCCAAGTCATGGTGCGAGTCGTCGTTGTTTCATGGAACGTCTTGATTCCGGTTCCAAAAGGTCAAAAAATTCATCGTAACAAGTCCTCGCCAAGCCGCCCTAGCGCTCGCCTACGGCAGTCTTTGGAGCCCTTTCACAGACGACCATCACGGCGATTCCATCAGAAAGACAGGATGACAGCCGCACAAGCACTTTTGAATGAACAAGATGGCAGCAAGTATTTCTTAAAAAAAACTCCATCAATATTACCGGATGCCAAGAGCAGACAGACTATTATAAGATTCAAGCGCTACCGCCTGCGTAAATATAGTTGGACTGATCTTGTACTAGTTCTACAACGGGGCAGAGTATACTCTGTAAAGTGGCGTTTATTTACCGGGAGGACATCGTGATGTGGGGAACCCCGAATCCTCGTCACGACTCGAAAAATACAAGCTTAAACTCCGCAATGCTTTATTCATCTTCTTATGACCGATTGTGGTATTGTTTGTTGCAAGCCCTGCACGAGATCGACTCCACCAATTCCAGCGCGATGCCCTTACTTCCATGTATATCCACTTTGTGCTTTGTCTACTACTGGGCATCGAACCCGGATTTTCGCACCTTTTAAACTTGCACATACAAATATACCTCCATATCAATTGGCTGACAAGCAACAATGAAAAGCTCGAGTGACACAAACTCTATTTGTCGATTCCCATGCGTCTTAAACTGCCGCCGGCTCTGCTTATTTGGTGCATAGACAGTCATATAATATGCCCTGTAGTTGGTCAAATCCCGTAATGGTTCTCATCGTCACTAGCTTCTTATCATATGTGGACTGAATCGGGGAGTTTGGTATGGACCCTCACCTGGTTTGCAAGATGCAAGCAAGGCATTCGTGGCTAGATCAAGTGGAATGTGGTCCAGCCGTGATAAGCAAGGCGACGATCTGTTGGTAGCGAAACGACTCGACTCCTCCCAGGCCGTGGGCCCCTGGTTGCCTTGTGTTCCACCTTCCCAGCCGATGTCCATTGTCAATGCATTCCGGGTCCCCATCAAAGAGGATATAAACCCGGAGGGCTTCCCTGCGCTCGCCGTTTGAGACTGCACTGCCTCCTTTCTTTCGATCTAGGCGAGTCAAGTATGTCATATCCTAAATTAAGCACAGTCGTGGTCATGGTATGCTCTCATGGAGAGATCTATTATTATGTGAAGGGTATTAACTCTGATATAGAAACTGGAAAGGCTGAATATAGAACCTCTGGCAGCCACCATCTTCTTCATTCACCATTGAAGTATCATGCACTCGAGAAACCCCGGGAAATGTGTTTGCAGCAGAGTCCCACGTCCAACTCATTTTAACGTCTATCCGTTCTCTTATGATCTTTGGTTATTCGCAATAGACTTTCGATGACGCTTGTAATTATCATTGGAGAACTCCGATACAATTCTCATACGTTCTAGCAGGACCAAGCACCTGTATCGATTGAGGTGCTGTTATATGAACAAACGTTACTCGTGGGAGCTTTCGTCCAGACAAGCATCGCATATCCACTGGAGGGCCAAGAGTCATGGCTTTAAGGCATGAGGTAGAACCTACACCAAAGTGTAGGTCTATCATGGACGTATGACCAAGCTTAAATGTTTTCACATTTGCATTTGCGTATTTCTTGATGCCTCTAAATCTAGTCGTTTGCATACTACTCTTTCTGCTGCAGCAGTCGAGAAGAGACCATCAACTTTTACAAGTCGCGGCTGGGTCTAACTTTTGTGATAATTTAGATTCATCTTCTGGGCAGTTGAAGTAATCCTTGATGAACGAGACCAGCAACTTTCGCTTGTTAAGGTCATGACCTTGCAGTTATTCTCACGGATCGTTTGGGTCTAACAGCATCGTTCGAAACATTTCTGAGTTTTATGAACCCCTGCTCGTGAGGCCAGATGCTTTTCTAGATCAGTCGATCACGAGAATTCCTACAGACGTTTGTCAACATTAATGAAAATGACGGACGTTGGACAGACTCCAAAACAAAGCCATAAACAACTTTGAAATCACGCAGAGAGCATCTTTGACGCGGATATCTAGGAATAAGCACTGTTACCGGCATGATCTCACGGAACCCAATCCTCCACGTTCTGCAACTAATGAACCTGATGAAGCGTGTCCTAAAACTCACGATAAATCATCATATCTCCGCTGGAGCCTTTTCTGCTCTCGTATTCTTAGCTGTCCTGCTCGAGGCAGTGGGCAAACGATAACCACCATCGCAACGATCCAGGAAACCAAACACAGTCTTTGAAGACAGCCACCACTGCATATAAACATGCAAGGCAAAAATCAAGCCTCTGGAGTAATTGCTATTATCGGACTGGTTTCTCGGCAAGCTGCAAGCTGTGGCAGTAAAAGGCCCGAGTCCCCGAGTTTCTTCTGCTTGGCCCAAAACGTTATGCAGAGCCACAACTGCTTTTGAATGCCTTCTACTCAAGCCACATATAATGACGGGAGCTTCAGCCAAATCTGATTATTAGGTTTGCTTCAAATTAATTAATACTTTCATCAAGCTTGGCTATCTCAATCGCAGTATCAATGACCAAGATAGGAACTCACAACTTGCACAAGAAAATCTTTTTACTTCATTTTCCCGTTTCTAACTTTCCATTTCTTCTTCTTTTCTCGAAAAGAAGAAGAATAAGAAGAGACCCATTTGAGTGCATATGGTAACTTGCAACTTGCGCTTCATAGGACCGGGCTTTTGTCCGATATACGGCAATATCTTAGATTAATGTATATAGCAAATGCACACACAAATGTTAATATGATTTCACCGGCAATGATGAGCGATCAGCCTTTCCGTGATTGAAGTTGCATATAATAAACCGCTATATACTCTGATACGAGACTAGCATGTCCATGCTTACCCTGCTTTTGCTGGAATCCTTAACATTCTGGTTGAGACTTACAATGAACGGTTCGCATATCTTGGTAAAAGTCTCGGGGATTCAGCAATATTAACTCTAATGTAAATTTGACAGCTCAATCGCATTAAAAACAATGGTATACAATCATTTTGAAAAGCTATGATCTGCAGAAGCTCTGAGCATAATTAGCCTGATGGCTGCCAGTTGTCAGATAAGGGCCGCAATTATTTTATTGGTGAAATTAATAAGACGCGGGCGGGTATACTGTTGAACCCGCGCCGCACGGGCTCGGAATGTAAAAAGGCGTATTCAAAGTCAGCACAGCATGCCAATGGAAACAGGTGTTGCCGCGCAAACACGGCAGCAAGCAAGAATGTGACTTTTGTTTGCCCGCGAAGTACGGATAGCAATGACATCATGCGCAAAGAAATGTTTGTGACTCTCGTGATGCATAGAGAGTATACACAATTATGCCGTTGTCGGCCTGTAAAAGGAAGCTTCTCTCCTTCATGTGTTAAAAAAAAAAGAGCCTCCCTATGGCTGCATGATGCTAGGACAATATGCAGTTTAGTATAGATTGTCGTCATCCTTAGCATCTTTATCTATCACAGGCTGCCTGGCCAATGACGAGCGCTTCTAGGCTGACTCGCAGCAGTGTTCGAGACGATGCGGAGTACAGTGTCTCTGGCACTGGCTACCCGCGAGTACTTTGTTTGAATCCGGTCGGACTTCTTGCAACTCGCGTCTGGTCAGCCAGCCCGCCTGCATTGATGGAGCAACCAGCGCTTGCCTAGGGTCAATGCGCCATTCCTGTCGCGACGATATTGAGACCAACACGAAAAATTGCCAGTCTGGTGCGACGCGACACTTATCTGTGCTGGAGCCTGGTCCTCAATCAAGAGTCCACAAGAGAATATTCTAGACAAGCTACAGCAGACGAAAAGATGTGACGCCAGGGTTCTACTTGTGCGATGCTCGCGATGGCCCATACCATTTTTTTTTTTTTTTTTGAGTTGATAAGGCCACGTCGGCTGACTCTGGAAGTGCGACAGGAAGGAAGGCTGTGAATTGCGACATGTTTGGGTTACCATCGCGTGTGAGTCATAATAAAAAGAGCTGCGACGCTTCACGGCGGATGGCTGAACGAGGCTGGGTCGCTAGGTATGCCGACAGCAGGCGAGGTTTTTTTTTTTTTTTTTTTTTTCTCTTCCTTCTCCAGAGAGAACCAAGGTTTCCACAGGGGTGGTGCTCCTGGGAAATGAGCTGATTGCCGGTCATGATGAAACCTTGCTTACGAGTACCCACCCGCGACTTGTCGGCCATTCGAGACACTGGCAGCGATGGATCCTGGAGAGAGTCGAGCCAGTCAGGACCTAGCATCTCGATGGCCTAGACAGGCGAAAGAAGTGGATGCGCAAGAACCTGTCAGAACCCAATAGTACCACTGCGCGTGCGTCAGAGCAGACACGTCGACCAGATGACTGACATCGTAGGAGACTTGTCTAACTGTTGATCTTGGGCAAGGCGTGAGGAAGGAAGAGTTTTTCTTGGGGGCGATAAAGGGAAGGAGGAGTTAAAAAAATCTGATCCGTTGTGCATTACCAGAATGTAATAGACCATGGCGTAAAAAGTCGTTTTCATGTATCTCGGAAATGATGAAAACCAGGGCCCGTTCCCGGGGGGCAACGACGGAATAGTGTAGTGACGGGGGGGAAGGAAAGCAAAAGAACCCTATCAAGCCGCCTCAAGCCAAGCACTTTTTTTTCCCCCTCTGCTGGTCGAGATATGTGTTTTGACAGGAGGCGCGGCGCGGAATGGTGGAAATTGCTCTTCTCAATACAAGAAGTCGCACACTTTGCAACCAGAGCGGATCATCAAAACAAACACAAGAGTACGAAGCTTGTAGTAAAGTATGAAAGACTTGTGTCGCTCGCCGCAGCAGTCATTGTCTTGTATCCCCAGGTTGCATCTGAGCACGGGAAGAGGGTGGTGATGATATGACAACGCGAGGCGATGCGATGCGATGTGACGGAGATGTCTTTGTGTGCGTTTGATTCTTTGGTTCGTTCGGGTTGGTAAAGTCCCAGAAAGCCAAGGACGCCGCTGAGGCAGAGACAGCCCAGGCATTAGCCAAAAAGAGCAAGAATGAGAAAGAAAAAAAATTAAATAAAAAAAAACGAGGGAGATGGGAGGGGCAAGTGTTTCAGCGGATGCGCTCTCTGAGATCCATCCGAGAAGCTTGCTTTTGATTGGCTTCCAGCGGCAGCACCGGACTTTTGGCTAGTATCTCATTAGCCACAGTGCGCACTGGAATGGCACCAAAGAAACAAGGTCGCCCTCGATGCAGTTCCATTTCAAACCTTTTCTTCTCCTCTCACCTTCGTACACTTCTCTAACCCGGCACTTACCTGGTCAACCAACCACCAAAAAGAGAGTGGGAAGGGAGAGGGAGAAATTTTTTCTTATCACTTCGACCACACCGGCGCCAGCGAGTCGTGATGCCATGCGACTCAGTGGTGCACTTTAACCAATGTCAAGCGGTGGGTGCGAAAACTCTTCTTTTGACTTTTCATCTTCTTTCTCCCTACTCCTTCAGCCGAGGCAACAGACTGGATGCTTGCAAACACTCGTTCGTTCGCTTCCTCAGTCGCAGCAATTCTTTCAGGGTGCATGCACACAAACAAGCGGCCGCGACGATTGCGTATCCCAGAGGTGAGTGGCTCAGGTAGGGCAACGGATGGACATTGGCAGCAGCATGCCATGCCATGCCATGCCGATGCATGATCTTGGTCGTTTGAGGGCACTTCTGCGTTGACCAGTGGCCCTGGATTGACTGGACTGGACTGGACGGACCCCCCTCCCTGGATGGAGAGGGACTGTGGCCTAGGGAGACACTTGGACTGGCTGGCATGTGTCGTACAGTGGAAGAGGGAGCCCTAGCAACGCGGCGAGACTTGTCGGAACACCTGGGGACTGCGATGCAAGGAAGAGAAAAAAAAAAACAAATTAGGAGCAGATAGGGGCCCGATGCCGAGGTCTTATTGGCCGACGCTAAACTAGCGCGCTCACGCACATGGCAGGATTGGTTCAAATTTATGGACTCCCGCCACACGAGGGGGGCGTCGATGCCTTAGAAACGGCTGGCGGCGGTCCTGGGGCCCGAGATTATAAGAAGGTCGGCTTCCCCCTCATTTCAAAATTTTTTTGAACCTCCTGCGCGGATTCCCCGACCGACCTAGCCTCACGTATTGCCAGCTGCCAACCTGCCAATACGTCTGGCCTTTTTTATTTGTCACCTGCCCTCCCAGATACCACCTTCCAATATCTCCACTTTAATTCACTGTGGTGACCGGCAGTTGTGTACGCATCCGGCGATATTGTTCATCACAGACAACAAAGCCAACCCAACCCCCCCCATTCGTCACTTGACGTCACACTTTGCATTCATTAATTATCCAGTCCTGCGCTCGTCCATCTGTTCTCTTTCCAGCCTTGGCAAGGACAATCGACAAAGACCTACTTCTCCCGACGACCCTTCTCTGTACTAGAGAAGCCGTTCCCAGTCTTTCCGATCCTTATTGTCGTCGCTACGACATTTAGACCCGAGCAGTCGCAGAGACCGACGACCGTCTTCTCTCGTCCATCTCACAATCTTCTTCACGCGTCCCGCTGCTGCACAGGTCACGGTGCCGTGCTGCTAAAGAAGATTCCCGCTCCTGTAGACAAGACCCCAAAAGAATTAAAGAAAATCCCAAAGTGAGGGAAGGATCCGATTCGAGTCGCTGCCGCCGTCTTTGTCGCACCGCATCAAACCCGATACCTCGACGACATCGTCAGCGTTCTTTTCGTATTCGACCTCACGCCTCGTATTATCAAAAACGTGTGTGTGCTCTTTCGTGGTTTGATACTTTTCGTCAACCACTCCATCAGCTATCCATCAGGCCGAGCAGCTCTTGCTGTGTTGGGGAGACATTGACTTGTTCATCTCCTGCACGCCATTTGGTAAGGCAATTTCTCTTTTGTCTCTCCGCACCAATGATGCCCATATCCATCTTTCCCAGTGATTACGCCATCTTGTACTGCCCAATCCAATTGTAAGCGTCTTTGGAGCATTGTTCGTTGTCGCTGGGCGGCGGGTTTTGCTTCACCTGGCGCGCCTTCCCCGGACCCACTGAAGCTGCAACATCCCCGTTTGCATATCGCCCCACCATCTCGGGCGTCGTCTTCGTCGTTTTACTGAGCAACGGGGTCGTCGTCGAGCTGAAACCACCACAAACCATCTCCAAAATTTATTGAGGCATCTTTTCTTGGAATTCATACCTAGCACAGCACCCGTCAAACCTTCCTGCTAGTCGCAACCACACACCTTCTATTCTCTGCACCCGTTCGTCCCAAACTCAACTCTAATCAGACATCTAGATCTGCTCTTCTCTATCCAATTGAACACCTAGCGTGATATCTGTCTCGGACATCATGGAGGGTATTCAGACTCACCCCGCTACTGCCGCGCAGGCCATGGCCTTCACGGCCCCGGGTTCACTGTCGTTCCCTGGCGGTGCGCATGAGCTCACTCCCCCTGCCAGCGACCCTGCCAAGCGACCTACCAACGGCCAACCTGCTGGTGCTGTCAATGGTGCTGGAGTGACTCCCGCAACCCCGGCTGCCACTCCTGCTGCAACTCAAGGTGGTAGTGGTTTGACACCTACCCTTCAGTATGTATTACCTTGATGACAAGTCCTTGGTCATTGTTGCACTCTGTGCTCACATGCATTGTCATTAAAGGAACATTGTGGCTACTGTCAACTTGGACTGCCGCTTGGATCTGAAGACCATTGCTCTGCACGCCCGCAATGCTGAGTACAACCCCAAGGTAAGCTTCAGTAGCGCGGGGTCATGCACTATCACCCCGCTTGGCTGCACATGAAGGTTGCTAACACTGTTCAGCGTTTCGCTGCCGTCATTATGCGTATCCGTGAACCCAAGACCACCGCTCTTATCTTTGCCTCTGGCAAGATGGTCGTCACCGGTGCCAAGTCTGAGGACGACAGCAAGCTTGCTTCGCGCAAATATGCCCGAATTATCCAGAAGCTTGGCTTCAACGCCAAGTTCACTGATTTCAAGATTCAGAACATTGTCGGCAGTTGCGACATCAAGTTCCCCATTCGTCTTGAAGGTTTGGCTTCGCGCCACCACAACTTCAGCTCCTACGAGCCTGAATTGTTCCCCGGTCTCATCTACCGCATGATCAAGCCCAAGGTCGTCTTGCTCATCTTTGTTTCTGGCAAGATCGTCCTGACGGGTGCCAAAGTCAGAGAGGTATGTGACATCTATCCAATGTGACAACACGAATTTTGACTAACATTTCCCAGGAAATTTACCAAGCCTTTGAGATGATGTACCCTGTCTTGCAAGATTTCCGCAAGGTTTAGGCCTGGCACACCCCCACCCCTGCACTTTCCGACCTCCAAAGTGCTTGTAAGAGTTCGATCACCAATAACGAGATCACGAATTCCCCCCGACACAGACTCATACCATCAGCGTCTTGACATGACCTGATGCTTGAGCCTCTGTGTCTGTATCATTTCAAGTTTCTGCATCGCAACGGCGTTTCATTTGGCATGGCGGCTGGATTTTGGACTGGACCAGAAAATTCGCTTGGTCCCTAGTCCACATAGATTGATTTGCGCACTGCATCATGGAGAGCACATGCGCTCCTCGGTGATATTGCTCTAATTCGACACAAAGAAGATATAAACAAACATGCACAAGAGAGCCACGATTTGAGGTGGTAGAAGTGGCGCATACCCACGGAAGATAAGCACGGAATGGATGACGAGTGGGGAAGCAGCAGTTAACGGAAAACATACACTGAGTCACAGATGAAATACTCACACTGGTGGACGTCCCGGCTGAGATGCCTGGCCTTGGCGGATGCATTCAACTCCCACATGCACTCGCCCATGTTTCCGTAGCTGGCCCAGCCATGAACAGAAAACAAGTAAAAGCATACGTCGCGGTTTTGTTGGCTCTAGGGCATGAATACATCACCATCGCGAACAGTCTGAAGAGTCTTTGTCTTTGTCTAACGTGAAAGTGCATGTTGTGGTTAACATCAAGCATAAGCATTGTATGGGATATTGTAATTACTCGGGTGAACTGGGATAATTTTACGCTGCTAAAAACAAGCAGTTCTCCTAGTTCATAAGCGACATGATTGAATAAAACTGAAAGTAAATTGATATGAGAGTGAGCGAGATAAGGGAAATGCTTGAATCTTGATCATCTGCGAGGTAACTCTCTCATACTTCTTGGTTTGGGCGATGCTTACTAATTATAACGTGAACTGCCTCATGTCTGCTGATGAGCAATAAATTAGTACACACATCTTTGCTACAGAATCACTCATACTCATGATGACTGCGTATTGTTTGCTTTGGTAATTGATTCCTAATGATCTTGGAGACCCTCTTTTGATAGCTCTGGTACATTCGACACTGACAATCCGCTGTGTTTGAGTCTCGTATATTTGTACGGCACTCCATCTGGCTTTCTGTGAGCTGCATGTGCTCAGGGAAGCCTAAATCCTTATTCGCATCGTAATGGTCACCGCCATCGTACCAAATAATGCGCTCACCTATCCCTTTTCCTTAGATAATCAAATGTATTTGTCCAAGACACTTATAGGCGAGAACCATTCTTTTGGAGCTCATTCATGAGGATGAGCCCTACCTTGCCACCTCGGCTGCCATCCTCGGTGATGATTTGCTTCTCAATATCCTCTGGCTGCTTCCAACTCCACTTGTCCTTGAAGTCTAACGGGTAATTTCTTTCGATTGTGTCGGCAATCTTGTCGCCAAGCACGGGAAGAAATTTGAATCCGTGCCCGCTGCCACCCGTGGCAACGAAGAGACCGTCCCAGTGCGGGTGGTATGTAATTAGAAAGTCGCCTGTTGCAGTGTCTGTATACCAGCAGATGCGACTGTGCGTCCATGGCCGATCCATCAAGTCGGGCCATGGTACCATTCTCCGAAGTCCCGTCCTCAGATCCCGCTCACCTTCGGCAGGGACCCAGATCTTGGAGTCGTCCACGTGTGTGTATGGTTGCGAGACGGTAATCTCTGGGAAGTTGGACTCTCCTGCCTTGGCCGGCACCACTAGCGCCGAAGTGATTTTCCGAGGATTTATATAACCGTACGCATGGCGGCCAATTTTGACCATGTTGTTACTTGGGGTGATCATAAAGGTCGACTGCGTCATATTCATCAAAACGGGCACGTTGGCCAGTCTCTCCTGCTCCCGATCACTGATGGGCGTGTACGCGAGACATTGCCCCGTCGCTACCGCATGGCCTCTGAGGTCTACCAGGCTAGGACTCCAGGCGCCCGCAGCCACGACGACGAGCTCAGCCCTCAGTGTCGTGCCATCACCAAGCTTCGCACCCGTGACTCTCTTGCCATGGACCTCGAGCCTGTCTACCGTGGCGCCTACAAACTTGACCCGACCAGTCTCCACGACGCGGTCGTAGAGCCAGGCCATGCTCTTCTCAGCATTGGCCCAGCCGCTTCTCTTGTTTAGGTAGCCCCAGTCGCCAAAGGGGGCGCCGGTGCCGCTTGCCAGGGCAATCTTCTCGGGCGAGTCCAGCTCAACAATCTGATGGCGGCCCTCGAGCTCGACGGCATTGATGTAGGCGCTCTTGGCGTACCCCAATCCCGTCTTGGTGACGCCGTCGGCCAGGACCTCGGGCCCCTGGTCGGCGCAGATGACGAAGCCGGTCTCGGCGTAACGGCCCTCGCCGCCCCAGGAGTTGGGACCGGGCTTGCGCCACTCGTCCTGGGCCGCGGCGGCCAGCTTGGTGTAGGCCTGATCCGCATAGTCGGCGCGGACGATGCGCGACGAGTCCATGCTGCTCGCATCGTGAGACGGGAAGCGCTGCTGCTGCTGGTCGCCGTAGGCCCGGTCCAGCACCGTGATCTGCGTCTTAGACCATGCCGTGCGTTTGGTGAGGGCGTAGGCCGTGGACAGGCCGAAAACGCCCGAGCCGACAATGAGGATAGATGAGGGCGGTGTGAAGGAAGAAGACGACTCTGCCATGTTTAGGTGACGCTATTATTCTTGCGATTTCAAATCAAATAAAACTCAAATGAACTGGGCAGTATATAATAAAAATGAAATAGACCAAAACCAAGGCTTGTTATGCCTAATGAATGCGTGCGCATATACCTGTCAAATGTAGGAAGCGATATACGAATCAAGACCCGTTTAATTGGCTTTTAGTCAAGTCTATAATAGTCCCAAAACTCAGGCTCGTTCCGATGATAACCATGGGACAGAAGAGTGTACATACAGTACGGAAATAATGCCCTGATATTCCCCATTACTGGAGCCAATGGAGAAGAAAAAATCGTTCGTTTTTTTGAGATAAGACGAGCTAGTAGACGACGATATCGGATGCATGTGGATCGGATGCGTGTTTAAGTCTTCAGTTGCGGCGGATCCCGTTTACCAGTGGCCAACCTGACAAGATTCATGAGCTTCCCAACAAGAGGTTCTGTCATGTTTGATTGAAACCCAGTAATTTTTAATGTATTAGTAACATGATCGCAATATGGACTCTTGTCAAGGCTCGATACTGCTTGATTTCACCGTCGCTTCGCTCAGCACCAGGGCAAGCTATGCTCTCCAGTGGGAACGGTTTTTGGGCTGGAAACACTTTTTGACTTGGCATTAAAACGACTGCACCTGAGAGGCCATGTTACGTAAGGTAGTCGCACCAAATGGCAGTAGTCTTCTCGGATACATGATTATGAAATATATCTGTTAACAGTTTCAATATCTAGACTTTAGGAAGATATTAAACTTATGGAAAAAGCTGGTAAAATCACTTTGAGGCTTCTGTTGTATAATCGAAGTATAAAATGTGTTGGCTGGGTGTTATTAGTTCTACATAAAACCCATGTGCTAGAGCACGGACCTTTTGGTGGATATCCGGTTGGTCGCGTTGAGCTTGGTTAGTTAGCACTTGACAGGCCGCCGTTCAATGTTGTCGACAGCTTACATTGATGTACCACAGCTAAGAAACCGCAGCTTCGTTAACACAACGTGTGCATCATTAGCATTTCCTTAAAGCCTTGTCGCCATGCCATTTCCTCAACAACATTCAGCTCCATGTACTTCAGAGTGATCAACGATCCGGGCTAGCTTGAAAGGCAATCGATTGGTCCGGTTCAAAGAACTTGCTCTCCACGAGATCTTACGGGTCGAGCAGGAGTAATTGAGTCCTGTATGGCAAACTGACTCTCACTTTCTACCTCCGCCCTCTCTGCGCCTGTTAGACGATAGTCTTGAATCATGTCCTCGTCCAAGAAGGTCGTGGACTCCTTCCCCGACGTCGAAGCGAAACTATCCAAGGCGCACAAGCAATCCGCTTTCGACAAGGAGAGAGCCGACCGAGAAGCGAAGCGCAAGCGGGAAGCCGCCGAGACTGCCGCCGTCTACGAAAGCTTTGTCAAGAGCTTTGACGACGAAGACGACGGCGATGACGAGATCAGCGCGATAGCCCGGGGCGGATCAGGCACACCGTTCAGTAGATCACAAGGACCTGGAAGAGGAGGTTTCGCGCCCGTCGCGGGGCCAGGAAAGAGACATTTTGGGGCAGGTCTCAAGAGCGGGCCTGGAAGCCTGGGTCCTGCTCCGACAAACTATGCGAAGAGCGGCCCAGGCAGTCTAGGGCCGAGCCCGTCGAGCTATGGCCGGAAACGGGGATTCGAGGATGGTTTTCGACGCGACGACGATGGTAGAGGCGGCCGAATGGGACGTTACGAAGAAGACCGGCAATATGATGCGCCAGCCCCAAAGAGCGTTGCCAAAGCTTTTGATACGAGCGATGACGAGGCTGAGGGGAGAGCCTCCGATCGAGCCGATGAGAGAGCCATTGCAAAGCCGACGCTAAGACTTGCCAACCTGCCACCAGGGACATCGCCTGCTGTCATCAAGTCCATGATACCCTCGAACCTCAACGTTGAAAGCGTCAAGGTGCTTCCTCCATCAGTACCCAATTCTAACGAAAGGAAATCAATGGCAGCCATTGTGATATTATCTCCAGATACACCAGCGACCGACATTGATGCTGCCGTCAGTCTATTGCAGGGCAAATACCTAGGCTTTGGGTTCAACTTATCATTACATCGTCACTTGTCGTCTGCACTTGCGGCTTCCACAGCCACCTCGTCAATTACATCAACGACTGCGTCCCATCCATTTGGTGCAAAACCTGTCGCTTTACCAAATAATCAGAACAATCAACAAACCCATCGTGGATTTGCACCACCTACATCCTACGGCCCACCGGGGGCCCCGTTGAACAGATCAGGCTTACTACATGTTCCTATCCAGGCCCCAAAGGATATCAAGCAACTCCAGCTTATCCACAAGGTTATTGAGGCTGTATTAGAGCATGGCCCTGAATTCGAAGCTCTCCTAATGTCGCGGCCAGATGTACAGAGGGAAGAGAAATGGGCCTGGCTCTGGGACGCTCGCAGTCAAGGCGGTGTTTGGTACAGATGGAGACTATGGGAAGTCATCACAGGCGTTCGTAGTCGCGGCGGAAAACCCGGCAAGTTTGTGCCCCTCTTTGAGGGCAGCCACGCCTGGAAAACGCCCGAAAAGCCTTTGGCATTTGAATACGCCACAAATATTGAAGAATTCATCTCCGAGTCAGAGTATAATTCTTCTGACGAGGAGGATTATGAAGACGAAGGTCACAAGCCGAATGATGGTGGTCCGGGAGGAGAAACAGAGACGACATACCTAAATCCTCTCGATAAGGCCAAGCTCGTTCATCTTCTCGCCCGATTGCCTGCGACACTAGGCCGGATTCGCAAAGGCGACATTGCCAGGATCACCACATTTGCCATCACGCACTCAAGTAGAGGTGCCGATGAGATTGTTGACTTAATCGTGTCCAATGTGCAGAAGCCATTTGGATTTACGTCTGCCAATCCTGAGCACAATCAAAATCCACAGCAGGAATCTGATGGAGCTGCCAAAACTGGCGAGTCGGGCCCTTCAACGCCAGCACCTGACGACAAGGACAAACCAGCCAATGGAGAACAACTTGATACGAGCGCCGCAAGTCTAGTCGCCCTGTACGTAGTCAGTGATATCCTATCTTCGTCGGCAACGAGTGGTGTTCGACACAGCTGGCGGTATCGTCAGCTATTTGAAACGGCATTACGAGAACGCAAAGTCTTTGAGTACCTGGGACAAACGGCCGAGCGCCTCGGTTGGGGCAGGTTGAGAGCCGATAAGTGGAAACGCAGTGTTGGGCTCATACTTAGCCTTTGGGAGGGTTGGTGCGTGTTTCCCGCCGAAGGTCAGGAGCTATTCGTCAAGAGTTTCGAAAACCCACCCAGCCTGGCAGCAAAAGCGACAAGCGAGACACAACAAGCAGCAGATGAGGATGATGCTGGGAAGAGAAACGGCGGCAGATGGAAAACTGTTGAGGCTGGCGGTGCCGAAGCCACCAAGGGGTTCGAGCCGGTCAGCATCGAGTCAGGAGCTGGCTATGACCCTAACGCGGAGAATATGGACGTTGATGATGAAATTGACGGCGATGCCATGGACGAAGATTATGGCGACGTCCTGATGGACAGTGATATCGACGGAAAGCCCATGTCGGAGGACGAAGGAGAAATGGACGGCGAGCCAATGGAAGAGGACAAGCCAGACCCGCCAACTTCCAAAGACCCGCCAACTTCCAAAGACCCGTCAGCAGTGGCAGTATCCTCTCCACTGCAGCAAGGAAATGAAGAGCCTCCTGCGAAGGAACCCTCGGAAACCGCGGACAAGACTGCGCGGCCGCCCCGTCGTAGGATGAGGGCAGTGGACATGTTTGCAGATGACGACAGCGAGGGAGATGGCTGATGGAGGTCTAGAGTATAAATAATAATACAATGAGCATCCCAAACTCATCAGACCCATAGGAAGCCTCTTGCTCAGGCAAAGAGATGATCCACTCTCGAAAAGCTGACTGCTCATTTATGGGCGTCTTATCAAGCAGCTAATTAAGCAAAGGCATCTATGTATTACAGTGCATGCTCAGAATTATTCTCGTAGATACAAATCATTCATCATAAATATGTATTGTTTTGCTGTCTTTGTGAATGGTCTGTCATGGGTTGTTTTATTCTAAAATCGTTGTTGGATCAACCCTTAAAGTATGTAATGTAATGCTATTGGCTACCTTGGGCAGTGACGTCTTGATCTGCGATTCTGGATCTTATCTAATCAAACAACCCTTACCCAGCCGCGTTACCTTGCCTCCACACTGATCAGGTACTTAGACAGGTACCTAGTATCAACTCGTCTTAGGTTTGGCTTTACGTACTTGACAATCCAGAAGAACTTCTGCTTACTTACTTACATTGCTTCCACTTCCTGCCCCCGAATCAATTGGATGTGACGCCCAGCTGGATAACTGCTTTGACCAGCATGGCCGCTTCTGAGCAGCGTTATCGCGACTATTCTGCCAACGATGATGACTACGACCGAGCTCGACCAGTAAAAAAACGACGTTTTGAGGGCGATGACGAGTCTCACGAGAGCGCAAATCAGTCCAGACATTATGGCCGATACGAAAGGCACGAGGGTCGCGGACATCATCGATCGGCCTCGCCAGACATGACGCAACGCGATAGAGAAGGGGATGATGCTGCAAAAGATGAGCACCGTCAACGACACCGCAAGCGACACAGGCATCATCACCATCACCACCACCGCTCTTCGCGCCCCGCGCCACCCGCAGAGTTGCCTTACGGCGCACGCCCTATCTCTAAATCCGATCTTGACCTCTTCCGGCCGCTGCTGGCAAGGTATATAGACGTACAGAAGAACAAGGATATGGGCGATATGGACGAGCGCGAGATCAGGGGCCGTTGGAAGAGCTTTGCAGCCAAATGGAACGAGGGTACCCTGGCCCAGAGTTGGTATGACCCAGAGTTATTCGAGGAAACGCGACAGTCTGGGTTTTGGGACGTGAGCAGCAAACCGAAGGCCACGGGCAGAAGTACCGTAGGCACAGAAGATGCGTCGTCGGCAGGGGAGGAAGACAACGGCGATGGCACAGCTAGAAACAAAAGGTCGGGCAACGCCGATTCAGAGGGTGATGACGACGAAGCAGACGACTACGGTCCCGTACTACCGGGCTCTTCACAATACCGTTCCTCCGACAGGCATGGGCCGGGAATACCAAGCCTACAAGACCTCGAGGTTCGGCGCGAGATGGATGAGGAGGACGGCCTCGACAGTGTCTCGCGACTCCGGATGGAGCGCAAGGCCGATCGCGCGGAGCAAAAGGCACGGCTGGAGGAGCTCGTACCGCGCGCCGAGGCCGGCACGCGCGAGCGCAAGCTAGAAAAGAAGAAGGAAGTCAATGAGAAGATGAAAGGTTTCCGAGAGCGGTCTCCTGGAGGGGCGACCGAGGTCAACGACGGCGAGCTCATGGGCGGCGGGGACAGTGTCGAGGAGCTCAAGCGGATGCGGGCTTCGGCCGAGCGCAAGAAAACGGAGAAGGAGATTCGCCGCGAGGAGATCCGGAGGGCCAAGGATGAGGAGCGCAAGGAGAAGCTCAGGGAGTACCGAGAGAAGGAGGACAAGGCCATGGTGATACTGAAGGAGTTGGCTAAGCAGAGGTTTGGTTGAGTCCGTTGACCCAAACGTCAAGAATATGATACCAGTAGCGATGTGCAATTTTCTGGCTCTGAAATGAGTATCACTTTTCCTGTGCCTTGAAATGCGCCTGGACAGCCATCCTGTGCATAGTACAAGATGGGACTGGACTGGTAGCAGCGCTTGAGTATGAAACTCATCGAAAGAGAAACTGTTCGATGAGTACCTACCTATTCCGGTTATACTGTAATATGAACTGCCTAAGATTGTATAATCCGCCGCATCGCAAGTTGAAAGTCATGCCAGAATGCATGTAGACTGCGTACAGTGCATCGCGTCCCCGCATGTACTGTCCCACTTTAGCGCACTAATATTTCTTCACAATTCGGCCCAATGATACGAAAATCCACATTCGAAACGGGCAGTGGTTGAATTCGTCCTTTCGAACATAGAAAAGAGAAGAGAAAATGTAAGACAATCTAATCATGGTTTTATGAATATGACACTAACAACGGTCAAGATCAGGAGCTGCCGACATGGATGACGATGAGCAGCTTGACACTGGTCTCTTCCAGGAGCCTGCCGACTATGCGCCTCCCAAGCCGCCGACGCTGGCAAAACATGTCATGAAGTCGGGGCAGGAGGTGCCTATCCACTTGGTCGGCTATAACCTCCGCGAGGGTCACTACCTATGGAATGGCGCGCGTTACATCTCGTATTGGTTTGAGGACAATGTCGATGCAATCCGGGGCAAGACGGTGTTCGAGCTCGGCGCCGGTGGCGGCCTGCCAGGCATCGTAGCAGCTGTTCTAGGCGCCCGCAAGGTCGTCTGCACCGACTACCCGGATGAGGAGCTGATGGTCATGATCCGCAAGAACGCTGGCGAGAGCGCGGGGCAGATCCCAGAGCCGCGCAGCCGGTTCGTGGCCGAGGGCTACGAGTGGGGATGTGACCCGGCGCCGGTCCTGGCACACCTAGAGACGGCCGAGGAGCGGGCGGCGGGCTTTGACGTGTTGATCCTGGCGGATCTACTATTCAAGCACCCGCAGCACGAGAACATGATCAAGACCATTGAGATGACGCTCAGCCGGCGGAGGGAGAGCAAGGCCCTCGTCTTCTTCACGAGTTACCGGCCCTGGCTACAGCATGCCGACTTGGCCTTCTTCGACCGCGCCCGCGACCACGGCTTTGTCGTTGACAAAATTTTTGAGCAGCGCCTCGAGAAGCCCATGTTTGAGAATGATCCAGGTGATCTCGAGGTTCAGAAGCTCTGCACCGGCTGGGAGATTAAGTGGCCCGAAGACAAATGTACGGCATAGTTTGCATGAGAAAACCTCTGCTCGGAAATGAAGAAAGACTTGAAGTCAATTTTCCTAGCATTCTCACTGCAACTTGTCGCCTGAAAATGGTTTCATGAGATATGGCAGCACACATTACAAGACAAAAAAAAAAAAGACTCCCAATGAGACGGATTTGCATTCAATCAAGACCGTTCCATCAGAATTAGACCCCTAAACTCTTTGATATATGATTGTTTTGCTCTTGAATTCTGTAACGCCTCGTGTTTGCACGTGCACGCGAGACAGTGATGAGTAAAGCATGATGTCAGGCAGTTAGGCTACAGCGGCTACCAATAGAAACCCCACCACTGTTTAAAGGACCCATGGACTTGACTTGGTGTGCAACAAGTATAATTTCAACGTTACGCCGAACACAACAAATTTTTGCTTTTTTCACGCATCTCGTTCTGGCACGCCCCTCGCTCAGAGGATTTTAAACCTCATCCTGACGAGGCACTACGCAACGGAATTAGTTTCGCTATGGGAGGATTCGACGTCTACTGTGTCGTCTGTGGCAGTGCCATGTACAGAGAGGTTGTCCAAGATGAAGGATATGATCAGGCCATCACCAATACAGAAGACACTGCTTGGGTGGGAAATACCGTGGTAATCAGCGAGAACCCCGATGCTCGGGCAGCTTCAAAGTACGACTGGCACCACGACAGTCACCAGTGATTGCGCTAATAATTCGCCCAGAGTCTTCATATCCGGCCAGGCGAATGTACAAGATTGCGGTTACTTTGACTTCGTCTCTGGAGAAGATCCGGACCCGAATTTCCCCGATGGTCCTACGTGTTGGCAGGTGTCAGTACAATGAATCTCGACACACTACAAAATATTGCTTACATTGGCCAAAAAAACAGGTATGAACGAGATGGAGAGAATCCCTATGCCGTTCCTATCCATACATCGTGCCTTGAGTTATTCAAAAAAGTGCTTCAGCCAAAGGATCTCGATAAAGAAATCCTCTACGAGATACTGAAATGTCTCGGGCCGGAGCCTATTCTACCAATCGACTATGGTGCAGTAACCGAAGGCCAGGACCAGTATTGGGTCACTATGGAGGGGATGGAAGAGTTCGTCATCGATCCAGAGATTGTACCTCGCCTGCGCCAGTATTATTCGGAGTTTCCGGCAGCAGATAAGTCGGGCTTGGCTAGACCCGGCCTGCCATCTCGGCAGACTTCAAGCCACGACCCTTTCAAAAGGGTGCCGCCAGAAGTCATGTTGTTCATTTTTCAACATCTGGATTGGCATTCCATCAATCAGTTCAGGGCGTCTTCGCGACAAGCGGCGCAATTGGAATTGTCTAATAGATACTGGAGTTCTCGCCTCTATCAGGATATGCCGTGGCTCTATGACATTCCCTTGGAGATGTGGAAGGGGAAATTCCAGTTTCCGGATGATCTTGACTGGACAAAGATATACAGAGACCTATATCTGTCTAGCGATACAGAGAGCAAGGCCAAAATTCATGGCCTAGTCAATCGGCGGCGGATTTGGGGCATCTGTCAACAAATCGCTGATTTCTACAATGAAAGAGACTTGGGGCTCAAAAATGGTACTATTACAGAAGTTATGCAGGAGGTACAATCGACACCCCTGAAACAGCTTGTTTATCCTGATCCAATGATTATCACAAAGAGGCAGACCTTCATCATATCTTGGTATGCAGATATGGAACACAGCACACCGGCGCTTTCAATACATTGGACCCAAAAAGGAGAATTGGCCAAGTTGGATACTATAGAACCCGAATCGGAGGGGCCATCCCCCCTTCGAGATGATATCTGCATCCCCGAGGGCGACTGGATTACCGGTTTCATTGTCTATTCAGTGGACGCGGAGAGAGAACACAGGAAGGATGCCGTTCGCTACTTTACTTGCGGACTCGAAATTCTTTTTGCCAAACGAGACAGTATCAAGCTTCGCAAAACAGCCAACAGCAATCAACGCCTGTTGCTTGTATCGCCCAACCATTTCCTTGTGGGTTTCGCTGCTCACATGTCCGAGGACGGTTTGATTGCCAAATTGGCCCTGCTAGAACAACCAAAAGCAAAGATGCCCTTCAGGTCCGAATATCGAGTCGTTGAACACCATGCCAGACTTGAAGACAATGCAGCAAAGCATCTCTGGAGTGGGGATCTGCCATCACCGACACTTGGATTCAAGGGCTTGTGGCGCGGTTATTGGTCGGCTTCAAAAATGAATGACGAGAACCTTCCACTGGAAGCGCTCGTCTTTGGCGACTGCGAAAGCGAATTATGTGATATAACATCGATTGGCGCCGATGTTCATTTTGGACGATTCGAGGTTCACTATGGCAATCGTGCCCCAAGAGCTATTGGCCCGAGGGGATATGCAATGCAGTACATTGACATTGACGGCCACGGTGGAGAGCGGGTGATTCATGTCTATTGGTCTGTTTCACACATTCCTACAGGTTGTCGGCTCGTTACCAATCGCGGTAGGCAGCTCATTGTTGGGCAACCGTCCGATGATGAAAGAGCTTTTAGAAGTCATGAACAAGGTGATGGCAATAACCGCACCCTGGCTGGCATTGTTGGGTACTGGTCCAATCGGTTGCTACCACAAGCAAACCTGAGTGCTGTCGGTGTATTGGTTTGCCATGACGTGCATGTACAATCCCATCAGCGACCACACCGGGACACGAACAACTTCTTCTGGACACCCGAGCAACCTCCAAATGGCATTATTGAGGCGGGCCCAATATGGGGCCAGCGTGAAGTCTACGATCAGTGGCAGCGCCGCCACAAGAAATACCCTTCATCCAAGACGGTGGTATCCTGGCTAGATTGCCAGCAGCCTGTAGATGAGGTGAGGGTCACATTGTGCCATTCGACCCGGACACGACAACTACCCCTGGCCGCAATCACCTTGGTGCAAGACAACGTCGCAACAGAACCATGGCCGAGAACAATTGGGGCTGAGAGGTTTTCACAGCCTTCCGATACCACTGGTACCAAGGGGCACCATTGGTGTTGGTGTGCTCTTGGCAGTAGGCAAGACACCGAGTTGGAAACGAGGCCGCATCATGTCCACGAAATCTGGCCGGTTGGGGGCCAGAAACTCAAGTCGATGAGGGTCTGGCTCAACGAAAACGAAGGAATCACGGGCTTCCAACTCGTTGCTATGGACGACACAGAGAGTCCTGCCTGGGGTCATTGCGAAGAGACGCCTTCGGCCGAGATTGGTTTCGTTGCTGGTAGCGGCCCAGGCGCCGCGGAAACACCTGCAGTGGGGGTCAAGTTCTTCTTGGACAACAACGAGCGCCAGGTCACCCGCGATGATATCATTGTGACTGCTGTCCAGGCTTTGGTAAAAACTTGAGATGTGTAACAATTGAGAAAACGGGAACGGAAACAGTCATTAGCTACGGTCAGATTGGGGTAGTATTCCAGATGTAACCCCCCCAAGGGGGTATTCCATGAGAGCGTCATGAAAATAGTTTGAATTTCCCGTGGCCAGGACAAAGTTGCAAGGCTGTGCTAGAGCCACAGGATGAAGAATCGTGTAGATGGAAGGGTGTCAAGCTCTCATTACCACCCAGGCTGCTTTGAGTAATTTGACCAGTAATAGCAAGGTTCCAATACCGTAGTAGAGAAGTCACATGAATGTTTGTTGGAGTGTTTTGTAGTGAGACATGAACAGATGTTTATAAGAGACTGTGGCGGGCAAGTTGAAAGTTACATGTGCCAACTGGCTAATCGGATGATGCGATATTTCCAACCCTGCCCATGTTGTATCATTATGTGCTTGAGCTGATACAGGTAATCAGTTGTAAATTGACTGTCTTGGGTGGAGAGAGTATAAAAGCTTGGCAACGTGTTTTACCCGCACAGCACAGCACAAGCACAGTACGTATGCACTTATTGGTATGAAACTAACCTTAAAAACAAGGAAGAAAAGTGAGTTGCCATCTGTACGGAACACTACAGACTGATGGATGGCCTTGTCAACATGACGTCGAGACAAAAAGATACCAAAGTGGAAAAGAGCTCACTGTGGACACGATTTTCGAAAAATCCTCCATGATCTGACTGGCTTGACTGGGTCTGATGTTTTTTTCTCTCCTGACCTAGCGACCTTTGGGTACGGAAGATGCCGCGGCCTGCCTAGCGTGCGCCCGTTGCATATGGGCCAGTGGATCAATGGCGTTCATTCGTCGGAATGGGGTGGCTGAGTCCCCTCTTCTCCCATGTACGGGAAAGACATGACCAACTGAGAAGACACACACACTTTTTTTACTGGCACTTGCACTCACACAGCCGTTGTTGAATCACTGGATCAAAAGACCCCGACCTTGCCGATGACGCGTCCCCTGAGAGCTTGCATGCAAGTCCTGAGTGGTGTGTCGCTGTTCTCTTTTTCTTTGGATCCCCCCCTTACACAGTACAAGCAGGGTCAAATGGCTTGTGGGCGTCCGCCACGAAACATTTGACCTGTTGGGGTTCTGGAGACAAAAGAGTGCTGCTGACCACTTCTCATTGGCTACCATACACCCGTTGCATACCCGAGAGAGAGAGTTTCTATAAGAAAAAACAATGTCTACCCATAGTACACGAATTATTATTACCTAGGCGAGGAAGAGGCCTCTCGCTGCCTGCATACGCATATAGCGGGCTGTGCCGTAGTAGTAGCCTGCCTCAATACTACTATGACATTACCTATTTCAGCGTTCACTGCTGACTTCTTGGGTGCTGGCTAGCCTATCCCATCCCTCGGCTGACAGCTAAGAAACCCAAGAAACGAAACGAATACCCCCAGTCGTTCGGTCGAGTTGGGGTGGGTCTCTTATTTTTCTGCCGTCGGCTGGGGGTTTTTTTTTTAGTTGGGATGAATTTTCCGATCACTCCTGAGCCAACGAGACTAGACTGAACAGACTGTTTGGGCAAACAAGAAACCCGAATTTTGCGATCTGCACTGCACTCTTGGCCTAGACAAGACGATGTCAGCCATCGGATGAGGACGCAAGGAAGAAAACATCTGCCAGTCGCGCCACCCACTTGTGACCTTTGACTTGAGTTGCAGGTGGGACCTGATATCCTCCACTTCTGGCACTGGATCTCGGACTGGTTAAGAATCATTGGACTAGTCACTGAAGTGAATGACTGACCTGGAGAATCAAAAGGGTTTGGAGAGGGGGAAATAAAATCGAAGAGAAGAAAAAGAAAATATCCGCAAGAAGGTTCGTCCGCTAAAAAGGAACAACTGTTGGTACCTACTCAGTAAAAGGCCCCATTCACGATCCGACTGCCGGCAAGCCGCGCCAAGACATTTCCACCATCTTCTTCCTACTTTGATACACTGAGCAGAAGTCTGTTTCTGCCCTGTTCGGTTTTTCTTTTCTTTTTTTGGCTTCTCTCTCTGCTGTGTCGACTGCCGGGCAAGATCACCTGTTCTCGTTTATTATTATTACCATTTCTCTCTTGCATGGGCGTGTCGCTGCTGTAGCCAAGGAAGCTGAAAGCCGCACTGCCTCCTTCTCTTCCATCCATCCGCTCCAAAACCCACTTATCAATCTTGCACTTCGCTGCTGTCCGTCCACTCCGAGTCGGACACACGACAGGGAACATTACTTTGCTAGGTCGTCCCTAACCTTGGTCTTGGCGCGCGCGCACACACACACACACACACAGAGAGAGAGCGAGTCGTCGATCTGCCGTCCGACCAACAACTCTGACTTGTTATTCCTGCTGTCCATCTGTCTGTCTGTTTGTTTCATCTACACTCGTTTGTTACCCCTCCCTAGGAATACCGAATATCTTCCTTGCTTTCTCCGTCTCCGTCTTTCTCGCCTTACACATCCCTAGACTCTCGTCTCCATAGCCGTCTGTCTATCTTGTTTGCCACATGCTTAGGTAAAACAAAAAAGAGAATACGCTAGCTTTGCTCTCGTAGCTTGCCCTCTTCTTCCTGCTTGGAAGTGCCACCACATCCTCGACGAGAGGGAACAATGGCGCAATGGGGTCTATCCTCATACCTGGTGGTTGTCAGATCACTTCAGGCCCTGGCAACTTTGATATCAGCAATTCTAAATGGCTTTCTACTGGTATACATTGAGACAAAAAAGTTAGGCCCGTCGGACGTTATGCTTGTGCTGGAGATCATGGTCAGTACCACTATTCGCTGGTGTTGTCTGGGCGCCACGCGTCCAGTCTTCTCATTCCTTGTCCCATGTCCATGAAGGTTTGGCTCAGTCAATCATATGAACACACACTGACACCATGCAGACCTGCGTGACTCTGGTCTACACGGCCATTGTATTACTAGTGCAACATACCGGCCGCCGGAGTCTGAAGAATAGAGACTCATTCACCTTTGCTTTTGTGGTTGGCGACATCTTGTTCACCGGCTTGACCATTGGCCTCTTGAGTATCATATCGCGGAGCGGTGTACCTGCCAACTGCGGCGGCTTGACGAGAAGTGACTGTAAGAAGACAATTCGAAAAGAGAGACTCCTGACGAGTCCTTGGCGGCATAGGCATTCATATCAGTAAGCTAACACATGCGACAGACAAGTCCACTGATGCCGCTGATAACCCCAGCCAAGGCTATGACACCGTCCGCTTCGGCTCAGGCGATGAAAAGGGAGAGCTTGACCACTTTTGTGGCCTCGAGAAGGGGTACTTCTTCATCACTATTGCGCTCATGTGAGTATAAACACTGCAAAGCGCACGTGCGGCTGCTGGCATCATTATGGAGCATTCCTCTAATCTGACTTGTCCTAGTTTCTCTTACATGGCCACGGTAACCATGGGTGTTCTTCGCATTGCCGGTGCTGCTTTTAGGCGCAAGATGGATGAGCGCCTCGCGACGGCCAATGAATTGGTCCGACTCGAGTCCAAGATATCTCGGACCCGAACCTCCCTAATTCGGCAGTCTTCGGCCCCGAGCTCGCCATCGCAGGAGGGTTTGGGGTCGCCACGGTCCTTTGGCAGCAATCGACCACCAAGACGTGACATTATGATTGCCCAGCAGCAGCAGCAGCAGCAGCAGCACCAGCATCAGCAACAACAGTCACCAACCCAGTTGCAGCATCACCAACAAGAACATATCCAGCATGCTCAAGCAGTCCGCACGTCCATACCAGTATCGCCACTGACTATCACAACGACCAGCACACCGATCGACCCGGCGCGCGAAGGACTGCTTATCGACCATCATCATCATCACCGCCACCAGACCAGCGTCGACAGTATTGAAGGCGCCGCCGAGGCTGCCATGATCACGGACGGCTACCGGGGACCAGCGGAACAAAACCACCACCATCAGCACCACCAGCACAACGCCCTTGCGCACTCGAGTATGATATCATCGGCGCCGCCACCATATGTGCCGGGCGAGTCATCACGATTCATGACTGGTCACACTGCCGACGAGAGCAACGAGATGAGGCTCAGCGACTACGTCAAGGGCCAGACGAGGGCACAAGACATGAAAGATGGAGGCGCTGGATTATAATGAGGGACACAAGGTTTTGGTTATCTGGGGAAAGGACTTCGGATCACGAGAAATTGTACGAACTGGGCTTTCTCTATTTCTTTTTTCTTCCATGGGAATCCAAGATGGTTTTCATTTTACAACCAATTTTTATGCTCGCCTTAAAGGGCCACAGGCGGCTTCTTTGGCAATCCGGCGTTTCTGGCGTCTGAGGACGACTACCCAAGCGTTGTTCGCAGGGTCTGTTTGGGATATCTTGATTTCGGGGCAATCGCAAAGAAAATGTGCGCGATGGACATTGGATTCATGTCTTACTTTGCTTAGGGAAAAGTGCACCAATATCTATTTGCACACGATACCAATTGTAGTTGACTTTCAATAGAGCAGCTTGACCTTGCTTTTGCGGCTGTATTAACCATGGCAGAAACAACAAGATCACGATGCCAGTTATTATGAATTCATTACGTGAAAAGTACAGACAATTGCCCTGTGAAGGTTTACTTGCTCAAATCAAGATCTAATCGATCGACTGCACCGACTTGGGACCGATAATAGAAACAATATTCATGAGGAATTCCCTGTCATATCGGGAAGTAAGGATCTGTTCGCTTTGCTAGTGACTTTGATTTACAATTTGACCTTGTTTTAGATATGCTCCCTCGACAATACGGATTTTATACATGGACGCAGTCCACCGACTTTGTGACGAATATACTTGATGTGGTCCAACAATATAGGACGTCATGCGACAAAGTTAAGATGGCACTCCTTGCTTCCGACAGTCTTCAGTCCTTAACGGCAAAAGAACAAATATAATTTTCCAGGCCAAGCGTTATTTTTCAATCTTGGTGAGAATAACCAACATCGCCGCTCTCAGTGCCGAGCTTCACTAGCCTGGCCCTCATGCCTTCGGCTCTCGCCCTCTCCTTCTCGCCCAGCGAGCTAAAGTCGCACCGGTCGACCCATTTTCCGACTCCATGCTGCAGCACATTCCTGGCGCGCAGCTGGCTGCCGCCGGCGTGGCCGACAGACCCGTGGAGACTCATTCTCTCCTTGGTCGAGTCGTATACGCCGCGGTGCAGAATATTATTGTTGTAAAAGACGACATCGCCCGCGTCGAGGTGGACAATGGCCTGGCCGGGCATGTCGGCGGCAAACGGGTCCGCGGCCCTCTCGGCGTCGGTGCGCGCCCGGGCGTGAGAACCGGGGACGGCAACGAGGCTGTCGTCGTCGTAGAGCGCGAGGTTCCACTGCGTGTGCCACTCGGGCTCGCGCAGCCGGGCCATTTCCTCGTCGGCCGTGGCCGTCGCGGGCACGTCGTCGCGGTGCCAGCGCAGGGCAAAGTCGCGCTCGGGCCGCACCAGCATGTTGAAGAGCTCCATGACCAGGTCGTCGTCGCCGCAGTCATCCATGAGCTCCTTGGCCACGCCGAGGACGGCGTCGCCGAAATAGCTCTGCGCAAAGATCTCGGACCCCGCCAGGTCCGGGTTTAGCAGTCCCTGGACCCCCCAGATGCCTTCGGGCCCCGGCGTCGAGGGCCATGGGGGAAACTGCTTGCCCACGGTCCGAATGTGCGGCCACTGCCCGGTCCGCGCCAGCTCCGTGGCGCGCGCCGCGGCGGCGCGCAGGGTGCGCAGCTCATCGGCGCTCAGGATTTGCCGAATCACTACGAAGCCGTCCTCGTGTAGTCGATCGCGGAGCTTGGAGGAGGAGGAGGAGGACATGGTTGTGGTGTAATGCGTCTATAGCGCTGCGCTGAAACCTTGTTGGTATACCTTGTCTTACAGTTTTGATATTGATCTTTGCTTCAGAAATGGTACACATGTATGTCTTATGGGGATGAGCCCTGGAATGAGTAGTAGTAGCAGTAGTAGATACAAAGTAACGGTATTCTAGTTCCTAGATCGACTGTCGTCTTAGTCTCGCGGGGTAGCTCCGATAAGTCCCGGTCCGGTCTCGATGGGCTGGGCGGGTTTGGCAAGCCGATTTGTTACGTCAGAGTCTAGATTGGGTGATAAGAATACTAATTGTGAAAGAGGTCTGAACTGGACCAATGTCAATGTTTTGTTTACAATGAGCGGGGTGGTTTTAGTGTCGAGACTATAGTCCCTTGGCCCGCCGAATTCGCGTGGGTAGAGTAATACGAAGTGGTGGTCTGCTGCTTTCATGTGATTATAGTGGTGCTCACATGGTCGACGCATGAGTTGGGTATTGTATGCGGGTAGTTCTTTTGAGTCATTTGAACTATCGTACTGAACTTGGATGAAGAGTCAGTAGGATGATAATCATGGCTGAATGTAATCAGTCTCTCAAAGGCGGCTCACATGCAAATAAGATGTCTGTCCGGCATTCATATCAGAGCCAGGACAGTCAAGAGTGGCCATGGAGCACTGGCAGGTCTTCATCCAATGAATAAGGAATAACGGATTACTTTGCCTCCATGATGAATCATGTTTTATTTAACCTGCATTTCTTTTCGAATAGATAACAAGATGCTGCGATTGCATTGCACGATTGCATTGCACGATTGCACCGGAAGCGATTTTGAATAGGTAGTAAGACCACAAACGTTTGTTGCAGTTTACAGGGCCTACAGGGGGCCCTTGACCACTGGCAAGGGTCGTGGCCATCCCAAGTTGCGTATCCACAATAAAAGCTCGCCGCGCAAATCCACCCACCGCCCGGCCGCGCGGGAATGGCAGAATACTCGGACCCACCCAAAGCAGGTACAAAAGTTTGATCGAGCTGCCAAAGAGCAGAGCTCTCTTCTTTTCTTTCTTTCATTATGTCGACAATACTTCATGTGAGTAACCCCCATACTAGAGGCAGTCTCTGACACAAGAGATGCCCTCAATTCTTGCCAACAAATCAGTTGTACTGACTCTTCTCCCCTTCCGCAGAGAATCATTTCTATAGTAGTCGTCCCTAGCTCTTGATTTCTTAATCAAGCTGCAGAACCTACGCCAGTTGATGATCAATATCCTCGCTACCCAAGAGTGAATATCTCTCTTATGGCATGCCTCTGGCTGCCGTTTGCTCTCGACCTGCCCCCAAGGGTGGCGGTTTTCCAATATGGAGAACTGTATAGAGAGTGGTGATGATCTCAACCCCGATCTGTGGTTTCTCGTCCTTGTTGACAGGCCGCCGGGGTGGGTAGTGGTGGAAGTCTGATGGTCGTTTTTTGTTTTCTTTTTTTCATTGCTCACGATCCCTGGTGGATCGTGGCGAGGAAGAAATTTTTCTCTCTGCTTGCCCTTACCTTTTTGTCATTCGCGTTTCCGTGTTACCCATGACACTTGACAATGCTTGATCACAACACAACACAACACAGACCCCTCCGAACAATTGATCATCTCGCAAGGCAAACGTATCATTCATCCCATCCCATCAACTTGATTTTCTCATCACAGCGTTCAGAACTTACTATCTTGATTGATTGTCCGCAGAACGAGGGTCCTCCAGACATCCGTCAAACGCAGCGGCCCAGACACGAGAAAGTTTTAATTATTCTTCCGTTTGCCCTCCACCTCACATGCCAACGGCCGTACAAAGAAGCCACTGCACTCATTTTATTTCTATTGTGGATCTCGTCTCAATTTTTCAAGAGGCCCAAATATCGTGATATTGTGTGCACTGTGTGTTATTGATACCATGCTCATGTTTTCTTTTTATAGCTACAATCCACGCCACGTGGTTTACCCGTCCGCCGACCTAAATACGGATCTGCAAATTCTCGCCAGACATTGCCCCAATCTTGTCATCGTCCCCGGAGAAGAAGAGAAAATAAACCTATATACGAAACCCCCCGGATCAAATGCTCGCTCAACCACTCTTGAACACGGCAATGTTGGCCGCGAATGTATTCACGTTATCTGACCAGCTGGCCAGACTCGTGCCATCCCGATTGATCATGCTGAGTGATCCAATCGTGTTGAGGTTGTAAATGTTCACGTTGCTAATGTTACCTTCAAGAGACACGATACGAGATTGGCACGTCTCGCCCGCCGCAATTGTCGAACAAGCTGTGTAGCACACCAATGTCAATATCAAGCACAAACCAAAAGACTCGGGGAAAGTTTATCAAGTCGGGCGGGGTTGCAACTTACTAGTGCTGTACGATGAAAAGAAGGAATAGTGGCCGGCGCCGTAGACGAGAAGATTGCTCGTGTCGACGACTCTCAGCCCCCAGGTCGCGGCGCAGTTGCCCGAGACGCCGGAACAGCTGGCACTAAAGTCGGGATCGTGCAGGGCCGTGTTTACGGAAAAGGGGACAAGGGCGTTGGGGGTGGGCATAAAGTAGGGCGTCTCGGTCTGGAACTCTGAGCCAAAAACGTTGGACGCGCCAACAAACTGGTAGTTGTACAGGACGTGGTGCTCGACGGCGGTGCCGACGAGCCAGACGGGGCCGGCCTTGGACTCAATGAGCAGGCCGCGGCCGACGTAAATGGTGACCTGCGTGTTGGAGGCGTCCTCAATGTCGTGGTCCGCCACCCACAGCCACGTGTTCTCCATGTACAGGCCCGACGCCGACGCCGTCACGTGCATGCTCATGTAGGCCGCGATGCAGCCCGGCACCACTGTTGACGACCCGGGGTTCTTGAGGCACTGCGCAACCTGCAAGTTGGACCCGGCGAAACCGCCGATGCGCGTGTGGACGTCCCACATGCCCGAGGGGGAGCCGCTCGGGGACGCCAGGTTCCACTCAATCAGCACCGCTCCAGGTACCGACCCTTGCGTGCCGACGACAAAGTCGGACATTTCAACCTGTCCCGACTGCCCAGAGGTCGAACCCACCTGGAGAACGGGCTTGGGCGAGTTAATGTCCGACCAGTACGATCCGGTAGCCATGAGGACTGGGTAGCCCTCACCAACAATCTTGGAGCCGGGCGGGATTGAGATTGGCGACGTCAAGCGGTACAGACCATAGTCGATAAAGACGACCTTGCCAGCGGACGCGGCGCTGTTGATTGCTGATTGGATCGCGGCAGTCTGAGGAAAGTGAGACATGTCAGTTTCACTATAGTCTCGAGAGAGTCATGTTTTACTTCTTTTTTTTTTCTCTTTTTTTCTCTCCAAGAAACGGAAACAGGGGAAGACATTTGCTTACATCATCTGCGGAAGCATCACCCTTCGCTCCAGCGCTACGAACACTGACGAAGGAAGATGCAGCAAGCGACTCGTACTGAGGCTTTGATCGTTGGTAGTAGTTTCCGTTGCTGCCAAGCAGAACAGACGGCCGCGAGTTGGGCGTGACTGGATACAGCGTTAGAAGACACTTTCAATAAAGTATTTGTGTGAAAAAAGGATATTGGGGGAAGTTTTGGCAACTTACTAGCTCCTACGGCACTTTGCGGGCCATTGGGAGTATACCTGTGTCCGGAGCTCCAGGCGCTGATGGTTGATGAGCCGCCCGAGAGCAAAGTGCCGCTGGGTCCTTGTACAGCAACAGGTACGTTTTGTAGCACAATATTCTCGAGCACAATGCTGCCGGCGGTGGCTGGCTGTGAAGAAGAAGAGTAGGCAGTGATGATACCAACCGGCGTGTTGACAAAAGTGCTGTCGAGGACCGTGATGGAACCGACATCTTGGTCAGACGAGCCTCCTGCAGAGATGTCGATACCCTTGCCGCAGTTGTTAATCTGCAGGTTAATGTATGTCCAGCCCCAGTCCCACAGTTGAATGATGGCTATTTTGTGTTATTATCCAGCCTTTTAGCAAGTTTCAGTCAAATACGTACCAGTACCGCAGTTGTTAAAGACCAGGTTCCTCATTGTGTATTGCTGATTACCCATGGATGCACCAGTTGCACCTCCGTTAAAAGTCAAGTCGCTCATGAAACCACCAGATCCTGGAGGAGATTTGTGTTAGAAAGTCTCTCTTATGGAGGTCTAGGAGATCAAGCACATCATTGACTTACCACTTTCAATGAACAGACCAACATGTACGACACCCGAGGTTGTGGGCATGTTGAACACAATGTTTTGCAAGCTGGTAGCTTGCGAGGTTGGCCAGTGCATACCCGTTGCAGCGGTACCGGGAGCAATATTGGTCGTGTCAAGGACAAAGTTCCTCACCTGGCGGTAAAAGACATTGACGGAAACCCAGTTCAGGTCCGAGGACCAGTAAGGGTTGCCATCGATCAGACCAAAGCCAGAGAAGCCACTCGTGGCCTTTAGCACGGGCCGCGAGGTTGGGTCTCCAATGAGCTGGGTGAAGTAGTAGGGAATGATGGAGGATGAAATCAGATATGTTCCTGCTGGGAAGTATACTATGGCTGGCGTCTCAGTTGTCGATGCCTTGTGATATGTGTTAGAGATACTCTTCCCTCAAATCGTGAGTGATGGTAATGTTACTTACACAGCCCTGTCCGCAACGGTTTCCTCCAGCTGTAATGGCAGCATTGATAGCAGCAGTATCATCCGTGACTCCATCACCTATTGCCAGTATCAGTCAGTATACTATTGAGTAGCCACATACCATCGTCCCAAGCACATAGTTCACGTGCATCATACGGTGTAGACTAGGAAGAGAGTGGTACGTTACATACCTTTGGCACCATAGTCTTTTACATTGCGGAAGACTGTGTATCCTGAACCGGCAAAAGGTGCTACACCTTGATCTGTATTTCTTGGTTAGCAAAAGATACTAGCCAATATGGCCTTCTTGTTTAGGTATGCTCACGAGAAATATCGGCCAGCCAGTAGGCATGTATACCGAGAATCAGGCTACTAAGAGCCACAAGGAGTGTATTGAAACGCATCTTGCGTGAACAAAATGCTAGAGAAAGCAAACTGTACCGAACACCGTTGGCCTGGACATTAGTGGGACATGAAGGTCTTATAAGTCCAGCTCAACCACAAGCTAGACTTTGCCTTTGGGGAACCTATAGAGAGTCAGGAGGCATCTTGGCGCCACCACCCCCAGCATGCCAACTTTGACTAGGATACTCAAGCATATCGTCCCCCAAAGGCAAACCCCGGTAGTCAAGGACCCATTTCGGACGTATAGGACTTTGTGACAAAGAGGAAAGAGGCAAGAACTCTAGTCTTGGCAAGAAATGTTAGTTCCAGAACAAGTTCGTCGTGGGTATTTTGGCCGACTGTGACTATAGCCACAGCACAGGGACCGGCGCAGCGCATGAGACCCCCAGACCAACGCGTAGGGGGTCACTAGGTCTGTTTACTATTTGGAACAGCGTGATCGCATAGGACGATCTCTGGCGGCATGAACTCACCGCCGGCAAAGCATGTGACAAAATAATGTTTGTGTGTGTGGGTGCGGGTCGAATGTGGTCAGAGGCTTGAGTCAGCAGCTTGTAAAGCTGCTGGGCGAGGAAAGAGTCAAGGCTTGATTATACATTTCAGGCTACGGTTAGAAACCATGCAGACTCTATGCAGCGCAGGACCTGCAAGCCCACAACTTTGTACGCGGAAGTAATTTTGCCGCTGGAGAATAGAAATCTGGGGTTGTGACGCCGTGCCGTGATTGGTGACTATACCCAAGCCAGCACCTCACGTCGGCCCGATCCAGCTTGCTGGTTTGGTATTCTATAGGTGGCAGTCCAGGAACCCTGTCCCTGCTTGAAATGAAAGGACATTGGTTTTCAGTGATATCATTGACTAATGTGGGAAATTATGGTATTACAACTGTATGAAAATTGCAAGGTGTCTTAGGAACTGGGTACTGAGAGTTGGCCTCGGATTGGTTCCTGGGGGTTGACTCAGTCCTTGGGGTGACAGCTGGTGCTGTCTCGGCGGTGTCCATGGCACCAAACTGCGGCTCGGGTGTAACAAATAGACTCAAAAGGTCTAGAAAGTCAATCGTGGTGGATGAATCGTGCACTACCGCTATAGCGTTTTCTTACCCTCTAGACGGCATCCGAAAGAATGGGACTGGACGCCACAATGTCTTGTGTGCGTAGCGATCTACAGAGGCAGAGCAAAAAGAAAAGAATATGGAAATTAAAAGACGAAAACAATATAAAAGCCACACGAGGCGGGCTCGGCCGAATCGTGCGAGGTTTCAGGAAAGCCGCGAATTTATGCCATTCTAGATAGCCTGATGGAAGAATGCAAAGATGTTAGAGATTATTTCCGAGGTACACATACTGGTGGTTTGCCGCCTCTGTTATTTTCTTGGTGCTGTGTGTACCCTCCATGGTGTACATGGGCATGTGAGGTGGGCGGAAAAAAAAAAAAAAAAAAAGTCTTTCATCATGGCTGGTGTGAGTGGCCAGGCTTTTCGTCTCTAGAAACAGTGCTCCAATAGGGAAATGACTGAGAGAATATTGTGACCGTTGTTGTGGTTGCCCAATGATGCCTCTCGCAGGGTCATTCTCATGACATGTCACCACGTTTGACTTCGCTTAACACCATCTTGAAATGCAGGCCTCTGACTGCTGACGCGAAGAAAAAAAAAAAACATGGACTGGCTTCGTGGCGATGCGCTTGGTCTTGCCATGCAAGCTGTCAGATGCTTTACCGTCTTTCTTGGTGCGATGACCTGACAGCCCGGCCTACATCACTTAGGCAGTGAAGCGGGCATGAAGCTGGGTCTGGGTCCCCCTCCAGTCCTCTCTCTACATTAGTCTTGAGATGGTAGTACATTGCACCAGTCATTCCCCCGCATTCTTCCTCGTGACATGCTGCCCAAATCGCTTGCTGGGCTCACTGCTGCTGCGATGGCTTCTTGGCATTCTTTATACCAACCGTGGCTCTGCCGCCACACATCTGGCAAGGCCTCTATGGACGGATCATGTTCTGCCGAGGAAGACTTGGGCCAAAGTGCTACTGCACTTTGTAACGCTGGCAATAAGCAGAATAGGATCGTGTCCAAGGCACAGCCAGCAACATAACACATTTGCAAGGTTATTTGGCTAGGTAAGGTACCATGAGCAAGTGCGGGGCACTCCTTCGTCTCCAACTCCTCCTTGTGTTTGGCTTTGGCTGGATCTGGTCACATTGGCGAAGCTGTTTAGAGTCTGCTCGTCCTTCTTGAGCTTGTTCGAGTGCGGTCAGCTAGCCAGTATAGAGGTGGGATTACTGCATCGAGACAAGCCTCTTGTATCGATTTGACACCACTGCGTAAGGCTTCTGGCTTTCGGAACAGGAAAACTGGGCTGTGTGCATGACGGAGTGCTTTACAGATTTGCGTGATCCATTGGGAGAGGGAAAATAAAGGCGATGATGGAAGAGGCGCAGAATCTTGCCGCGTGCAGAGGCGAGGCTTGCATCAGGACATTCAGCTCCTGGGTGGATTAGGTCCCCTTGACCTCATGGGCGGCGGGGGCACTTTCATTCCTGTGTATGTACTTCGTACAAGCCACTGCTAATGGGGAAGATCAACAGCACATGTCTGTCTCCTCCAGATGGCGATTGTGCCGCGGGAAGTTTGTGACCCCTGGTCAATGCAGCATTCAAGATGGGGGGAGGGGTTGGCTGGAGATCAGTCCCGCGACTATTTTGGTGTATGTAGTAGCAGCTAGGCATGAATGTTCCTATTCATTTGGGCCCTGAGGATGACGACCCCGAAAAGCGACGATGCTCCCCCAGGAAAATACACCCTCGGGGACCAATACCGATACTGCCATACACTAGGCCAAAGGCCGAGGAATGCTTAAGTTACCGGCATATCGTTGCCTCTTCTCCGCAGTTGTCTCCAATTCTCCAACGCCCGGAAAATTGTTGGCTTTAGCGCAGGGACTCACTGAAAACGACTCCGCGTTTTCTCTTGTTTTGGGGGCCACTTTGTTCGGCTGCCGCGCTTCGTGTGGCATGGAAGGATTCATGGATCTTTTTGTGTAATGAAGTATCAGAAGCTCCGATGCGTGATGTATGTAGTTGACCAGTGTCGCCTTGTGCTGCTCACGTCGAGGTCGAAATCCCCGCGAAATACTTGAACCAAAAGATTTGACCCGGGAACCAGCCGAACAGGCCCACATAACAAATAGTTGGTCTGCTAATGTAGGTAGTAACTGATAATTGATGCTTGGTGGTTCCTGCCGACTTGCCAGTCCGGGGTGTAGTAGAACGAGGGGGGGGAAAGCTTTTCTGCAGTAATTTAACGCGTGATACCATCTATGGATGTTGATGCTACAGGTATCTGGCCATTCCCATGGCTTAGCCAGGTTCAATTGTCTAAGAAAATGTCCCGTCTTTGCAGATCCTCACCCTATTAGAACACTTGGTCATCGTCGTCGGCGCGGTTGGTCTGATGTCTAAGCGTCGCTGGATGCTGAATACAATGTAGGTAGGTAGTACATGCGATTTCCTTGCGTGGTATATGACACTAAAAGAAAGAGTACAGCGGGGAACTTGTGTGTATTTCAAGTAATGTGAATACGCACCCAACTAACCTAGGCATGGATGATATAGATTGGATGATTGCCTATGTGGCGTTGATTAGCTTGAATAAACTCGCGAGACTACCTATACAGGTAGATGAATATTCCAGGTACGTCGTAGACCGCATTATCTAATACATAAGTCGAATGTTGTCCCTTTTCAAGAATGAGCTTCGAATAGTAGCAGGCTTTACCAGTCCAGTTGGATCTCCAGAACGTATCATTTATCCAGGCACCACGATTAATAATGATGGGACTGATACTGGCTAAAGAGCATCGGGATCTCTGGCTTTGCTCGGCAAGGCGGGGAAAGGGAGAAGAAGAAGGAGAAGGGGGGGAAAGACCCCCATCAAATTGAATGGAGCAGAGTACGTGCTAGAGGAAAGACGGAATTCCCTTTGTGACGAGGCCGGCTCAGGCTACCCCATTCGCCTAGTCCCATTTTCCCCAGACGCGGGGAAGACAAGATAATGTGGGGGCCTCCGGGGAAGCTCAAGCGCTCGGGTCCAGTTAATGCCTGCACAGGTGAGCGAGTGGCTGCAAAAAGCCTTCTGTCTTCAGCGGGTTTTTATTTTGTTCATGGGCGAGCGACCTCTCATTACGTAGGCAGGCTGGTTTGCCTGCTAAATGTACCTAGGTAAGGGGACTCGCAGTGGGTTGGCGAGAGAAGCCGGCGCGCCGTAACCAATGTCAGGCGTGGAGCTTGGATCATTCTCGCACAAAGATTCCCGCCGCCATTTCCCCAGAGTTCTGAAGCTTACTCCTCACGATTATCACCAAAGTTCATCATCCCCAATTCCACGGTGCGCCGTTACAACAACAACAATCTCCTGTCGCTCAGCGTCTGAAGTACAGACAACGTCAGTTGGGTGCGCTGCGATAGTCTTGAGGCGCGCGCTGCGTATTCTTTGGAATTATTGTGCTTCTCTTCAAATCATCGCAATCTTTCTGTGAGGAGTAGTGCTCGTTCTTTTTTTTTTTTTTTCCTTGGTTCCTCCATCCCTCGTTTCTCCGCGCGCGTCACCTCACCTGGGCTATACTTCTCCAACTTCTCTCTCCACATCACCACACAAGCAACGCGCGGGTGCGCAACGAACTTACTGGACCATGGAAGAGGCTTGATTATATTGCCTATCAATATCAAGTCTGACGCTTATCTCACCAACCCCCGATCTGCGCATCTTGAGTAGGTGCTGATCTGTTTCAAACGTCGGGCCCGTCACGCAATAGCCAGCTTGAGCCAAACGAACCAAAATCGACTGCTTGTGTTTCCCCTCAGCGGCCGGCACATACACAGACATACACACACACACACACAGGCTTGAGGTGCCGCCAGGAGAAACCTCAAGCCAGGCCTTTTCACAACCAGGAACTCCACAAATCGTCACGTTGCAATTCACTACTCCTTCCGGTCACCACATGGTTCCATGGTCCTCGCAATCGGCACTTCCCCCACTTTTTCATCGCATGCGTGACCTCCCTGTCTTCAATATACGCCCGTAGTGCATACATAGTGCCTACGTCGAAATATCCATATTTCAAAAAAAGCAAAGAAAAGAAAGAAAGAAAAAGAAGACTTTCCACTTATTAGCATCTCAATCATGCAGTCGATCCAGTCCATTGAGGGCTCTGGGTTACCTGGTACAGAGGGGATCGTGGAGGGCCGGCAACAGAAGCCCAAGACGCTACCATGCAAGTATTGCAGCAAGCGGTTCAGGTAAGGAGCACACAACGGGATTGAGAGGGAAACGGACCCTGTCCTCCCCCGTCCGATCCGTATATGGCACACGTAAATAATTATTCCATCAGGCGCGTGGAGCATGTCCAACGGCATGAGCGGACACATACTAAAGAAAAGCCGTTTGCCTGCGGCTGGGCCCGATGTGGGAAGACTTTCGGACGCCGGTCAGTTATATTCTCTATATCCTTAATATGCACCGTACCGTCGTCCCCAAGGGTCTTGTGCCCCCAATCCAAAAGATAGCCTGCCCACCAGTCTCAACCCTCCTGCAGAGACCCATCCCACGTCTCCATCTCACCGGCCCTTGGCCATGTCCATCTTTTCTCTTCAACCACTTGCTACTGCTAGTGGGAAACAACTTACACTCGTCTTTGGAGTAAATATGCTTACATGGACATCAGAGATCTTCTTGTCCGACATGAGAAACTCGTTCACCTCAATGAAGGGTCGAACAAGGACAGTAGCCGGCCGCGAAAGCCATCGACGGCCGGCCCTGTCCAACAGATATCACCCGAAAGCCAAGTCGACACTGAGATAGTGGGACTGTCTCGCACACAGCCTCCGCATTACAGCACAGAGTCCATGAATTCGGTCGCGGTTCATTCACTGGCACCAGACCCTCGCATCATGCCTGCTAGAGCGGCAGCCTGCAATCTAGACCTCTTATCCGATGCTGCTACTCAAATGGCCTCAGCTAACGAAGTGGGCTCGATTCCACCCATGATGGCAGACATGGGCCAACAGTCTGGAGGTCTATCTCGCATAAAGTCTTACGAGGATGGAATGGCATATGACAGAAGTCGAGAACAAGAGGCAAATGCAATGACCATGGGATTCCCTGGACAAGCTCTTCCGCCGGTTTTTGACGATTACAACCTGTTCTTGGACGACTTCGCCTCGACATCTCACTTCCTCCCCCAAGCCTTTGAAGTGGATCAGAATCTGGGCATATGGCCGGGCTTCCAGCGTGGCGCTCTTTCCAAACCCGCCTCACAATTTCCATCCCGTTTTCCGTCCGTACAGCCCGACCAAAGAGACGGACCAGATGGCGTCGGCAGAGGACACGATGACTCTGGAAGATTGCTACCACTGAGGGTATCTGCGATGGACCACACCGTCATCAAGAATCGGTTGGATGAGTTCTCCTCTGTTCTACCGAATGATTTTGTTTTCCCTTCGCGCCACACACTCACGAGGTTTCTTGAAGGCTATGTGGGTGGCTTTCACGACCATCTCCCGATTCTACATTTGCCCACCCTTACACCCGCAGAGGTCTCTCCGGAACTACTATTGGCTATCCTGGCCGTCGGAGCCCAGCACAGGTTCGAAAGCCACCGCAGCAATGCTTTGTGGTATGCCGCAAAAGCTGTGGCCATGGAACAAATACGTCGCAGACATAGCCATGAAGTGCACGGACTGCTCCCAACAGCGTCTGCTTACAGTCCTCATTCAACCAGACCGTCTCCGAGCCACGGATTCCGCCACTCTTTCAGTTCGATGCAGCAAGACAGGCCTGCTACCCACGAGACACATCGTGAGCCATAGTAAGTCGATACAACAATAGCAGTTGATAGGAATGAAGCAGCTTCAGGGCAATGCATATGACTAACTCGGTTTATAGTTCTCCCAATACGCCACAAGCGCGTCTCGAGACGATTCAAGCACTGCTGCTCCTCTGCACCGTCGGGCTTTGGGGCGCCAAGGCAATCCTGCACGAGGCATTGTCTCTGCAAAGTTTGCTTGCCATGTTGGTCCGCGATGAGGGCCTCTTGCCAGAATCCACTCAGACGGCCGACTGGGAGTCATGGATACGAATAGAGAGCACCAACCGTGCAAAGCTGGTCACTTACTGCTTCTTCAACCTTTGCAGCATTGCCTACAATATGCCGCCTCTACTCCTGACTTCGGAATTGAACATTTACTTACCACATTCTTCAAAGCTGTGGCGAGCCGAGACGGCGTGGCAATGGCAAGAGGCTCGTCATGCATACCCGAGTATGGATATATCTTTTCAAGACGCCTTCTCCAGATTATTTAGCCGACCACCACAGGGACCACCTGCTTACATGTCATCTCTCGGAAACTACGGCCTGATTCACGCCATATTGCAACACATATTCTTCCTCAAACAAACGTGCTTCACCTCAGCCCCTTATGAGGCCCAAAGGGGTTTAAGACCAGACGATGTCGAGGATGTGATGCAGGCACTCAGAATATGGCAGATGAGTTTCGAGCAACATCAAGCTCGCGTGTCTGACAATGGCCAACCACTAGTCAGCGAGTCCTTCCCCGGTGGGCCCGTCGCATACGACTCGACTGCATTACTGCGACTGGCTTCCATTCGTCTGTTCACCGACCTCAACCCAAGCCGAACGCTCGAGACGCGGAATGCTGCCCAGATAGCAGTATCTTTTGGAGAAGCGCCGTATCTGATACGCAGTGCACGGTTAAACAAGGCCATCCTGCAGGCTATTCACGCTCTATCCATGTTGGTCAAGTTGGGTGTGAACTATGTTGCGAGAAGGAAATCGGCAGAATGGAGCATGCAACATTCTTGTGAGTACAGTTAATTGACTCTGTAAGTTCTAGCTGACCAATTGCAGTGTGTAACCTGGAATGCGCCATCTTGCTCTCGAAGTGGTTGATGACTCTTGCGTCGATAGGTCCGACTGATCCTCTACCTTCCCCTGATGAGCGCAATCTGCTTGAGATGCTGCGCAGGATGCTTGATGAAACTGAGTTTGCTGTGCCGATAGACCCCTCTTTATCCGGGGGTCAGGGTCATACCTCGAGTATGGATATGACTATTAATGATAGTGTTCGGATGCGCCAACTGGCTGCGGCAGTCATTAGAGTATGGGCGGAAACCTTTAAAGGGTCCCATATTTTCGAGATAGTCAAGGTCATTGGGAGTGGCCTGGAGGGTTATGCTGACTTGATCGAGAAGCCGCGAGATCGAACACCCCTGGGGAGAATGGCCCCAAATCCCGCCCTCGGTTGACTTGACAGATAGTTGGAGATTCCACAACTGTATATATTCTGTTGATAATGGCGTGTAATTAGTCAGTGTATCAGCTTATTCGAGGTTCTTGTGTGGTGGCACGAACGATTCGTGGGCGAAGATCAGATTTTACCCTCCCATGAGTTCCAGCAAGTGATACCAGCGAGGATTATCTTGATATCGATGTTTTCATTATCAATATTGAGTCTTATGTACAATAAAAAAAATGTTACGGGGTTCGAATCATGTTCCCCCCCCCCCCTTTCGTAGAGAGATCGTCTATGTAAATACCTGGTATTAGGATCCCTGTTTCCTTTCTTTCATGCACAACATTACACCTTTTATGAGGCTTCGGTAATTGAAACAAGCTACTAAATTGCCATTCGTACAAGCTCACATTGCACCACAGACAGGAAATCATTTTGGGGATTCTGACAAATTCCTGCGGGCCTAGTTTCTGAGGGAGGCAATGACTGCAACAGTAATAAAACTTCTTAATATATGGTTGTCAAGTGGCCTTTTTGCATAGCTTGCATTCACAGTGAAGTTGACTTCTTTCTCTCTCTCTTTTCTTTTCTCAGAAAATCACAAATAAGCTCGGCACCAAGTAACTGCTATGGTTGAAAGGAGGCCGAGAATGTCTTTGCTGATCATTGTTCGTTATGATTCGAAATATGATCATGAACGAAAGATGATCCTGAAAATAGACCATACCCGCCATTCCTCAAGCAGCTATGAGAATGTTTTAGTCGTGGCGTTAGTTACATTACCTTGTACGCAACAATTTTAACATCGACGTAAGAAGGCGAGTCAAGAGCTCCCAAGTTCTGGCCACACATCGTCTCACTGAAATGATTGTTGGATCAGGACTACTATCAATAGAGATATCACTCATTTTTCCACTTGGGCTGCCAATCTTTCCCTGCTGTTTACCCACCACCTTGTTCAATTGGTTCAATTATAATAAAAACCGGCATTTTGTCTTCTTTTTGCGGCCAAGAGCGCTGTCTACAGCACTTACGTCCTAGGGATATTGGCGCTTTACTAGATGAAAAATGTATACTGTGCACTAATAAATCAAGCCCACATCGGAGAGACATGGGTAGGAGCCGGAACCCGCGGATCGTCTCCGCGAACTTGTAGCTGTGGGTTCAGACCCTGGATCTTGATCAAGTCGCCATAATCCAAGTCTTTTCAGCGATGCGTCAATATGATTCCATGGAATTCCTATTTCCTTTTCTCGGTTTAACTTCCATATCCAACCTGTGTTGTGGGTGCGCTCGCTCCAGGAAGCATGTTCAAGAGTTCGGATGTGATCGCGTTTCTCCAGGTCTATCCGGTAGCTTAATGGCCAATGAATAGGTAGTTCTACCATTATAATATATGGAACTGGCCATTCCACATCATTTCGATTTGTCAGCCTCCAAGACATCAGTGGTATAACAAGCCAGTGATGTCAAAAACGCCTATAGTAGCTTCCGACTCTGCACTTAGGCCGTGTTGTATGAGAGTTTGTGGCTGGGAGGGAGCCTGAACTCGATACATTGATGTAGTCTGGATTCAATAGTAGGTGGCTAGCTGACACGTGTCGAGGTAGCAGCAATCAAGCACATCGTTGTGATCATCGGTTGTCACTTGCAGACTTGCACCATGAGGAGTAGACATGTTTGGCTTCTGAAACCCGCCGTAAATGGATATCTCTGGATCCGATTAGTTAGGTTTGGTTGACTTGATAGACATGCCTCATTAGCTTGCATGATAGGCCTATTAACAAAAGCCGCGCGAATGATCAGAGCAAGATGACGGATGATGGCGACAACCCCCTGCTCAAGAAGTATATTTAGTAGGTGATCCACTGCTGTAGGGTACACGGCGTGCCCCGCCTTGGCCTCTGGCTACCCTGACATACGCTACCAGATAGGGCACTCTGTACATCCAATAGAGCCGGCTCGAGCCCACTTTGGTTGACGGCTGGCCGATGCTGGGCTTTGGCTTGGCCATGTGTAATGTAGTCTTCGAAACGCACACGACGCCGACGAACTCAAAGTAGACGGCCTGTCTACCTGCTGCTTATCCTTCGTTGCCAGATAGCCTGTGTGATTTGGCAAGCTTGCAAACTCCATCATCAGCAAGCGATTTACTGCTCGACGGACAACAGCCTCCACGGACAACAGCTGCGTCGCCTCCCCATAGTAGTAGCGACAAACACAGAATCGCCTGTGTGGACATCAGTCGTCGCACCGATTTCGTCCGATCCGATTACTGGCCGGCCCACGTACCGACCGGCGAGCACCACCACCACAACGGTGCCACCACGTCGACCACCAGCCATTGCCTACCTACCCGCTTGGCTACCTGGCGGAACCTGACAGCACCTCGACCGACTGCCCTTGATTCGAATGCGCGCAACAGATCCATTCATACAGACGACGACAAACAAAACCCGGTACCCCTCAGATTACCGGACTCGACCGAGAGAAAAGACGGCGCAAGTTTGCCTGATGGCGTAACTCATGGCATCTAGAAGTCCAACTGCGAACCCGCGACCATCGGTAGCCGATAACGATACTGCATCGCGACTTCCCTCGTCCAGGTCCAAGTCCAAACCGCCCAACGCCCGCCAAGTTGCACCTGCCTCTGGCTCCCCTCCAGCCTCATCACAATCACCTAGGTACGCGTTTCAAGTCCCGTCTTCTTTGTGCATCAAGGCACCTACCTACCTATCTTTTACGAGCTGCCCGCCCATTGTTCCGGGCTGCCCTCGTCCCATCAGATTCCACGCCGTCGTCGCCGCCGCCGCCAAGTGACTTGCGCCCTCTCTTCATTGTCTTGCCTGTCTTCCTACCTACATTTCATACGTCTTTCACTTCTACTCAAATCCCAGGAGGTGAACTACCTATCCAGGTACCTTCCTCGTCTGCCCATTGAATTGTAACCAGCACACTTCTCTGTCAGTTGGTCTTGTATTCCATGATTGGTTTGTCCAGTGCTGCCTGCCACCCGGCAGTAACACATTGACGACACTCGGCCAAGAAAGGGAGAATCACCGACCCAAGCTCGACGGCATCAATCCATCCATCCGTTGATATTTCCCCGCTGTGCCGCAGCTCCGTGTTTGCTTTCTTTGTCTCTGCATTCACCTTGCCGGGCCAGGACGTTCAATTGGCGACTGCTCGATCCACTGCACAGCTTCCTCGTCACGAGACGTGGGGTGCTCAAGAGCTATCGACAAGCTTCAGCCTTCTCCCCAACTCGACCACCACTGAAGTGCAAGGCACGCAGCCACACAACCGGCATACTTTCTGGCCATCCCGTTTCGATTGCGATTGTCCTAGGGCAACTAACAGTCACATATCGGATTGGATCCCTCAGGTGGACAATCACGCACTGCTTCAGCTGCATTCTTCATTGTTCTTTCTATTCACCTTCTGCCTGCATGTTTTCAACCCTCTAGCACACTCTAGGCGCCGCCCAGTTGGACTGGCAATTTCTTTTGATACCCTTTTATTGAACGCTTTGCAGCTTCTTTTCGACTACATACTCATGTCTCCCAGACGAACTCGTTCATCGGCGCGCCACGCTGCTAGCCAAGCTGACACGCCAGCGTCCCCATCGTCTGGGGCCGCATCCACCAACACTTCGCCTGCGGCACCTCCATCGGCATCTCAGGCACCTGCTAGTCTTCGTCAGACGCCCATAAAGCCTTCAGCGTCTAGAAAACGAAAGGCTCGTAACGACGACACTCATTCTCCTCCCCCGCCCAAACCTCCGCCCGAGCTCGAGCAACCGGCTTCATCTACCCGTCGGCCCAAGAGGCAGAAGGTCCAGGAACCAGCTGCCGCCGAGACCCCTTCCCAACCCACAGCTACACGAACTTCCACTCGCACAAGAAAAGGAAAGGCAGCAGTAGCCATGTCGAGTCCCGACGAGTACGTGCCCCCAGTGCAATTGAAAGCACAAGTTACTGATCTCCCTTTGCACAGTCCTACTCTGCCAGCCTTGCAGGACAAAGGTCCTTCCACCTCGGCATCTGCATCTTCCAGCAGAAAGTCTAGCCGCAACAAGAGAGTGACTAGACAAGCTCAAGGTACGTAGAGCTATGATTCTCTACAGTCACATCTTTCTAATGTGTAATTGCAGAGACAGAGTCTACTTCCATGTCAAACCGAAGGTCAAAGAAAGCTTCTTCGAACAATCAAACATCTTCCGATCAAGACGTCACCATGACTGGCACAGATGATAACGAGAGAGACTCAGCACCTCCACCGCCGCCACCTCCTCCTCCAGCACATGATCCCGACGACAGCGACGGTCGTGATGAGGATGATGAGGATGAAGATGATGACGACGATGATGAATCCCACCATCATTACGACGACGATCCCTTTGGTGGTTTCGGCGGACCCCCAGGCTCCGGTTTGTCGAGTACATTACGAGCTCTGACAGGCATGATGTCCGGGATCGCGTCCAGATTGCGTGAGATCATGAGCAATCTCAGAATGAAGGAGGATCCTTCAATGCAGATGATCGCCCTGCAAGACCTCTCGGAAATTCTCTTGGTCTCAAACGAGGACAATCTTGCCGGCCATTTCTCGCCCGACTCGGTTGTGAAAGAGCTTGTGGCGCTGATGCAGCCTAACGAAATCACAGGAGAGGAAAATCCAGAGATGATGCTTCTCGCATGTAGATGTCTGGCCAATCTTATGGAGGCTTTGCCAGCCAGTGCTGCTAATGTCGTCTACGGAGGTGCAGTGCCAGTGCTTTGCGCAAAGCTACTCGAAATTCAGTACATCGACCTTGCCGAGCAATCACTGAGCACCCTGGAGAAAATATCGGTTGACTACCCTACGACTATAGTCCGTGAGGGCGGTTTGACTGCCTGCCTATCATATCTGGATTTTTTCGCAACAGGTACACAGCGCACTGCTGTAACGACCGCTGCAAATTGCTGCAGAAATATTCCTGAGGATTCTTTCCCAGTCATCAAGGACGTTATGCCAATTCTGCTCAACGTCCTAAAAAGCAGCGATCAAAAGGTTGTGGAGCAGGCCTCGCTTTGCGTGACTCGTATTATTGAAAGCTTCAAATTCGCAGCCTCGAAGCTGGAGGTCCTCGTCAGCGTGGATCTGTTGAGATCCATTCTTCGCCTCTTGTTGCCGGGCACCACCAATCTGATTGGGGCAAACATACACACACAGTTTCTACGAGTCTTGGCCATCACCGCACGGGCTAGCCCAAGACTTTCGGCTGAGCTCTTCAAACTGAACGTTGTCGAAACTCTGTACCAGATCTTAACCGGCGTATCCCCTCCAGACGAAACAGAGGATGTGGCCTCAAAGTTGGATAGCGTCGTCATCATGCAAGCCTTGATTCATCGCCCACGAGAGCAGATTATTGAAACCCTGAATGTCATCTGCGAACTGCTCCCTGGTCTCCGGCACAGCGAGCTATCAGGGACGGCATTGACGCTTGGTCTCGACCTTGCTGAGCCTATCACGCCATCTTCACTAGGAAGTCAGCGCAAGAAGTCATCCTCAGAAAAACGTCTTGATCTTCTCGAAGACTGCAAAGATCAAGTTCGGCGGTTTGCATTGATCCTGTTTCCGACTCTGACTGATGCTTTTTCAAGCACAGTGAATCTCAGCGTTCGACAAAAGGTTCTTACAGCACAGATCAAGATGCTGTCAAATCTAGACAAAGATATCCTTATCGATGCCTTGAAGTCAGTGCCATACGCTTCGTTTTTGGCTGCTATCCTGTCTCAACAGGATCATCCATCATTGGTCATTTCTGCCATACAAATCACGGAGCTTCTTCTTACACGCTTGGATGATATCTACCGATATCAAATTTACCGCGAAGGTGTCATTAGCGAGATCGTGAAGCTTGCAGAGCACCAAGATATGGAGCAAAAAGCCGCCGAAACTCCGCAGAGTTCGTCGGATTTGGGCTTGGAGTCTGCAAACAGCGACAATGATCGTGTTGAGGTTCATAGCGATTCCGAGGACGACCATGATGCTGAAGATGGAGAAAACGACGAAGATAACGAAGATGATGAGGAGAATGAGGATGATGATGAAGAAGAGAATGGTGAGAATGATCATAACGATGATATCTCTGGATCTCCCGTCAGTTCTGATGGCTCAACCATGTCAATTGATGGCCCCCCTCGGCTTTTCCTCGCCGATCTCCCATCTATGCAGTCTAGGATTGCTGATCTGGCTAAGAAATTCTTGGAGACACACGAAACTGAAAAACATGGCAAGACTATGAAGAAGAAAGCGAACAAGATTCTGAGTGATCTTCAAGCTCTTGCCTCTGATATTGAGGCTTACTACCTGCATCGAAGTGCCAAGAACCTTGCAACTCAGGAAGGTATTGCTTTGTTCGAGCGACTTGCCGCGTATTTTGATGCGGATGTCCTTGAGAATGCCACCAGTGCTGAACTTATGGCCTCTGGACTTGTTCGGGTGCTAGAGGAAGTTTTCAGCAACCCCGATGAAGCGCTCGCGAATTCTGCTAGGGCCGCTTTCCTTGAAGTCTTCATGGGTCGGTCTGTCAAGTCGAAGCCCAAGACCAATAGTGCTGATTCACCGGCCACGCCTTTCAGTATCATGACCCACAAACTTCAGGATCTCCTGAGTCGATCTGAGCATTTCGAAGTCCTGACTGTTCACCAGAACTCGTTTGATGGCAACCGCAGCAGTGCCGCCTCCATGCTTGCGAAGCAGATCCGCTTGAAGCTCGTGGCAGACGAGAATTCCGAGATTCCTCGTGAGTACCGTGGTATTATGGTGTCTATTCACGCCATTGCCACCTTCAAATCTCTAGATGACTATCTGCGACCTCGAATTAGTCTTCATGAGAGGCCACGCCGTGGAGGACCACGCGATTTCGCCAGAGCCTTGGCTGCCATGGCTGGTCTACCTGCGGATCGCCTGGCAGATCGATCTGGATACTTGTCAAGTCCTGTGCCTCCTCCCCCTGTGCCTCCACAACCTTCAAGTTCACGACCTGCTCGTCATTCCAAGGCGAAAGGCTCAACGCAAGCCGAAGCCCCAGCTTTGTCAGATCCGTCGTCCCTAGGACGGGAAAAGAATACTCTCCGCAGATCAACCCGTCAGAACCCCGCTCTTGCAGATGATGACCAAGCTCCCCCGCCCCCTCCTGGACAGGACAATGACCTGCAAGATGCGCTGGAGTGTGCAGATGAGAAGCCTCTGTCTGGTGATGATGATGATGATGATGGTGGCGACGACATTGCAGACAGTAGCGCACTAGATGCCATGATTGGAGACCTAGAAGACGATATGGATGATGAACCGCGACCCGACCCCTCTGCGGTCAGCCTGGAGGTGGCTACGAGTGGTAAGATCACAGCCATGAAGGACGACGGAACCAGGGTCCCCACGCCTGCCCAAAGTGGTGGTCTCGGAAGCGTTCCGGGCCGGAGCGCTACCCAGACACCTTCGGCCCCTGCTCAGGAACCCTCACATCCTGCTCAAACGCCATCGCGGCCGTTTTCCTATGCCGCAGCAGTCCAGTCCGTCCCGTCAGATTGGCACATTGAATTCAGTCTCGACGACAAGGTCATACCCAATGAGACAACCATCTATCGGGCTGTCCACAGCGCGTCCACCAATGCAGACGAAAACGCATCCAGAAGCATATGGTCCGCCGTCCATTCTATCAAGTTTCGTCGGGTCCCCGGACCACCTCCCACTGAGCCTATCGGGTTCAGCCTAGCTTCTGACGCGCCCGCGAGCCCCAATGGTACACCAGCATCGTTGACCAACCATCCTACTACGGGTTCGATTCTTCGGCTCTTGAAAATTCTACATGATCTCAATGCCAACCTTGATGACATAATCGTTGAGAACAAGGATGCGCTGAAACTCAACCGTGAGCCACTTTCGCAGTTCGTCAACACCAAGCTAACAGCCAAGCTCAACCGTCAGCTTGAGGAGCCCTTGATTGTGGCATCCAGCTGCTTGCCTGGCTGGACAGAAGATTTGGCTCGTCTGTATCCATTCGTCTTTCCTTTTGAGACTCGGCACCTCTTCCTCCAATCAACATCGTTTGGTTATGCTCGGTCTATGAACCGCTGGCAGAATGCGCAACAGGAAGACACGAATCGCCGCGATCGCCGCGATGAACGACCATTCCTCGGGCGCTTGCAACGCCAGAAAGTCCGCATTTCTCGTGCGAAGATTTTGGAGTCTGCTCTCAAGGTCATGGAACTGTACGGCGAATCCAGAAGTATTCTCGAGGTGGAATATTTCGAGGAAGTAGGCACTGGTCTTGGTCCTACTTTGGAATTCTACTCGACAGTTTCCAAGGAATTCTCAAAGAAGAAAATCAAGCTTTGGCGAGAGATGGATTCCAACGACTCGGAGGAGTTCATTTCGGGACCGCATGGCTTGTTCCCCCGCCCCTTGGCCACCGACAATGCTGCCAACATTGATCGTGTACTATTCTTGTTCAAGATGCTTGGCAAATTTGTTGCCCGGTCCATGATTGATTCTCGCATAATTGATCTCAATTTCAACCCCATCTTTTTCCGAATCGGTGATGCGGGGCATGGAGTTAAGCCCTCACTTGGATCTGTCAAGATTGTTGATCGCGGCCTAGCCAACTCCCTAAAGCTTATCAAGAAATTTGTTTCCGCAAAGCAGGAAATCGACCAGGATCCTAGCCGAACAGCAGCTCAGAAGGTGGCAGACACAGAGCAGATCGTCGTTGATGGTACAACGATTGATGATCTTGCTCTTGACTTCACTCTTCCCGGATATCCTGACATCGAGCTTGCACCTCAGGGCACCCATACGCCCGTGACTATTTACAATGTCGAGTCGTACCTGGATAAGGTGATAGACATGACTTTGGGAAGCGGTGTCAAGCGCCAAATTGATGCCTTCCAGACGGGATTCTCTCAGGTTTTCCCTTATAGTGCACTCAGTGCCTTTACGCCAGACGAGCTCGTGTCTCTATATGGACGTGTTGAAGAAGATTGGTCCCTTGAGAGTGAGTTGAAGATCGAATCTGCTTCATTATTCTACTTATTGCTGACATATTTTGGTAGCACTTATGGATTCGATCAAAGCCGATCACGGTTTCAACATGGACAGCAGGAGCGTCAAAAACCTACTCCAAACCATGAGTGAGATGACTCCCGCTCAGCGACGCGACTTTTTGCAGTTCACAACTGGTAGCCCTAAGCTCCCAATTGGAGGTAAGCAGTCCCCAAGCTAATGATTGCCAAAGATTCCAGAGATGACTGACAAATGATTGTAAAGGATTCAAGAGTCTGACACCGATGTTCACGGTGGTCTGCAAGCCAAGCGAGCCACCCTATACGCCCGACGATTACCTCCCGAGTGTCATGACTTGTGTGAACTACTTGAAACTGCCCGACTATACGACCATCGAGAAGATGAAGAAGCAGTTGTTTACCGCTACCCGTGAAGGACAGGGCGCATTCCATCTCTCTTAAGTGCGATCTTGAAAAGATGGCAACAGAAACTCTCACGCATACGAATAACCCAAGCGAACAAACAGCAGCGAAGAAAAATATCAATAGACGCATATTGCATAGGGTCTGTTTTTCTCCCAGGCGAGGGCGTGGGCCAGACAAAGGGTTCACTGCAGAGTCTTGATTTTATATCTGGTTTTTGGTAGGCGTTGGTTTGGGGCGCCATTCTGCCACCACGCCAAGACTGATAATGAATTTTAATGAGCGAAGAAAATAAGAAAAATGATTGAAGAAGGAAGCGGCTATAGCATTGTGCAGATGGATGGTTGTTTCTGGCGTCAGGGGGCATTTGCGGTTTTTCCGTCGTGGTTGTCGAGGCAGCTAAGTTCGCCGGCCGGAAGCTCCTCGACGGTTGTGCATGTCTCACATTTTTGTTCTTGTGCCATGCATCCATCTTCTTCATCATTGATCAATGGCATGGCATTATTGTACTTGGGGAGATTCCCAGCAGATAGACCAGGTCACTTTATTTCGATGTCCACCACGTCTTCTATGAGTTTTGCTGCGGGTGATTGATTGTTTGCACCAGTCAAAAGACTATTGTCAAAAGCAAGTGATGGAAGTGCTGCATTCACTCTGAAGATGATATGATGATGATACGAATGGCAGTAGTTATTAAAAGGAGAGAAGATTCAATGGCTAATTGAATCTCATGCCCTAGACCCAATAGATAGCTCACTAACCTTGGATGTACGTACATACATTCATACATACCTGAATGTAGAGGCGGCGTGCGACACAGATAAGGGAGAAACAGCACTAACAAGTTTCGTTCTATGTAATAAGCAGGCTGCCGGCCGACTGATGATGTGCTGACTTGACACCCTGCCTAAGACCCACCCCCGGGATTTGGGGGAAGGAGCTTGGCTGAATTGGGGGCAGGGCAGCTTGTACCGAGGCTTGTGTTTCCCTCTTTTCCCCTTGCATCAATTGACCGGCTCTTCATCACGGAGTAACATTGATTGAACACACTCATTTGCCGGCCCGACTTTGTTTCTGCCTTGATTCAATTGCCCGCAACTCGCAGAAGAGACTGCATTTCATTAATGCAACTCGAGGTTCAGTCTCCCCTATTTCGATTTATCGCGGCTGCACTTTGAAGCTCTTATTTGTCATCAGCGTGGCGTTGAACGTGACCGAGTACCAACAACCCATCGCTCTCCTCCAACGGCATAAGCTGACCGGCACAAGTGGAGAGAGGTGCTCTGCACTACCCACTACCTACCTACCTACCTATCCGACGTCGACGTTTGTGGTGATAACAGCTTCTCTGCTACAAGGATTTTGATCTTCTTTCTACTGCATATCTCCAACGTTTTCTTATTTGCGCACTACTGCCAGCGGTAACTAGCACATTGCTGGTAGTCTACTAACCTAGAAGAATCGACCACACGACAAATTATAGAGCCTTTCATACATCGACAGAGCAGAGATTCGCAAGCGTTCAGAGGACTATCCACTTTGGATTTAATAGAGAAATTTGGCAGCAGCCCTGCGAAGACGAGCGATTTCTTCTTCTTCCTCTTTTGGCTTGCCCGCTGACCATCAATTGGCGTTGATAAACAACGATGGACTTTCCGTTTCATGTCAAGGAGCACCTCATCCCAGGTCAACATGTGAGAGAGTACGCACGAGCAACGGCTAACTCACAAGAGGACACTGTGTACCTGGCCATCAAGCAGTATACTCCAAAGGACAATCCTTCTCCCCAGCCAGGCGACATAACCGTTATTGGCGCGCATGCAAATGGTTTCCCGAAAGAGCTTTACGAGCCACTGTGGGTTGAACTGCACGGCGCGGCAAAGTCTCATGGCTTCCGGATCCGGAGTATTTGGATTGCTGATGTAGCCAACCAAGGATACAGTGGTGAAGCCAACGAGCTTACTCTCGGCAATGATCCGTCGTGGGCTGATCACGGCCGGGACCTCCTGCACATGACCAATGTGTTCAAGAAGGAGATGCCACGACCTCTTATCGGGATTGGGCACTCGTTTGGCGCAAACTGTCTCACGCATTTATCACTGCTTCACCCCAGGCTGTTCACGACATTAGTCCTGTTTGATGCCACCATCACCAAGTTTGGCTTCAAAGGCGCCGGTCCAGGCGTGTCCCCAGCAAAGGGCTCCGCCTTCCGGAGGGATACATGGCCCTCGGCCGAAGTTGCTGCCGAGGGTTTCCGCCGCTCCCCCTTCTACAAGTCATGGGACCCGCGGGTCCTCGATGCCTGGATCAAACACGGTCTGCGGCCAACTCCAACTGCCCTGTTCCCAGACGCAGCACCAGGCACTGTCACACTTCGAACGACAAAGCACCAAGAACTGTTTACCTTCTTCCGGCCTTTATACCCATACGCGCGCCCGGATGGCACGCTTGACTTATCCAAGGTGCCAGACTTTGATCCAAAGGCACACGAAGGCTTTGACGGCCGAGTGCCGTTCCCGTTTTACCGGGCCGAGGGCCCCGCCATCTTGGCAAGACTGCCCGAGGTGAGGCCATCGGTTGTCTTTGTGGCGGGTGGCGCCAGCGACTTGAGCACCCCCGACAAGCGCCGGTTCCGCCTCGAGACGACTGGTACTGGTGTCGGCGGCAGCGGAGGCGCCAAGGCCGGCAGAGTTGCCGAGGTTCTGATGGAAGGCATGGGCCACCTCTTCCCCATGGAAGTGCCGGGCCAGTGTGCCGAGCACGCAGCGGTATGGATCGAGCGGGAGATTGAGAGGTGGCGCGCCGAGCAGCGCGAGTATGAAGACTGGAGCAAGTCCCGTGGCCTCGTCGAGAAGAGCACCATGGATGCCGAGTGGTTGGGCAAGCTTGGGACACCGCCCGAGCGGAGGAGCAAGGGGAACGGTGGAGGCGCCAAGTTGTGATGAACCTTGAGTATTGCATCGGAAAGCGACGGCATACGTATTGGTACCATGTCCAGGAAGGGTTGAAGAGCATTGGCTTTCTGTTGTTGTTTTCACACCGTACAATACAGGCAGCGGGGTTAGAGAGAAGAGCATAGCTAACTTACTAGTCTCACATACGCAATGAGTGAATTTCAAGCACGCATGCGATACAATACTTTTGACCAGACTGTGTCGTGACTGACTCTACCATCCATGCTTTCGTGGCCGGTGATTTATGAGCCCTTTTTTTTCTTTCATTTTCATGAGACATTGCCCCCAGGTCTACTGACATGTTTGTTTGTCAAGGTTGAATCTGCATGACGGAAGAGACTGCGATAAATAGATGCGTGTCAAGTCATGTTACCTACCTAGTCCTTGATTCAATGTACTGATGTTGCAATCGTTGGCGGTGAGCACAACATCTGCCGTAAAACTACGTTGTATCTGACAGCCCGAATTATCCACCCAGTTGCAGAGTTAAGAAAAATGTTTAAGTTGAGTCTAATAAAGGCGCAGAAAGACCGGGGACATTTTCGGAAGGAAGGGGGCGAGAGAAGTTATTGTCGATACGTAAGATCAGATAAGATCAACGTAAAAGATCAGATAAGATAAATGAGCGATGGTATCCACAAGATCCGACTTGGCACTCTAGCCTGGGTATGCACATGTGATGGCAGGCCATGTTTGAAGAACGAATGGCAACTTGGGATACCATTACGTTAATTTGAGGCCGACTTGAGTCTCGGCTGTCGGTGGTTATCGGTGTTCATCGGTCAACTCGTGATGTTCAGAGTGTTCACGGAAGCACATTTCTGCGAGTGTCTTCTGCTGAGGCGGTTGCTATCAGGAAGTGAATAGACCAGCAAACAAAAAAGACGGCAAAGAGCTTGACGGAGCATTTGAGAATACTGAGCAAGAGAACCATGTGCGAGCATTTGCCGTAATATGGGCCCCAGAGAAGTTTTCCCCCCAAAGCTCGGTTTCCGACCGTGCGACTCGGATCTATCCCTAGATAGAACATTCAAGGCGTGGTCAGGTTTTTGTATACTAGTAGTATACATAGTCCTGTCCAGCTAGTGGACCAAAGTTCCGTACATTGTTCGGCAGAAAGATCTCCCTCCTTCTCGCTTATAGTGTACATATCACCATGTATGGAGGCAAAGGCCTGGCGAGTGGTCATATACAAGGTACACTCTCTCCCAAGCGGCTGCGAGAAACAGGGAAGCCGTGCATTCTCCTGTCCATCAAAGCCCACATTCAAGCCGAGAATCCGGAGAATGATCGAAAATGAGGAGACGGTGGTGCCAATGCCTACAGATGCTATGACCAAAAGATTCCCCTACTCGGCAACTTTGAATGCTATTTCAGAAACAACCAAAGCCGCGAGCCCACATATAAAGAAATAAGCATCAATCCGATGGTCATTCTAGTCATTTAGAGTTGCATAGGCGTGGATGCTGTTATGGTACGTCCTGTGAAGCGATTGGCCAACCTTTTCCCTTTTGTCTTTTTCTTTCCTTTTCTCTCTCATCGAACTTTGGTCATGCAATGCAGATCAAAAGATCTTGGCTCGAGCAAATCAATACGTGAAGATGGTACACCCACGCCCAAGTTGACGGCAGATGCACCGCCAACAGCCTATACAAGACTTGTTGAAGAGGCACTTGAAGAGTCAAGAGCGGGTTTTCTCCCGTCTGATTCGAGAACTTGCCGTCGAAACGGAATGCTTGGCTCTCGGATCAGTGTTGCCCAGACTCGGGTATGCAGATCATTTCCTTGCATGGCCAAGAATGAACAACAAAGCTTAGCTAACTGACCCCCCCGGAGTGTGAAACACGACAAGCAATTGAATATTGTCAACTAAGCGCTGAGTACGCAATATTCAAACAAAGCAGCATTCAAGCGCGTACGTAGATGAGGTGTTGTACTCGAATGGATTTCTGGTATCCACTATTCCAGGCTTGTTATATAGACTGTAGCAAACAGTTCCAAAACGGGAAAGTATTGGGCCCACGTCAGCCTTTTCGCAGCCGAAAGTGGCGGAGTTTTTAAGGGACGTGTGAGCGAGAAAATCAAACATAACCTCTGCAAAGCCAGAGAGCAAGGATATTGGAAGAAAATGAAAGAATAGAAAAACCTCCGTCTCTCTTTCTCGGTGATCCCATCTGAAACGATCTGCAAATAGGTGTGGATCTAAATAATTCACCCTTTTTTAGCGCTATGGAGTTGAGCAAAAAAAAAAAAAAAAAGTGAGGATACCGGCCGGCCCCCCCAAGCACTGGAGATGATAGAGGATAAAGTGGGTTCTGAGCCGCGTGTTATATTACGATGCCGAAATCGGGTTTTCTATTACCATGTAACTAGACGTGCACAGGGAACCCAGTTGCAAGGTTCTATGCGTAGTGCAGAAAGAAGCATTGACTATTAGGATAATGTTACCTTTTTATTTTTTTCTTGTATAATAGCTTCAGGGGGGGCCGAAACTGATGAGTGTATCTGCTCGAAACTTTGGATGATCTTCTAGAAATATTAATCTTTGTACTACTACTACTGCTACTTCTTCTTTCTTGGTCTACAATCTCATATCAATATCCTGCCATTCATTTGAACCGTCATCAAGTTTTCCCGAGAAGTAAAAGAAAACAACTGATCAAAGAAGATCATATCGTCACAATGTCTTCCTACGCCGACACTTACACGCTCAAACCTATTACGGATATCTTCACCAGCGATACAGACTTTGACAGAAGAGAATGCAAGCGCACAGTACCAATGAAGGTCCTGATTCTGGGACTGGGCCGAACTGGCACAGCTTGTAAGTGACTTTTCCAACTCCTCCACCAGTTGCCGGCTTTGCCATTGTTCTACTTGACTGACTCGAATGGAACCCTTATTAGCCATGCGAGCGGCCATGAAGCAACTCGGCTACGTTGACACATACCACATGATGAACGCCTCGATAGAAAACCCGCCCGACGCCCTGCTATGGATGGACGCTCTCCGGGCCAAGTACGACGGCGTCGGCAAGCCGTTTACGCGCGAGGACTGGGACAAGCTGCTGGGCAACTGCCAGGCCGTGTGCGACTGGCCGGCGGTGGCGTTTGCAAAGGAGCTGATTGAGGCGTACCCCGAGGCCACGGTGGTGCTGACGTGCCGGGACGTGGACTCGTGGCACGCCTCGACCATGCGGACCGTGTGGTGGCGCGTCACGGAGCCCGAGCTCAAGTGGCTGTCGTACGTGAGCTGGGCCGCGCGCATGTACCAGCCCATGCTGCAGAAGTTCTTTGACTCCTTCTTCGAGGGCGATTTCCCCAACCGCGGCAAGGACGTCTTCTTGCGCCACTACGACGAGGTCCGCGCCCTCGTGCCCGCCGACCGCCTGCTCAACTACAAGGTCGCCGAGGGCTGGGAGCCGCTGTGCGAGTTCCTCGGCGACGCCATTCCCAAGGGCGTGCCGTTCCCCAAGATCAATGATAACTCGGACTTTGTCGACCGCTCCCGCCGGCGGAACCGCATGCAAATGTACAATGTGGCGCTGCAGTTTGTCAAGAATGCCGTCATTGTTGGTTTGGTGCTATACATTATTTGCACATTGCTCGGATTGAGCCTATAGAGAAAAGTTTTTGCCTTGTTTTTGTACATCATATTGTCTATTTTTTTTATTTTTTTTACCATTACACAGCTTTTTCATTATAGCAGATACAATACCCATAGCTGTTTTTGATCAATAAAATCAATACATCAAGATCACATCGTACCCAAGCAAGCAAGCAAGCAATCGTTCAAACAGTTGTTAGTTCTTGACTGGACTATCGCCTACGCATACCTTGGTTTGGCTGATCAACAAGCGACGATCATTTCCACATGTCAATGATAGTAGATACAAGGTTCAAATGAGCAGGTTGGAGTAAAAGACTGGGTTGATGTGTGTAGTACACATGTTTGTAAGCGTGTGCATGCGTCGCCCCTTGACGCTTTCGGCGATATTCACTTGACACATCCCGGTGGCCGACCTTTGATGAATATCAAGCAATGAGTTATCAGTAGTGAGTGCTGCAAGTTGCGACGGGATGTTGTGCGCCCCGCCGACGATTGCAACATCAGTATATCGCCCGGTGGAGACCACGACACACACGGACATAACGCGCGTTTGGGCGCAGCAGCCTCTTTCATCAGCCTCTTTTTCGTCTCTTTTCCTCGTTATTATCGACTCTACCCACGCGTTTTCATCCCCTGATAATCGTCATGCTTGAGATTAATTAAACAACTGTACCCATTCTATTCTCTTGTGCTTTTGTTTCAATCCAAGGCTGGTCACAACTTCTGGTTCTAGCGCACGCGCTTGGTGCTGCTACTTACCTAGCTTGCGGGTTCTTTGTTCGAGAAATTGAATATGGTTCTAGCTGGAGATTGATTTTTAGCTTGTTGGTTGTAAGCCCGAAAGTCCGAAGTTTGCACATATCGGTTAAACCACAACCACCACCGTAATCATCATCATCACCATCAATCATCCTTAAAGTTTATCGATCAGTGTGATTTGTCGCAGCGGTCGCCGAGGACGTGTCTTATTTCCTATCTTTCTTCCGGCGGGTCAGACACTAAACTCCTGCGTACTAGTAGTACCTGTTGCGAAAAGAAAAATGCCAGACCCATGGAGTCGGGAACCAGAGACGGCGCAGGGAGAGCCAATGGAGTCTGGCAATTGCAAACCAACACCTGACTTTCGTTCGAGGATGAGCGACAGTTCATTTGCCTACAGCGAAAGTGTCTGCGTAACGTGATGACGAAGATGGGTGGAACATGATGCTCACAGTGGACAAGGGCGGGTGGACGAGTGGATGCACTTCCCAAAGAAGCGTCTTGGCATTCTGGCACGTACTCTGTCTGCGCCCATGTAGGGCAAGTATAGGGATGATTGGGATGAACCATGGTTGGGTGACTTTTGCAAACATGGGCAATGCTGTTTGAATCTTTTATCGCCTTGTAAAACGGCCCATGACGACGACGAGGAGGGAAATCATCATTCAACAATCCATATCAAAGACGACTTCTTTGCACATTATTGACCTTGATCTTCCGCCTCACCTGTACATATTGTATAAAACCCTTTCTTTGTATGGTGATAGCATCAGCAACCCATACTCCAAGCCTGGACACCTCCAATAACCCTAGGCGCCAAGACATAAAATCACTCAAAAAGGAAAGAGAGAGAAAAGGCAACTGAACGGATACTACTACATGATATAGAAATGTCGGAAGAAAAGGTCGGACGGGATTCATATTCACTATCACACGAAAACGATGACCTCGAGTTGCACGAACTGGCAGATGTTGCCGACACCGAGGCTCTTTTAGAAAAAACAGATGAAGAATCACAACCACCGCAACAAAAGGACGGGCCGGTGACATGGCTCTCGCTTCCCCGAAAAGATCAACTTGCCATATTATTCCTCTGTCGCTTCGTCGACTTTCTCCAAGTAGCCTCTCTCCAGGCCTACGTCTTTTACCAACTCAGAAGCCTCGACGGCACAAAGTCCGACTCGGAAATCTCTGCCCAGGTCGGCATCCTTCAGGGCTCGTCCACGGGCGCCCAGGTGCTGACGGCGATACTATGGGGCAAGGCGGCTGATGCGACGTGGTGTGGGAGAAAGACCGTCTTGGTCGTTGGCCTTCTCGGCACGGCAGTCTCATGCCTCGGGTGCGGCTTCGCCAGCAGCTTCTACTGGGCAGTGTTTTGGCGTGCTCTCGGAGGCGCAATCAACGGATTAGTTGGTATTATGTGAGTTGTGCAGAGAACTGACAGAACCTGTATCCGGGTGTTTCTTTGGTGCTAACCTGTACTCCAGCCGTACCATGATTGCCGAGATTACGGTACAAAGAAAATACCAGTCTCGAGCATTCCTGATTCTGCCCATGAGCTTCAACGTGGCGGGTATTCTCGGACCTTGTATGTCCCATCACTCATTAATTGCGCTCAATAGGCAAGCAACTAACAAGACATTCACAGTACTCGGCGGTTATCTCGCGGATCCTTCTCGAAACCTGCCCTCTCTGTTTGGCGAGGGCTGCGTCTTTGGCTCGCGAATGGTTGAAAAATATCCTTACGCCTTGCCCGGTATCATCAACGCTATTCTCCTCAGTGTCACTGCCGCCATTGTGTTCTTGGGACTCGAAGAAACCCTCAAGTCAAAGAAGAACTTCTTTGATTGGGGGCTTTATATTACCGCCCGGGCAAAGCAAATCATCCTCCGACGACCGATTGACCAAGGCTTCTCTCGACTCCGAACCACGGACACTTTTGAGGAGCAACCTTTCGTTCCCAAGGAGGTTGCCGATATCAAGGCACAAACTCCGGAGAAGCCGGCCAAAGTGCTTCCCTTCAACCGTATTTGGACACGCAATGTTATCCTGACTCTCGTTACCGGCGCCTTTTATGATTTTCATCTTGGTGCCTTTACCAATCTCTGGACTCTTTTCCTTTCGACGCCCCGCGTCGCTTCGGTCGTTCAGCAGCTGCCATTTTCTTTCACGGGTGGTCTGGGCATGCCTTCCTCCATGGTCGGCAACGCAACCTCGATACTGGGCATTCTCGGCATGCTGCTACAGATATGCCTGTACCCGCCAGTACACGCTCGGCTCGGCACCCTACGTTCATTCCAGTGGTTCCTGATTCTGTTTCCCATTGCCTACTTCTTTGCTCCCTACCTCGCCGTCCTGCCGTCCTCGTCCGAGGCGCCCGAGCCGGCGTCGGGAGCCTTCATCTGGGCCGGCATCATCTTTGTGCTCTTCTTCCAGGTGGTGGCCCGCACCATGACGCTGCCGGCGAGCATCATTCTGCTCAACAACTGCAGCCCGCACCCGAGCGTGCTGGGCACGATCCACGGCCTCGGCCAGAGCACCTCGGCCGGCTTCCGCACCGTCGGCTTGCTGGTCAGTGGGTGGTGGTACGGCGCCGGCCTCGACATGAATGTTGTCGGCGCCAGCTGGTGGGGCGTCACGGGCATGTCGACGTTGGGATGCGTTGCAGCCATGTTTATATATGAGGGCAGCGGACATGAGATCATGTTGGATTAAAAAAAAGTCAAGCCTTTTGTCTCATTTTTCTTATTTCATTTGTACATATATCATAGCGAGAATTTGATTTCAATCTGAATGTGTATTGTTCTACATTTTGTTGTTGGCCTGAGTATTGTATGCATGCATGTTGGTGCACGGTACTATACTCTGTAAAAGTCGCTAAGCGGCAGCCAGTAAATGCTTGGGTGTGACAATCATATTTCCGAACTAGGAATTTGGCGGGTGACATTATTTCCGCCGCCAATGGATAAGAGCCAAAATCCATCTCCGAGAATGCGTACAAAGATAAGTTTACCCCTAGCCCGATATGTCCGCGCAAGTCCGCCTCACACCCAAGAAAAAAAGAGAGAGAAAAAAAAAACATCGGCCCACACTAATAAAACAAGGAGAGAGGAAAACTTTCATCAAATGCTAGTGCGTCAAAGATGTCCTTCTGGGGCGTGTCGAAATGACCAAAGTATCGACAGGAAAGAGACGTTTATGCCCATTCATTCGAGAACGTTTCGGCCACGAGGACGCCGCGTACTGGCACTTAGCTGTCAACCCCCGGGCTCCATTTGTGGGTGCCGGCCGCAGGGTGACGCGTAAACTGGGGTACTACTTGCTACTCAGTGCTCAGTGCTGCGGCTCTGGGCCCAAGCATGGCGACTAGTCGGGGAGTAGGGGTCGGGCGAGTCGGGGGGTGGACGGCGATCGACAAGTGGCTTTTCCAAAACTCTGTCCTTGTTTGGTTCCTGATTGTAGTACCGTACGTACACGTACCAAGCCACTCATCAGGGAGGATGAGCAGGACCAGACGAGTGTTATTATAGATTGCCTTATTACTCAAAACAGAAATGAGCGGAATATCGACAATGGCTTTCTATAGACTCTCCCCGTCCTATCGTCAAAGGGGTTTCTGCCGGCGCGAGACCTCTCTGCCTGCTACCCCCCAAGTACTCATGTTTTCCGTCGTTTGAGTAGTCGGCAGCGTCCCAACAATAAATTTACTTTTAACCCCCCCTTTTATCAGTGATCGTCCATACCTCGAGTTTATCTCTATTTCTTTCGGCACGGGTGTCGGTCGGGCACCGGAGCGGTAGTCGGGGACAACCTTTGAAACAGAGCGGCCATGTCTGGCAGCAGCTTGCTACGTATTCTGGCCTGCGCGGCTGCGGTGGCCTTTGGGCTTGCATCGGCCGACGACTTCAAGCACGAATATGAGGCCTATAATGATGCCAAGTTTGGCATTTACCCAGATAATACATACAAGGGGACAAATGCCAAGTCGCCGCTCCTCCAGATCAATTCTTGGGAAAAGGAGTCCATGTCAAAATCGGGCTCCCATGTCTTTCTGAGACACAATGGAAGGCAGGACAATTGGGGCAATCAGCAGGCCTCGCCGCTCATTCTCGACGCTGAAGACTTGACTGCCGTTTATATGAATCGGAGTTTTCCCGTCGTGTTCAACGTTCGGGTGCAGGAGAACTTTGGCAAGAAATATCTGACCTTTTACGGCGACAAACTCGTTGCGCAGGGCCTGGGGGATGGCTACTGCCACATTTACGACACCTCGTACCGTGAGGTCTACAAAGTGGGCGCAATCGGCCTCAAGACCAAGGCGGACTTGCACGAGTGCGAGCTTACTGGCCACGGCACCGTCATCTTGAGCAACTACCAGCCAGACACATATGACACCCCCGCCGGCGTCAAGAGCAACCCCGTGTCCATCAGGGAGAGCATATTTCAGGAGATTGACTTGGAGACGAACAAGGTCTTATTCACGTGGAAGGGTTCTCGGCATGTCGATATCTACAACTCTTTCGAGGGACACAATACTCCATGGGATTATTTTCACATCAACACCATTCAAAAGGCACCTGATGGAAACTACCTTGTCTCGGGCAGGCACATGCATTCCATCTACATGGTCAACGGCAAGACTGGCGAAGTCATGTGGACTCTTGGCGGTAGAAAGAATGAGTTTGTCGAGCTGCCCCCAGAAGAGGGCGTCGAATACAGCAACCCCGCGCTCAAGTTTGCCTGGCAGCACCATACCCGATTCTATCCGGGGACGGAAAACGGTGTTGCCGACGGCGTCTTCGAGGTGACCTTTTTCGACAATCACCGCAACGACCATAGCGAGGCTGGGTGCACGTCAGACTGCTCTAGGGGCCTGCACCTCCGGCTCGACACCAAGTCGAACCCCAAGACGGTGCAGCTCGTTCGCGAGTATCAGCACCCCGCCGGGCTGATCGCCCAAAGCCAGGGCAGCATGCAGATCCTGGACAATGGCAACGTCTTTATCGGCTGGGGCAGGATGCCGGCCTTTACCGAGCACACGCCCAACGGGACGACGGTCTGGGACGTCCAGTTCTCGCCCTGGATATCAAAGACCACCGCAGGCCATGCGCTGGACAATTACCGCGCGTTCAAACAGGACTGGAAGGCGACGCCCTACTGGCCGCCCAATCTGGCCGTCAAGACGAAAAAGAGTGACCACATCGCATATCTCAGCTGGAATGGGGCAACCGAGGTGAAAAGTTGGGTCGTGGTAAGAAACACCGTGATCACGTTTTGCGCTCATCTAAAAGTGTTTGAGAGACTGACATGCTGTTGTTTAATATAGTATGCAAATGACGCAACGGATCAATTGACCGGCGACGACAACGTCATAGCACGATTTTCTCGTGGAGGCTTCGAGACAGAACTGCCTCTCACCGAGTTCAACGTCTCGTACCTGCGGGCGGAAGCCCTCGATCGAGAGAACCGGGTCCTCGCCTCAACGAGCATCGTCGACGCAAAGACGGGCAAGGTGGTTTCGTCCGACACGGCCGTGGTCAACGTGATTGAAGAAACCAGCAGCGACGAAGGCGACGACGGGGATGACGACGACGAGAGCTCGACTCAGGCCTCTGCGTGGACGTCGTTGGACTATGCCAGTGAGCAGGACTGGCAGACGGCCATGGTCATTTTTGTCATTTTTGGCATGGGTCTGAGTGCTGCCTGCCTCTCGTATGCCCTGGTACTCAAGTGGCGCTGTGGTCGCAAGGAGCAGCAGTACACTTCGTTGTGAGGAGACATGAGCGAATCAGAGGTTTATGGAAAGAAACAATTTTATTCACAGCTTCTTGAGATCCACGGTCTACCACCTAAGCTCGACTGAAGGCCGGGCCCCACCGTCCGAGGGCCGTTAGGGTCCCTTACTCTGTCAAGGCTGTTATTGGTGTCGGCATTAGGCTGAGTGGCTCCATTTTGAGCTGCTTGTGCCTATAATGAATGAGGGAGCCGTCTGGGAAGACGATCCAACAGATTCGGCGCCAATTGGTTGGTGGCGTCCTCATGGATCCGGGATTCTCTCACACCCATAGTATCACCACTTTCTCAAGGGCAGCGCGTAACAAAGTGGGGTGGAATGTCGGGAGTGTCTCCTTGTGGAAGATCAAGTCCGAAAAAGGCCCATGGAGGAGATACATGGCGCTGGCGTACTTTTGTTTTAGAATGAGCAGAAAGAGGCTCAATCTTCAGTCATGGTTGACTGAAAGCTCGTTGCCCTCCAAGGCGACAGTATGCACTCACAACTATCAAGTCCGCATAGCAGTTGTAGCTGGAAATGTATAGATTCCAGCGTTAGCGGACTTGAGCAGAATCTCGATTACCAGAAGAAATATGTACACAGAAGAGGAGAATTAATTAAAAAAAAAATCGACTATTAATGAAGACAAGACGTCTCAACTTCTTTTGTTTTGTGAATAATTATATAGAAACTTCGGAGACAAAGTCAATTACATATGCGACTTCCATGCACTCTAGGCTTTGGTGTTTGTCAAAGTATTTTTCTATTCGATACTTTTGCTCCGTGAACAACGCCTTTACCACCCAGCAGATCGCAATCATTATCATATAGTATGTTAGCGTGGATAATGCAGTGGTGACCCTTTCAAAGCCAATAGTTTGTTGTGCATCTATCTCATAAGTAAGGTGATTCAAAGCTGTTTCAGGGGTCTGTTTTATTGTAGATTCCTAACCTGTAAATTCGAGTATCCGAATTTCCATGCTGTGATGGTCTAGGCTCGAAACTATGACGGAATATAAATACAGATCCAAGAGTAATTCTATGTCAGTTGTTCGAGGAAAAAGAACATGTGTTTGCTGATGAAAAGTCAACCGTCTCGTCTTGGTTTGCTCCAAGCGAAGATGTTGGCAAACGTGTACTGTCCAGAAATGGACCCTCAAACAAGACGATACAGACAAAGCCAGCAATTTGAGATACTATCTTTTTTCAAGGCAGTCGTTCTTTTCGGCCTTACTACTACTTGAAAACAGCATGAGGTACCTAGTTGGGCCATGGATGGACCTGGAAAACATGGGCGACTAAAGCTTGTCTCCTCCATTGCATCAATGTGAAGGACGTTGGCAAATGCAGATCTGACCTGATAGATTCTGTAATATATGTATTTAGTAATTTCATGTATGGTTGCGCTTTATTTTCCAACATGTATCAAGCTAATACGATGTGTTTGACTGCTCAGTGGAGTAGTATAGCATAAACCCAAGAGTATAGAATGCGCTACGCCCCGCAAATTGGGGGGAATCTGATCATATTCGCGGGGGTTAGCGGCGCCCAGGGGTGCTTATCAGCCCAACCACATGATCAATGGCTACCTTCGGACTTCGGTTTCCCACGGCCCAAGTGCCGGATGTCCTGCTACACTGGACCTTCCCATTCCACGGGTCAGCACAGATGTTGGCGAGGACGATGAAGCGGTTTGTTGTTTCTCTCTTGACCCTTTCTCAAAGACCGCCTTGAACCTCTGAGGGCGTCAATCGAACGACTTTCCTTGCCAATCCATTATTGGCAAACAGCCATGAAGACCAGACTGCTACCGAGGGCATCCTTTCGCCAGGCGGCCACCGGCGCAGGACGCCGAACGCCCGTCAGTTACGCCATTGCCTCGACCCATGTGCCCTCGAGGCCAGCAAGCAGCGGCATCTCCCAGCGGCCGGGCGCGAGCCACGTCTCCTTTCCGGGCGCCGTCAAGAGCGCCTTTACGAGCAAGCTCCAGTTCGCCTTGGCGTCCGAGTCGCCCTCGCTCCCGACCTACCGCGTGGTCGACCAGGACGGACGGGTCGTCGACTCTGACTTCTCGGCCGACCTTGCCGACCACGAGGTCGTGGCCCTCTACCGCAACATGCTGCTCATCTCCATCATGGACGTCATCATGTTCGACGCCCAGCGCCAGGGTCGCCTAAGCTTCTATATGGTATCAGCTGGCGAGGAGGCCATCAGCATCGGCTCCGCGTCCGTGCTGGAAAAGGGGGATGTCGTCTTCTGTCAATACCGCGAGCAGGGCGTGTTTCGACAGAGGGGCTTTGAGTTGAGTGACTTTATGAATCAGCTCTTTGCGAATAAGAAGGACCCGGGAAAAGGCAGGAATATGCCGGTCCACTATGGTAGTAAGGAACTCAATATTGTAAGTGCTTTTCCTGCCGAGTCGACATGTTCAATGCTCATTCTAATTTTATGAACAAAGCACACAATATCTAGTCCATTGGCAACGCAAATACCGCACGCCAGCGGTGCTGCCTATGCAATGAAAATGCAGAGGATAAATGACCCATCCATACCACCCAGGGTCGTGGTGGTCTATTTTGGCGAGGGCGCAGCCAGCGAGGGAGACTTTCACGCTGCCCTGAATATCGCGGCCACCCGTTCATGTCCGGTCATCTTTGTGTGCCGAAATAATGGCTACGCCATCTCGACGCCGACGTTGGAGCAGTACCGCGGAGACGGCATCGCCAGCCGGGGCATCGGGTACGGCATTGACACTATCCGGGTCGACGGCAACGATATTTGGGCGGTGCGCGAGGCCACCAAAAAGGCCCGCGCCATGGCGCTGCAGGGCGAAGGCCGACCCATACTCATCGAGGCCATGAGCTACCGCGTCAGCCACCACAGCACCTCGGACGACTCGTTTGCGTACCGCGCCCGCGTCGAGGTCGAGGACTGGAAGCGCCGCGATAACCCCATCTCGCGGCTGCGCAAGTACATGGAGGCCCGGGGCATCTGGGACGAGGCCAAGGAAAAGGACGCCCGCGAGACCATCCGGAGGGATGTGCTCAAGGCCTTCTCCGAGGCCGAGAAGGAGAAGAAGCCCCCGCTAAGGACCATGTTTGAGGACATCTATGAGGAGTTGACGCCGGATCTCAAGGCACAAATGCAACAGTTGGCGGAGCACCTTGATAGGTATCCCGAGGAGTACGACTTGAGTGATTTTGATGGTGGTAGGAGTGGGCTAAAATAATGAATATAATTATCATTGCTTAGAAAAAGATGATTATGTTGAATACACGAATCACATTCATACGTGGCAAGGATGCACAGACTGACCGTGATGCATCTGCTCATTTCACTACTTCTGTCAAGAGATAAGTTTGGACAAAGGTTTTGAGAGCAGAAACATAACGAGCTTCAAAGCTAGTATCCAATCAAAGACAGTATTTATTATTCCACCCTAAACTTTCACGTCAGTAATTATCCATGATGGTTTTTATAATAAACCTTGGTCAGGCTTAACTGGCTTAAAGCCTATTATAGACTGTGGATCTTAAGATGTCCAAGTCGACACTGGGTTGTCACTATATGTGACTTATTGCTTCACAACATAATAAAGCTACAATAGCGCATTGAGTGGCACGATGGGCTGACAGGTTATTTAGATTCAACTGACATGTGGCAGGCTGAACATGGAGCTCAGAAACATACACTCTGTATAGAGAATAGTGACCTACAACCGAACATGATTTCTGAACTCTTATTCCAGCACTACAATGCTATACCAAGATCCTGGCATATGCTGCCATTGTTTCTGTGCTGTCTCAACAGGTTGCAGAATTAAAATCAAGAAGCGGTTGTGTCGGGAAAATGGAACTCTTTCATTTTTGTCACAATTATGTACATCACACGCAGGTCTAAGTCTATTTCTTGGGCTCCTCCTTCTTCTCCTCCGGCTTTGCCGTAGGAAGCTTGAATGTTTCCGGCTTGCGGTCGGTTCCGGGACCAACGGGCTCCCAGGCGCTGGAGCCACCCTCAAAGTTGCGGAAAGCTTGCGTAAGCTCCAGAGGCTCCGTGACGACGCGCTTCTTCTCCTCATCGTAACGAATCTCTGTGTAACCAGTCAGAGGGAAGTCCTTGCGCAGCGGGTGGCCCTCGAATCCGTAGTCGGTCATGATTCTACGCAGATCCGGGTGGCCGACGAAGAAGACACCGAACAAGTCGTAGACCTCGCGCTCAAACCAGTTGGCACCGTCGTATAAGCTCGTGATGCTGGGGACGGGTGTGGCCTCGTCGGCGTACGTCTTGACTCGGATTCTGGCGTTATGCCTGACACTGAGGAGGTTGTAGACGACCTCAAATCTTTGATCTCTCGTCGGGAAGTCGGCAGCTGTGACAGTGCTGCACTGTGTGAACTCGGCAGCCGTGTTGTCTGTTATATAGGTTAGAAACAAAATGATCCAATTGATTTCCCGGGGGGAATGGATAGTCCACATACACTTCAAAAAGGTAAAGACGGGAATGACAGCCGACGGAGCAATGTAGAGGACGAGCTCATCCTTCCAGACGGAGAATTGCTGAATGTACTTGGGCAGACATCCCATAACCCAGGATCCGTAGCGGTGCAGGTCGTCGGCCTTGGTCTGATACTTGTCGGCGGGGTTCACGAGGGGTGCCTCGAGCTTCTTGGGGTGGTCCCGGGGTGCCTGTCTCATGTTCTTGACGTCGGCGGGCATGGCGACATTGTTGCAGGCCGAGGCGCTGAAGCAGCGCGCATTAACCGGGACAGAAGGTCTCGCGGGCCGCAGAGCTGAGGCCAGAGCCCTGCTGCTTCGGCCAAGCTTGGTCGCCATCGCTTTGCGAATTCGGAGGGGGGTTTGGGGCGTAGGATGAGGTGCAATTGGAAATCGGGGTAGTCTGGAAGGGCCAATTGGGGCCGCCTTCGATGTTATCGCGATTTCTCTAAAACCCACGGACGGCGAGAGGCGCAATCCAACCAAGCAAGCTACTCAGAATGTGGTCGTCAATGGAGTGTCATAGTCAATTCCTGGGCTGTGATTGCTCGGCTCGGATTTTAGTTGCTGCAGCTCCCGGTGTGCAGGCAGGTACTTGGGTACTTGGGTGTCTAGGTTGATAAGTGCTGTCGGGTCACTGTAGCAAGGACGGATCGGTCCATGTTGGTAGGCATAGGTAGTAGGCGTGGTAGGGGGTCGAGGGGGTGGCTACCACTGGCATTGAGCAAAACGCGTGCGTGCGGCTAGGCGCCACTAGATTCCTGCCGGCTTCGATACTTCAAACTTTGCTGTTGATCGTAATGCATAGGCATTAAAGAAAAGGTGGAAAACCATGCTTGCTTTCTCAAACGGTGCTGCCTTTATTCCATTCTTTGATTCTGTCAATATGCTTCATGTTGGAAGTATCGTGTCATCATGTTCACATGGGCGATACAATTTCGTCATGTTTGACAAGGACATACATACACGCATGTCCTTTAGTACGTGTGAATCACGAATACTCTGTGCTATTGAAGTATTCATCTTAAAGCATTCAAGCCTGTTTGCGATAATCGCCCCGAATTTCAATGATTGTATGCGTCTGTCCAAACATTGAACTCAGTGACGTTGCATGTGCGTGATTAGTTACGGTAGTTGCCCGTTGAACAAACAGACAGTTTGACCTGTCGACGGGCAGTTTCTGGCCTTTCTCCCTGCAAGGCTTTGATACAAAATAGCAGATATTCTGCAAGATCTTCCCCAATGGTTTGATCCAACGGCACCACAAAAATTACTAGCTCTTGGTGCACAACATTCCCCAACGCACAGCAATAAGATGGGACAGGGAGCAAAATTGGTATTTGTTCCATCAACATCAACATCAAAATCTGACATCTGCGCTATTATTCAGCTTGCTGGCCAGGAGTACACAGTAGGAAACCACGAAAGAAGGTCTCCCTTTGATGCCCCAAACGACTGCCACCCATTTGGTAACCTCGCCCCACTCCGGCTTGGGCACGTGAAGCTAAGGCAAGAAACAGCTGTGCGCTAGTCCGGAATAGCGCCCCTGCCTCTTGCCGAACCTCGTCCAGTCCAGTCTTTCGTTCGCAGGCTTTGATTCGAATCTGATCTTGCACTGCAACATTCAACTCACCTCACTCCCATCTCGAACGAAGGCCACTTCTTCGCCACGACCACATCTCTTCTTCTACTCACCTCTCATCCTCCCCCCATCCATCATCAGCACTGCTGGTCAACATAGAAGACTCGTTGCTTTCTTACTCGTCTGTACATTTCTTTTCAGGCGTTGGCAATAGGCTTTCCATGTTTTTCAGGACACTCCCGAGTTCCTCCTAATCCAAATCAAACTCACCTGGTGCCCAAGACATTCGACAATACACGACCCGACCGGTTGGCGACGCGGTTTCTTCCTTCTCCTCCAGACCAACTCTCTGCCTCGACAAACCAATCCAGTCCGAGATAGGCCTGCTGCCAACCTCGCGTCGTTGAGCTTTGCATCACCCATCGTCAAATCTACTGCGTTCGCGCATCACATCACATCGCCATGACTCCGCAAGACAGCTTCATTGATGATGAGGAGGACTCTTGGTATGATGCGGCCTCGAACGGCAAACGCGGCGAATTTTTGCTGACTTAACCTTGCAGTCCCCTCTGCATAGAAGAACTTGATATTCAGGACAAGAACTTTTACCCTTGTCCTTGTGGCTATCAGGTATCTACCACCCGCCCAACAGCGTCATCCGAACCCCTGTTCCGCGACTAACCATTCTCCTCAAGGTCTGCCAATTCTGCTACAACAACATCAAGCACAACTTGAACGGCCTCTGTCCAGCTTGTCGACGACCATATGACGACAGCTCGGTAAAGTTCGAGGCCGTCACTCAAGAACAGTACGTCTTTCCCTTACAACCGTTTGCTTCACCTTTAGAACATGCTTCTTACAACCATCTAGGATCGCCGAGTTCAAGGCCAATTTGCAAAAGACCCAAAAGAAACGCGCTGCGGAGCAACGTCAAAAAGAGGCTCAGAAACGAGAAATCACTGACCGAACCAGCCGCAAGAACCTAGTCGGTGTCCGCGTGGTGCAGAAGAACCTTGTTTATGTGACAGGCTTGACGCCCACGGTTCCCGAAGACGAGCTTCTGAAGACTTTGCGCAAGCAAGAATTCTTTGGTCAATACGGCAACATCCAGAAAATATCGATTAGCAATCGAAAAGCACCGGATGGTCAGCCTCAATCACTCGGCATTTACGTTACCTTTGAGAAGAAGGAGGATGCTGCTCGTTGTATTGCTGCTGTCAACGGTTCGCACAATGGTGACCGTATCTTGAGGGCGCAGCTTGGTACTACCAAGTATTGCTCGGCATGGCTTCGAAACGAACAGTGCGGCAATCGACAGTGCATGTTCTTGCACGAGCTCGGTGACGAGGAGGACAGTTATACCCGACAGGATCTCTCCTCGTTGAACAGCATACATACGCAACGCCCACTGTCGAATGCTCCCGGTTCCTCCCGGTCTGCTTCTCGCCAGCAAGGCGGTGGCTCGCAGCCACCGCCTCTGGTCGCCCAACCCATGATCCGCACCTCTAGCAAAGAAGGTTCCGAGCTTGGCGACGGTCCTATACTGCCGGCATCAGCTAACTGGGCTCGCACCACACAGCAGCGAAGTCGACGTGGAAGTCATGCCACCAGTGGCGCAGCCTCTAGTCCAGCCATATCGAGTTCCCTGCCAGTCACGTCCGAGTCGGCGCAAGAGGCCGTTGAGTCCACACCACCTCCAGAGGAGTCTCGCTCCACTCCGGCTCCGTCCAACCGGAAGGCAGAAAAGCAGCCTGCCTCACGTGTTCTCAAAGAGGTCGCCAACGTGAAGCCACCCGTGAAGGATCCATATTCACTCGCTGACTTTGACGATCTTATGAAGAGATTTGTTGCGCTTCCCGACTTTACAGCATCGGAAGAACATGATGACTCTTTCCCACCACTATTTGATTCGTACGGTGGCTACAAGAGACGAGCAATGCGCGAGGAAGAGGAAGAAAAGGAGAACCGTGTCGCGGACCCAGAAGAGCAGCCGGATAAGCTCTCTGAAGGCGAGCCGGAGAGTGGCAGTCACGCATTGGGCGGAGAGCCCGAGGACAGAGACCAGGAGAGTTTTGACCAGAGGCGCAATCCTGCACCTATTCAGCGATCTGGCACGGATGCATTGTTTGGACCCAGTCTAGCATCTACTTACGCCCATGGTCTCGGTAATGCCGGCTCTGTGGGAAGTCGTTCAATGACTCCTCAACAGTTTGGCCGACCTCAAGGTTCTTTTACTGAACAAGTGCCGCCCGGTTTGACGGCTCCCCAGTCTGCACTCTTCCAGGGTCCAGGTCATGCACGGCAAACATCTCGATACAGCTTCGCCAACGAGAACGCATCAGGTGCAACAAAGGTCAACCTGGCCGGAAACCCGAGGCTCATGGCTCAACAGACTTCTATGATGCCGACTTCATTTCAGACCCAGCCTGGCGGGCAGTTTTTTGCATCTTCGATGTCTGGGCCGCCGCCTGGTCTGAAGTCAACTGGCACCCCACCAGGAATCGGCATGTTTGGCCAAGGACAAGGCTTTGGTTCAGGCTTCAGCGCGCCTGCTAAGGACAATGCATCTGAATTACTTCGAACCATGTTTTCTAGAGGAACAGGCAGCAGCCATGCCCAAGATACGGGTAAGCGTGAGTACTTTTCCTCTTTTCAAAATCAATACCCAAGCTCCTCTACCTCCTCAACCCCTGCTCCCGCTTCCGGACCCAATGTTCTGGCATCGCTCTATGCTTCCCAGCCTGGAGCCTTTCAGGAGTTTGGACCAAAGCAAAAGAAGAAGGGGAAGAAGCACAGGCACGCTAACACTTCCTCCTCTGGGGGAGGTGCTCTAGTAGATCTTGCAGACCCGAGTATCTTGCAAGCTCGCATGCAGCCACACCAGCAACAAAGCAGCAGCGCCGGAGTTGGACAGGGGCTGTTTGGAGGTCAGAGTCAAGGTGGGTACAACCCGAGTATGATGTATGGTGCCGGTGCCGGTGCCGGTTATGGCAGATGGTGATTTGCTTTCGAGATGTTTGGAAGCACGGACGGATAAGCGGCTTGTCTTTTATTACTAAGCTCGTTTCTATATAACGTGGCTGTATTTTGTTAGGCGTCCAGGCTGCGGTTCAGCTTTTGAAGAAAAAAAGGCTTGAGGGTTCCTGATCATTTTCGAGCGCGCATCATTTGGTACGACTCTACACACGAGTCTATGGTTGCATTGGCGTCTACGCGTCGACACGACGAGGTCGCACGATGAAAGCACAGCAGTTGCGTCGAGAAAGAACAAGAGAAGAGGCAGGGGAATCTGTCATTATAGGCACTGGCACTGGCATTGGCATTTTTGAGGGGTTGTTCATGCATCATTTTTGAGGTTGAGGGGGTCACGCCAGGCAAGCTATCGTCATCTTCCACACTTGTTCTTCCTGTATGTTAACAACAGACCGCGGCAAACAATTACAGGAAGCTGGTCAATATAGCTTTTTCTGCCCCCTTGTAATCGCAATCATGTACTTTTTCCATGTGGAAGATGGCGATAGTCTTAGACACCTGTGACAACCTCAAGTGCACCTTGTGATTTTTTTTCTTTCTTTTTAAAATGCCATGATATCAAGGTTATCGGGCTAATATGTTTCTTCCCTTAGATGACGAACTCCTCCCGCTTGACGAGCAGTCAGTCGACGCGTTGGTTGCAGATTCCGATCCATTGGACTTTTGCGGCTCAGTCATCTCCGGACCAAGTGGAACGACGACTCCAGCACCACCTCCGGGACTCGGATTCCCGCACCCTCATCCAGTTATTCCCATACAGTTTGGTGAAACGACTTCTGTGGTATCAACGCCCGTCATTCAGAGTCCCGCGCTTGCCCGTCCGCAGCCGGTCATTCCGCGTCCAATCACTCCCTTGACCCCCACCATCAAGTCAAAGGCTACTACGAAGAAGGCTGCTAGAACCGAAGCAGTGGCCCAGGGTTCTGATGCCAAGAAATCTATCAAGGATCTTGCCGTAGAAAGTGGGCTTTCACGAGACATCGCTTCACAGCAGAGCAAGTCGCTCAAGGAGGAAGACTTCCCAGCGCTTGATTCTGTCAAGGTCGCCTCGCCACAGAAAGTTACACCTGCGTTGCCTGCGAAGCCCACTCCAGCAAAGGCCGACAAGGGAAAGAAGAAGGCCGAGCCAGAGACACCAAGCAGGACCGTAGCATCCAGAGTTGCAGCTACGCCAACTCCCGTCAAGACTGACAAGCGTCCGATTCCTGGTGTTTTGGATATTGCTGCTGCTACCAAAGTCGCCACTCCGTTCAAGGAGAGCAAAGAAAATGAGTCAAGCTTGTCAAAGAACTCGGGATCCGCAACGCAAACCGCCAAGTCTGTGGTTTCGTCAGCCTTGCCCACGCCTACGACAGCATCTGTATCTTCACCTCTAGCTCGAGCAGCCCCCAAGACTCTGCGCTTGATTCAGACCCCCAAGACCGAACAGCCACCAAATTTGCCATCGGCGGCCGTAGCATCAATTCGCTCCGCGGCAATTGCTGCATCAGGTCGACCTAGCACACCCGCTAGCGAAGGCATCTCGGAATCGACCTCGGTCATCAGCGCCTCTGTGTCTGCTTCCCGCACCAGTTCTCCACCACCGTCCAAGGTAGGATCTGCCGCACTTCGAGTGACTACGAAGAGCCAACAGCGCAAGCAGCGCAACAAGGCCTCGAAGGAAGCTGCCGCAGCGATTGCCGAGACAAAGGCCCCCGAGCAGGAGGTTGAAGTTGCCCCAATCGAGGGACGGAAGAAGAAGCAGAAGAAGGAGAAGAAACCGAAAACGTCCACACTCAATAGCCCTGTGATCAGTCGACCAGAGACACCACAGCCGGACTCTTCCAAGGATGCGAGTGCCAAAACGGATGCGGTGATGACCAAAGCGCGAAGCAACGATGAGAAAGCTTCACGCAAGGAGAAAGCCAGTGTCTCTAGCCCAGAGAAGGTTTCGCCTCCCGCCAGGGCAACTGAGACAAGGGAATTCGAAGCTAAAGAGAGCAAAGAGCCTCTACAAAGCCCGACTCCGGTTGACACATCCATCAGGCTTAATGAGTCAACGAAGACGACTGTGCTGACTCCCGACTTTGTCTCGTCGGCAGCGGATTCTCGTCCGTACGAGGCCGATTATGATGGCGCTGTAGGGGAGATCCCGACACTTTCTGAGATCCTCCAAAGCTTGATTGAGGAGGGAGAGCTTCCTGAGCCTGACGAAATGAACCTGTTCAAATCCACAACCAATTATCGTGCCGAGGTAGAACGCTCATTCGCTGCCGCCTTGCCCCCGACAGTTCGGTCTGTTGTAACTAAAGAGGACGAAGCCGAGCTCAATGCGTGGCGACCTGTGCGCAAGGAAATCAATGGTCATCGCGTTCTGCTTACGCCAAACGGTGACTTCGTCCTCAACCTCACGGAAGAAGAAGAAAGACGGTACATCTCGCTCCAGCACAGGATTGCTCAGACCAGTGGCGACGCCATGGCCTTTACGGCACCGAAGCATGCTACGCCCGGCTCTGGGTTCAGTTTGATTAAGGGTCGAGCTGTTCCCAACGGAGTACCGTCCTTCTTCCCCATGGGAGCTGCTAGCTACCCGCCGGATCCGGTAGGCAAGATGCATCGCGAAGAGGCCATAGGATGCATCAACCAGCACGTGCTACCATCCCTGAATTTGGGTTCCTACAAGACGAACTCGGCATTCCCCAACAACACTAACAGTGTCAACCTGCAGAGCCTAGCACCTTGGATCTCTGGAGCCACAAACTTTATGGATAAGGACGGCAAGCGGGCCAAGATGTTTGGCGGTGACAACTGGGATGACATGGATGACTTCCCTCACCACGAGGCTGAAGGCGTTCCGAATGGCCCATCTCCAGCCATTGGAAGCACACCTTTGATGAGCGTCGAGGAGGCTGAGAGCGTGCTTGCACAGTCAAAGAAGCAGCATGAAGCAATGGATAAGAAATTCAAGTCGCAGATGCTGAAGCTGCGCCGGACTTTGGGGCTTCATTGACTCCCTACCGTGCTCCCGGGGCTGGCAGCAGGATTCGCGAATCGATTCGGCGGCAGGGTGATTGGCATGGTCATCGCCTATACGTTGGTACTAGCGGTCTGGCTGGTACATTTCATAGTGACGGTCAGCCTGGTTGTGGCCAGGATCATTGTGGGCAGACTCTGGACTGCCCTGGGGGCACTCGTTAAGTTATTATCCCCGAAGAGAGGGGTTCAAGTTTTAATGTGATTGGCCAATACAATGTGTCAAGGCGTGTTTTCGGGCGGGAAGAAGAAAAAGAAGGGCATGAAGTAATGTTTTAATCGCAGAGCCTTACGGGATCATGACATCTCAACCCATTGATCTCGTCAAGGTTTCGATAAAGGGCTATGGTCTGTACGAGAGAAGGATCCCATCATGTTTTTCAACAGTAATAATTTTGTATGATACGTGTTTAGCTGGTTGGCTTGTTGAAGCCGTGTAGGATTTGGACACAGGCACAAGGCCGCTAGTCATGGGACTGGCACAAGGTACGGTTACGAGACCGTAACTAGGTGGACTTTACAAAATCATGTCCACCGTCTATTTCGCGCGAAGCGAAGCGCAGAACAACCAATAGCGCATCATAGGAACCATGTCATACGGTAGCGACATCAGCATATGCGTTATCAGTGCATCAAGCAAGCACTTGATAGATAGGTCAAGGACTCAAGGGATGCATAGCGTTGATCATTTGGCAGATTGGGTTTTCAGCTGCCCCAAGAAAATCTTGAAGCTTTTCCGAATTGTCTGCCCATGAGTGATGCCAGTGCTTCTCAGAATCGCAATAATCTACACTCAGCATACACTAGATCAAAGGATGGATTGTGTTGTAAAAGTTCTTGTTACTCGTAAACCAAACTAATGTAACGAGACAGAGGCGTGTTGAAAGACACTACAACAGGTATTTCCCCCACGTCACGACCAGAGTTCATGTTCAAGAGGTCTGCCCGCCCTACGTACTTGACGGAGTTAGTCTCGAACCCCAGGTTTGTATGCACAGAAGGCAGAACAGATTCGTTGGTCTGAAAGTCAATCTCGCGATTCTCGTGCATGAGAAAGGGAAGTTGGAGGGGTAAACAATGACGAAGATGGTAAGCAGCCGGGCGCATGTCTCTGAAGGGGAGAAACAGCGCTTTTCGTCACACCTCCCGCCCCAAGAGACGTAGCAGCCAGCCTATCACGGTATCTGAGCCAGCGCCGGTCTTTGGTAGACGAGGGGTTTCTAGAATGATGTAAATGGTGTAGACAATGTAGGGTTGTACAGTTTTGATCCAGATTTGGAAGAAATACTACAGTGTAGACCATGCACTTTTGGAACAATGCCATCAGCAATGTCTGAGCATGCCATCATTTTACGACTCAGGAAGTTACCAGATATCCATGCAGAGCACCATGGGGGTTGTTGCATTGATCCAGTTTTGCACATCTAGAATTTGCCATCTAATTCTTTTTACCCACGGCAGATGCATTTTTCTTTCGTATTTGGTTCGGACAGAGCATTGCGTAATGGCTATACCACCCAGTACATAAGGTTGGAACGTTTTTACTAACACAAAAGAAGTCATTGGTAAAATGTCCTCAACAGTGTCTTGGTCACATATATGTAAGCTTGAATATTGTGTTTTGCCTGCCGCAAAAGACAGACAAGGAATGGCAGAGACGCTGAAGAAGGTAGGGCTTGGATTTTTTTCCTTCAAAAAGTGGTGTCGTCATGGACTTGGAAATGGCATCGACCAATCAAGTGCCGGCAGCTAAGCCACTCTCAGCCTGAGAGCCCCTGTATTTTAAAATTTGTGAGGTCTTCTGTCCTTTGACAGCGGAATGCTGAATTCAGTTATGCCGACTTGTAATTATTCCCGAATGATTCTGAATAATTCATATGTAGTCGTATTGTGCTTGTTGAAGATCTCATCGCCGATGTGGTTTCTTTGCAATAAAATGCGCCGCAATTGTGCTAACCTAGTCTTCAGAGGCATGGAAGGGGGGAAGAAAAAGCACTACTATATTGGTGGACGGACTAGGCTCCGCTTTGCTGGATGACCAGGTGGGCCCATAGAGTCTTGGCTTTGCCTTGGCGGCTGCAACGTCGAGCGATCGCAAAAGTGACGTCCTGGCGATTCGCATCGAGAATCTGTCAGGTTCCCATCGGGATTGTGTTTTGTGTTTTTAGGGGTCCAAGGAACTAGTACACTGGCGGCTGTCGATCGTCTTGTTTTGCGTTACGCACGAGTAAACCTCCAAGACAACATTGAATGCCGGAGCAAAAAAAGAGTTTAGTTTCCCTTCTGTTGAGACCTGCATACATACCAGATACCTGCTCCGGTTGGTTCTTTGGACAAGGCATATTCTTTCTCATCGATGCCATTGCTGCAAGTACAGACTGGGAAAATAAAAGCCTAGCAGCCAATGGTCGTCACTTTTTCTTGTCTGAAATGTGATCCCGAAATAGATGATCGGGACGAGTCACATCGGCACATGTACTGCCGTTGCACAGCTTGACGTGTAAATGCAGTCCGTCCTGTCCACCGGTCGGCCTTTGTTTTGTTACCCTGACTGCATGAACATTTCGTGATATCTGCATGCGCGCAGCTGCAGATGCCACCGCAAATGATTGTAAAACGGGGCGTGAATAAGCCTTTGGCTTTGCCGTCCGGCATTTGCTTCAAGCCGGCAAGAGGCTCACACGCGTATGCGGGCGGGAGACATCGAGGGGAGATCAGTAGAAGATACCCCGAGTAGTTGGATACTGAGTGAGCATGACGACGGATGGATTGAAGGAGGGGTTTCCAGAAACGATATCGTACCATTGCCCACAAATATTTCCATAGTTATATAGGGGAAAGACAGAAGTATCTTTATAATTTGCGAGGATGGCATTGTTGTGGTCTTTTTGGCGGGTGGGAACATGACCAGGTGGGTTCATAATGTTGTCTGGTCAATCGAGAGCATCGCCATTTTACCATTGGGATCGAATTTCTTGGTTGGTCGATGCGATTGCGATGCCATACGAAACGAGAGCCGAGGTCAGATGGATATTTGTCCATTGGTTTCCTTCCCTTGCCAGCCCGATTTCTTTCCTTTCATTTCTTCTATCACAGTACCGACGGAATAAAGGAACTGCACGACCGATCGACTAGATAATTCAATCAGCATGGCAAGTGTCAACCCTGACAATGTATTTCCTACAAACTTTTGTACATAGCGACCAAAAAAAAAGTGGCGCTGCTCTTTTTTCTAAAGTCCCTTCCCAATTCGTGACCCTATCGAGCCGCTCGGCCACTAAGGACAAGGCGCCAGGCCAGGACGGGGCTAGAGGGGAAAGCCTCTGATCCACTCACCTCCGGGGTCTTACAGATCGAGCCCCAGATGCTCCCGATCTGCGTCTCTGTCATTGCCACCGCGATCAACCAACGACATGCGCAATCCCATTCATGAGAGAAACCCATAGCTGCTAACATTGCCGCACCATCCAGCAGCTCGCAAGGGATCGAAAGAAAACGAGGCCCAGCCCAATAGCTTCCTACTCACATCCTTACCTACCTGGTAGAATTTTACACTTTTGCGCTCTCTATCTCTCTCTCTCGCAGTCACCCACATTCCACTGCATTATTACTGTGCTGCTCCATTCTACTCCCTACTCCAGAAAAAGCTTCCATAACCGTGCCCCCCCTGGTCTAGGCGAGCTAGGCTTGTGGGAACAAATCCCGCCTGCTCATCATCCATCATCCTCGCCGCTCAACCACCACCACCACGGCGCAGGGTTTCTAGCCAGCATATGGACATCCAATTGCACAACACTAGTATCCGCAAACCCGCATCTGCCTCTTGCCTGCCTTTTACTCGTCCACGATCACGATCCCTCATTAGGTTTCGCAAGCATAAGTTGGTCGCGTCGGTTGGTAATAATAACTAGGCGAACATATGCAGTTCCGCCCTTCGGACCACCATGAGCCAGTCGTCTAGAATTCAGCCTCCTACACTTTCAACTTTGCCGTGAGACATAACTTAATACTCAACCTCCGTCTTCACATTGTCACAAACAAAAAGGGCAGCAGCGCGCCTTTGTCACTTCCCTCTCCGTCCAAGACATTTGCAACTTCAAGATCCATCCATACCTCCAGGACATACACGGCAGACGATATTTGCAAAGTTCCGAAAACAGCAACCTGGAATCCTCTTGGCAGAAAAGGACAGACAGATACCTCTTCTGTACAACCTCGTCTATACGAATCCAGACCTACATACATGCATACGGACCTGCCTGCCTACCTCCTCCTACCTTGCATACCTATTCCACTTTTCCAAGCCAAGGATAGCATCACTTTGCACCTCTGACAGCATTCACTATAACTGGCCCCTTCCCCGGACGAATCAACCCGCTTAGCTGCCGCGTACACTTCACCCTCAGTTTCTAATAAGCACGCCGTCCCTCGGTGCTATCTATCTATAAACCTTTGTTGCTACATTTTAAGCCACCACGAAGAACGAAGCGAAATCGAATCACTTGTTTACGAAACAGCTCTTCTTTTCACCTACTCTCAAGATGCCTATGATGAATACGTGGGAACACTCTGCTCTGGAGGTAAGCTTGCACTTTCTTTCTTCTTTACTCATGCATGTGGAACAGTCAATTGGCTCTACATATTCTCTGTATATTCACTCTTCATTCTTCATACTCTGGCGCCTCGCTTCGCATGGTACTCATACTGACCTGACGACAAGTATCACTTCAACGGGCACGAGCAAGGTTCGCCAGAGACAGCAACACTGACCTCGGTGGCCGTTGCCCCAAAGGACTCTATTCACGATGCCATCATCTATCCTGGTTTATATGCCCCTAGCGGCTATGATATGATGAGCATCTTGGTGAGTGTCCCATTCTACTCGAACCATGCTCCTGTTCTAACATCTTCCAAGCTACGGGTCATGTCCAGAGCAAACCCTGTTGTCCAACTGGGCCCCGTCGACGCTTCTTGTGCACTAATCTTGTGCGATCTTCAACAACCCGACTGCCCTGTTGTCTACGCCAACGACGCCTTTACGTACTTGACGGGATACACCGAGCGCGAGATTGTAGGCCGTAACTGCCGCTTTATGCAAGCACCCGGCGGCAAAGTCAGCCGCGGCTCGAGCCGGCAACACGTCGATAAGGATCTCGTAAAACGAATGCGCCGTTCTGTCGAGGGCAACTCGGAGTTGGCTGTGGAAGTCGTCAATTTCAAGAAGAACGGCCAACCCTTTATCAACCTCTTGGCAATGATTCCTATTTGCTGGGACAGTGCCGAGCCTCGATTCTCCGTCGGTTTCCAAGCAGAGAAGACGTGGTAATCTGGGGGCTTGTCATCCACTTACGACGAATGAAGAGAGACGGACCGGGATTACTTTCCATCTCACGAGCGATAACTTGCATACATTGTGCTATTAGGCATTTGCATTATAGACGGACCAACAGGGGCATCAAAATCTGCTTTTAGGCATCGCGCGATACCCATTCTAGCGTTCTGTTGCTGGCGTTACTCTTGCGGTATGACACTTTTTTGGCTCTACCGACCACAATAATATCTGGAGCATGGGAGTTTTACAGGAGTTGAATCGGACAACAAATCATGATTGGGTTTTTTTTGGTTTTGGTTTCTTTACTGCCATATTCACGATACATCATAGCCAAATCATCCAGATTAGCCTGGCACGATTTTCTTGAACAATTACAATCACGTTCGAAATACCGGACTGCACAACAACTATTTGGACCATTGGCAATAAATGACGATCAACTTGGAAAGTGGATCACTCACTAATAAGTCCTACTGTTTTGTACCATGCACCATGCCATTTATGATTGTGCCGAGCATTGAAAGCACATCTTGGTTGCAGTCAAATATTAACAATCATTCGTGCTAATTTAGTTCATGACCATAATGGTAGGTTTCGGTATAATTCATACAATCCCAAGATTTACCATGACTCCTCAACGTTACAGGCCTGTTCACCAATATCACCCACCCTACGTGGTGGATGACACCATGGCACAATGTCATAAGGTTGTGCGCATGCAATGTGACACGAACGTACACATCATAATCACACCACAGATTACACCATAAGAAGAGTCTCCTCTCTTATTCTCCGCCATTATAAATATACCCATGTCTTGCGCCAAACAGAAAAGCCGTATATATACATTTGAGTCAAAAAGAAGGCAGGGGCATTTGTTCCCCCTCCCCCTTGTAAGCTTTTTTCACCAGCCATACACAACAAGCGCGGGCGCCTCGGACTGTGCCACGTGTAATACCTGTCCTGTCCGTGTCTGGCTTTTTGCTTGACCATTTTGCTCCCCGTTGGTATCCGAAAATGTACATAGGTGCATTTTTTTTTTTTTTTGTGCGTGTTTCGATCTCGAGGCCCCTGTCATTGTGGCCGTGGATCGAGGTTTTAGGTTTGGTTCTATCTCTCTCTCTCTCTCCATCTCCTGAACAGCTGGACCATGACTTGAGAGGAAGCAGGCAGATACGAAAGCGCGAGGGCGTGTGCGTCTTTGAATACCTCTCTACTCTTGCTTACTTTATTCTCTCTTCTCCCCTCCCCTTGTACCATTTTCTTTTTTTCAATGTGCCTCTTCATCATGGGATGGGGGCTTACATTGGAAAGTACAGAGTACTGGGAATAGGATCGGCCATGAGGGGGAACATGTGGCATTGCTTTATTCTTGTTGTCCATGGAGTCTGGAAGGCCATTTTTGTATCATTTTGGGTAAGCAACTCGTCTTTCTCTATTTGTGGTTGCTCACTTTGTTTTCTTCTTCTCTGTCTTGATGATCAAACCCGGGCCAGGATTATCAGGTTCGGGATCTCGTGTTATCTTCGGACAATATCTAAGATCCCGCGTTTTTCCCCCTCCCCTTTGTTCGGATCGGCCACGACTTTCTTTCCCATTCTTTTATTTGGTGCTTGAACTTTTTTTCCCCCTTGCCCCGTCCCGATTGAACAGACGGTCAAGCTCCACGGATATTCCACGGGGGAGTAAAGGTTACGAGAATATCCTTTTCAAAAGTCGGGACCAGCGGAGCTGGAGGAATACATGCAGAAGTTGGGCGTGCGGTTGATGTTACGCTTCTCGATCGGCCCCCCCAAAAGAGGGCTGATTTCTGGACCTGCTTGACGCAATACTCCCATGATGCACAGTATGTGCAAAGTCCTACGGTAACAATAAAAAAACATGCATGTGTACCCGACGATCCGTTGCTGGAAGTGAGCCTTTACCACTGGTACAACAATAAAAAAAGATCGCGGTGGGTGGCGTTCCTTGACTTGTGTACCACTTTCGATTTCCCTCACCCTCTTGTTTTGTCTCTCTCCATGATACTTTTTTCAGAAGACTTTGATGAGTGTTGAAGCAACTTCTCGTTTTTTTTTTTTGATGATACACACGAGAGGAACAGTACTGAAAAGGAGCATAACTTCCCACTACTCTTCCCACTACGACAAGAAAGAAGAAAGCCAAGTACTCCCCTGCAAGCTCGCCTCGTCTTTTTGAGATACAATCCCTCATGGGTCTTGGGAGGCATCAATATCTAAGAACAATGCCGATCACGCAGAGCTGTGATGGTCAAGTTCTCTGGGGATCTACCGATATCCGGACCCGTCAGTGCCTAGCACAATGCTGACTGCGTTTTCTCCCCTCCCTGTGGGTTTGCTGATTTTGGATAACTATTGACGGCCCTCTACGTGCCAGAAAGTTGGTCATTGTATCAAAATTCAATATATTGCGACGAGCTGCCTTTCTTGGTAGGCAAAACATAGTCCAAGGTCAAATGATGATCGGGTCACAACAAAGAGGTACACACCAGTCTCTTACAGTAGCCAAGCCAGACATGCTGAGATATGTTGTACATATGCTAGCCAGTGTGACAGTTAACATGAAAACACAGCCTGGAGGATTCATGCCCATCTGCAGTACAACGTACAAGTCGAGGTTCACATTATTAAAATAGTTCAACTTCTTTCTCAAAAGATGTTATATCATTGTATAAAATGGCGCAACGTCTGGCTAAGCAAAAAGAAAATCGACGTTGCGCCATGTCTAAAAAGCTCTTCAAATCTGGGCTTTATCCCTTTAAACTCCCAATATATGCAGACAGACCTCTTTGGTCCCACTCGAGGGTATCAACAGTCATGATTATTGTCACAATATTTACACAATCCCAGGCACGTGTGTACAACCTTAATGGAGATCCTTACAATGCAATGAAAGGTCTAACCGTATTACCTCCATGGCTGTGATCCACGCTGAGATTCCACGTCCTCGTCGTAGCTGTAACCAGGGCCGGAACGAGATGCCTGGAAGGGCATGGTTCTCGTACTAGCCGAGGTGCCTGGGCGGGTCATATAATCGTCTTCCCTTGGGCTCGGGGGCACTGGTGCCGTCATGTTCCTTTGCAGAGGAAACTGTGGTCGGTTCGGTGAATATATGGGTCCAGTGGCACTTCTCACGGGCGACATTGGCGGGCCGTTGAAATCGGCTCTGTTCGCTGCCGGTCCGCGGGCCGAGAATTGTGAGGGTGCGGGACTGGCCCGGCCGGTTCTGCCATCATTGACTGCACGCCCAGGACCATTCGACAGGATGGATGGAGCTGGACTAGCACGCCCACCCGTGCTGTCACCGGATAGCGTCCTGCCCGAAGGACCAGGACGGAAAGCCGAAAAGTTGGATGGAGCAGGGCTAGAGCGACCGTTGACACTGTCACTCAAGTTGGGGAGTGTTGGTCTTGCTAGAGGGCCGGGTGCATTCGAGAAAGTAGACGGAGCAGGGCTAGCGCGGCCGCCGAAATCCTCATCGAACATTGGCAGAGTCGGCACGCCTGAAGGACCAGTGGTCCTGGGGCCGGGTGCATTCGAAAAGGCAGACGGAGCAGGACTCGAGCGGCCACCGAAATCGCCGTCGAGGTTGGGGAGAGTTGGTATGCCCGTGGGACCAGGTCGTGGAGCACCCATTCCCTCCATCTCCACGTTTGGAAGAGTTGGTGCACGTGCTGGTCCAGGTCGTGGGGTGCCCATCCCATCGTCGTCGAACATTGGCAAAGTCGGCACGCCCTGGGGGCCAGAGCGAGGGCCAGGGGCGTTGGAGAACATGGAGGGAGCAGGACTAGCACGGCCACCCATGCCGTCGTCCAACATTGGCAGAGTAGGCCGTCCAGGAGGGCCGGGCCGTGGACCTGGTCCGTTGAAAGCCGATGGAGCGGGGCTGGCGCGCATGCCCTCATCAAACATTGGCATAGGAGGTCTTCCTTGTGGACCAGGTCGGGGACCGGGACCATTCGAGAACATTGAGGGAGCAGGACTAGCACGACCGTACATTCCATCGTCGAAAGTTGCTCTGCCAGGAGGGCCAGGTCGAGGGCCGAATTGATCCCGCGGGCCAGGACGGCCATAATTGTCCATGTTGGATGTCAGTGACCTGATTGGCGGTGGCATAGCAGGCATTGGCTGGGGATGGTAGACTGAAGGGCTCTCGGCATAGGGTGCGCCGAAGTTGGAGCTGCCACCAGTCTGAACTCTCTGCAGCCCAGGGCCCGGACCGTAGTTCCTGTTTGATTGTGCTGTACCCGGTCGAGCTGGAGGATAATTGTTCATGTCGAGCGGCGGCAACGTGGGGACAGGGGATGGAGCTGGTTGATAGCCCATACCAGCAGAATTGGCCATTAACGGTGCGCGTGACGAATAACTACTTTGCGAGGCCATAGTATTGCTTGTTCCAGCACGCGAAGGCATCGGCCGTTTCTCCAGAGCATTCATCTCGATACTGCCAGGAGATGCAGGTCGGGATGTGTAGACCGGCAATGTAGCCATTGTATCGTTGCGACTGAGCGTTGGCATGCCTGGCATATAATCATCCTTCTTGGAGTCGAGATTCTCGAGATTGGGAATCGTGGGCAACGTTGCCTGTTGTCTCAGCGGTGGCTTATCAAGTCCAGCCTTCTTAGCCGCTTTGAGCTCAGCCTTGGCACGCTGTTGTTCTTCCTTCTTGATAGCCTTGTTGACCTTGACCGAGACAACCTTCATCAACCGCTTGTTAATCTTGCGCGCGCAATATCCAGATAGTCCACCATCCTGCTTGGGAATATAGTGCCAGAGGAAAAAGACGTAGAAAAGGGCAGCCAAAAGCAGAGAAAGGGCAGAAAATACCCAGACCACCAGGGTAAACATCATGCCAGATAAGACTGCGGCTTGCTGGTAACTCTCATTGGCAAGTGCACCAATCTTTTCGAAGAAATTCATTATGGTACGGTCGGCTGAGCCGCCATCAGTCGGAATCAGCTCGGATTCGAAGACAGCATAGAGTGTCAGCGCGTTGACAAATTGACGAGGCCCCGAGCAGAAGATGACACGAATCCATGACTGGAAACTGAAGTACGTGAACAGAGCAACGTACTCGGCACCCTTTTTGGATTTTGTAAGTTCGGCAAAAACCAGAAATCGGCGCCAACCCTGGCCACTGCCCATGCGTGTACTCTCCATTTTGACAGCCAGGTTGTCCAGGTAGGATTCTGCAACACTGCCTCGCCTCATGACACGCCAGGCACGGATGTGCTCAAAGCCTAGGTTGACAAATGAGGCAATGATGCAAATGGAGAAGATCCATTTTTGAATGTCGAAATCGATGATTGTGTTTGGATCGATACTCGACGTCCACTTGCCAAAAGCGAGCAGGGAGACAGCAGTGAAGCTATCGACACCATAGACGGCAAGTGAGATGAGGATTGAGATGTAAAGATAGATGTAGGCGGCAACCGCGAAGCCCGAATTGGACTTGAAGTCGTTAAGATTCTGCCAAGGTTAAGGTTAGTATGCGTCTTGGCAAGACTGGCAGCGGCAGGTCAACCTACTATGTAATCCCACTTCTGTTCCGGTCGCACCTCGACGGCTTTTGACCGTCCACCACACATGCCCATCTTGAAAGAAAGTATCCAACGAATCCCTCGCTGTCGTCTATAGGGGACGCGAAATCCAAAGCGTCTTCGTTGAGAAGAAAACAAAAAAAAGGTTGACCAAAAGTAGTCAAGCCAAAAGTTACAGTTGTCGTGAATAGATTCCAGCTACCCAACAGGCGGGAAATGCCAAGTCGTATCAAAAATAGGAATGCGAGAGAATGGACAAGAAGAAAAAAAAAAAAAAAGGGTATCGTCGCTGCAATTGTCGTGATCGATGTCGTATCGTCGAACCGGTCCCGCCGTCCAGCACAAGTCGTCACTCGCCCGCGAAGCTATCCGACTGTGCTCTTGCCGTAATCAAAGGGCTGAGGCCGAGTGTTGATGATGAAAAGGAAAGAAAAAGAAAAGCAGGCAGGCCTAGCAGAACGAGGGGCTTGGCCTTCGGTTTGAGAGACAATGGGAAGGATTGTCTATCTGTTGGTCTGTCTAGTGTCTAGGGTGAGGCGGCAATGGATTGGCGTCGATGACCCGTGAGTTGCGACAGGTCTCAGCTCGTCAAAGAGGGCGCAATCCAAGCGTACGTAGCGGGGTGTAAGTGAGCGGAGTGGCAGAACGTAAGTTGCTGCTATTGTGGTGACATGCTTGACACGCTTTCCCTGGCTTGAACGCCTATTCTTGGCTTGTGGAATTTTGATCTGCGTTTTCAGCGTGGATTCGCGCCTGGGGTTTGGTTCGGTCCTTGGTGGGCTGAGTGCGAGTGAGGCAAACAACAGCAGTTACAACAACGACTGTCTTGGAATTCTTGACTCTTGCGCGCACTAGCTGGTAGAAAGAGCGAAAAAGGGCAATGAACGATGGCAAGTGAGGGATATGACCCGGATTGTGGTTGAGGGAACCGTCCGATGTTTGATCGACGTCTCTCACAGGCCGACGGGGCAGCGTCTCAAGTTAAAGCGCAAGGACAATGCGCTCGGATTGATACGGCAGGTGGAGCGTATCACGAAGGAGTGAGTGGCTCTCTCTCTCCTCTTGCAACGGAGGAAGAGGAGTAATAGTAGTAATAATTAAAAAGTGTGTTGAATGAGTGAGCGCAAAAAAAAAAAGAGCGATTGTGCCTGTGTGGGCGTCTACCGACGGGTATTTGATTTCTCTTGCTATCGAGGGAGGGAAAAAAGACAAAGAGTGGAAGACGACTTCAATGTGTAATTTGCCGGCGAACGTCCCCCCCTCTCTATCTCTCTATCACTCTCGCTTTCGCTCAATAGTGCAGGCACCTTTCAGCAGGATGGCGACCGTCCGAGCCGACGAGACCAGAGGAGGAGGAGGAAGGACGACAGACGACGACTACGACCAGGATTATTGGCCATGGTGCGCGAATCTCAAACAGCAATTCGGCGGGCCGTGGTTTGGGATTGGCCAGCATTGACCGTCGACATCAAGGGTATCTGCAGGGGTGACCTTTGTGGTAGGGTGTCGTAGGGTGTCCCCGTGTGTCCTACAAGAGCACAGATGGGGGCGTAATTCGCCTTTGATTGGCAGCCTACGAGTCCACTGGAGCTGCGTTCCCAAAGACGCAGGAACAGCTCTGGAAGTGGCCTAGCTTTTCCTAGCTTTTCGCCTAGCTTGCCTAGCACGTCAACCGTCAGCGTTTGACGGGGTGGAGGGGGACAGCACGCAGTGCACGATAGCTGGGGTTCTTCGCAAATTGCCCTTCAATAGCTGCGATTTGGCCTGTTGAAGTCGACTCCATTCTTTGAATTTGGCACTTTGCCCTACGGTGGGTGCTAGGCCCAAAACTGCCCAGATACAATTTCGTGGGCGACTCCAGCAGGTGGCTGCCCCCCCACGGGATCCATCCATTGTCGTTTTTTTTCGGATTCCTCGCCTTCTTGTCAGAAATCATAGGACCCTGGATATCCGCCAAGACGGGCCCAACAAGTAGCCACTACAGGGCCCCCAGAGATGCCGAAACGTTGAAACAGCTGCTCTTGTCGCGTTTTTTCCAGACTTTGGATCGAAACTGTATGTCGATCTTTCAGACGTTTGGCCGTCAGTCGCCCGAAGCAGCATTCTATGATCTACTAGTGCAGGCTATTCGTGTCTAGGTAGCGTGAGTGAACGGGAAGCCGGCGTTGCGCTTGTGCAAGACCATTATCGACTCGCCATGCAGCTCTCCCGCAGCTGCATTCGCGCGCGCTCACCCACCCACCGAATCCAACCTTAAACCAAGCGCGCGGCTTTCATGGCAAAAACAAAGAGTCCAAAAAGCTCTGGTGAAAAGGCTGCCCAATGACTGCATGCCACATTCTATAATTTACTCCAGCAAGCCATTGATGGATGGAAACAACCACAGTTCTATTTTGGAGATTCTTTTTTTGCTCCGTTGAAGATCCTCTTGATCCGTAGGCGTGGAGTCAGACTGGCGAGGAGGCAGAGAGGCTCTTGTGCCAACCTTGGGCTTCAACCTCAACTACTCGAATTTGCGTGACTGACAACGGTCCCCTCTCGTCGCCTTGAAGCTCGTGAGAAGGGCCTCCATTAGCGACCATGTCTATTGGCATCAGCGGTGCTTGGGAAACAAGAATGCTGTCTCTTACTGCCTCAGCTACAGGGTCTCATTCCTAACAAAGAACACCACGCGCTCGTCTTGTCTGGAATGTTCAAGATGCTTTGCGCGGATATGAGACAAAGGCCGGATGCCAATATTCTCATTCCTGTGGAAATGACTACTTTGCACAACTTCAATTTCTTTGCTTGAGCCAAAGAGACTTTCTCGTCTTTTTCTCTCTCCTCTCTCTTTCACACACACTTCTCTTGCACACGCCCTCAGTCGCAGTGATATCGTAGATGCTACTTGCAAACATGGTCCACAAACCCGATTCACATGAGCCTCTTCCTGAGATCGATTTCGAGCCCTTTGAACAATTTGCAGCTTTGAACAGATCTTTAAAGTACGAGTTTGGAGCCGAAAAGTTCCCGGGTCTCTGGAAAGTCAGTCGAAAGAGTGATCGCTTCGAGTTCCTTGCTCGCGATGTTAGTCATCGACTTCAAGATGCCGAGGGCAATCCGACACCACTGTCGCACATATTGCATCCAAATGAATGGAACATCATGACTTCGATACTGCGCCTGCTGAACCACGAGAACCTGATCAACCTCGTTGACTGGATCCAGATAGAAACGGCACCGAATGCAAACCTCACCCTGCCCCCGCGCGACTTCTTCATCTGGGATTATTGCAATGCGGGAACTCTAGAGAACATGCTCTTTGACACAAGGCACACGGCCAAGTCAGCGATCCAGATTGACCAGGAGGCAAGAGAAAGACAGGAACGTATTGAACTGGGGCAAGACCCAGACCCAAAGCCAGAGCCCCAGCCATTCTTGCCCGAGGCTTTCTGCTGGCATGTTCTTTGCTCTCTGCTCAGTGCCCTGGCCTGGCTGCACGATGGCATACGCGAAGACTGGGACGTGAAGGAGAATGATTGGGTCACCAAGTATGCCAATATCGATTGGATGACCGTGCTTCATCGCAACATTACTCCAAGAACCATTTGGTTCTGCCATCCACAGACACCCCATGAAAGCTTTGGTCTTTGCAAGCTGGGCAACTTCAAGCACAACTACATCTCTGGGGTGTATAATGGCATACTCGACGACACGCAAGACCCTTCATTGGATCAGATAGCCATGGCCCCCCAGATGGGTGTACCCCACACACTGGCAGAGCTGCGAAACAATTATGAGCGCGATCCCATGCATCCACCTGGGGTAAGCTTACTTTTCTGTCCGTCTTGAAAGATTATGTCTTGCTGACTCGTTTTCTTGCTCCAGCCAGATCAGACTTACACCATTACGAGTGAGTACCGCGCAGTCGCGGACGTCATCTCGTCAATGATGATTCACCCGATAGAAACCCACATAGCCAATCGCCACTTTGACAGGGTTCGGCAAATGACCCAGGCTGAGTGGACGACTACAATAGGAGCGGCGCCGTACACAGATGTGCTCAAGAACTTTGTGTTTTCTCTCTATGCACGCAGGGAGTATTTCGACCTGGCGGACCGGAACACGCCGAATGACAGGAAGCATATGAGTTGGAAGTTGTACAAAGAGGGCCAAGACTTGTATCAAAAGTTCCGCACCGTCAAGGACGAGGGTAAGGCAACCATCACTACGACACACGTACAGATTGAGCAGTGGAAGCGTGAGAAGAGGGCCGAAGACGAGGAGATTGCAGAGCAGGAGTACACAAAGGGGCTGGTCAATTACTTGCAAACCACCAACAGATTCGCAAAGCCCAAGCCGGATCCTACACCGCTGGACAATCTTCTGGCCGACATCAAACAAACTTGCAAGGAGGTCGACAGTTCAAACATAAGACATACGCAATTCCTATGGGGATACCACCTATGAGCTTGATGTACAAAGGTGTAGTAGCATTTGAGTTTTTCTCATGGCATCTTCTGGGGGTTGGGTAGGGACGAGAGTATGTGAGCTGAGGGGAGAATTTGTTGTTAGCTTTGAAACAATACAAAAGAGTATCCAGCAGTGGTAGTCTTTTAGCGCATTTGCTCATCGTGATTGAAGCAATGAGCTGACTCAAAGTTGTGTCAAACAGAGTAAATATGTTTACATCATATATGTAGGTAATTGCTCGTAAATCGAGTATTACTTGGGGGCCTTTGGGAATATTCCCCGTTTCTAATAGCTTGGCCAACTACACACTTACCTAACGTATAGGGTGCACACACCTGTACACAGTAGTAATAGTCGCTTGATAATAGACAATGCACGGGCCACTGAGCGGGCACTTCCCCCCCTGTTCACCAGCCGCCTGTGACGAAGTCGAGGGGGCCCAATTGAACTCCCGATCGTCATGGGCAGCTTCAGCTTTGCTTTCTTTCACTGTAACTCAACAATAATTTCATGCAACTACGTCAAAGCACAAGCCAACACGACATTGTTTGACAGCACAAGGCATAGAAAACAACACGAGGAAACTATACCAAACCCATTGGAGACACAATACCTCACCAAAGCAGTGAAAGGAACCGAAACTCTTGTAGCGGGGGAACTTGGGTCAAACAACCTGTTGCCTACCTCCTCGACCGCCCAAAACACTCCCCTCCACGATCCCTGACGAGCATACACGGCCACCAGACGACGAAATGTCACTTTCAGCGCCCACGCCACCCCTTCTTCTGACCAAGCGTCTGACCTCATTTCTCCACTCGAACCTCTCGCCGCAGATACATACCGCCCTGCTGAGTACACTGTCTGGCAAGCTGCTCGCCCACGCCTCGACCAACCCCGTCAGCACCCTGCGCACGCAGAGCACCGTTGCCGCCTCTATATGGGGCATCTACTCCTCGGGCGAGGCCGTCAGCGATGCCCTGCCGCAAGGATCGCAAGAATCACGAAGCGAGGCCAAGTCAGCCGCCGTCACAATACAGCTGAGCGCTGGGGTTCTGGTCGTCAGGAAGCTGAAGTGTGGTCTGCTCTTTGTCTGCATAGGGCCGTCCCAGAGCGGTGCTGGTGCGCAGGCAGAACCTCACTCGTCCCAACTGGCCGGTTCGTCACAGCACCAGCAAAGTCTTGCAGTTCCGAGCTCGCAACAACTGCAAACGGCAGGCACAGCGGAGTCACACTCGAGCCCACCACTGGGCAGCCCGAGTGAAGTTGCGAGCGTGGTCAGCGCTGCGCCTACCACGAACAGTCTTGCAACCGCGGGCAGCGTGAGATCTAGCGCCGTGGTGCAAATGAGACGACATGCCGAGGAGCTCGCAAGGTGGCTGGATGATAAGTTGGGGACCTTGGGCATTCCTGACGACGGCAGTGGAGAAGCGCGTTAAAGAGACATCAGATCTTCATGGCGCTGCTTGCAAAACTCAAGACGGAACCACAAAAGAGAGCGTTGGCTGTGGGCTAGCCACTAAGCGGTTACCGCGTACGCAATCTTGGGAGAATTGCCTTTTGCCAATGTGACATGGCATTTCCCAATCGGAGCATGACCCGCGCTTATCGGACGACATATACAGCGCGAGAAACTTCCTTGACAAATTCCATGAACCGGCCCATCATGAATCAACTGGTCAAGGTCCTGACATGAGAAGAAATCTCAAGATTGGTCGTGTGATTTGGAGGCCTGAAATTCGCCTCCTGCTCTCACCACGGCTCTTCTCCTAGCAATATCGCTCTTTCAAGTCCATTGGCTTCCGAGAGATTGTCATGTTCCGAATGTGACATTACGAGACGGATACAAAAGCCAACGCTGCCTGCAAGGCTAAACTCAGCTCTCACAACAATCTATCTCCGGCAGCCTTCGATGTGCGCTAGATGCGCAATTTAATCCTTGAGATGCGAGTAATCAAATGAGATAATGGATGTTCAAGTGGGCTTTTGTGGTGCCGTAATGTCCACGGCTACACATGTCGATCTAGGCTGCCTTCCGAATTTCCCTCGGGGCCAAGAAAATCATTGGGCGATATGGGCATTTAACCGGAAGGCACTTTGCCATGTCAGTTATAAATATCATGGCTCATTCGGAACGTTCCTATACGATAGGGCTTGGCGGTCAAGGTTATTGGTCCTCGATTCGCACAGCATGCAGCGGGCGGCGAGCTTGTTTGCATTCTCCAAGTCGGATTGAGGGGAATCCTTGCGCAACCATACCCTTAACGACCGCGCGCTGCCGAAATAGGTTGCTCATTTCGACCTGTTGAGGCTTCAAGTTTAGCCGCCATTAGACGTCTCCGAGAGCGGTCTTATTGAGCTTGTCCGCAAAGAAGCAAGTCTTGTGTGTGAGACCCAGTAACGCCAGTTCTCTTACAGGTTGGATATGACAACCATTCACGGAAAACACCCAACCTTTCGGTGGCCTATGGGAGAGAATCTTCTGTCATTTGGGTTATTGCGACCATACCCATGTACAGCAATCACAAGATATGCTTAAATAGGCGTAAATCACGAATTTTGGCAAGGGATCCAGGAACTACCGGATTTGAGATATCCCATTCGCTTGCTATACCTCTTGGCTTTCGGATAGCGTTCATGCGGCCAGTAATGCGTTCCAATATATACGCATATTAAGTTGCCCTGTGCCATCATAGTGCCATCAAATACAATCTGGGCAGGCCTACCTAAGATGGACGGTAGACGACTTTAGACTCCAGCCAAGAAAGGGGCTCAAGATCTCAGGTGTACATTGCTCCAAGCCAAGATACAACAACTGGCCAGCGTCAGAGTTCAACGTCTTGGCCAAGTCAAACAGAGATGATTCATTACAGTAGGGCAGAAATTACATTATAATAGCTATGGTTACACACAATTGACGTTGGTGAGGCTCCAAAGAGGCTCCAAGCTCAATTCTATCAACGAGTTTCTGGTCTTGTGTGGTTCTGAGCGTGTGCCGACAGGAATTTGAGCTCATGTCCTAGAACAGATTAATCGACTCATATCCCCATGGGGATACTTTATGCACTTCGGCACGTCCATGCAACCTCTAGGCCAAGCGAGAATCAAGCCATATACTCAGGACCCGCTTATCTCTCTCCTGCCGCACAAGGTCAAGATACAGATCATCGGTATCTCTTCGGAGCTCATCGCCACGATGATGATTACAGCCAGGAAGCGTGCACTGTGCCGGCAAGCAGGCCCAAGTTGCCGATGTGTCCAGCCGCTGCTGATACTCTACATACGAGGTCTGTGGAAAACAAAGGCCGACATCCGTATTGGGAAATTCACGCAAAACTGTTCTCTCGCCCCCAGGAAATGTATAAAGTTGGCCATGATGTGCTCTTGTCGAGTTTTCATCTCGCTCTTCACCGGACACCAGCCACTCAGAGTATCCCGTCTCTTCTCTCACCCATTCTTTGTTGCAGTCAAATCGGCACGAAGCAATCATGATTTCGAAAATCGCTGTCATCAGTGGCCTGTTGGCCCTTGGCGATGCCCAGGCTGTCGGCACGCAGACAACCGAGACGCATCCCAAGATGACCTGGAAGAACTGCGCCGCTGGTGGTAGCTGCACAACGGTCAATGGCGAGGTCACTGTCGACGCCAACTGGCGATGGCTGCACGATATCAATGGCTATACCAACTGCTATACCGGCAACGAGTGGAACTCGACCATCTGCAAGGACGCTGCTTCGTGTGCCACCAACTGCGCTCTCGACGGTGCTGACTACTCTGGCACCTACGGCGCATCGACCAGCGGCGATGCTCTGACCTTGAAGTTTGTCACCAAGGGCCAATACTGTAATGACTCCTCTACATACTCTTCAGACATGGTGAAGGCTGACTGATAGATACCAGCCACAAACATTGGCTCTCGTATGTACCTGATGAACGGAGCCGACAAGTACCAAATGTTCAAGCTTTTGGGCAACGAGTTCACCTTTGATGTCGACCTGTCCAAGCTCGGCTGTGGTTTGAACGGAGCCTTGTACTTTGTTTCCATGGACGAAGATGGTGGCAAGTCCAAGTACTCGACCAACAAGGCCGGTGCCAAATACGGCACAGGGTACTGCGATGCTCAGTGCCCGCGTGACCTCAAGTTCATCGATGGCAAGGCCAACAGTGCCTCCTGGACACCTTCCACTAACGATGACAACGCCGGTGTTGGTGCCATGGGTTCTTGCTGTGCCGAGATGGATATCTGGGGTAAGTCACAGAAGACAATAAAAGAGAGGGCGTATTGGGAGATACATGACTGACAAATAATACAGAGGCCAACAAGATCTCCACGGCCTACACCCCACACCCCTGCAAGAACAACGCTCAGCACTCTTGCTCGGGAGACGCCTGCGGTGGAACATACTCGAGCACCCGTTACGCCGGAGACTGCGACCCAGATGGCTGTGACTTCAACTCGTACAGACAGGGAGTCAAGGACTTCTACGGCCCGGGCATGACTGTCGACACGGGCTCCAAGTTCAGCGTCGTGACGCAGTTCATCAAGGGCTCGAGCGGTGACCTTGAGAGCATCAAGCGCTACTACGTCCAGAACGGCAAGCTCATTCCCAACTCCGAGTCCACCATTTCTGGTACCAGCGGCAACGAGATCAACACCGCGTACTGTTCCGCCCAGAAGACGGCCTTTGGTGACACTGACGACTTCTCGGGCAAGGGCGGTCTCAAGCAGATGGGTGCTGCTCTCGACAAGGGTATGGTTCTGGTCATGTCAGTCTGGGACGACGTAAGTTTATCCTCTGATCTTTGCCTTTTCCCACTCACTACCTATTCTGGTCCCTGGTGGGGGTGAAAAGTACCCGATCGAGAATTGTTCGGCTGACAATTGATCACCTTTGCAGCACTATGCCAACATGCTCTGGCTCGACAGCAGCTACCCTCTCGACAAGGATGCCTCGACGCCCGGCATTGCCCGCGGCAGCTGCGACACCACGTCTGGTGTGCCTGCGGATGTCGAGTCCAAGCAGGCCAGCGACCAGGTCATTTACAGCAACATCCGCTTTGGTCCCATCAACTCGACCTTCACCGCCTCTTAAATATGCCGAGAGAAAAGAATTGTTCCTTTGATATCTCTCTCACCCATTGGACCGTGTGGTTGAGATCCACACGGCTATAGGGATGTTACTTCCGAGAAGATTGAACAACGTACTTGAGGCATGCCAAGCGGACGAGGGAGAGAAAAAGAAAAAAAAATGGACATGTATGATATTGCTTATCCCTTTAAGCACGGAAAATGGTACATTTTCGATACGTACCGAAATCCCACTTTTCTAGCCAATCAACGTATGAGAATCTCCGGCTAAGGCTATGCTACGCCATAAAAAGCTTAGCTGCTTGCAAGTATAAGCAACGCGTCGAAGGAAATCAATTAAACAGCTGCACGCAGCTGTTCTAGCATTATTTGTTAGATATACGCGAAAATACGCGGGTCTGGTTTTTTTCTATACAAAAGACGAGATATCCCATGTTAAATTCTTTATTCTAACTGGTCCAAAAAGTGGAATTTCGGTACGTATCGAAAATGTACCATTTTCCGTGCTTAAAGGGATAGGACGACGTGGCAATGGTTCTCCCTGGAACTGGATCGAAAAACACCCATGTTCATTTCAGCCTTATCTGCAAGTCCGGACAACAGATTGTGCATAGACAAACATTCATTCTTTGGCAGAAAATATATTTTGAGAATGCTTATTTGAAATGCTGTCCCTCGTATATGCTACTTTTGCTGCCCAGTATTTACTAGCTGAATGCCGATCTATCCAACTACCCAGAACGACGTATCAACTGTGGTCATGTTTCGATGAGATGATTTTTGACTCACTAAGATACACAGCCAATGATAAGACTTTTATTAAGCGAAAAAAGCAACTGTTTTCGACACGAAGTTGGAGACTCGATGATGCGACGAAATTGCTTTTTCTCTGACAGACAGGCCTCGAAAGGAAACACGGTCAAATTGGAATAGGACTCAGAGTTTGGAAGAGCATGAACTTTGTCTGTAAATGTGCATGCTCGACAAACCCTTTGACTAGAAGAGGCTGGTTCTAGAATACGGCAGTTTCACCAAATGTCGTTGCACGAACGATTGCAACCCTGGAGCCGAGCAGCCCTATAGGAGGGATACATGAACTCTCCCCTCCCCCAAATCGATTGAGCTCTGAGCTATCCGCGTAGCGAGGAACATTTGCCGGCGACTGATGCTACACAGTACGCATTCATGCCAGTGAGGTACATGCCAGCTTTTCTTCTTTGGGAGACCACCAATGCAATACATCCAGGACATGCAACCTGCTCGACCCGAAAAAAACAAAGCACTTCAGACAGAGCAAAAAATGACAGTCACATCATGCAGGACTCCAGAAACGGTCCACAGTCGCAATTTTATCAAGGAGGTTTGCGGCAAGCTGCATACATCCATTCATACTTGTCCTTCGGACCGAAACTGAGAAACAAATATACCAATGTCTGCCTGTCCGCCATAATCAATATTTAAATGTCATGAGTCTGTTTAGGATAGTAAATTCTGTCTTCTTGCAACACTAAACTTGCCGACCTTGTCATTCTTTTATTCTTGATTTTCCTCCGTGTTTATTGGTAAACTCCAAAAGTTGGAGTGCTTTCACCATGGCTCGCAAGATCGACATGTTTCGAAACATCCCAATGACGGATACGAGGCAACAGGTTCGATTACTAAGGATCATCAACGATCACGATGATCCAGGTCCTCGTGAGCTCGAGTGCGAGCTCTTCGTCTGCACTCGAGAGTACGCTCCAGAATACCATGTCATCTCGCATGATGGGGGTCATGATACCAGTCTTGCCACCACGACCGTCATCATCAACCACAGGCCCGTGAAGATCACAAAATGTTGCGAGATTGTCCTCAGGAAAACTCTAAAGCACAGCCTGTACGTGGGCCAGGAGGTCAATTACTGGATGGACGAGCTCTGCATAAATCGACAGGACGAGTCCGAGACGCGACATCAGGTGGCGAGGCTGGCTCACGTGTACCGCGACGCCGGGCGCGTGCTGCAGGTGCGCGCCCATTTAGACCCGAAGGTGCCCTCCTTGAGTCAGCTTCTCGACATTGAAAAGCTCCTTGACACGTTGGCACTGAGGTCCTGGATATGTGCCAGTGACCGCCTTGAGGATCTCGTCTCTGAGTTGCTCGAGTCGGTGCGGGATCGACCGCTTACATACCATGAAGGCCAAATGGCACAACTACCTCAAGCTATCGAGGCAATCAGAAAACGGAAAGAGGCGTACTATACTCGCGTCTGGGGACCGCAAGGCGCTTCCTCGCACCAAAGACTTTCGGAACATTGTGGCTTGAACCGTGTACCAGTGGCTAGGCCCGATATTCGCCCACGCTCAAGTCATCCCCCTCGCGCGCATGAGAGATCAAGTTTACGAGCCAGCGGCTTGCGTGGCCCAGCGTCGCATGCTTGCAATTCAAGTGGGCATGATACTCGAGCATGGAGCGAGTTGCCACCTGTCGTCTCTGCCTGCGATACGCAGTCTGCACATGTACGCAATGACTCGCCTCCCCGACCACAGCTCCGAGTACAGGAGCACTTGGACACCACTGTCGGCGGGCTTCACAGTGTCCGTCGACAGGATGACGGCCTTGGATCCCGATCCTCGTCATCCGAGTCTAGGGACGATGACATTTATTTCGACCATCCCAAGTCAAGGTGGAAAATTGCTTTGGAGCTCATGCAATTCCCCCAACCTGAGATCAACAATGCCGACTCATGGTATGCTAGGTGCGGGCTACAATTGGCAGCTCGTGTCGCCAGAACTCTCCAGATTACGGCTGACGCGGATGCGGCACGTAACGCATGCAAGGCAAGAAGCATCGATCCCACGCCTTCTAGAGAAGCCGCACCGCCGTCTCGATTGCTCAAAGATCGGCAATGGGCTGGTATTCGCATCACGGAAGGGGTTCACAGGCTGTGTCAAGCCACAGAGTCTGATCATGGATCCACCACGGATCCCAAGTGGCCACCACAGATCCCAGCCGTCGACATTCGAGACATGAACACCTTGTATCTAGATGAAGCCAAACATTTGCCCTTTGCACATCTTCCCTCAAAGGCAGAGTATGGCGACTGGGTCGTATGGTCTACCGGAGGGCGGGAGTTGGAAGCTTTGCAAGATGTCATCTTACTGCTGAGGCCACGGCCGAGCGAGGGGAGCAGCCCCAAGCGCTTCTACGACATCATAGGACAGGGCCGCAAAGTTCCCCGACACAATGGCTACTTTGGTGTATCCTTTCTCAGAGCTCATTTTCAACTCAATTTCCATCCCGAAGATGCCCTGGCTCTTGCCGTACAGCTTATTTCAGAGTATAACTCGACTCATCACATGCACATTACAAATCTGTTGAGACAGCTTACGACGAGAGTGTGCGGCTATGAAAGATCATCCTATGCTGAGAGGGAAAGTGATGATTTGCTTTGCTCTGTAGCATGAGTATTCATTTCTATGGCGAATTTGTACCGGGGTTGAAACTCGTTGTTTACCCAAATCTTTTGCCAAAATCATACCACCAACGCCCCGGTTTTACCCTTGTATCACAAATATTCATACAATCATAATTACATACAAGCAGGAAGGATTCTCTGCCGGCCTGCTCATTTCCAATCAAACTCGCTTCTCAACTCGACTACATCATCATCTAGCTCGCTCCGCCTATTCTTCCTTCTCACAACCATGACGGCAATCTCGGCCACTACTGCGAGCACGTAGAACGACCCCAGGATGATGAGATCGGTAAACTGGTGGACAGTGGCATACGTCGTATCCTGACGCGCGAGCGAGCCCTCGAGGCCCAGCCCCAGCACGCCCGTGATCTTGAGGGCCGTGATGGCGCCCCCCGCGACCCAGAGGGCCACGGCCGCCGCCCAGTAGCCGCGGACCCGGCGAAAGACGCCGTCGGTGGCCTGCATGGCCGCGGCGCCGGCGAAGCCGACGTAGGCAAAGGGCACGAGGCCCACGCCGAGGTCGATCCGGGACAGCCCAATCACCTCGACCGTCTGCATGAGCACCAGCACGGCCACGACAAAGTAGTAGGCCGCAAAGAGCAGGATGCGTCCCCAGCTCGATCGCCATGTCGATTTGGAGAGCAGAGATGACCACCACTTTCTTGACATGGGTGACGACCGGTTGTAATGTTTCGGCGTGAGGAAGAAGAGTATGGGCAGAGCAACCATGTAGAGCCATGTTGGAGTCGGTACGAGTATCGTGTCGAAAAAGCATTGAGTAGGAAGAGGGTCGGCAAGCTGAGAGATTGGGCCCTGTAGGACAAGGAGCTTGGTTAGTTTGGGCTCGTACGAGTCTGTATATGTTGAAGCCAACTTACAAAGCCCTCTGGGCGATTGCTGCAAAGACCTGACATGTTGGTCTTGATATTGTATAGAGAGAAAAAAATGAAAGCGTGTCTTGAAATTCAATCCTTGGCCTTTGTCGTCACTTGGTTTATCCTCAATTTCGGTCTTCCTAGACTCGTATCTCGTACAATGTATGGCGTAGTTGAAAGCACGATCTGAAATATAAAACAATCAGAATCAATTTTGACAGAGATCTATTTGACCCCAAGAGTATAAAACGTGGGAAACATCGTCTCCTTTTGACTATTTTCCAAGACACACACACAGACACACACACAAAGAGGATGGCCCATCCCAGCCCTTGCCGAGGAAACGTCTGATATTCTCACGCAAGCCACATGTTGTTTCCTCTGCCGCTTGCCCATACAAATCATTTACGAAATCCGGTATCGCGCACCCTCGAGAAAAGGTGGTACAACCTGAGACGTACATGGCTTTGAGAAGTATCGCTAGGCGCGTGCGACAAGGACAAGATATGGTGATCAAGTGGTTTGGGAGGGGCCTTGGAGTGTGGGGGTGGAATAGTGATTATACTGCTGTGTATTTTTTTCCCCCTCGGCAACCACGTTTCAGATTATCTTGCATTTTATACACTCCAAACATGCATTCAATCAAGTTATATCTCCTGTCCTTTAGGAAGATATTCAATACGCATCACTGAATACACAGTAGACGACAAGGAACGTGACAGGGGCCCCCACCCAAGGGAAAATGTTTCTTTGAAGTTTCTGTTTCGTACTGACTTTGCGCCCCTCTCCCCTCAGGTTCCCTCCCCAAGGGGTTGACTCCCCAAAATCCTGATCCCCCCGCAGGTCCGTTTCAGCTTTGCTATGGGCGGTCTTCATTCGCAACGTGCCGAGAAATTCTTCCCCCTTGCAAGATTCTGAAGCTCAGATCTTTTTGACCATACCGCAAATCCTGCCAACCTGATTCGCTTACCGTTTGGGAGGGTTTGTCCGTGTCCATGGTAAAAGGCGCACCACAAACGAAATGTGTTATAGTCGAGTCGCATGCTGACTGGGGTATGGGGCCAGTGCCTACATAGCAGCCTAGCGAATTACCTACATATCCACTATACACAATTGGGTTCATTATCTAAAATGTACACCACAGGGGCATGTAGGTAGGACTGCTGGTATACGTGATATTTACAGCCTTTTCATTATTGTTTGATTTCTATTGCTCGCTCAAGCCAGCGCGATTACCAATTTATTGTTTTAAAAAGCAAGGACAGAAGACTCTTTAGATATGACCAAATCCACGCTATATTATTATCGCTTCCGGTACATCTATTGTTAAACAAGGCTGAGAAGGGGAAAATTTACAACAGTAAAAACGTTTATCAACTGTTTCCCATCCCCTGCATTCTTCTTCTGCGTTGCAGTCGACGTGCTTGTCTTGCTTCACCTTCGCATCCTACCGCCATTTGCTCCGGCCAAGGCAATGCCTTCGCCGTCCCTGTAGCTGTCATGGAGGTATACATCTGGCGTAGTTGATCGTCTATTCGCTGTCGCCGTGCTGATCGGCTCCTAGGAATCCTCACCGGGTGCAATCTTCTCTCCTAGTCTGCAATACTGTCGTCCGATTGCGCCCCATCAATTCCCGACAGGGAGTCATCCTAGTCCTCATCCTCTGAGTCTGTCATGTCATCGGGCAAAAGAGATCTGTACCTTCTGTTGGCCAGGTCCTCAACTAATCCACCCTCACTCTCCGGGTCTACATAGCCTTCACCTCCCACCAGACTAAGAAGCACTGGGAGGAAGATGAGAGCGTGAGTGGCGGCGAAAACGACAAGTGCGAGCCAGACACGGAAGTAGTAGATCTCGAAGATCTTGGATCGTGTGAACGCCAAGACACATACTCCCAGTAGCTTGGTAACTGTAATGCCGCTGAAGACGGAGCCACCGACGTTGACAAGCGCAGTCCAGGCGCGGGCGTCACGACCGCGGAAACGGTTCTTAGCTCGTTCCATTACAGAGCCTGATGGAAACATAAAGGCGCGAGCGATATGCGCACAGAACTCGACGGCAATGCCGACACAGATGATCAGGTTCACCAGTGACACGGCGTTGAGAGACACGTCGAACACGGCCATGGCACCAATGATATCGACAACCGTCATGGCGACCGTGACAGTGACAGCCAAAGCCGTCAAGAGGGAACCAAGAAGCAGAGTCGCCACGGCAAAAATGACTGCAATTGCAGATCCGAGAAGCGTAGCACTTAGATTGACAATACCGGCATATTGGTCAAAGAAGACGTAGAATACGCTGTAAGGGAAGACTTCCACGCCTGTATTAGCCTGGAAGTCATTTGCAATGCGACGCGCAGCGGCATATGCATCAATGAAATCGTCCTGGCTGCGCAGAGGCTTGTGCATTGTGCGGAAGTTGCTGGCTCGGATAGTTTTTCGCTCGTCATCAATGGCGACTGCCTGGCTGTACGAGGCCTGACCTCCAAGCGGGCAGTCATCATCCGTGGGTGAAGCCAAGAATTTCTTCAGGTAGTAGACGAACTCATCACCTTCAGGCATGCCAGACATGGTGATGTTCCAGGGTGGATTCCGGTTTGCAAAGCATGTCTCACGTCCCTCGATACAGCAGGTGTCATAGTCTGGGTTGAGCCAGAGGAAGAAATCATCCACCCAGCTGGCAGTCGGAGATGAGATGTATGAGACGGCAGGCCGCTTACGTTCTTGTTCAAGTATGTTTGTGAGCGACAAACTATCACAAGAAGTAAAGCGGGAGCAAATCTCTCGTTGATGCGTTCGCTGGGTGGCGTTCAAGTCTTTGGTCACAAAGTAGACTGGCGGGCCGGTGTCCAGGTAAGCGTACAGATCATTGAAGTACGGGATGAGGTATGAGTCGTCTGGCAGAGCAACGCGCTGGTCCAAGCCAAGTTTGACGTTTGGAATCAATGCAATGCCTGCAGCTAGCAATCCCGTGAAAACGACCATGACCAAAACTTTGGTCTTTTTGCCGAGCAAGGCTGGCGCATAATGCTTGCGAATGAACTGCTGGAGCCAGCTCTCTTCGGGAACATCATAGGGCCGCGGTCCAGAAGAGTTGTTGCCGTTGAGTTGGACTCTGGCAGCCCTAACCTGAACACAGGGGAAGCAGTCTGCTCGGTGATCCTCTGTGCGTATCTGGTTCAGGGATAGGATCGAGATGAAGAGAGTCATCTGCAGTAGTGCATTAATGAATACTGCGCCAGCAGCATAGATAGCAAAGTTTCTGACAGCGGGCATGCCCACAAAAGCGCCAAGAGCAAAGGAAACTGTTTCGGTGATGGCAGAGAACAGAATGGACGGTCCCATCCGACCTAGTGCTTTCGCGATTCGTTCCTCGACCATGGCATCGGGGTGGCTGATGTTTACCCGCTCGAACTCGTGAACGATCAAGAAGATATTGTCGACACCAACCGCAAGAACAATGAATGGAATGACTTCGGCAATGATCAAGGTAGCCTTGATACCTGCCCACGAAAAGAGACCAATGGATGAAGTAATCGACATCAGGACAATCAGAATGCCAACCAAGCCAAGAGTGAACTTGCTCTGGACAAGACAGACAGCTGGATTCCTAATCAGCTCTCGAACCGTCATGCTGGTAGACCCAAGTGCCAATGAGGCATAGATGAACATGACGAGATAGCTAATGGCAATGATGGTGGCATCGGAGTTGGTTGATTTGTTCAACTCCTCTTCAAGACTGATTTCGGTCGAGAAAGACAACCGAAGTCCGAACTTGTTAGCAGCCTCGTCTTGTGCTTGCAACAGCCGTTCTTTCAAGGCCACTTCCCAGTCCTTAGCTCGGGCAATCTCAGAGCTGCCCTCTGGATAGTTGCTGACGACCCAGGTTGCAGTCATGGCAGGAGCATCAACAACATCGTCAAGGCCAGCGTAGCCGCCGAGGACCATATTTGGCTCGATCGGTTGGCCAAAATCAGGACGGCAGTTGACAGGCGACCTGGTACACTCCTGAAGATCCTGTCTCCAAGAGTCTTTATCATAATACAAGTTGTCCCAGTATGCGGCGACGGATTGGACCACACAAGCAGGACCTGTTGGTTTGAAACACACGTCTTGTAGCCTGGCTCCGAAGCTAGGGCTCTTAAGTTGCTTCACCTCTTTCTCGAGGCTCATCCACCACTCGATGACATCGCTACTCAAGACAGGGCCGCCAGTGTCGTTGACCAAGAAAGCCTTTTCGGCACGGTAGAACGGGCCAAAGTTTTCATCGAAAAATGCTTTCTCCTGGGCTGCGGCAGACGTGGGACTCACCCAGAGCTTTTCAGGCTGCCTCTCCACGTCAAACTTGACCCAGCCAACGCTTAACACGATGACGACTATCAAGCTCGTGAAGATGGTGATTGCAGGGAACCTGGCACAGACATGGCCGAGTTTACTGAAGGCAAGGTCACACCAAGTGTTGATCTTGTAATAGTTCTGGGGGCGGTCATACATTGCTCCGTTGCGGACCAAGTCACCTTCGTCATCGTCATCACTTTCGGTCGCCTGAAGGAGCTGGAGTCGCTCGCTCTGCTTTCGAGCGTGACGTCTCCAAGCAACATGGCCAGCGATGACAAGTACTAGGGAGAACAGTAGTACACTATACGTGAAAATGGAGGCAAATGTCAAGCATGGCAGTACGCCGACCTTGCAGGATCCGCCACGCTCCACACGTGGTAGCTCTGGACACACTGCTGGACAGTCTACGCACGAACATCTGTAAGCCGGGTCCTCGTCGTTACATTTCTTTGGCTTCATATCCCTGGGACTCATTTTTGGCTCGGAGTAGCTCGTAGGGAAATTGATCTGAAAGGGTGATCCGATGGCCTTTTCATCGCCGAGGAACTTGAGAAGCTGCGAGTAGTTTTTCGCACCACCGCCAATGAAGTCAATAGCCTTGGAATTCGAAGGCCCGAATTTGACATCCTTGCAGCTATCGTAGAAGCCTGTGCCGTAGTCCTTTGAGATCAACTGGTCCAGCTCTAGGACCTGTTGTTTCCCATTCTTCTCTTGCGTTCTGGTGACATTGATGAACAGTGACTGATCGGGCGAGCATGTAAAGGTGCAGAACAGATTGTAGAAGTTGTCCTTGCAGGCGGGGCATGAGCCGATGATTTGGTTCGGCGTGGACATGGAGGACTTGAGAGCGTCGAGCTGCTCGCGGTTGCAGCAGACCTTGCTGTCCTTCCACTTTGCGCCGCAGAGGGCCTCAAGATCATGGGCAAAGTCATCGTCAATATCTGACTGGTCGGTTGCCAATCCGTTGTCGAGGCATGGTAGCTCCTTTCCGAAGAAGCTCTTCTTTCCGCAGTGGCCGCGTATGGCACATCGCCCGGCTTCGTGATTCGGTGTTAGCGGTTCAGCGTAAGTGGCTGTCGCGGTGAGCAGTGCCGCTGCCGCCGCGATGACGGTCGTGAGTCGTGCCATCTCAGGCGCAGACCAAGCTTCGCCAAAGCTCCTGAAGAGGGTATTCCGGTGAGCCCGAATATGTTACAAGTAGAAGTATTATCGCCAAGGAATCATGGCTCGCTGGGATAAGAACAGTTGCCGATGGGCAGGAATGCAGAAAATGATGATGAGTAGATGTGAGTCCTGGGAAGGATGACTTTCCATCATTGATGGGTGGGAAAGCTAGGATGCGACGACGACGCATGAACAACAACAATGCATCTAAACATGTTATTGCAAGTATGGAGAGATCGCTGCATCCGAGACACAAATAGCCCAAGATTCCATTCTCCGTGCTTTTAAGGCTCAAATGAATAACTCAAACCGTATAATAGAGTTTCAATATGTCGGTCCATTTTTTAATGATTCATTTATCCTGGTATGACAGTATTTTATTCCACAATGATTGTATCTCGTAATGGGGGATAGAGGGATAATAACTGTTAGATCACTAGGTTGGACGTGAAGTGCATAATAGCTCTTCATGGATCCGAGTTGTCCTGCGTCATACAATGCGCTTGCCGTCGGACTGGAGCCTAGGTGCCTGCAAGCTAGGTACGAACGGACCTGGCATCGGTACGTACCTAAGGCGACATGGGGGGATAGTTGAGGGGCCGAGCATTGACTGGAGGCTGGGGAAGTAGCAGGGGTTGAACTGTTCCTAGCTGTCACACGACAGTCGGCATTCCCCCCATCGACACATCATTACCGCCCCACGTGGTGTGCCCAAGACTGCTAAGGGAGCACCAGCACCAAGCATCCCGTTTGATCTAAATAGGTATGCGGTGTGAACGCTGCTGCTTTCGATAAAGTCGGTGGTGTCTAAAATGCGTAGAGAATAGTGAAAATTATCATCTCTGCATAGTTGGAATTGAAGTTGGCCTGACCTCGGTGGTTTCGTCGTTTGTTGTTGTTGCATCGGTATTCACACAAGTATCATGGAGTGACTATAAAGTCGAATGTTTTTTTTTTTTAAGTCTACTGCAGCAAACAGTGATCGCAGTGCTAATGGTAATGGAAAGGTCACATAAACCCATGAATCTGTGGATATAGACCACGATGCTTTACCAAAACGTGGACAACTCAAACCACATCAGGCACATCGTTTTCAAAAGTTTATCAGAAAAGTTCTAAATAAGGGAGTGGTAATATCGTTGATGGCGGCAAAGCAGGTTGGTTGTTGGATCGCGTCAATTTGTTTACCATGTATCTTGGCCAGTCACCAGGAAAGCATAGGCTAGGGCCATTACAAACTCGGCATCTCTGGTCAGCGGCTTCATATAGCTTGACAGGACGACCCAATATCCAGTGGATGGGAACAAGATAGGTAAACAGAGGATTCCGTGCCCATACTATTGGTACTAGTCTACACAAGCCACAGATCATACAGTGAACAACCGACTTTATAGCAAAGTCCAACCGGAATCCTCATTATCTGCTTCAAGGTCTTCTCGGGGTTTCCCGTTGTTGGCCGATGAAAGCCGTCTTTCGTGGTTTGAAGCCTGCTCGACATATTAGTTCTCATATGCACTTTGTTGGTTATCTGCTGCTGGGACGGGTCGCGTACCTTGTCGTGTTGCAGCTGGCTTACCAGCACATGTAGTTCCCGTAGCTGGTTCTGCAACATTGTCATGTTTCTTTTTTCTTCATCGTCTTCCTCGTATTCCTCTCTCGTTTGGTGACTCTTGATATCAAGTTGAGACGGGTCAGTCTCGGCCGGATCATCCGCATTTAATCCTATCAAATCCACCCCTTCTCGATTGTTGTTGTTGTTGTCATGACCTTGTCGATCCAACTGCTTCTTGAATTCATCTCTCTGCTGCATGAGCCTCAACATGTACTGATTTGAGTCCCTTAAGAGCGCGTCTTGTTCTACTAGACGATCCTTGAGTCTGTTCATCTCACGCTTGCCACTGCTACCGCCAGAGGCCATCATGCCTGTGCCAGACACGCCTTGTGCCCTTGCCATATCGCGCCCGTTGGTGCAGTTCTGTACAGTCCTCCGGAGCTGGGCCTCGTATTCCTTTAAGACCTCGAAGCCATCATGTAGACCGTCCTGGAGATTTGGGTAGTACGTCTTGAGCATGCCGATGCCCGGCTTTAGCACGTAAGTGTCCAAAGTTGATATGGTGCCGTCAAGAAGGTGCTTGTTCTCGCGTGCTAGTTTGACCATTTTTCCAGATACCTCTACACAAAAGGCCGCATTGGCGTTGATGGTTCGAGTCAGGTTGTTAATGCGCTCGGCCAAGTCCTGTTGCGACTGATGGGTATGGCGCGGGACCTGTCGTCGATCAACAAAGTCGGCATCTGATTCCCATGAATCTATGCTGTCGGGGGAGTCTTGCCGGATGTGTTCTCGAGTATTTCGATTTAGGTCGTGTGTATGCTGCCACCTAGATTCTGAAGCTGGCGGTGCCACATATCGTGGCGCGGGCTGATATAATTTACCGGATGATGGCCTGGACGAAGGCGGAGTTGGTAGAGTTCTGCCACGACTGGGAGGCCGCGAGGAAAGGTCCAAATTGCTGATTTGACTACTGCTCATGAAGTTGTCCAGGTACAGATCGGCACCGTAGTCCTCGTCTCTGGGGGAGTCCATGTATGAATCCATATTGTATCGGTGGCCAGCGCCAGTGGCGGGGTTTCACCCCAGCACTTTGGCTATATCTTTGGAATGAAAGCACAGGTGCAGAGAGGAGAATGGACAGTGCTCGAAATGAGTGCGGGTGTTGGCTGTCCTTTTACTTATCAAATGTCTGCTCTTTCCCTATCTATGGTCACTCGGGTGGTGTTCGGGCGTCAGTCACGGTGATGGTATGACGGGGGTTATGTAGGTGGGTAAAGGTTATTAGCATGGTAGGTCCGAAGAGGGGCAATGTTTCCTTCGGTCTTGCTCAGGCGACCACGCAGGGATTTTGCGACGGTAATGAAGGGCCAGACGCTCAGGAACAACTTCTTTGATATCACAAGCCTTGTGTCAAGACAATAGTGGAAAGGGAGGGTGTGAGAGCAACCTGCAGAATGACCGAGCCTCGAACTTGCAGCAGCCATTTATCATGTTGAGAACAAACACAGCTGGCAGCCCTATCATGCGGACAGATGCAAGGTTGACAAGGCAGCCATCACCTGTCACCATTTCGCCTCCCAAGGGCACTGCTTGGCCCGGGGCACCTGGAGGCACCTACAATGAAGTCTTGTCGCGGGTTTTAAGGTCCGCAACAGTCCAGTGCCGGGCGACACTAACGACACTAATGCACCCATTGGAGCCTATAAACGTCTCTGAATCTGCATCCTAGGCAAGTTAAGGTCTGTCCCCAGCAACAACACCCGAAAAGTGTCAATGAATAAATCATGGCAACAGCTGCACATTAATGACCTTTATATTCCTTAATTATCCGGATACATGCCAGGGGGCATATCCTGGTTCAGGTGCTTCATGGCTGCATTTAAAATGACAAGACTATTCCATACATCCATGGCGATCTCCACGTAAGGATAAGATGCCGTGGGCAGTATTGCTACACTTGTTCAGTGACTGCTAGCAGCCCACTGGTACCCCGACTGAGGTACATACCTTCTATATGTTCCGCTTAGGACTAAAGGACAAGAATAATCTATGGAGATTGTTACGTAACTGATATATAACAAGGACATGGTTATCGAGCTCGGAGTATACTCCTCGTGAACTTGGTACAAAGATTGAATTCATTCCAAAATGGTTGGGGTAGTTATTTAGATGAAAAGGTAAACTTTTGATCGAATCCCGGTTGAATATGACATATAGACCTGGATCATGTTCAAATCGGGCACAGGAAGAAGAGACCAATCTTGTACATATACCACAATTTCAAATAGATATGTTCATGCCTTCTAAATCCTAGTACGTCTGGGTCTAGAAGCCGTACGGGAAAGTGATTTGTCATCGACAACGCTGGCGAGGTCTAAGTCGCTATAAATCAATCGTCGCGTCTTTCTTTACATTATCGCTGAATGGAAAATATCCTCAGAGCTGTCAACTCGTCCTTCAACGCCGTTCCATCCATTATCAGACAGTTGAGTCGTCTGATAGCCATCTTTTGAGCGCGGCACGCCTACAGTGCGCAGTCATGTATTATCTTCCTTGTTTCCACCCAGCCAATCGAGCACTGATTGGGCCAAGGCAGCTGAAGCTTGTTTCCGTCTCTGGAATAAACAACCCAGTAAGAGGATTATCAAACATCAGCTGGCTTTCCACGTCCCGATTCGTGACCGGGATGATCATCGATATTTTTTGTCTACTTGCTTCTCTGCTGTGCAAGCCTGACTCATCATGCCTTATCCTTGAGCTTTCCCGTGGCAGTTCCATCGTCTTCCTGGTAGAGGTTATGCTGGCTGATGTAATTTACAACCTCCGTCGGCACGAGATAGTCGATGTTCATGCGCCTCTTGGATAGAAGTCTGACTCTGGTTGATGAGACATCGTTGGCTACAGTCTGCGGGATGTAGTAGATGTTGTGCTCCCACTCCTTTAGACTACCAACGGCTTCCTGGAAATCAGTGCCGGCTCTCTCAATGACAAATGCGCCGTATTTGCCGAGGATGTGTGCGAGATCCTCTTGACTCCAGACGCCCGGAGTGCTCATGGTCTGGATGAGATCTGCACCAGCGAGGAGAGCGATTCGGACCGGGTGCTTGACGCCATTTGTGTCCTCGACACCACCAAGGTGGCCATTCAATTCTTGCTCGAAGTGGTCTAATACTTTTGCGGTGGGCCTAGGGAAGGGAAAGTCAGTCGGCATTTATCCCAAATATAGACAAGCAGCAAAAGACTCGGGCTCGTCAAAGTAACTCACATGTATTCGGCGTGGATGGCCTCCCAGGGATCCACCATTAGGCAGTCAGCCGTCCTCGTCCTCCGTTGCACGGCAAGCTCGGCCATGCGTATTCTGTGGTGGGCCGGTGCGAGGCCAACCTTTTTGTAGGCATCGCTGACGGGCGAGAGGTAGGCGCCAACGACCTGGAAGTTTGTATTCGCCTTGACATAGTCGTAGGCGAGCGAGAACATGCGTAGGTGGAGGAAAGTCGTCGGTGAGAAACTGCCACATGCGACAAGCACTAGCGGGGTCCTGTCAGGCTCGACATCATGCATTTGCAGCCGGTGGACGGGGAACCGGTACTCGTCGAGCAGCATGCCGGCTGATGATTGTGATTGCGAGTCCGACATGGCTTGTTTCTAGAAAGTATACTCGAAGACACTAAACAATGGTGCGCTCTATGTAATGTATCGGCGCAGTGGCTTCAAAGTGGTTCTTTCTTTTGTGTTTATTGAGAACGGAAACCGGCGTTAGCAGGCTGCCAGGTTCGAGCGAGTGAATTACGTTTTAGTGAGCAGCACGTAATGACGAGGCAGGCGGCGTAATGGTTTTTTTTGGCGGGGGCTTCGGAACCCAGACCAGAAGCCAGGTGATTCAGATAAGATAAGGTGCGGGACGGTTGCAGAATATCAAATCATGAAAGGAAGGCAATTACGGACTGGCCTGGCAACTTTGTCGCAATGGCATTCGTTGTCCGAATTTCTCTTGGTGAGTAATGGGTAGTTTGTGTCAAATGGACAACGAATTTTCAGGGCGAGATGGAGAGAGAGTTGAAAGGGTTTTAGCACTCTCCGGTCCAGGTGATGAGGTGGGTACAAGTAGCGCCGTGAGGAATGAGAAAAAGTGACTTTGGCAGCGAGAAAGTGGAAAGCAAAGCCCGTGCTGGGGCTGCCACGAGAGTTTAGTAGTTAAAAGAGGGTCCTAAGGCACAACCAGGCTAGGCCCGACAGAGACTGCGACACAAGCCAACCAGCGTCAAAGACCACCCCCAATTCGCCTACAATACCCTGCGATCAGTTGCTGGCCGTTTGCTGCATGGTAGATCGCGTCAGTCTGGGCAACAAGGAATTAGATCGCCGCATTCCGTTCTGTCATATTGTTTTTTTCCCCATCCTCTATACGCCCGTGATGGGTAGTAAAAGAGGCATCGTATTGAGTGTATGCGAATTTCAATCATCTGACCAAATGCTGCCTAAAAGCCTATGAGTACATTAAGAATGCACCGAAAGCCACCAAGTATCCATGCAGTTGCGTGCAGTGAATTTCCAGTGGGGGCGAGGTGAGGCAGCCTAGACCCCTCCAAGCGTTTCGTATACCCCGACCAATACACCTCTGCAATGTTGGGCAGGCAGAGACGATCAAGTCTTCGAAACATTGATTCTGGCCGTTTCAACGTTAATCATTAATACATGTCAAAAGCTAAATTTGAGTTGAAGTGACATTATGGTCATGTAATATAGAATATTATAGCAACAAAAACCGGGATATGATCTGCCGCTTTGATGAAAAGTACCTTGGTAGGTTCGAAAAGGTGATACAATAAGTACAGTTGTAACTCAACTCTAACGAACGACCTTTGTCCACTATTTCCGGACCAGGCTGGCAGAAGGACCCCTCTTGTGACTCAAAATCCTAGTTCGTACAAAGCAAAAGCCTATAAAGCATAAAATATTATTGGGATTTCAATTGATATTCATTGGCCCGCTGGAGGAGAATGAATTCCACGTGCTGCGTATACTTCACCGAACACCTAGAAGCACGCAATACAGAATCAACTCACCGCAGAAATCATTCGCGTCTCTTCCATGGCGGTTATTAGGAGAATACCGGACTTGGACCGGAGCAGTTGGCCGAGGTTGGTGGGCGCCATACCAGCAAGACGGCGGCGTTTTCGCCGAGAGGGGGTCCCGTCGATGCCCCCCAGTTAAGGCACGACCTGGACCTCCCCACACTCTTTTTTTTTTCCCCTTCTAAGGATGAAAGGGAAAGGCCCTCTGCAAAAGCCCACGAGACGCGACTGTCTTATTACTGCAATTGATGGATCTGGGCATTATCTCCCCTGACGACCTAGTATCGTGCGCCCCAGGTACAGGTAAAGTCAAGATGGTTTCTGGGTAGGAAAGAGCTCGGAAACCATGGCCGACTCCCATTCGGGACCTCTTCACTGGAGGAGCATCGGGGATTCGGCAATCGCTGCGGAATGCTCGGAGAATGACACAAGCACGCTGATCAGAGGCACAAGTTTTTGTGCTCTGCGCAAAATTCTTTTCTTGAATCAAGTCAAAGTGCCAAATAAATCTGATATCATTCAAAGGCGCAATCGCCAATAAAAAATCTGATTACTTTCATATTCTCCAAAGAGATAAGGGTGGGCATGTGTAATGCATTCATTCCTTTTGTGCGAAGTTCGCGCGAACTTATGGAGTATCGTATCATTTGACTGTCGCATATGGAAGGACTTTACTTGAGTTGCTGACTATGCGCCCACACACACACACGCACATACACACACACACACACACACACACACCGTTGCTTATCTGCCCATTTGTCCGAGTTCGAGCTTGTGCTCAGACTAGTCACTACATCAATCAATCGATCGTGGTCCTAACTGCTCAGCCCTGGCAGATTTGCCTAGGGCGAAGGGATGTCATAGTAACTAATCGCGTTGATTGTAGTGATATCATTGCTCGTAAAATTAACAATGATCATCGATTATAGGTCCAGCACCAGTGGACATTCATAATCACTAGCATCATGTACTAAAGGGAAAGCAATATGCCAACACGGATATATGTGACGTGGTGTTTATCAATCATGAACAGTCTGGGATAACATGAACAAGGTGAAAATGATATTATTCTGTACAACTCTGGTTATTGTGTACCAATCCATGATGGGAGCGAATTAATTGTTGTTTGTATCTCTATCTATTTGGGAGGGGGTTTTCCCCTTGAAAACATTAACCGATCATATCCCTTTGGCATTTGTGAAGACCCTCCATAATTGTATGTGATAGGAAACGACATAGCCGCACAGAATTTGACTTCATGATTTGCAGCACTCAGTATTGGTAACTAGGGTTTGGTACATAAACACGAATCTTTCCTTTGTAGCTGCTACATTAGGACATGAATTGATTTAAATGTGATAAGAAATCAACCTATCAGTGCAAGACACCCGTATCAATAGTTGAAACTCTCATACACCATCTTCTCCCCTTTGAGCCACGACGACAGATTCGTCATGAGCGCCGTCCCCGTGCAGCAGTAATAAGTCCGCCTCCCCTTCTCGCCCACTCCAAGCAGATCCTCGGCACTGAGCCGGCGTTGTACAACTACAGCCCCGGCGCCCTTCAAGGTATCGGCCCAACCGCGAGTCTCCTCCGTCGTCGCCGTCCCGGTTACAAAGAGTGTCGTGGCAGGCCCGAGTCCCTCAATCTCTTCAAACACACGGATCGCAAGTGGTAGGTCCTCGGCCCGGAGACTCCAAATGACCCGTAGGTCGCCAACACCAGATTGGAGAACCGCTTTGGCCTGGGCCATGAGCGGTGTGATGCCGACGCCGCCGGCGACAAATATGCTTTGAGTTGCCGCGGCATCGTCATTGGCCCCGGCGTTTTGGATGACCTCGATCGGCAGTCTGAAACCCTCGCCGCCACCAAACCCAAGGACTGGCAATTCCAGCGGCACGCGCAAGTTCCATCTCCATAGTAGACCGGTGGCCGGTCCGTGTTTACGGGCCGTGATCTGCATTTCCGGGTCCTTGTCATTCCCGCTGTGGGGAGCGCTTACTGTAAAGGTTCGCACAAAGTCATCATTGAGACTCTGGGGATCTCCGTCATTCATATGGGACCACCCGCGGTCGAGCTCCGGCCCAAAGTCAAGAGTGACGTGCTGTCCTGGCAGCCACCATTGTTGTTTTCCTTCTTCCTTTATACCACTAGTACCATTTGATGGAGCCGCCGAGTTCATATGTAGCTTAAACACAAAGCGGGCAATCGTGGGCGTGATTAGGTCCCTGCTCTTCAGCGTCGCCGTTGCCATGGCATCGGATCCTGCGTCGCCGGCGCCGACCGGGTCCTGCTCCGTCAGCAGTCGGCGCACCGGTGGGTTGTATGGCGAGTAATCAATCACGTCCCCGCGAAACGGCAGACCATCCTGGACGAACCGGGCCTCGTCAATCTCGATCTTGACGGCGAGTTTGGTGCGGGGAAGGTAGGCCGCCGCCTTGTCGCCAAAAAGTGTCGTTGTCCGTCCCGTCAAGTAGAGCACGTTGCCGGTCTGGAAATCAGGCACGACAATCCCGGCCACTGGGTCCTTCTGGAGGTTTCCCAATGTTTGGTAGAGCCGATTTCCTGAATACTCTGGATAAACGAGCGTTACTTCATTCGCACTGTTACGGAACAGCCGCATGAAGCCCGGGGGGCCGCCGCGATGGTTCACATCCATGTTTTCATCGCCGTGTTTCGACGAGATGAAGAACAGATCCGCCTGGGCCAATAGATCAACAGCCTCTAGAGGCAAGGGGAGACCGGATCCCTCACTGAGAAGCACAGGGCGCGGCGAATGTGGCGTGATGTGTTTCTTGTTTAGATATTTCGGGCAGTTACCCAAGGACTCCTCGACCTGAAGCGCCATCTGGAATGCGCCCAATCCAGCATCTGTCCTGCTGGTCACGGCGCCGGCGACGAAGCGACCGGAGAGTTTCACGCGGTCGCGGGTCTCGAGATCAATCGTCAGTGCTGCCATTGGCTTGCCTCCTTCTGGCTTGATGACTCTCTCATCCACGATCTTTCTATCCAAGGATTCATCGTCTGTAGCTGCGAATAGTTCTTGGAACACAGGATCAAATCGAGCGTCAGCCTCCGTATTGGTCCCAATGAACCCCTGTGCAATTGGCCGACAAAATCCAGCTTCACCTCCCCAGATGGTTGTCCACGGCCTCCCTTGTTGGTCAAGCGTCCCGAAAGCAACGAGAGGAGAGTCTATGATACGTTTGTAGTAATGCGGTCCCAATCCCGGATAGGTAGGATTATCACGTTGTGGTATGCGAAGAAAATTATGGATTTCATGCTCTCCGGCATGCCAGTGTATTTCCACCCCAGGTCGAGACATTGCGGTTCGTGAGAGATGCCCAATTAGAGAGGTATCTATTGGATCGATCAAATACGACACGATAAACCCTGGGTCGGTTCGGCAAATAAATGTGCAAGTATTAATGGTTTCCAGTGGTGGACGTTTTCAGGACGGTGAGATTGGAAGACCATGTTTATATATTTGTGCCATTGAACTTGCAACGCTCTCAGAATGGAAGAAGGGCGTGGCCTCCTGATTTCACAAGTAGAAGGACAGCACTTGGTACGTTTGGTCATTGAACTAAGCAGCGCACGCAATTGTGGCCATGAGTAACGGTACTGCCAGAAGTAGAAAAGCTTACCCCCCAGACAAGATTACACTATCAATACAGGGCGTTCATGCATCTGTAAAGCGACGACATCATGACAAATAAAGTGCAGAGCGAAGGGCGTGTAGAATAAAAGTGTGGGGACGGGGAATCGGTGTCTGAGAGCGGCGTTTGAAAGGGCCGCAGTGTTAAATAGGCCCAAAGGTTGCATGTAAGCCATCATTTGTAATTGAGCTCAGTAAATTGAGCTTTCTCTCGTGTCAATTTGATTTCGAAATGTCGCGAGAGCACCGAAATACTTCATGTCGAGTTTTGTATAGCAAAATATATCAATGTATTTTCAGTATCAAAAAGTATCATGTGCGTCTCCTGGCTTTGCTTTATAACGTGCCAGTGCGTCGGTTCTTCAAATTATTGCAATTTCCTCCTCAATCGAATGGGTATATATGCGCTCAATCTCCTGATACTACCTCCTCCATCCCTCTATGAAATCACTCCGAGTGGCCAACAAATGAAAATGAGATAGCTCGATGTCATTGCACTCTAGGCAATTCTTCCTGAGCTGTAACGAAAGTTTCTAGCGGGGGTCGCTCGCTGTGAGTCAAAACACCGCCAACCATGATCGGTGGCACTGCCTCGAGCCCGTTTGTTTTCTCGACCACTGGCGTCAAGGCCTTCGGTGTCCCTTCTGGACTCAGGGATCGCGGAGTTCCGGCAGTAACAGGTTCCTCCTCGACCATATCCTCTGATGCGGGAGCCTTGGGACTGGACGGTCTAGGTGTCTGGACACCTGCTGCCTCGCCCAAACTTGCTTGCTCAGCGGGTTCACTGGAATCTGCAGATATGATGGCAGCGGCCCCGCTCAATGGTTGTTCTGTCGGAGTCGGGCTAGCAACTCGAGAAGGCCCACCGTCCACATAAGATGTAAGTGTAATCATGCTTGCTGTCTCGGCTTCCTTATTCAAAGTGAAGGGTACTGCAATGCCTTCAACCATTGGCCTCTTTCCCGTAGCCCCAGTATCTGGGCGCTGATAATCAGGGGTGAGAAGACCGTCGCCTGGAGCATCCTGGGTGTTTTGATCATGGCCAGCCGTCCGCATCGCCATCAGGCTAGCAAGTGGCGTGGTGTCCTCGGTGACAACACCATCCTGCTCCGAGGTTTGATGCTGATCTTTGACCATACGCCGTCTTGAGGGACTACGACTGGCAGAGGTTTCTGGTCGCGTCTGTTCAGTCTTCTTCTCCTGCTTCGCAATGTCTGCTTGAGAACGAGCACCAGTACCCTCGGCCTCGGTCGCCGTCTTCATTGCTGGGGCCTTGTCGGCCTTCTGCTCTCGGTTCATGGTCATCTCGTCATGCTTCGATCCCCACAATGACCAAAGGGCAAGACCCATACTCTTACGCTTCTTGTGATCAACCGTCTCATGGCCTGGCCTTCTTCGTCCGGCAAGAGCACTTGGCGGTGGAGTTTCTCCGTCGAAATATTCATATCCGGCCAACATCTCCTTGAGCCGTTGCTTGTGGATCTTGGCGCGAGCGCTGCTAAAACGCGTATCCCACTGGGTACGGGTGATGAGCCATTTCCTAACAGGGCCTTCCTTGATGACACCAATATCACTAGGTGACATGTTGCACGCAACAAGTTCTTCTTCTGAAAGCAGTGGCGTGACGGTTCCATGCCTGCTGATTTGCTGCCTGATCATGTGATCCTTGAAGGGGGGCAGCTCATCACCTGCCCGGCCGATTGCTGGTGTGCGAAGTGTGCTTTGATGGACTGGTTGCTGTGATGGTTTCCTGGAAGGACCTCTGGATGGTCCGTCACTGTTAGATCCGGAGCTCGAAATCACAGAGATTTCATCATCATCCAGGATATCAATCTCGGTGTGCTGCGCCCGTGCCAATGCCCATGCGCCAAATTGAGCAATAGCTCTGTACATGAATTTGGCAGGACGAGTGAAACTCAGGGTTGGTGCGACATGGCACAAGTCATCCCATACCTGTAGTTGAACATCGGTGGGTTTAAACTTGGCAAGTTGTTCCTTTGCGCGATCGTCCATCAATGATTCTGGCAGTGTGTATTTCGTGGGGTTTGCACATTTGTGCGCCAGGTAAATCTGCTCATCTCTGAGGATTTCTCCGCCGCCAACCATAATGAGCAGAGGAGGCAATCCACCGAGAGTCGGCTGCATAATAGGGCTGACCATCGGGTGTGACAGCAGCTCATTTGTGGTATACATCTAATATCAGATTAGTGACACGTATATTTTCAGCATAGATTGTAATTTGCATACCTGAATTTGATCCTTCAGCTGCACAACCTGCCCATCGAGTTCGATGGACAGCGTTTCGGACTGATTATACACTTCTGCTTCAGCAGACCGCCCAGCAGCCTCAGTATTCTCTGAGTTTGCGGTACCATTCCGGGATGAAGGAGCCTGGGATCGGCGTTTCATGTCCACAGTCGCGGGCTTCATCAGCTTGGTGTGACCAGGTTTGGTATTCTTTGCAATTTGTTCCCGAAGCAGAGCATGTTCCTCGGCGTTTAGTGGCGGCCATGCCTTTGATGGTTTGTGATGAAATCCATTCTGCGGTATGTAATCGAGCGGCGCCTCGCCAGCCACACTGGGAAACGAGTGTGTCAAGTCAACCCATGGGCTGATTAGGATGGCACCCGCGGGCAACGGCAGTCCTCTGTCCCTAAGGGTCACCAACATGCTCATAACCATTCCTCCTCCGGCAGAGTCCCCTGCCAGTATAATTGTTGTTGGGTGTTGAATCGTCAGTAGGTATAGATAAGCCGCAAGGCAGTCTTGCAGGCCACAAGGGAAGGGAAATTGAGGAGCTAATCGGTACTTGGGAGCAAAGACTCTGGCCTTTAGCTTGCGCGCGTGTCTCTGCATCTGGTAACGGTGCTCGTCGACTGAACCAAAGAAATATGCGCCGCCGTGAACATATAGCATAACTCTCTTGCCGGGATCGCCATTCTTTTGCCTATCGTGGTAGTCGGATTTCATCTCGATCCATTCGGCTTCAAGGGGAGCCTTGGGCAAGCGCCATTGCCACCATTTTGTGCCGCCGACCAATTTGATGCCTTCGGGACCCAGCTGAGCTTCGATGGCGTTGGCCGCCTCTTCGATCTTATCCAGAGGTATCGTGGCATCGTCGACCTTGACCCATTGAGGATGAGGAACCCATTGTCCTGTAAAGGCTTGAAGATCTTCGACTGTGTGGTGCGATGCAAAGTTGAGGAATGACCGGATCAAGTGTAAGCCCTCATCATAGGACAGATGGGCCGTCGGACGTTCTCTAAGAGGCTTGCGATTGAAATACTATACAAATACAAAAATAACCCATGTCAGTCCGAGAGTCATATGAATGGCGCGATTCCATGGGCGAAGCAGGGATGTCGCCTTGATCTTGTCAAAGACGCGCCTGGCACTCAAGCGAAAACTGGGGACCGCGGATCACGGCACAGAATGTCAATTAGGTAACATACATGAGATAGAAATGTAGACATGACGGTCGGGGTGACCGCCATGCCGACAGTTGCGGTATTCATGGCTGCTGAATGGATTCCCTTGTATGATCTCTGTGTGGGGTATATGTTTCGCTATTGATGTCGCACCCAGGACGAGTCTGAGTCCTTTTCGACTCCCGTCAATGAAAAGATTTGCTAAAGCCGAGACAAGAAAGAATTGAGTGCGATTTCAGCACCAAAGGATTGGAGAGAGAGAAAAAAAAATCAGAAAACAATAACTCAAGCACACGCGATCCAAAGAAAAGGGACTGCGAAACACGACATAACCTCGGGTTGCTCCTGCCAAGGGGATATTGCGCTTTGTCCAGCTTCTGTAATTAGAACTTTGAATTCATTAACGGCAGTTTCACAGATCACCACGTTGGCAATGATGTCATGCTCATTTACTCCAGCTAGACCCCGAACTTTTTAGTGGGCTCACTGTGCTCAAATTGGCCAAGTCGGGTATCGCTGCTGCAATACCTGCGCCTTAGCTGAGAGTCTAGATCTGCTTTTGTCAATATTGAAAGATCTCTCACTCCATCCTTGTCCTTCTGAACTGCTGTCTCTCTTTCGTTCCCTGACCCAAAGAACAAGATGTCTTTATACAAGAATGGGTTTGGAACATGAGAAATTAACAATACATATCTCCTCACATTGGTTCTTATTTGAATTCCTAGGTTGAAATGACCATTTGGAGTATTCGCAGTACGACCGAAATTTGTTCAGGACGGATGTGGAATTGTCATTTCACAGCCTGCTACGCAAAGGGCCTAGCGCAATCTGTTATTAGGGTGGACCAGATCGTTGCCATTCTCTCTTTGAGCGGTAACAGGCGGCAGTAAATTAAATGCTGTGAACATGCACAACTTTTGTACGTCTATTCGTAGTACACTAGTTGCCCCTCCACCACCCCACGACTAAACTCCGACAAAGCCCAAGGCGCAAGATAGAAGAGAGGAGGGAAAAAAAAAAAAAAAAAGTTGCAAGGGTTTTGTCGAGGTCAATCAATAACCAACAATATCAAAATGGCATCGCAAACAGAGCCCTCACCTGGTACGTCAAAAGTTTGCTTGTTTAAACCTGCTATGCTTATACATTTGCATGTCTACATGAACTAACAGATCAAAAATTTTGCAGAGCTCAAGCAGGAAAACTTTGAGCAGTCCGTCGCTCTGACCTTGCATCTCTGGCCGGCTCTTACTCTCGCCGTACAGAACAACTGGTCAGACAATTCTGGCGAGGATGTCCGAGATTGGTTTGCCGGTGCTTTGGTCGAGCTCTTCCCTTCGTTTGTCGATATTGCCAATTTCTCAGCCAAGCTGGCACAAAACAAGGGCCTGAAGCGCCCCGAGAGTCTCGAGGAGCCGTACCTGGAGGATGTCGAGACGAGACTATTGCAGATCATGGCCGACGAGTTCAACGTCGATGTCGACGACGATTCGAGTTTCGAGATTGCGGAACAGATTGTCCAACTCAGAACGCAGTGCACCAAGGGACAATTTGACGAGGTCGACAAGTTGAGAGAAAAGTGGTCAAGTGGCAAGGGAAAGAAGGTTGTCATGAAACAAGCACCTGACCAGGACCAAGATACAGATTGGGAGGATGAGGACGATGATGAGGACGACGACGACGGAGATGTTGACATGGACGATGCACCAGCACTGGTCGCCGCACCCAAGGAGAAACCACAGCCCGAAGTCGATGAAGACGGCTTTACGACAGTCACTCGCAAGAAGAGGTGAATTATACAAGTCTCAAGAATAATCCTAAACAACAAGGATCGGAATATCGAAATCCATGTCCCTGCCAGATACATATATCAACCCTGGCCAAGACTTCGTGCGACAGCTGTCTACAAGACTCCTTTCAACATCCTATGTGCCTTGGCCTAAACGCCCGTCAAAACTCCAGCTCTCAAAATCAGTACCATAGCAGTTCAGTATTGACTTCTACTCCCAGTCCTCTTCGTCGCTATCATCAACCTTGCGAGCCTCTTTCGGGCTGCTAGGTGCCTGACTGGGAACTCCGGACGCAGCACCAACGACATCATAACTAGTATCACTGTCTGCCTGCGACTTCTCATCGTGGGACTTTCGGGGCTCGGTAGGCTTAAGTGTGGCTTGATCGGCAGGTTTCGAAGGATGGATAGTGGTCGAGGACTCGACTGATGCAGGTCGCTGAGGCTTTGTAGAGGGTGCGGCCTCATCCTCTGAGTCCTCATCCCAGCCAACCTCCTCTTCTGCTTCGGCAGCTGTGACCATAATTAGATTGTGTGCAAAATAGAAGACCAGGAGGACGGTATTTCCAACCACTTACCCTTGAGCAACTCCCTACGTCTCTCTTCAGCTGCCTCGACACTGTGTCTCAGGAAATAGTACCTCTTCCAGAAATCGGCGTAGGGCACTGTGCTTGGGACTAGCTTTTCCATGGTAGCTCTGAGCTCCGGATACTTTGCAAGATCTGCACTGATATCCTCAGTCTTGCCGTCCAAATCGAAGTCTTTAGTCCAGGCGGTGAACTCGGCACTTGCCGGATCCTTTGTGAAGCTGTCGGCAGTTGTGTGGATGACGTGAAGTTGAGCATCATATCTGCTTGTGTGAATGACCCTCTTTCCGCTGGCATCCTTGCTCTCGAACAGTACAGTGCTTCCTGCCTGGGCCTCACTCCCGGCTGTGGGTGGCGCAATTTTGACAGCGTCTTTGAGAAAGTCGCGGATGTTAGCCCCAAATTTCAACAAAGCTTCATCAGCTGCGTCTTCGGCCTTTTGAATGTCCTTGAGTCGCTTGGCTGCTTCAGCCTTGAGTCTTGAAATGACCGTCTCCGATTCCTTGATTGCCTCATCGGAGGTCATATCCTTTGATACAGTAGGTGTAGAGGCGGCATCCTTGTCCTTCTCTGTGCTGGACCCAGCCGCCTGAGGGGTGTTGGCGAGCGAAAGAGATCGAGTACGGTTGATCAGGGACGTGCCTGCACGGGCGGCATCGGCACCCAAGGAAGTGAGCTCCTGGGAAGCCTCTCGGTATACGGATTCACCCTGCCAGACAAAGGTTAGAAGTCGGTTGACTTGCGCATGCGCCACAAAGCATTCCCCCTGTTGTTCTTTACCTGCTTGACAACGTTCCCAAAGAATCCACCCAGCTTGGTGCCCCAAGCACTTGTTGAAATGGCCTTGTAAGCCTCCTGGACCTCCTCATTCAGCGTTGGCTGCTGCTTCTGCTCGCCCTTGTCGGCGTTGGATCCCTGCTCATTGTCCTTGGGCAGGGCATCGGCGGCAATTTGATCATAGGCAAGATCCATGGTCGTCGCTTGTGCTCACGGGGAGCGCGCGCAGGTTCAGTTGATCTTGCTATCGTCGCGCGTGGTGCGACGGAGTCAAAAGGGGCAAAAGCGCGGCGTCGATTCAAATGCACCTACACTAACAGGAGGTGAAGTTGATTATGATGTGCTGCGAGGTACGTCAGAGGACGGCTCATATGGTTGGTTGGCTGGGTGCTCCTCCCTATCGTTGTCACGCAACCTCTGCTGTCTCTGGTCCGGAAGCTTGTCCCAGGTTGCCAGGCGGGTCGAAACCATGCCAAATGCGGGGCAACTTTGAACTGCGCAAGTCAGGGGTCTTCTCGGTGCTAGAGGGGCAGTCCCCCGTCTTGCTATTGACCTGTTGCTACATTATTTACTACATTGATAAATAGCACTTCCACAGGCATGGACTGGGTTCCATGTCATAATTGAAGCTGCTTTTCTTGTCGACATCATCAACATCTTCATGTCGAAAAGTGGGAATAGTAAACTTTGCTGTCATTAATTTCACAGTACATGAAGTATTCTGAAGAATAATATACTAACAAATTCAGCCTAATTCCTGGCAGCAACAACTTAGTCCTCGGCTGTTTATTAATCGAAGCACACTGTAGATTTTGAGATGACCACCAAGACAATCTCGAGCTGCAGGACTGATATGACGAGACCGAATCACCTTCATGCGCCAACATAGGTACTGCGAGAAACCACGTCAAATCCAGGAAGTGTAACATGGAACGCATCTGACAATTGCCATCCGGAGCCAGAGGACCTATAGTAAAAATTATATCGTGTATCTTTCCGATTAATAATGGGCACATATATACATGAGTCCTAAATAGACACCATTTATTCTGCACTGAATCACTAGAACGAGCTAATTGACTGAATAAGTGAAATCAAATGGCTGATAAGATGGATATTGAGATGTAGTATTATATACCTATTCCTGGTAAAGATCCCGGAATACTCAAACACATGCTCGGCCACTACCGAGTCCGAGGTAACCGCAAGTCCCGATCCGAGCCCGCAAATCAAACGGGTTTTGCAATCCTGATAGCGAACATGCTCAGAGTATTATTTTCAAAGTATTGGATGGTAATGTCGTTGATTCAATCTCCTCTTCAGCCCCCGTGGCCCCCACGGCTTCGTTTGCCTTCCAGCCTGCGGCGAAAAAAAAGTAAGCACTAACTAATTGATGGCGACAGACCTAAGTTGCCTAACAAGATGGCTCCGACGATCTGATATGCAGACAAGACTGTTGCTACTTCAACAGCTGTACTGTACAGATCAGATGGAGAGAAAGCACCCTTACGAGCCTGCTCAAGCGCGTGTCATCGATACCTGATGCCTAGGTAACCAACGTCCGCATCGAGTGCTGAACACGATATCAGATACGTATGCTCCTCCAGAGTCGCTTGACAATTGCAGCGCCAACAGCCGCTTTCGAAACATTGTGTCGATGAGAATCTGCTACCTACCTTTGGAGCAAATGAGCTGCTTTGGGGGAAGTGGTTTAAGGTTTGCCACATTGTTGCAAGGCTTTGGTTCTAGATTTGTCGTTACAATATTGGCTTCAGAGTCTTTTGCACAATGCATGGTGCTGGGAGTCTGAGACCAATAAAACATTAGAATGCTCAGGTGGGTTGCATCAGTACAGTATACTACGGTGTCGGGGTTTACATTGCTCTTAGCCCCGAAACTGAGTTCTAGATGATCGTCATGCCACCGCCGGCCAAATTCACATTCCACGCCCCGTCTGAGGGTAGATAGCACGATAGGTACCAGGTCATTGGAGTACGTATCCAGTGGACATGCGGGTCTCGCGATAAGAGTCAGACAGAGTCGGAGTCAGATGCCCATGGTTATTATGGCTGAGAGGCAGGAGTCTGCTGAGTTGAACATATTCCCGTGGATGAAGAGCCACTGGCATCTCACACTCATCACTTGCCCGGCCCACCCGCGTTCCTTGCATACATCATACAGAACATTCTTACATTGACAAGGGCTTGAGGGCCTTTGGTCGCAGGATTGGATCCCCTACGGATGATGGGCGTGATCACCGGCGATGACTCTCTCTAGGCCTACGCTACGAAGGGCCATGAGCGTAAAACTGGCAAGACTGGACTGGGGCCGTCTGCTGCCGTGGTTTAGGGCAGAAGGGCAGAGAAGAAGCTTGGTCTACCCATGCACAGCCAAGGATGGGAAAAGCTAGAAATCTTCCCAAAACAGCACTACAGAGTATAGAAGAAGACATTTGCCGCGGTAGATGAGGCAGCGGCCTGTTGCCAGACCAGCAAGGACAAGTTAAGAATTGGTCGAAGGGCGCAAACGATGGACGGGTTGTTTCGCGAAAATGAGGGGCAATGTAGATATGGTAGCTGTAGCGCAGGGGAAAGAAGAAAGATACAAGGGTCTATCCATAAACAGAGAGGGTGTGATACTATCAAATTTCACCGTGATCAGTTTTTTTGGACAGCCAATGGCAGGGGAGCCCGAGTGCCTTCTGTAGGCTAGAAGCGTTAGGCCGGCGACGGCGAGTGGCCGAACGCCCTGCCACCTCTTGACTCTTCTCGCGAAATATCACAAAGTGCCTGCACCAGACGACGCTTACAAATCCGAAAAAGGGTCTGTTTCCAATTCTTCTGCCCCCCTCTCTCAGCTTCCCTCTGTCCATCAGCGCCCAGTATTGCAAAAAACTTGCCCGCTACCAAACCTGCCCTTTTTTTTCTGGTTTCCAGTTTCAGTCCACGCTGTCCAGATCTTTCGCTCAGAACCACACCTGCTAGTCACAACAGGGGCGTAGGGTTAAAGGCTCAGGCAGAAAGACTCGAACAAAACCAGGCCGAAAACGCCGCCACCTTCTTATCCACTCGTGCCTGTCCACCACTCAACACTCTGTCTTCTGCATCATACACTGTGAGACCCTTGGAAATCTTTTGAGGACGACGGTTTCTTCTTCTTTTGACTCTACTCACTTGTCTATTGTGATTGCGTACCCATTGTACCTCTAGCAGGACGTCATCCTGCTCTCTTCCAGATCAAATCCGGAGAGCCATTGACGTTTGCATTGGTGCCACTGGGTTGGCTGGCCCGAGACGCCCGTGTCTGATTCACGACACTGGTCTTCAATACCCTTTTACCACTTGCCAATAATCCCATCTTATTCCGGGCATCAACGGGTCGATTCTAGCACTTCGACAAAGCTTTAGCTTCATTGTCGATTTTTTCTTTCTTTTTTCATCAGGTTTCGCCTGAGATATCATTTGGACACCTGGTCTGAATTCGCAACAACCAACACCATTATTCCTAATGGCTTCAGCTTCCACCAACGGCTTGCCGCCGAATTTCATTCTCACCCCTCAGCAACAAGCACTGCTTTTCCGTGCTTTGACGTCGAATCAACCAAACAACGGCTCGCCCCAGACAAATGGGCTCTCCTTGTCTCCAGCGTCACTAGCAAAGTCTCCGGAACAGCCCGGAGCCAATGGCGCCCAGGACAGTCCCTTCCTCGACTATGACTATAGTTTTGGCCCCGATTCAAGCGGCTTCGATTTTGATATCGGCCTTGATCAATCCAGCACAATGATTGGTGATCTCCCTGGTAAAACACCAGGAAGCGACAAGACTGGTGGTAGTAGCGACAAGGGCACCTCTCCAGAAAATGATATTCATGACAAGAGAAGTCATCCAGATGATGACGAGGATGAGGATAAAGAAGAAGGCAACGCAAAGAGGCGTGAGAGTGAGGGTAAAGTGCCGAAAAAGCCTGGCCGCAAGCCGCTCACGAACGAACCAAGCTCTGTAAGTACAATGACTTGTTTCTCTTAATTTTCACTTTTAAAGAACGTCACCTCTAACCAATTGACAGAAACGCAAGGCTCAGAATCGTGCCGCTCAACGTGCCTTCCGCGAGCGAAAGGAACAGCATTTGAAAGATCTCGAGACCAAAGTCCAAGAACTCGAGAAGGCATCCGAGGCAACCCACAACGAGAACAGCCAACTTCGCGCCAAAGTTGAGAAGATGACCACAGAACTCAACGAGTACAAAAAGAGATTGAGTCTCGTCAACAATAGCACGCGCCCGGCTGCCACTAATAATCGGGGTCAAGTTTTTGGTTCAAACTTGGTCAACAACTTGAATGATGTCAACTTTCAATTTGAATTTCCCAAATTTGGAGTTCTGCCAGGCCCTACACAAAAGGCCGGCAGTCTCAATGGCCGTTCACCCTCTTTTCCCTCCCCATCAAACAGCTTTAGTACGCAACCGACTCCGTCGTCGGATAGAGCAGACGACAAAGCTACCCCCAACTCCACCAAAAGCTCTGAAAATTTTGAGTCCGACAGGGAGGCCTTGGCCAAGTTTGCTTCCATCATCAATGGCACCCCCAACTTGGATGGATTTTACAATAATGCCTCGAGAACCAGTCTGGATTCCACCAACTTTAGCATAGCCGGTACCAACTCTGGCTCACCATCGGCCTCATCAAACTCCAACGCTGGTGGTCCCAGTTCATCTTGTGGAACCTCACCGGAGCCCTTCACTCAATCGCCTGTGGGATTCAAGCCCGTTGATACATTGACCACAATTGGGGAAGAACAGCCGAGCCATCTTGCAGGTGCTCCTGCTCCTGGCGACCATTTCGATTTTGGCAATTTTGAAGTCAACAACTTTGACTGGCTCGCGCAGCAGAATGGTGGTCAATTTGATCCCCAATTGTTCGGTGGCTACAGAGAGCCCCAGGACAACATTCTGGCCACTGCCACGTTTGATGATACCTTTTTCAACGAAGCATTTGACGCAGATTTCACCACACCGTTCAATGTGGCACCAAGCCCCAAGGTGGCGCCAAAGAAGAATATTTGCACAGAGATTGACGAGCGTAAGGAGGAAGAAGACACCATTATCACTTCTGTCAATGGCAAGCTGCTTACTTGCAACAATATCTGGTATGCCGAAACATCATACTTGCACAGACCTAGACACATACTGACAACTCGTTCTAGGGAACGCCTGCAAAATTGCCCCAAGGTTCAGGCTGGTGACATCGACCTGGACGGTCTTTGCTCGGATTTGCAAAAGAAGGCAAAGTGCGGCGGCACCGGCGCTGTCGTAGATGAGAAGGATTTCCGTGCGGTCATGTCCAAGCATCTCGGCCCCTGCCCAGATGAAAGTAAATGAGTATGGAGCAGATGAAAAGAAAATCAGTACGGCTGAATGGCCATTGCTGTCAATGTTTACGGTTTTGGGTTCAAAGAATGGCGTTTTTAGCAGACGGGATCGACAGATCTCCACACTTTGACTGCTTGGAGCTGGTTACATCGAAGGGGGCGGAAAGCTATGGGATCGCAGGCAATATGATGTCTCTCTTTTGAAAGCATTGCCTGCTGTTGCGGTTCGGATCAACACAGATTACACGGTTATTGCATGGGATTGGTAGTTCACATATATGATACTTCTTTGTTCTATAAGTCAATCAATGAGACAAGAATTAAATTTGGACTGACCAATCTCTTTAACTAACTGTTTGGACATGATGCACTTGTGACGTAGGACAGTACCTTGATGTAGATGAGCTTGAATGTTATAGAGTTGATTGAACCTTTGCCAGCTGCCTGGTTTTGCTCGACCAGCTGCGCAACCTTGAACCAAAGAAGGCGGCGCCAGTGGGCCCGGATGGCTAGTTCAAGGAACGACCAGTCACCTCTCCTTGATGATTCAATCATTTCCCATTTTCTCTCCAGACAACGCATTTCTACAGTAACCAAATTGAGCCGGGCGCATTGTGTGTGTACTACGTTGCTGAATTTGACTTGTCATGTTCTCCGTTTGTCCAGCGACAGCAGAGCGAAGACATTCATTTTGACATAAGAACGACACCGCTTTCTGCCAAATCCATGACAATGTACAACCCGAGCGTCTCTAGAAGTTTTCGTTTCAAGATTTGCACAGATCAAAGACTGGCCGCTTTACACACTTGATACTTTCTTTTTGGTCACCATTCCTGAGCTTAGGAAAACAGTAATTATTGCCACATCGTGTATTCCATAGCCCTTACTTCGGCGCGAAACGGAACACTTTTGCAATATGGGGGAGCCGCTCCAGCGGCTTATAGTGAGTCCCTTTTCCACTGATAAACCTTGTATAGTTCTCGGCGACTAAAGTGTCTCACAGAACGAGTTCAGCTCGCTGGTTGATGAGGCCCTCATTCTATCACTTTGTTCAGATTTTGACCTGAACATTGCCTCTGAGTTTCAACAAGCTAGGCAAGCCTTGATTGTGGTATCAGCCGACGTGCCCTTGGAGGAAGCCAGCGGGTTCAATGCTAGTGGCCTAGGGGATCGCGTCATAGACATCAATGGCAACCCGCAAGCTGAACCTAGCGAGGCTGGAACCGCTCTATCTGGAAGCGACACACGGAGTCCTGATGGAGTTACAACTCCAAGCGAGAGATCCTTGCCACAAACTATCTTGTCTACCGGCTCTTCCCACACTTCTTTTCAAGAGTCCCAGGGACCAACCCGCTTCAGCCTATATGATGGCCTGACTTTTGAGGAGAAGGAAATCAAATTGCGTGAAGTATTCACAGAGCTCAAGCCAATCGACATTACCCTGGCACTGAGAAAGTTTGATGGCGACGCAGATCGTGCCGTTGATGTCTTGCTTACAACATCTCATTTAGAGCAATCTGGCCAACGGCCCAAGGGAATTGATGGGTTTTATGTAGACGATGAAGATGCCGTTCTTGTGAAGAAGAAGAAGAAAGGAAAGAAAAAGAAGCCTGCGGTCCGTGGTACCAACTCACCGGATCCGAGTGCGCAGAGTAACTTAGGCGAGCCAGCCACGGCAGAAGTTCATGAACGTAAGTTTTGAAATCCTCTGTCGATCTTATTGTCCGATTTATTAAAAATACTAATTAGAGACAGGCAATATCAGGTACCTGGCCGACCGCCTCCCATTTAGTGAGTCCGAGGTAGAGTATGTCTATTGCGAGAAACGTCAGTCCATGGGAGCTGCACTTGTTCAGATCCTGGATAATTATATCGCCATTGACGGCGAGGCACTAGCGAAAGCCCGAAACTCGGCTTCGGATGACCAGGGGAAGAAATATCCCTGGGTTCCTGTGATGTATCTTACGCCCACGTTCTGTCTGGCTACGAGCCGGCAGAATGCCGAAGATCTTGTCCAAATCCTTGCGGAGTATTACGAGAAACCGGCCTATCTAAGATATAATATCTCGTACAACATCTCAGGGCCCAAACTAGAGCTCGTTACCACCGACAGCAGCTCAAGCAAGACATGGGTGGCGGTTGGACGCAAAACCCCAGTCTCACCAGGCCTGTACCAGTCGGGTGTTTCCTCTCCTGCCTCTGGCCTCAGCTTAAGTTCTTTGGATCTACAAGATAAGCGCAGCCACTCGTTCCAAGCTGCCAGTGCTGCGTATAGGAAGGGCGGCTTGCTCCGCGGAGCTGCAGCCGTCTATGCCGATAGGGGCCGGGAGTTGACCCAGGATATGCACTATGCTCGAAGTAGCGAGGCGGCCGCCTATGTCGACCAGCGTAGCCGGCCAGACCACATTGACCTTCACGGCGTCAGGGTACACGATGGTGTCAATATTGCCCTAGGTAGGGTACGCCAATGGTGGGACTCTTTAGGCGAGGAGAGGGTCCGGAAGGCCAAGGCCGGCTTCACCGTCGTCACCGGCCTCGGCAGGCACAGCGCCGGTGGTGTATCCCAGCTCCGCGTCAACGTGTTTAAGGCGCTCGTTGCCGACGGCTGGAAAGTGCAGGTGCTGACGGGCGAGATGCTGGTAACCGGTCGCAAGTGACCATATCCTGATCTCGCTCTGTGCCTCTGCAATCTTCACAATCTCAAGAAATTGCAGACTTGCTTTGAATTGCTTGGGTTATCGAATTTCCATAACGTGGAATTTTGACTCGACTAATGATAGAGCGAAATATATTTTGAATCGTATGGATAGATGTCTTTTCAGGGATCAGAAGCTGCTAGAGACCTATTTAAAGCCATATGTTTTTGCTTCAAACGCAACTTTCCATAGCCAGCTTGAATATAATGCAAAATCTTGCATAAGTAAGTAGGTGATCGATTTTGGCCAAAACTAATCTACAAAAATCGGTACTCTGTAATGTTCCTGCAGCTCCCTTGTATAAACGGGGTATTGGTAATTTTGAGTATACATTTATGGATACAAGATTCTCGCGTATAGTACATGTCTTTCAATGCCTTGTTTGAGCATTTTCATAGCAGATCCTTTTGAGGCTACTACTGGGCCTCGCTGCTTGTAGCGGGAGAAATGGGAAGCAGGAGATGCAATCCGTAGAGCTTGGGCTCATTGGCGTCCTTATTTGTTCCAGGACCCCTATTTCATTGTTGTTCAAAGCCTTGATTGGTAACGTGGCAATGTTGGTTCGTAGGACTGTAGGAATGTGATGGCTTAGTCCAGGCCGTTCTCGTCCTTCCACCTCTCCAGATACAACTGAGGGTCGCTGGGACCGCGAGCGTAGCCCTCATACTGCCCTCTCGTTCTCTGCACCTTGTTCGTTACAAAAGGGCTCAGCTGCGGCAAGAAATAGTTAGTATTGACCATGCCACGGTCTCCGCGAAGCTGTTTATGCGTGGACTGGGGGAACCGTTTCCTTACCTTGAAGCTATCCATGCCCTCCGGTACGACATAGGTGCGAACCTTGTCCCATTCAATGATGTATCCTCCGAATCTGGTGTGTCGACCCATGGAACCTGTCCTGTTTCCCTTGTAGAAGCCCTTGTTGATGTCCTTGGTGGTGAGCGGCAGCTTGCGGAACTTGCGCGTGAACTTTTCCCGCGCCTGGAACATGAGTCTCGTGGTGGGCCACATCTTTGCCCTTCTCCTCCCGGGTCGGCACAAAGGTCTTTCTGTTGTACCGATTGTTTTGTGTGTATCGGAAAGAAGGCCCAAAGTGGTTTGTCGCGTGTCTGTTCAGCACCTCGAATCGAAGCAAACTGGCGCCTCTTCAGAGCTCGAGAATTCTTGACAGGGGTCTTTGGCGCAATTGAGGTTCTGGTTCTAAGCAGTTGGCCGATAAGATAACGGAAATGGCTCCACTTAAATTTCCAATTGCCCCGCCGGACCGTGGCCCAGCAAAAAAATATCGATGCGACCCATTTCGCTGTGCCTATGATCCAGACGGTTTTATTGAGAATTACACTGAAGCTGGCCATGCCTACTACTGGGCTAATTCTGTGATTGCCAATCTCTAACACTTGTTGGTGTCTCTTGACCGGATATTTGTCACTTGTACTACTGGGCCGAAAATTTACTTTTTCATTGTACTAGATTACCAACCAGAATGCCCGGTCGTCAATCTCATGGCCGTTCATTAATGGGCGGCGGCGGCGGCGGCGGCTCCGGCGCTGGTCCTAAACGACGACAGCAGAAGCAAAAGTCCAAGGCCAAGTCCCGCGCCCAGGATGCCTTCTCCATCGCCAACAAGGAGCTGGGCGGCGACCGACACAAGCTCACGCCGCGAAACCGAGAGCTCGACGCCGATCTGAGCACGGGCAAGCGCCGGCGCGGCCACGCTGACGACGATGAAGACGACGAGGACGAGGATGGCGAGTCCGACGAAGACGATGGCCCTCCCAGAAAGCGCGGCCGCGCCGGCCAGGATCAGAATGGTGATGACGTCGAGTACGGCAGCGACTCGAGCGGCAACGAGTGGCGCATTGGTGTCGGAGATGATGACGATGATTCCGACATTGACTCTGACGAGGCCTTTGGCGAGAGCGATGACGAAAAATTCCAAGGCTACTCCTTTGGTGGCAGCCAGAAGAAGGGAAAGAAGAGCAAGAAACAAGACGACGATGACGACGAGGAAGACGAAGACGACGATTTAGAGTCTCTGGGCTCCGACGCAATCGACCTAGCTGACGCCTTGGATATGTCCATGTCAGATGATGATGACCAGGGAGACGCCGAAGAAGACGAAGACTCTGACGAGGATGACTCGGGCTCCGAAGAGAGCGAAGAGTCTGATGAGAGCGAGGATGATGTTTCTGAAAGTGGCGTCAAAGACTGGGTCAACAAATTTTCGGGTGTTGCTGAGGATGAAGACGACGAAAACACAGGTCCGCAGAAGTCCAAGATTGATCTTCAAGACCTTGGATTACTAGGTGGCCTGGATCCTTCTTTGAAGAAATCCTTGAAGCTCATGTCGAAAGAGGAGAAATCATCAAAGCCTCAAAAGCTCGAGGTTCCATTGGCAAGACGCCAACAAGCTCGTCTGGACAGAGCCGCTGCCTACGAACAAGCGAACAAGACACTTGACCGGTGGAACGAGACGGTGAAGCAAAACAGAAGAGCCGACCACCTAGTTTTCCCCTTGGCGCAGACCGAGACTGGTCTTGTCAGGCATGACAACACCGAAATCGCCCCTCTGGATAGCAAGACGCCAGGAAATGAGCTTGAACAGACTATCATGGGTCTGGTGGAAGCATCAGGATTTGCGCCCAAGAGCGAGGAAGAACCCAAGGAATATGTTGACGAAAATGGCGAGCCTATTACCAGAAAACAATACTGGGCTCTCAAGAGAAAGGAAAGAGAGCTCAAGTCGAGGGAGGAGGCCCGGGCAAAACGTATCAAGAAGATCAAGTCAAAGGCCTACCATCGTGTTCACCGAAAAGAGCGCGAGAAGAACGAAATCAAGGAGCACGAGGCTCTGGCTGCTGCAGGTCTAGTGGACTCCGAGGACGAGAGAGAACAGAGGGACCGCCAGCGTGCAGCCGAGCGCATGGGCTCCAGGCATAAAGACTCGAAATGGGCCAAAATGGCTCGCAAGGGTGGTCTTGCTGTCTGGGACGACTCCGTGCGCGAGGGCATGAACGATATGGCGCGACGCGATGAAGAGCTACGCAGGCGTGTCGAGGGACGCGGTGATGGAAGCGACGATGACTCTGACTACTCTGGCGACTCGGAGGATGCCGATGATAGGAAACGACTTCTCAAGGAACTTCAGCGCATAGACGAAGACGACGAGCCATCAGGTCCCAAGTCGAAACTCATGAACATGCCTTTCATGAAGAAGGCCGAGAACGCGAGGAAGAAGGAGAATGATGATTTGATTAAGCAAATTCGACGAGAGCTCCTCTCAGACGATGATGTGTCAGAACCAGAGCCTGAAGCCGATGATATTGGCCGGAGGCAGTTTGGTGCACCAGGTGCCAAGGAATCAGGTGTCAAAGAACCGGTTGCTTCCAAGCCAAGAAAGGAGAAGTCCAAACGAGACACAACCGATATACCTATGGTGGACGCCGCCGAAAGCACGGTCAACAATGCCAAAGCATTGCCAGTTTCAACATCGTGGCAAGAAGTCGAGGATGAGACAGCGGGTGCGTGGTCATCAGCTGTACCTTCAAAGCCAGCTCGCAAAGCTCGGAAAGACAAGGCCCACGATAGCAGCGCCAATGTACTGGACCTTGACTCCAGTGCTGCAGTAGTCAAGGCCGCTGAGCCGGCACTGCGATCCAAGTCGGCCAAGAAGCACGCAACCGCACTGGCTGATGATTCTTCTGATGATGAGGACCACCACCTCGTACAATTCCGCGACCAGGATCTCCTCGACAAGGCGTTTGGCGGCCTTGATGTCGTAGCCGAGTTTGAGGCAGAGAAGCACGCCCAGGAAGAGGAAGATGACGAAAAGGTCATTGACAACACTCTTCCCGGCTGGGGCAGCTGGGTGGGCGATGGAGTCTCGGCTCGGGAGAAGAAGAGGCATCAAGGACGCTTCTTGACCAAGCAGGAGGGTATCAAGAAGGACAAGCGCAAGGACGCGAAGCTCAAGAACGTCATCATGAACGAGAAAATCATCAAGGTATGGATCTCTGCACCATTCTATTCACGATTACTAGGAGATTCCATGTGCTAACTCATGATTTACAGAAAAACAACAAGTACATGGCTTCGCAGCTGCCGCATACTTTTGAGAACTCTGCGCAGTATGAACGTTCCCTGAGGCTCCCTGTAGGCCCGGAGTGGGTCACGAAGAAGACGCACCAGGATGCCGTCAAGCCAAAGGTCATTATCAAGCAGGGCATTATTGCGCCCATGGCAAAGCCGCTGCACTAATGGAATATGCGTGGCCTATACATGACCTTGGATACCTACTCATGATTAGAGAAAATGTATATAGACTTTTAAAAACCATAGAGGAGAGTCTCAATGCGTACGGCGATGAATGCAGCATTATCGGAAGTCGTCTCCACGTGAACCATCCTATGCTGATAACACCTGCTACCTGTGCCAACATTCTGTGGCCATTGCTTTCCATGGTGGGCATCTACTGGTCTGGTCTATATGGTTAACCTGGGAGAATAGCGAACTCGGTCAGGCCAAGGTCCGGAAGGTCTTACCTCCGGGATTGATGTCCAATACTAAGCACAGCGTCTTTGTATTACCTACTTAGTATTCTCCAACCAATCCCGTCAAAGTGGAAATTCAGCTCAGTTGGCGTACGTAAATGGACCGGGTCTGGCACCAATCTCTCTCCACGAAGATTTTCGGGAACAATGCAAGCTGGACTATATACTTGCAAGACATCCGGCGCCAGTGATGCAGAACCAGGCATGGCTTGGATCAAACCCCTGAGTTCCTGGCTGGTCTATCGCCTAGTCTTCATAACTGAGCCAGAGTAACCAATAATGAAGAATGCGAGAAGACCTGCAGTCACCCCTGGAGTCGAGCAATGAGCACAAGCAAAGCTACCTTACGAATACCATATCCGTGTGATAGTCCTCAGGCCACATGAGCACCCAAGTTCATTCTAAGCACTGGAGATAACTTGCTTTGTTTCGCACCCACCCTCAGCGGCAAGTGGGCAAGCTCGGCTTGAGTTTCATATATCGGAGCCATGGTATAGATTCCATATCTAATCGAAGCTCGAGGGTAATTGCTGACGCGTCCATGAATTCCCTTAATCTCGCAGCAAATAGAACACGGAATGTGGCACTATGATTCACTGGGGATGGATCTTGAACACTAGAAGGCACCGGTTCTTTACGCGCGCAGTGACCATTTTGGGAACTTCATGATCCTGATCCTAGTTGCCAAGATTGACCCGCCACCACTCGAAGATGATCGGGAAACATATTATTTTCTCTTTTTTAGTCCCATCCCATGGAATTGTGTGATGACCCATGGATTCAGACGAAAATACCATCACTTTGACATGGGGTTTCTCCACCACATTGCCACTGGTACCAGAAACATGTTGACTCGAGTTCTGCCTTGGTGAAGAGACCGTGGCTAAACTTGACATGTCAAAGTGTCGATCTTGAACGAGATGACAGACAGATCTGGCATAGACCTCTCCTAGAATGACCCAAGAATTCCCCGAGTCTTGGTACGAGGAATCTCCTCGGGTACGCGGCCATTAGCAGAGCGGTCTATGCAAGGAACAACAATAATCCCCATGTGCGATTTGCTTGATTAATCTCTAGCCCTCTCTGCTCAGGGATCAAAAGCCAGCTAGCCAGCCTGATAGGGCGGAGATTCCAGGTCAAAAGGTTGACGCCACACGCCGAAGACTTGCATAACAAACGTTTCCCAGAGATCAACCATGATCTAACCCATTACAATAGCTTCCATTTTCCCGGGCGACCGGCTTTCCCAACGGACCGGAAAGACCAACAAACGTCGCCACTCCAGCCTGCCCGGGACGCCATATCCACTGCCCCGGTGAGAAGCGACAATACATAGGTAGGTATATTAGCGGCATTCTTCCCCCCCTATTCTTCTGGGGCAGCCTGGGGTAAGTAGATATGGGGGGGAAGGGGGAAAACGTTGACTCGGATTTCTGGTCTCCTTGTTTTCCTCGAATACTCGGCCGGGTCCTGACACGGACCACCAGAGACCATTGGAAAGATGTAGGTAGCTTTAATCAGAATCTGGATAGTATCATTATCTTCTGGCCTGCCTTCCACGGATGAATAGGTAGGTAGTAGGTATTTTGGCTTCAGCATGGCCAGCGGGAAGGGAAACTCTATTTTTTCATCCCTCTGCCCGGACCCCTGATCTTTTGTTGTGATTTTTCAATCTAATCTCCAAACGAATGCGTGAGTGTCAGCCTCACGCATCGATTGACTATCTGGAGCATCCCCTGTGTGATCAAGATCATCTCGTATATCGGAATTCCTGCGCAACTCATGTGAATGACTCTGTGGTGCGATTCAGACAGAAGCGCCCTCGAATTCCTTCGCTCGAGTAGGTTCGTTGATCAAAGTGCCAACGTCGCTGCATATGACCATTACGTACAGAGGAACAAGTTTCTGCACCAGTCGGGAATCTAAGTTGCATTAGCACCAGCTACCGGCCTCAATTTGGCGCGCAAGCCAAAAAAGAAAAAGAAAAAAAGGGCTGAACTGCGTTTTTGATGCTGGGCGGGGGACTTGGGAGTAAGGTAAGGGTCTCCTCATGACTACAAAGCACATGTTAGCCGTCTCCGTATATTTTGGGCTAGGAGAGGCCAATATTTGAGTGCCTGCAATTTGCGATGTTGATTACGCTTCGGATGAGAGAATTACCAAGATATCCAAGCCTTTAATGAGCTGCCAAGTTTCTACCTAGTTTGTCCTTTCGAGGTGGCAATCTTTGCACCTTGCCAGGCTACGTACCAATTATCTAAGCTATAGAGGATGGACCCCTTCCTACGGGTTCCTAGCTTTTGACGCCGTTGATCACTGGTTCTGGTACACTATGGCTGTCCAAGGAGATTATTTCAGTAAGTCGGAGGGCGTTCCTCGAATCACAACGGAGCCTTGTTCTTGCCCTAGGGCCCTACGGGGGTGGTATAGACGCTCCGGGGTATCAGATCTACGCGCCACAAGACCAGGGACTCGAATCAAGAATGGCTTCTAGGGCAGGACTCACTAGATGAGCTAGTGTCCTTGCTTGGGTGTGTCGCCCTCGTAGGTTGGAGAGAAGGGGTTCATCTAGGTGTGGATGTTTGATTCTTTCTTTACCAGACACCTGGATATATATGCTTACTTCAGTCTCACTTTGGAAACATATGTGAAATCCACGAGGCTCGTCTGAAGAACTTGGCAGCTCTGTCGCCAAAAAGGCATCGATATTGTCCACACTCACTTCTACATGGAACTTTTGTAATTCTTTGTTTTCATTTTCTTCTCCCTCCCTCCTCTCTCTCTCTCTCTCTCTCTTTAGTCTATCTTTGTCTCTCTCTTGCAAAATGTCGAGTTTTGATCAGTCTAGGCGAGGGTTCCTCGTCCCTGAGTGGTTCCAGGAGCAGCCTGTAAGCAGCACAGCCTTGGTCACTTGCTAAACCATGTCTCCTTTTGCTGACTTTTCTTTTCCGCCCCATAAAGGTTACCAGCGATAACATGAACCTTGCCTCAATCTTCCTGGGTCTCTCCTTAGGGGTTGCCTTGTTCTCAGCCAGCAAGGCCTTGAGGCAGTCGTCGCAGGTTTGGAGGCGTTATGGAAGAGTGAATACTTATATCACGAGTAAGTCGCACCATTCTTCTGTGGCTGCGAATTTCTTGTTCCTCTAAGCTCGGCTATCAAGCCAAAGAAGCCATATTGACATGCTATAATCCAGTGATCTGGCTCCATTGGTCGGCGAACATTGCACTCGGATTTATCAACTGGTTCTACATGTGGGGTCAAATCACGCCCAGGTGAGTAAATATGCCAATTCTAGATATCCCAGATGGTGTCGCGGACACAGCTAATTCAATTTGATAATTTCCAGTTTTTGGCTTTGGCTCGGAATTTGTAAGTGGAATTTAATCCCATTTTGACACCAAGTCGAGCACTTTGGTCTTTGAGAAGTGTTTGCTGACACGATAGTTTGATCTCTATAGTAATTGTTTGGGTCGCCCAGACTCAGCTGCTCGTCCAAATCATTATCAACCGTATCGCTTTACTTATGATGGTTCGGTCACACGCGACTCGGTAAGGCTCTTCCAACGCCTCTCAGCAAAAGAAATAGAAAAATATGATGACTGACGAGGGAGGAATCAAGACTAAAATGGTCAGTCGCGGCTCTTATGACGGCTATCAATGTCAGCGTATTCTGCATTTGGATTCCGGCGAGACTGCAAATCAACCAGACTTATATAAACAGTGAGTCCTTTGTTGTCTTTCTTGTATTCTTTCTCTTTCCCTCCAATCGAATTGGTGGAATTTCGCCGTATTTTCTTGGATGGGAGGCTGACCATGCTTTCAAGTCAACGCGGTTTGGGACCGCATAGAGAAATGCATCTTTCTCGTAGTCGACTTGGGCTTGAACATATACTTTATCCGCATGGTCCAAAACCGCCTGATCGCAAACGGCCTCACCAAGTACAACCGCCTCCTCCGCATCAACATTGTCATGGTGGTTATTAATATATCGCTTGATGTGAGGAAACATTTGCCTTTGTTTCGCTGGGGGGTTTGATCGATACTAACTAGCATATTAATTAGATCGTCTTTATCGGACTCATGTCGCTTCCCAACGCCTTGGTGTAAGTAGCATCTTCCCAATTCCATTTCGACAATCGTCTCCCTACCCTTGTACAATTATTAGGGGTTTGCTAAACAGTCTCGATACAGCTATCTCAACTTCCAGTCCTTTGCCTACATGGCCAAGCTACATATTGAAATGAACATGGCCGAGCTAATCGGCAAGGTGGTGCGGGCCTCAAACAATGACAGCGGCGACCGAACCCACTCGACGGACCGCCAATACCGCTACGGCAAAAAGAGCGGCACCGGCGGCGGTGGTGGCGGCCCCAGCTCGGCGGGCAAGACGCAGCGCACCTTTATGGACACCATCAGCCGCGGCGCCGGCCATCACCACCGCACCCACGTCGAGCTCGGCAGCCAAGAGTACGTTAGCGATGCCGAGATTGAGCGCATCCGCGGCGGCGCAGGGGGTGTTGGTGATGCCGACGGCGATGGACATGAGCTCCAGGGTATTCAGCGCACCATTGTCACTCAGGTTGTCCACAGCAAGGCCCACGATGATGACGATGTCGCCAGCGAGAGCACCTCGGAGCGCCACCTTAATGATATTTGCAGTGTCTGAGAAGGAGAACGAAATCGAGAAGTTTTTGATAAAAGAGTGCATTGGCCAAAAACAAAGCGAAGAGACATGGTATTTAGTGTTCATCATTTCTTGAGCCAGCAGAACTGGGCATCTCACATGAAAACAAGTAGTAGGACCGAGTAAGCGAGCACACACAAACAACATCTTGTTTCTTGTTATAGATACAACTAGATAAATAGAATTTTAATACTTTCTATTGGTAGCTTGGGCAATTCATCGCTGGAAGAGAACAATCGGTCCGCAGGGAACGATTTAAACGATACCAAGCCAAATTGCAAAGATCTTAGAGATCACGTAATAAACCATGGATCTACATACTGTACAATTCATTCAGTGAGACCCACACCATGTGATGGAAGATTTACGGAAACAGTAATACACATTAATTCGACTCATTGATATTGAGAAGATATGGTGTCTAAACGGGAACGAGTAGGTTAAGCTACTCACACAATACACTGCCAAAATTGACTGGTCATAATGATCAATGCATTACCGTGACGTCATGAGGTTTAACTAAACCAGAAACACAAATATCGTGACGCTAATCTTCACGTCACTCAATCGTTCGATATGAGAGTCCTTCCTTACTTTCCACGCCAGCCTGTATAACCAGCACGCTGGCCCTCAAGCCGCTGAGCACAAACTTCTCGCCCAGGACACCGATCGTCTTGCTCATTTCGCCCTCGCCTATGGTGGCAGTCAATGAGGCGTGACGCCGCCCAGCAATGATGATGTCACCGGCGTTGCGCGGATTCTGACCCGTCTTCTCCTTGGCGAGATCAATTGCCTTGGTCAGCGCTGAGCTGGCGGACACGAAAGTCTCGGTGAACCTGACGCGGCTTGCAATATGTTCCGGCAGCGAAGACTGGACCGTGGATATGAGAGACGCGTCTTGGGCAGTGACTTCAGTTCTAATGGCCTCCTTGGTTTCTGCCGAAGTCTCGGCTGTTGTGATTTCTTCCGAATCCGTTGTCCAGTTGAGGTGTGCGATGGTGACGCTGACAAGAGGGCTTTTTGCAAGTTGAAGGACAAATTTCAAGGCAGCACGGTCATCCTCTCCACCAATAAACGGGAAGAATACATGATGCGATTTGTCCGCCACTGGTTGGTGGGCAGCCTCCCGTCGCAGGCTGCGCAGGGAGACACCACTCTTGGTTCGCGGTAGAGTCGGCCGCGTCTTTTCAACAGGTGCAATGCCGCTGAAACCATTGCCGATGAAGATGCCCGTGTTGCAGACTGCTTTGGAAAGAGTATTCTGGATAAAGTCGAGGTGGGATCTGCCAGAAAATCGATCTTCTGACGACACGTGGAAGGGAATGGCTTGATCTTCAGTATTGCTTCCGACTTCACTCCATGGGATCAGAACGAAATCCGACGATTGGTCAGAGGCACTGCTGACAAGAGTCTGGGCATAGGCATCTTCTGGTGCCACAACGACACTCGAGGAAACAGCAACGTCGTGCAGTTGGGAAAATGTCTTGAATGCGTTGACCACGGGATCTCTGCGCGAGAACTCGTCCGTATCTGTGACTTTCATGACCGAGGAGGTACGTTCAGTGAGCTCAATGATGCGAAGTGCGTGTACCTCCAGAGGACGCTTTCTCTGAACGCCCTGCATCGCATCGGGAGTCGCTGCAGCATCCTCTCTGTCCTCTCCAAGCAGAGAAACAAAAGTGAACAAGCTCGGAAGACTGTCGAGGCGCAGGTAGACCAGGAGACGATTGATCTTTGTGCTCTCCAGCTTACAAGCGGCCTCATCAGTAGGAGTCTCGGAACCTATCGGCTTTCCGTCCCAGTCAATCTCTCCCCGCTTCCATGCCTCAATCTTCTTTTGATACCATGGAGGGTAGAGACCCTTGACGATGGGGGTCGTGGCAAATGTTGTGACGAGCGCCATGACCACAAACATGGTAAATGTCTTCTGTGTCAAGATTTTGGCTTCCAAACCAATGTTCTGTAGTTTTGGGTCAGACCAATGGGCCAAGATGAGAGGGAGGGTGAATTGGCGATACATACCAAGACAATCAGTTCGACCAGACCCTTGCAACTCATGAGAACCCCAATGGTGAAACTTTCTCTCCACACAAGCCCCATTCCCCTGGCGGCGAGTGTGCCTCCACCGATTTTACCAGCAAAGGCCACAGCAATAATAGCAATGACATAGCCCCATGTTATGCCATCGTTCAGGAGGCCCAGATTGGTGTTGAGTCCAGAGAGAGCAAAGTACAATGGGAGGAACAAGACCGTGATTAGATCCTCAATTTTCTCCGTAAGCTTGATGGCGAATCCACCATCATGCGGACAAATGAGGCCAACCAAGAAACCACCAAAGATGGCATGTACACCAATGATGCCTGTAACTAGTCAGTAATCCCCTCTGGTAATCTCAAGACGATTGTTTCTTACTAGTAAACCAGGCCGATGTGAGGACGAGCAAAAGTGTCAGCGCCACAACACCCTGGGTTGGCCCATTCTGAATGCTGCCCGTCCGTCTCAGGACCCAGTGAAAGGCGGGCCTGACGGCAAAGACAAGAAACAGCACATATCCAACAGCGACCAGTAGCACATAGAGAGCTGTCAGGCCAGAGCTGTTGTTCACGAGAGCAACACAGAGTGCCAAGAGGATCCAGCCAACTACATCATTGCCCACACCTGCTGCGAGTACGGTCACGCCTACTGAGGACGAAAGCAACCGAAGCTCGGACAGGATACGGCAGAGCACAGGGAAAGCCGTAATGGCTAATGCGGTACCGACAAAGAGGGCAAATACGCCAAAATTGAGGGCATTGGCGCCAGGGAATTGGTGATAGATGCCATAGGCTAGAGCGACTCCCAGACCAAAGGGCAAAACCATGCCGGCCAAACCGACACTAAGAGCCACCCGCCAGTTGGCAGTGAACATGCGGATGTCTAGTTCCAGTGCGATCAGGAAGAGGAATAAGATAAGACCAAGATTAGCCACATTGTTCAGCACCGGCATAGAAGCTGTTGGGAAGATGGCATCCTTGAAGCCAGGGATCCGCGCAAGCACGGACGGGCCGAGCAGGACGCCGCCTATCACCTCTGCAATGACTCTAGGTTGGCCCAGATACGACAATGGAAAATGCAAGAGCCGGCAGAAAATGATTATGATGCCCGCCTGTCAAAGTCAAGATAGTCAGCCAGCCATATTTGTGCCATGGGATACAGTAAATGGATCTCGTGTGCGTGGTGTCGCTTTTGCTCTGCCGTCTTGTGTGGGCCAGAACCAGTCCGTCAAGACGCGGCGGGCGGTGCGCGGGAGGCTTTGGGATCTGCAGCTCTGGCGGCGGCGCTCCGTTCCAGACCAGCGCGGGATCGTTTGTGGTACACTTACCTGTATGATAAACAACGTGATGGGATTGGAGGCGCTGTAGGTATTGGGCAGCACATGTTCAAGTATACCGCCCTGTGGCGTGGCTGCGTTGGTACTCGTGGCTGATGCTGAGGAGGAAACAGCTGTTATGGTCGTGGTGAGAATAGAGCTCACCGTGACCGTAGCCGTGGCCATTGATGCGGTGTGGGTAGGTAGTGAACCGCGATGCAGACGCGGTGGACGGCTCTGACCAAGGTCAAGCTTTGTTTCGGACGCAGATAATACAATGCGTTCGTGCTCAGCTGCATAAGCTGAATATCGCAAGGGTAGCGATTGAATGAGAAGATGCCACAGCTGGTGATGTTTCTTATCTTATGGAAAAGTGGAAAGAGCACCTGTCCGTACCTCAGTTATGGCAGTGCAAACTCTGGTGTCGGAAGCAACGAGAGCAATTAGCTGAAGCCCAGTCAAAGCATGACCCAGCCGGCGCCTTGGCGTTGACGCCTTCAGTCGCTACACATCTGCGGAAAGTCACAGTGTAGGGGTCCAAGACCCGACTGCAGAATGGATGACAATCGAACGAGCCTGGACAGCGCAGTGGGTCACAGGCAAGAACGTTGCACTTCGATTGGGCGACAGCCAGCTATCGGCCAAGCTGGGGATCAGCAGCTCTGATCTCTATTTGTCGCGTGCAAACCACCAAAGACGCCGCTGGACCTTGTTGGTAGTGTGGAGAGGGATTTGGGAGATGGCGCCAGCGACGAGCCAGGCGACTACCGTGATTGCGGGGTGTGCAGAAAGGATGTCGACGGCGGTCTCGAACGCCAGGAACGTCTGAATATAGTCTCGAGTAGATATCACTTGAACAACTCTTAGTCTCAGTGTTTCTGTCCCGGAAAGGAAATGATGCAAATTGAGGTTTGTTTCGTCCTGCTGAGCCAGGTCAAGTCCAGTTCTAGTTCTGTTGTTGGCGGTTCCGGCGGCTTGGATCTCGGGTCAGGGGACGAAAGAAACCTGTCATGATCCATGCCCACCGCCATGATAACAAGAAAGGAAGAGAGATATGGGTGCCAATCCAGGATCCGCCCTTGACACTTATGAGAGAGAGGCCGCCGCCAGCCTACTGTGTGGAGGCAAACCCCATTTCTAAGATATGGAATAGATTCCTGGGCCTTGATGGATTAGCGAGGGGTGCGCCAAGCACGCCATTACGATTCCTGAGGCCTGGCGAGCGAGCAACACAATCCAGCCATCACGAGGAGCAACAAGCCGAGACTTCTGTTGTCACACCTCCCCAAACCAAGAGTCTTGGAGAGAAAGTATGTTTTGAAGCAAATGTATTGCAAGTTGTGTGTTCGTTCTCGTGGGCCATAAGGGGGCCAGCTGAAAGGTTGCTTGCCATTGTGTTGGAGTGAGGTGCAAAGCTACACAAGCCCAGTTTGAGCCTCAAGATTGATTTGGGGCCTTCCTCTCCACACATGGGGACGAGCTCCCCCAGATTTGTTTTGATGCGGAGCTAGAGACCTGCCTAAGGACTTCCTATCACTGGCGCGCACTAGGCAGACAGCTGGAGTTGCCGTTGGGGCAGGCACCCACACTGCAGACGGCCGGCCATATACACTAAAACGTACTTACCTACAGGTAGGTGCTAATGAACATCAGGTGATTTGCGCCTCCCGATTTCTAGAATCTCCCTATCGTAAGAACTTCAACACCCGAATTGTTGGAGCTGGCTAATCTTTGTCACACGTCACATTTCTTCTTTCTCTGACTTTTATGATCTATCTCAACCTTTTGTGTCACGCAGCCTTTTCTTCGAGAACCTCATGCACGCACAAAACTTAAAAAGAGAATGTGCAGCTTGACAGCCTCACGGGCTGATTTGCTGAGCTTCGAGGCCGAGCGCATTATCCGTTTATGGTAATTGCGCTTCCCCCCCCCCCCCCCCCCCTTCGCACGGGAAGACGAGAGAGACACGGTCTCACGTATGAGAGAATGGGCCCTTTTCCAAGCCACGCCGTCTCGGGTCAAGACAGCAACCCATGGCGGTGAACCCGTCGGCGGTCGGCATACATCCTTGATCCAAGATCTACTATTCGTGAGCCTTACGACCTCTGTTCTAGTGTATCCATCACAGGAAGGATTGGTCCGCCCGAGGCGCAATAAAGTATGTAGCTGATACAGGCCGACACCACCGAGCGCTTTTGATTACAATGATCCTTTGCCATTGCGTATGGGAAGAAGTGACTGGGGTGCAACAGTATGAGCTCCTCGTTACCTATGTAGGTATTCTTCTTTGCACATTTGAACAAGTACTGTAGGTACATCCTACAAGGCAAAAGTGCAGCACCTGCCGGGAAACAGAATTCAGGCTATGTGTAATGTGACACCGAATCCGTCGTGATTTGTCCCGAGCAGCTGCAACACCCCCGGGGGGAAAAGAAGAAGAAGTGTTTAACAGCGACCGTGGCGAGCCTTGTAACAATCAAGGCGCAAACAAGGCTGGCATCCAAGTCCCGAGTTGGACCTGTGCGCCAATTGGAAAAGTCGCCTGGGCGGCGCAAAACAATGCCCTATAGTGTAGCAAAGCTTTTGTCACAGTCTTGCTGCAGAGCCTCACGATACGCGCGCGCGCGCTTGCTAATGGGACACATTCAGTCTCCGATACTGCTCACAACACCAAGAGCCAGAAGCACAGATATAGACTAGATTTCCACATCGTCAGCCCTACGGGGAATTCCCTTTTTTTTTCGGCCTTGACCAGTTTACTGGGTCTGTTTCGGGCAGCGGTGGTGCTTACATCCATTTCCTATTGTAGATAGACTTCTTACAACCCACGAGCGAGTCCCACGGTGCCACGGTGTCGGGACGGGAGCTTGCGCGGACGAGTAAGCAGGCAAGCGAGAGCCGCCTGTCAGATTAATTCAACCTCAGTCGATGGATTTGTCTATATCAACCCATATTTTACATCCTTCTTTGTTGGTGGGTTGTACAATTATCAGAAAATGTTTAGGGAGATGACACCAATAGGCTCATGAATGGCTCTCTTTCTTAATTGCGATCTCCGACCGTCCGCTGCAGTCTGCTGTGCCGCGGTCTCTTTCGTGGTTTGTAATCCATTTTAATTCCGAAGTCCGTCAACAAGTCCTTTGCCCCGACTCGGTCTTTTGCCACAAAATCCGCGCCGAAAGGAAAGAAAGAACAAAGTCTCCGAGATCATGATCTGCCACCAAGGGCGCGAGGAGAAAGTACATTAATGTATCATTTCCCAACTCGGAGCCGAAAACATGATTTTACTTGCTGACTCCTTGCTGCCGGAATTACAAGATTTCGCTTTGGGAGCTGGATCCGAGGAATGGAGAAAACATCACCTGAGATCGACGCGTGGGCCAGAATCCCCCCAGTTGCTCGTTCCTAGAATGACTTCTTGTCTATACTCTATAGAAAAGTTTGGGCACTGCTTGCTCATGGTGCTCCATTATGATATCAATTGAGTTGCAACCGTCTGCGAGTATGGACAAGACCCAAGAAAGAGCGGCATCCCTTGCAGGTAGATGTTGTATGCGCCGCCGGATATTACAATCACGTTATCCAACCGCAACATCCTTCTCCCTTGTTTTTCCTTCCCTTCTTTCCCATTGGGAGGAAGGCAAAATAAGTCCAATTTGAATCCAAGTTTGTTCCTGTCGCCAAAAAAAAGGGGGTAATAGGGAACGGAGATGGAAGCGTTATCTCATGATATCACATCATTCCCGGCACTTTGACAATAATGCTTGCACTTTCAAACACTGCATACGTGGGGTTGGCTGTCATGCGCAATAACACGTTATGCGAACATGATGGTCATGATAAACATATCACGCCGAAGCATAACAAGATTCCAGAGGTTTCTATGGAGCACATGTTATTGTCATTGCCTCAGTGCCGCCCTTGCGCCGCGTTGATGAGTATTTTGCGAATTTGGTGCAGCCTTCTCGATAGAGATGTACAGAGACTACCCTGAAAATAATTGATGATACCAAAGAGCCGCCAAAGACTCGTAATGATCTCCTCTTTTGGGAGCTACAGTATGCATGTCAACTTGGTGTGCACACGTATTGTCATGCAAGGTTCCTATCTCAAGGATTTATCTTGCTTCGCAATTCCTTTCCCTCTATTCACCAGACCACGTACACCACGTATAACAGGCAAGGATATTTGTAAGAAGGGCGGTGAACACTGTTTACAAATGCGAAACATGTGTATTATCATATGTATAATATGTCGTTTCTTTGCAAATCATAATCATATCATTTGCATTGGAGTGGCGAATGAAACCATTTTGATAGTATACTAATGGTCATAAGAGAAGGGGGTAAGGAGTGTGTCTGTCCATCGGCAGCTGGTACCCTGGGCGGCCGTGACGTTCGCCAAGCTAATTTGGGCGGCCATAGACAGATGGATGTTGGGGGCCAAATTCTTCTTTCCCTTTTTCATCGAAATACAGAGTAGCTTTCCCGCGAAGTTCGAAATGGAGCCCGCGCAGGAAATAATGCGTCTTTGCTGCCCTTTTGCCTTGCGAGTGACTCTGCCACGGCAAATATGGGGACTGGCAGCAAGCCCCTCCCGCGCTTGCGGCCGCGTGCTAGCTAGGTAGATGTCGGAAAAGTTGACGAGCGCCATAGAAAAGCGTCTAGGCGTTGGTGGAGACGAGCACAGGACCGCCCGAATAATGGATCACCCATTACAAGGGGCAAGTCGGCAAGGTGGAAACAGTTTAGAGGAAATGAGCAAATTTCAAAAGGATTCTTGATACTTTGCTCTTTTTGTTGTTGTATTTTGCCCACCATGAAATAATGCGGCACAGTTTATATCAAGTGGCCCTGTCTAGAACAATACAATTCCACCTGAATAGGGAAACAATCACAAAAGTATGGGACGCGCATCCGGGCTGGACGGCTTGCGGATACCGCAATAGTGGAGATGTCGGGAGCGTAGGCCGTTATTTCGGCCTAGAGACGTTATGTTTGTGTTATATGTTATGGGTCAAGTGGTTATCGTTTGAATTGGTCATATATGACTCGGACTAGATTCAAGAGACTTTATCGAACTGGTCCGCAGTGGAGAAATTATTAAGGAAATCAATCTCAACCGAGACTGTTGTATCGATCCAGTTAGAGGATAGTTCCCAACTTGGCATCGTGCCGTGGTGAGGA